TAGTGTTAAACAGAGTTGCTGTTGTTAAACTGCTCATCTTTTGTGCATAGTAACGTTGGACTATGTAGCTCCAATAAACCCAATGTAGGGGGAACGAATACTACATTATGCAGTATATATCATGTGTTATTATATATACGACAGTGCAGCACACTCTAAATTCTACTTATATTAGCTACCTTCACCTTCAGTTAGGTCAAGCTAATGTTAGCCTTTTTAGTGCTGTCGCTACATATTCAACAGATAGTGGCGTAAGTAATCTATTATTAAGTTGTTGCGGGGTGAACCTATCGTTAGATTATAACCTTGGTCATTATCCCTCTTATAATATATTTCTGACAGACTCCACATAATTTCTGTCAGTAATAGTAATTAAATATAACCGTCTGTTTATTGTTGTCTTCAAACATCAGAGATCATAATACAACAAATCTTTGTAATATAAGGTTTCGTGGTCTAGTTGGTTATGGCATCTGCTTAACACGCAGAACGTCCCCAGTTCGATCCTGGGCGAAATCATTTTTTTGGATTTTTAAGCTCATTGTTGAATTTAAACAGCAGCATCTGTTTCAAGTGAATTTCGCAGAGCAATGTCATTTTCTTTTTTTGTTCTAGTTACCTTTTTTTAGTTCTGGTTCTATCTGTCAAGTTTTTTTTTTTTAAATTCATTCTCTTCTATATCTGTTTTTGCCTAATGACAACATATATTTTACTCACTACATCAATAAAAAAACTTTACTATTGGCAAAATGATGTTCAGTTGTAAAACTGAAAGATATATAAATATATATCAGTATTAATGTGATATTTTATGACTTCAATTGTGTCACTTTTTTAAAATTTAATACAAGAAAAGTTGAAGAATTCATTTGTTGCAATCACATTTTTTCCAAAGATAAATAATTCCTTTCTAATGATACATCTATTCTATTGGACATAAATAGATAACGGATGAAATCCCAGTCAATCACGTCGTTATTTCTCTTTTAATACATTTCTGGTAAATTTGTCTAATATCTTTTTTGGCCCAAGAAACCCTAATTTAGAGTCGGACACCTTGAGGATTATCAGAAAGAGAGAAAATAAACTCTGCTACGGCAATCTCTCACTATTCATTGAAAAGATTACCGGAGTAAAGGGCGTCCCGGGTTTTTGAAACCCTAAAAGAGGGCTTTGACGTGTTAAAATAGAGAAAGTGTGAATGTGGTTAAACTAATATAGTTAAAACCCATCTCTTTTGAAAGAACAGATTTAATAAGAGTCATGTCAGTGGCCTGTATGGATATAATAGAGCTTTCCATATAGAAAACGTTTAATAAACATCCAGTTATACAACCATTATTTAGCATTTAAGAGATATACTGCATAATACGTTATCTTCTCCTCTTTCAGTTGAAACCCCAGCTCAAACTCAAAAAAGAAATGGTTGAGAAGTTTGAAGATTCTATAGATTTAATGTCGTTTTTACAAAATAACCGTAACGAGAATAAGTTTTTCGATAACACTGATTATCCGGCTGGTAAAGGATTAAACTTATCAAACGCGAATATTAATATGGATCAAAGTGATAATAATATTTTATTTTCCCAAGTGAGTGACATAAATGCAAATCCCCCAACATGTTTCGAAAACAAAAATTGGTTAAATGAATTTGAGTTACCAGATGGTGCTAATAATTATACAAAGGGTCATATAGATGAAAATGGAGGTGCACCAGGGGCAGAGAACGGTACAGGAGGTAACGGTTCATTAAGCTCGTTATCACCAACGACACATAAATCATTATCCACCCCAAACAGTAATTCCTCAATGTTTTCAAATGATAAAATGCCAGTAGTCGAAGAAAATGCTGACAAAAAGAAGGCACAGAATAGAGCAGCTCAAAGGGCCTTTAGAGAAAGAAAAGAAGCTAAATTGAATACTTTGGAACATCAATTAAAGGAAAGTGAGGCTAATAAAGAGGCATTACAGAAAGAGGTAGATTCGCTGAGAAAATTAAACCAAGAGATTCATGCCGAAAATAGAACTTTATTGAGAAGACAAGATGATGATAGTGTGTCAAATTTAATGAATTATAATCCAATTAATTCCATTAGACAATATTCAGATGATCAAATGGCCAAAGAAAATGTTGTCCATCGTCGTAGGGATGATTTTTATAAAGATTTGATGAACCAAGTGAATTCGGTTAATGAAATACATGGTCAGAAAGTACAAAATAAGACATACCAAGACAACAGTGGTAACTTTATAATGACAATTCCTGCTACATGGGAATATTTACAGAAGAATTATGGAGAAGATATTGATATAATACAAGTCATTGAAGCTCTGAAAGGGAAAGAAGTGTGCCATGGCGCTGGTGGAGCCTATCCAAAGGTACTTGTAGATGAGGCAATACAACAACTCATGGATGCACAATAAAATGATCATATTCCTCATGACCTCCCTAGGACCAACATTAAAAATACAAATCCAAACGTGGTTTAAATTCATTGGATTAAGACCAGATAATAAGTAAAATGTATGTACCTATAATAAATATTGAACGGTTAAAGATAGCAGTAAGAAATTAACTTAGAAATAATGTTTGTTTCCACTTAGTCAATTTTTTTTTTGCTCTTTTATTTTCCACGTAGTTGAACACTTCTGGAAAAATTTATTGAATCGGCGATTCAATTTCAAATGCTCTCTGTAGGTAAACAAATAAAAGCACGATTGACTACCAAAGCATAAAGCATCATAAGAACTTCATCGTATTTTCAATACAGTATATATCTTTGCAATTGATGCAGGATGACTTAATGATTGAAGGGGAACCCTTTCCGAACTATATATTTCAACGCATCACGGAAGACAGAGATGACCGATAACGAAGAAACGTCGAAAGACCTACAATCTAATTTTGATGTAGTTGTTGACGACTCAAAACTATGCCAGTTATTAGAAATGTTCCCAAATGTAGCCACTGCATCAATCATAAATGCATTGAGAAGCTCAAAGAATGATATGGACCTTGCAATATCGTTTCTTCTGAGCGATATTGCCAATGATGTAAACATTAATTCAACGCCTAATGATGAAGAAAATATTAAAACTCCTGAATTAGTAGATTTGTACGAAATGTTTCCCAAAATAAATTCCAATATTATTCGAAGTTATTACGATTCCCAAAAGAGAGATGTCAAAGAAACAATTATAGCTCTACTGGATTATGAAATCCTCTCGACAGAGGATGCAGAAGATCAGAAAAGAGTAGAAAAGAGGATTAAAAATTCAACTGAGGATAATAGTATGAATAAATGGAAGTCTTATGATGAAAAAATAAATCTTATATTAAAGTTTACTGAGGTAGAGGATGTCACAGCAGAACGTTATTATCAACAAAATCATAGGAATCCTTTAATGGCTATAATTAGTATTATCCAAAATCAAATCAAATACAAACAACCTCCTCGACCTGCAACAGTACCTAGCTATGCTAGTAAAACGAAAATTCAACCAGGGGGGCGTGTCCAATCTGTTCGTGGATTTGCATACAAGCCCAAAAATCTAGAGTATGAGAAAGTACGATCTTCTACTACATGCAAAATAGACCATAACCTCAGACTATGGTCTAATAGAGAAAATTATGTCTACTCTAAATCATCTCCTGAAATAATGGAACTTGATAGTCTCATTTCTTCCAATATAGATTTTCGTAGTGTAAACCCTATTTTTGTCACCAATGCTATCAAATACTACAATGGATGTGTTTCACAAACAGTAAATCTCCTAATTTTATTGTGTTCTAATAGGTGCTCTAAATTTACTTTTATCAACAAAGAAAATAGTAGCAGCGGCTTTATCGAAACGAGTTGTTGGAAATCAAACAGTTCAATTAAACGGCCTCATGGGTCTTTTGTAACAACCATTAAGGATAAGAAACAAGAAGTCCAACCTCAATCTCACGAATCTGACATAGATTATACCCTTAATCATCTCTTTGAGAATTATAAACTCGATTTTCATGGATTACTACCTTCACAGGCTGTTGGAATATTATCAAAGGCGTTGAGAAAATGGTGGAATACTGAACTAGAAGAACGTGAACTAAGTAGAAAAAGGTTAAACTTGGTCAACGTTTGTTGTGTAAACCCCTTAATTATAATAACAGGGCGTGGGATTCACTCCATAGGTGGGGTGTCGAAAGTTAGAATACAAGTTAAGAAATTTCTTAAGAATAATAACTACGTTTTTGACGAGGAACCATCATTCTTCACAGTCTATGGTAGGAGGTCCAACTAAAAAACCCATCCTAGCATAAACCTTCATATCTGTGATCGACAAAATCGTCTACTTCTAAGTACGCTTTTTTTCACATATTTCTATAAGTCTTTATGTATTAATAGTAATGTTGGTCTAGAAATGTTTCATTTTATTTACATTCGCGAAAATATTTTGCAATACGCGAAGTAAAAGAATATATAGCAAACAATCTTGAGATGACCATAAATAAGAAATTTAGCCCCTCTATATCAAACTCCTTAGAAACAATCAATTATTTTGAAAAAAGGATCCAATATACTAGAAAGAATAAATTTTGCCGTTAGTTGAGAACTACAATAATGGATTTTATGAATTTAGGAGTAACCTCTCGTAAGACGGGACTACGGGTCAAGAATAATGTTGCTAAGGATGAATATAACATGGAAAATGTTGAAGATTTCTTCAAAGATGATGAAGCCAGTATGATTACAGTTAGGAAATCAAAAAGTATGAAAACTTCTCTCTTAGCGCATAATCGAAATTCATTGATTGAAGAAAGATCAAATAATGAAACGTCCCGATTCTCAACACCCCATATCTTCTCACCAGCAATTAGTGATACCAGAAGATTATCATCTATACCAATAAATATATCTCGAGAACAATCACAAGACGAACAACCCCCAAATATCCTTCAGGATAATTTTAACAGTAATAATTTAATAGCTGGTCACCGAAATTCTCTACTAGAATCAATTCATGAAGAACCATTCGATTATGGCCAAGAAAATACCTTTCAAACGAATGATACTCAGCCAAACTTAAGACATTCATTAACCCCAAGTGTATCATTACATAGATACAACACTACATATGATTTAAATTCCACAAGACGAACATCTTTAAATGTAAGAATACCTCCCAAGGACTTCGTTAACCCCTACACTGAAAGCGAAGCACCAGATCTGGTACATGACGCAGATTTAACTATTGATAATACTTCTTTTAATACGTCAGACAATGCCATTCTTGAAGAAGAAATGTCCGAATATGGGATAGAGAAAAGTGATGCAGATGATGATATGGATTATAATACAGATATACTATCCTCTGATGAATCATCAAGTGCAGAACAAGATATTGATGAAGATGATAACAATGGCCAAGATATCCTAAATGATCTAGACTCCACTCAAATCGATAAAACATACATACCGTCTGATGATGACGATTACCAGGATAACGAGTCAGTTTCACAGAACAACCAACTACCAACAGATTTTTCCGATTTATCATCTGACGAAGATGAAGAATACCTACCTTCGCAGGCAAATATTTCTAATCCTATTATTGCTGAAGGCCCCAAGAGATCTACGAGAATAAAAGTTCCACCTTTGGAATACTGGAGAAACGAAAAAGTTGTGTATAAGAGGAGAGATTCTAAACCATATTTAGATATTGAGAAGATCGTAACGTATGAACCAAGCAGCAGCTCTGAAGATGAAGCTGGTGCAAAAACTCGTTCTAAACGGATAAAAAAGGCGCCTCAGCTAAACAATAGCAATTTATCTGTAAATGAATCTTTAACAAATATCGTTAGTACCATCCCAAGACAGAATGAGCCATCAAGAAATTTTAGATCAATAAACAACAGGATAATACGTGGACGAGCAAATAATGAAACCAGTAACCCAGATTCGAAATTACTTGACAGGATACATAATGGCAAGGTTAAAGGTGCTAGCTGGATACAGGATGGGTTCTTAGAGGGCACAATAAATTCTGCGATTGATAAAAAAAGTAAAGAAGTCATTGCGTATGCGCCAAATATTTCTCAGGTAGAGAGAACAAAAAGAACTTCAGATAATAAGTATACATTATCAGTAATGTTTGATAAACACAAAGAAATGTTTGCAAGTGGCATTTTAAAACTCCCCCCAACTGGTTTGCGTGACATAACTGAATCGCATAATGCTTTTATAACATTTTATGTCATCAGAGGAATTGTAGAGGTAACGGTAGGTACTAATAAATTTATCACTCCTGCTGGTTGTTCATTTCAGGTCCCTTCCTTTAATAGTTATTCCTTTAAAAACAAAGGAAAAGAGGAAGTACAACTATTTTTTGTCCAGGTAATCGTACCAGAAACTTTCAATTCACAGCAAGACCCTGCAAATCATTCTAACAAGGGAGATGTTTCAGATAAGGACGGATTTTCAATGTCGGATGATGAATCATCTAAAATGGTAAACTTAAAGGATAGACACATTTCAGATTCGCAGACAAAGATACGTCCTTCTGCCATTCAACAAAAATTATTCATTAGTTCAAGTTCATCTAACCTTTAGGATTAGGATTACGTAGAAATATAAATATTCAATATATACGACCATAGTTATAACGCCATATTAAATAGAAAAAAAGATTCTTGTCTAACTAGGAGATGACCATGTAATTATTCTTTATTAACCTTTATATCTACAATATGTAATTTCGACATTGGTGAATTGAAGCTTGAGCAGAAGAGTAAGATCGTGAATTGTTCATTATATTTAGTCGCAGATAGAGAGTTATAGGTGTAGTTTGAGTTTTAATGTTAAGAAAACAAAATATATTTGCTATACTTTTCTATGTAATTGTAAGTAAATTTTTATATTTATATATAATTTGTAGGACGAATAGAATCTAAGTTAGAATGTAAGGTTAGAATTTTTGTAATTATATATATATATTGTTTTAATCTGGATTGAAATAAAGATTTCCAATCCCTAGATCAATTGAGAGTCGAAATATGTTTCATTTCAATAATGATACTACATATCTCTTGTCATCTCATAATTACCGTCAACTGGAACTGTCAGCTCGGGACAGATCATCACCGACGAAGTTTTGGGGACCAGCTTAATATTTGAGTTCATGGTCGTACTCAGTGAGTAAAATGGGCCAAGTGTGCACGCGGCGTGGTGGTTCTTTCTTGTTCTTGGTGGATAGGAGACTGATGTGGTCTCTTCGTAACGTGAAATGTTTGCCATACAGTAGGTATCGGAAGTGCTATAATGCTTCAACTATACCTATCAGCTCTAGTTCACCGACGTGGTAGTCTTTCTGGGTAACATATAACCAACTACAGGTAAAAGCTTGCTGTCCTAGTTAACTTCTTCGAGGACAGCACCTACACCGATTTTGGAAGCATCAGTCGTAAGACTGTAACGGTCTTCCTTTTTAAACGGAACAAGGACTATGTTCATTATCAGAGCTTGCTTGCACGTCTCGAAAGTAGCCGTTTGAGTGGATGTCCATTTTTCAACACCGGTAATAAACTCCTGGATGGGTTTAGTCACATTGAACAAGTTTTAGAAATCTTATAAGGAGAAAATTATAATAGCAAAAGATAAAAATGACGCTTTGCTAGCCACTCCATTGAATTCCGAGTAACCAAGGAACTCAACAGGGTGATTAGCAAAATGACACCTCTTATCTTTTGCTACTAGTTTTTCGTCTTGTAATATTTGTAACACCCGTTCAATGTGACGCCAATGCTCTTCTTTAGAATTCGAAAATATCAAAATATCATCTAAGTAGGCACAAAAGAATGGTAACGAACGAAAGTGATCTGCCAGGTAACGGGCAAACATACTGGGACCATGGACAAGTCCAAATGGCACAACTGTGTATTCATACTTACCATTTGGCGTAACAAAAGCGGTCTTACAAGTGTCTGATTTCTTCATAGTATCTGATGATAACCACTATATAAACCTAGCATTGAAAAAAATGAAGCATTACAAATTTTTACGATAAAGTTCTCTATACTTAGTAATTGGAATGTATCCTTCACGGTAACCTTGTTCAGAGCTCTGTAGTCTACACATAGTCTATAAGTATTATCTTTCTTTTTGACTAATATAACAGGTGAGCTACACGGAGACTTCGATGGAGTTACGAAACCATGTTTAATCAAATCCTCCACAATATGGGCAATTTCTTCTTCCAGCTTTAGTGAAGTATTGTAGGGCTGTGAATGTGGAAGCTTAGCGTCTGGCTTTAAGTCGATCTCATGGTACACGGGACTCTCATATCCCTTCTCTCGCGGAGGGAGATCATTACGGACTGTGTCAGAGAATTTGTCTTGTAACCAACGTGGTAATTTATTAAGTGAGTTTTCTTTGTTCTTTTCTACAACGTTGATTACAAACATCTCATCAATATCAGGGGAACTAAAGTTGTCCTCAGCTGTATCCATATTAACCACGTTAATACTATAGACGGGACAACAGCTATTTATATTCTCGGATAAGTTATGTTTCATTAACAACACTGCAATTTCAGGGATTGCGGTAATTATCGGATGACCAATGATGACATCTTGTACCATATGAGATGTAACATAGACGGGAGTATCAATTACCAACTGATCCTGTTTTAAAGTGATTCTAACAGCTTCGGTTGTTAGTGCAGCTTCTTGAGATACACTACCCTTGAAGCGAAATGGAGGAGCGGGACGTACAGACAGTCCTAGTTTAGCAGCAATGTCATTACGGACAAATGATGTTGGTGAACCAGTATCAAATAATACCTTAACGGGTTCCTTCTTCAAAGTCATCGTGACTTCGAAGGTACGACCAATAACGGGCCTAATTTTTTCTTTAATGATTGGACATAGTGTAACCAGACTATGACTGGTGACAGGGATGACCTGCCTAGAAGCGATTGCTCGTATTGGAATTACCAACTCTACATTCGCGGAAGTTGTGTCCTGGTTTCTGGCATTTGAAACATAAATGCCTCTTCATACACTCGGTACGGGATAAACGACCTGCGGAGTAGTTGTTTGATGAAGCGTAACGATCATTTCCACCTCTGCCTCTTTCGCCGTGCTTAGGGTAACGTGGTGCATGGGTAACAGCAGCACCAGTCATGACAATATCTCCGTCGGCGTCCCTTTGAGAGGGAACTATGTGCTCGAAGAAACGATTGTCAATCGCCACGGTAGAATAGGCAGCTTGGAAAGCCTCGTCCAGGGTGGAAGGGCTGGTTAGTGCCACAAGATGGGAGGTCTCAGGAATAAGACCTCTCATGTAGGACAACAAAGCACCCTTCTCGGTCCAATAGCCAGCGGGCATCAAGGACCACAACTGTTTGAACTTGGTATTATAAGCTTCAATACCAGTTCCAGTTTGTTTCAACGCGTTCATCGTGTTTAAGACCTTGTTAGGATCCAGTTGGATGAGGAAATGAGCATGAAATTCGGTACTAAACTGATCGTAATCAAAAGTACCTCCAGCGTGGTTCCGACCGAAGAAAGCGATCTTCTCTCCTTCGTCGACAATACGACGGGTCAAAAATTGCACTTGCATGATAGTCATGAAGTCTGGAAGTTTCATAATGTCGGTAGTACCACGAAAGGTCAATGGAGCGGAGCCTTCCATGTTCGAACGGTGCGATGGGTTTGGAACTGATGGATCAGAAGCAGCATCAGAATACTCAAAAGCCATATCTAAATTGGACATAATGAAATAAAATAAACGGGAAGCGACTTGACGGTAATATTACGGTAATTTAACGATCTTCTAACTTAAAAGAGAAGCGCTACCAGATGTTGTATTGGGATCTCGAATGGTTGAAGACAAAAATATAACAGACGGTTATATTTAATTACTATTATTATGTTGTTAACTAATTAGAACTCATTTCAATAATCGTTGTTTTCTTATGTTTTATAAAGTAAGTTTATATAAGGAAGATTATATATTTAAAGTTAGTATATGTGGTCCTTTTTGAGCTGAAGCAGACATACTGTGTTGTGGGAATATCAATTAGCGATACTTATTATGGTAACAATTCATGAACAGATAGAACATACTTGTATGTTCTATAGCAACTGTTCTAAAAGGATCACGTGGTCACTAATTATCACGTGACATGTATATTATAATATCGGAAAAACTATTAGAAGATATTTTCCGATAACGCGCGATGCGCTTCAAGAAAACTTTTCCTGCGATGAGATGCCCATTGTACATTACTTCATTTATTAAAGATGTAAACGTAAGTTTGAAATCGAGAATATACGATTAGTATTCGAGTTGAAATTATCGGACATAGTTATAGATATTCAAATGTATAATCTTGTGGTTTATTTTATGTTATATAAAGTAAGTCTATATAAGGAAGATTGTATATATATAAAGTTAGAATATGTGGTCCTTTTATACTTTTGGAAAAGGAAAACAGTCTACCAAATATTGATAGTATTCTTACTAAACATTCTAGAAACATGTTCTAGACACTTATGAAACAATTAGTAATACTTGCTTACTAATCATTCTTAAAGAATGTTCTAGAATCATATTGAACAGTTAGTAATAATTTCTTACTAAACATTAAATTGTAATAACTAAGTATTGGTACTTTCTACATTATAATGGTTTCAGATATATCAATAAATAACAATATTTGAAGCGGTGGCTCAATGGTAGAGCTTTCGACTCCAGTTAGATCCTGGAAATTACTAGGAAATCAATGATTGCAATCGAAGGGTTGCAGGTTCAATTCCTGTCCGTCTCATTTAATTTTTTTGCGAATGATCTAAAACTCTCAAATGTTTGAAAGTTCACATATCTTATGATTTCTTGAAGATGCTTTCCTCTTTTAATTCATACATCTTGGAAGTGTGCTATTAATCTTTTTATAACTTTTTGAAATGTTGAGCAAAGAGTCATTATGTGATAAAGCACTCCATCGGACAGTTGGAACATTTAAAATCATTAGAGTGTCATCTCAAGATCAAAATAATTACACAGAGACTCGGATGGATAAATAAAATGATCTTTGCTAATTCTTTATAGAGCTCAAAATAGTATTAATATTTCAACTGTACATTTTGTGGAATATATGATGTTACTTAGGTATATTTCACGATCGAGAGAATTTCTCTATGATAGAGATCAGCGCTGGCAGCCTTCTTATCTTTTAGAGTGTAATCTATTCTGTAAGCTTTATATTTATTTAAAGTTGTAGAATAATCTACAATATGTTCGTCAAGGTCTCTTTGACATCTCAACTGAAAGAGACATAAAATATTATATATAGATATTTTATGTTTTCGCAAACTGTACTGTTTACATACATTTAGTGTTAATCTATTTTCTCGTTCACACTTGAATCACTTCTTCTAAGATCAATTCTAAAAGGGAAGCTTCTCTATTGTTGTCAATTTTTTTTTTTTAATTTGGTTTTTTAATGATCTCATGATATTGCTCTTCGGAGTATTGAATGGGCCTTCTAGAATTTAACCTCGATAATTATATTTTTGCAAATATATATACTGTTTTGACTGTATATTTCAATATTTAAGTACTTCATACTTTCAATTAGCCATACTCTTATTTACAAAATTTAAATAAATTTTTTATATATTTTATATATTTTTTATATTTTTGAATTTCATTTAAATTTTCAGGTCCCACTCTTTGATTTAAATGCTGCAAAGCCATAGCTTAACGTAAACAAAATTATAATAGTGATAAAAAAACTTATTTCTATATGTTTTTATATACTATCAGAATGACTTAGTAATTGAATTTTTGAAAAATTGTTGGCTTTCTGATTTAACCAAAACCTTACTTTATGAGTTTTCTTACTACCCCTAACCCTATCAGTAACTGTATAATTTTGAGGCCTAGAGGTGCTATCAAAATTTTCAACGCAACTACCCTCATAAAATGAACATGTTTCAATTCTGTTCTTAAAAAAATCTTTGCTTAAGGGGTACTGAAAGTCACTTTGATCGTCAGAGTTATAGTTTGTACTTCTCTTCAAACTTTCCATTATATTAATGACGGACATACTCCCTGTCAAGTTTGGTGCAAAATCGGTTTTCTTCTTAACCATTACTGAGTTATACTGCTTTATATTATGTCGTTGAAACCTCTTTTGATTTTCCCTAAATTGGGGAAAGTGAATCACAGTGTCATATAAAGTTTCTTCCATTTGTAAATTTTCTTTCCCATTAGAAACAATACCACCAGATTGTACCATATAATTGTTAACAGTCTCGTTACATTTTTTTGTAGACATTTTTGGTTCTTTTAGAAAATGACTTTTTACTTTGACAGACTTGGTTAGAGAATATTTCTGAGTTGTTTGAATCATCTTCTTTGAAGTTTTAAAATTAATAAAGCTTTTCCGGGCATCTTTAGAGAGAACATATAATAGGTCTGTTTCTAGGTTTTCTACTGGATCTCTAAGTTTATTTAATTTTTGTTGTTGGTTGTGCTCCAACTCTTCAGAATAATTTATTTCAAAAAATTCATAGAGCCTATTATATTGTGGACGAAGCATACTGTAACAGGTTTGTTCTGAATACGACTGACCTAATGTTAATTAATGTTTAACAAATATGAGGTTACTATTTTTATAATTTTTAATAAAATTTTGGAACTCTCTCTACATATATACAATTTTATTGAAATGGGTGAAAATATGTGAAATGGGTAAAATCAGTTAAAACTATAAGAATTAATTTTTTCGTACGTCACAGTTTATAGATTGCGTCATTTTCATTATATTGTCCGTATAGAAAAATTATTTAGTGGTTTACTTTCTTTTGGAATATCAGTATTACATATATACACTAATTTCTGAAATGCCTCTTCAAAGATATCATAATCTAGAGGGCTAGCTGTTTCTAATACTCCTTGTGCTTGGAATACTGTGTCTGAATTGTTTGTGGTAACCTGTCTTTCCAGTAGATTTTCTTCGTTCGAACAATTCTCCAAAAAGTGACAACAAGGACCTAGCTCTTTAAATATATAGTCAATAATAGTTTCCCACTGCCACCTTTTATTTAACCATCTTCTAAGAATATGTTTCCTTGGAAATATATTCAACCCTTCATGATACCTAACCCAAGGGTTTTGGTGTTGGAGGGCCATATTGCAAACCTTCGAATAACTGTACTCTTTTTCAAAATTCAAGAGCCTTATTGCCCAAAATACGTTCTTATTGGATGGGTTATACATCCGTTTAGCCTTTAGCTGTTTCTCTTGCTCTAACATTTTTGTTTGCGCTAATGTCTTTTGTTGGGTTTTGTACGATAAACCATCATAATCGATAAGTTTGTTGTTTCTAAAGTAAACTGGACAATACGTTCCAAATACACTTTCTAGAAAAAAATTCCTAGACTCAATAAATATATTGTATATATTGTGGATTACCAATAAGTGGAGATTTAACTTCGTGCCACATCGTGTCACAATATCCTCATAGGGCGACATTTCCGCTAAGAAATGGTTTATGACATTATCTGATCTGTAGACCTTTTTGGTCACTATCTTACTATGATTTAAACGCTCCCTAAAAGGCACAAAATCCCAATTAAACTTTAATGAATATATTAGGAATTGTAAACGATTTTTTAACTGTTTTCCTAAAGACTTGGGTGTGTTTATCATCTGACATTCGATTTCTTGCAATTCTTTCTCAACATTTTCAGTAAAAGGAATCGTTCCATCATTGAGTTCTTTAAAAAACAAACAATGACAGTTTAAGACTGTACCTTCACAATACTCGCAGAGGGGAATTTTTGTATATAAATTATTTGCATCTGAATGAGATATAACGTTCAGAAACATTTTTATTTCAGTTGGACACTCAGTAAGTACATTATATAATTCTGTTTTTAAATTTCAATGTATTTTAAGTGGATTAGTCAACATAAATGTTTTTAATTATTTTTCTTTATACGTCTCCGATTTTATATAGTGCATTCTCTGTGTCGTGCCCTGAGTTTGGTTAAGATCGTAATGTTGACTCTGTGCGTCACTAACGAGATGCCATCATTCATTTCCCGGGATAGAAGCATTTTCTTAAAACTTTTATTGCACTTACTCATATAAAAAAGAAAAAGAGTTTGTTTTGAAAGAATCGACAAATATACATAGGTTAGCAGTTCTACTTAATTTTAAGAGTTTAAGCATAAATATTTAATGCGTTTTCTTAGAGATAAATTTTAAGAAAAGTAATACTAAACTACAGTACATAAATTAAGTTGAATATAATTGACAATATACACCTCTGCATTCATTTTTTATCTTCCAGATTCTTGGCAAGTTCTAAAACCTCCTTCTTACCATCGGAAGCACTTTCTTCAGGAGATATTTTGACTCTCTTAAATTTCAACTTACCATCATAAAAAACAAAATGCGATCTTATAATACCGCTCTGAGGAGTCTTCTTACAGCCCAAAATACTTATTAATTCTCTTTTTGGGTCACTTAGTAAGTTATAAGGTAGATTTTGTTTAGTTTGGAAATTCTTCTGTCTTATAGCATTATCAGCACTTAAACCATACACCGTAGCATACTTCTTGAGGTCATCGAAGTTATCCCGAAACCCACAGGCTTGACGGGTACAACCAGGTGTAGATGCCTTAGGGTAAACAAATATGACAACTATCTTACTCTTTTTAACTACATCTCTTAGAGAAACATCATTATCATCCTGATCTTTTAAGATCATGTCTGGGATTTCATCGCCAACTTCCAAGTGAACCTCAGATTTAGCATTTTTTTCTATGTATTGTGGTTTGACCCTTGAAATTTTAGTCTTCTTTAACACAGGTTCTTCTTGAGTTTTCTCAACCCTTTCTGATCTCTTTTCAGCAATTCTGGCTGACCTACGTGGAGCTGTCATTATTTTATTATTATTATTAGTATAGAAGGTTAAACCTGTGCAAAAATTTCCTTTCTTCTTCGCTCTTCTTAGAAATATAATTTCCTAATTAAACACCAATAAAGACTAATAAGTTGACTGAATATATATGGGTTGAGAGTTTATAGATTCATTGTTTCTCTGAAGGAAGTTTTTAAAAATAGTCGACGATAATCATCACTCCCCCCCTTATCTTTTTTTTGGATACTCCAATTTCTAAGCGTTCGGGACAAAGCCAAAAACAAACAAATAATTATTTTTGATACTAGAATAATTATTAAGGGTCCTAAACTTATCTATACTTAAAAGAAAAATTCTGAACTTTACACTTTTGAAAATAATATTAAATCTTTGAGATGTAAGAAAACCATTAAAGTGATTCTATATATTACATAATATTACTTAGTTGATGACAGTCAGTGTAGTCAAATAGACTTATACAGTTTAAGAATTAATTTGTCATGGGAATGAATGTTTCTGAATATATATTGAAATGAAGATTGTATAAAATTAAGTTATTTCAATTCAATTATAATAGCATGGCGACGGCAGCAGCGAAAGCACCCATACCAGTGGTTAGTTGAGCAGCACCGTTCTTGGAAGAAGAAGAAGAGGAGGAAGCAGAAGAAGAAGAGGAGGAAGCAGAAGAAGAAGAGGAAGCAGAAGAAGAAGAAGAGGAAGCAGAAGAGGAAGAAGAGGAAGAAGAGGAAGCAGAAGAGGAAGCAGAGGAAGCAGAAGAGGAAGCAGCAGCAGAAGAAGAAGAGGAAGCAGCAGCAGAAGAGGAAGAGGAAGCAGCAGCAGAAGAAGAAGAGGAAGCAGCAGCAGAAGAAGAAGAGGAAGCAGCAGCAGAAGAAGAAGAGGAAGCAGCAGCAGAAGAGGAACCGGCAGCAGCACCACCAGCAGCAGTGTCAGTGAAACTGTGAGCAGATAGGTAAGATTCAATGATTGGCATCATTCTGGAGGAGTACCATGGTAGTCTTTGAATGACAGTGGTAACTTGAGCGAAGTTAATTTCAGTAAATAGAGAAGTGTAAGAGTCGTCACCGGCAGCGTAGGTAGTCATGTGTTCGTAAACATCCAAAACACCAGATGGAATAGTGAAGTCAGCATCGTTCATAGCTAGAGACATGTAATCTTTCAAATGAGCGTTGACATCGACCAACATACCTTCAAATTGAGCAACTTGGTATTCAGAGACTTCGTCGGCCATGACGGCAGCGACAGCTAGAGCTAGGACAGCAGTTAATTTCATAGACATTATGTGATGGGTATTTATTATCGTAATTAGATTGACAGATGATATTCAATTGAGTGAGATAAAAACCAAATTTAATATAAAAATTCCAAATACTAAAGAAAAATAATAAAGTGGGGGAAATAAATATACAATTTGAAACCAAATAACTTTAGAAAAAAGTTTCTAATATATATACTCGACTATCATTTCCCCTTGTTGTTTATTAATTAAACTAAAGAAAAACGGAAAAAACAAGACAACTAATACAAGAAAATGTAAGAAGATTTACGGAGCCCACCTACCTTGTACGAGGAATTATATTTTTTGTTCATGATGCAATGCATCTCAGTATACTAATACCAGCTCCATTTACTGCATAAGAAATATCAAAAACAAAAATAAAAACAATAAATGGTCAATAGTAACACCCACAGGTTTCTAACAATAACGTCGCCAACTCCCCCAAAAATACAACGTCTTGATGATGAAAATAGGACCACCAAGAAAAAGAAGAGTAATAAACCTCGAATAGTTATGGTTTACCGTCGTACAAAAAAAATTGTGCTATGTTTCTTCCTCATATCTTTATAAACTATGGACGTATTCCCACCTATGTAAAAAAAATAGAGCCTAGCATTTACATAATAAACAGAGAATGAGTTGAAACCCATTGACAATTCGAAGGCAGATCCCAATTTTTCAGCTGAAAAATTGTATTTCAATCGTCCCGGGTTGCCTGCGGAAAGGAAAAAAATTTCTTCAAAATTTGTTTACGAGAGATTTCCTAAAAAGGACACCCAGTTGCTCTTCTATTTCCTAAACGGGGTACGCTTCAAAGTATTACTTCTGCGGAGACTTCTTCGCAATTTGTAATAAAATTTCTTTCATCGTCATCGTACCTGAAAATTATTTCTTGGTAATAAATGTTACAATTTATTTTCAGATAATAAATAAGAAGTTTAGGTCGCTGGGTGACAGTTGTACGAGATTGAAGAATTCACTGAGCTTATTTTTTTCCAGATTACAGCCTGTTGATGTTGTTTTTGTAACACACAAATGTATTTTCTAATATTGGGTGCATGGTATAATTTGATGAGATGTTGAAGTACACGTAAAATAGCAATTGGCATCTTCATAGTAAGTAATGTTGTTGATCGTGGCTTGGAAGATAAATGTAATTAGTGGCGTAATTTTGACAATATATAGAGAGGTTGAATTTCGGGTCTTTGATTGATTTTATTTAACGAGGTCCGTTTGTTATCAAAATTTACCTACTTCATTGAAATAATAAAATAATGAATGGGTTCGAATCAGGTTATAACGCGACACTTAGTTGCACTATCCGAATAGCATTACTTGTCTTCTTAATTCTGAATTATATACCTTACTAAACAAGACTTCCTTGGAATATAGCTGACCTTAAGAAACGATAACCTCCAGATGAGCATAGTTATCAAAAAAAAGATTCATTAATTAGCGACAAAATTCGGTTATTCTAGCTCAATCTCAATACATATATATATACTTGTTATAGTTCTTGGTCATACATCCTGATTATATATATAAATATCATCTTTTGTTACCACCTCATATGCTATCTTACCACTTAATGGATCATAATCCAGAAACTTTATTGTTTCTTTTAGCTGAATTAAATACCCGAACAGGTTAAATGTGGACGCAATTTTGCTCTTGAAAAAAATCAGGCAATAAATGTCAGGATTGGTGGTATTTAATTGAAGTTTGATCATTAAATAATGATGTTCCCAAGATATAGATACGTTTAACATTTCAATTCAAAATTTGGTGTAAATTTTATCTCTTCCGTGTTAATTCTTTAAACTCCTGGATCATTAAAAATTCGTTATACTGATCGAATTCTTGAAAACAAAGCACAGGAATATCGCAGTTTCTTTCTCAACTTTCTTAGCAACACTTTCAACTAACTCAACTAAAATTTTGAAACTTTCATTTTCAAATATGGTAATCAGTTAGCCGCTCAGTTACGAATAAATCAATAGTTTGAATTCATCATACAAATTAAATTCAATCAAGATAAATGGCTATAGCAAGATTATGAACTCACTAACATTTCTTCGTCATATATCTCGCTACCGATTATATTCTGAATGTTGTGAGGTTACTTCAAAAAGAGTGATAATAACAAACATATATTTATGATGTAATGAGGAATCTGACCTTGAGAAGTTTTGTTTCAACTTTAAGAATTTGCCAAGATGGAATGCTTTACAAAAGCCGGTTCGTTTGAACCTAAGAAGAGAACAACTTTCATACATCTCCTTTAGTTCATCAACTCCTGGAGTCATCGAAAGTATATTGATAGAATTCTTGTTTCTTTTTTTGATATACTTACACAATCCATCATGATAGCTAATCAGAATAATTGAATAGTTCAATGAGTGTGTATGAGGTTGAAGAGGTTCACTACCCCTTCATTTTTCTTTAAAAAAAATTCTTCCAACAGCTTATTCTTTATTACCCATCTCCTGTAAACAAGGAATTTAGAGACCCTTCATTTAAGAAGAAAATAACAAGAGAAATAAGAAGAAAAGGAAAATGAACAGTTTCATTTTATTTTCAATCGGAGGTCAAATAGAAAACTAAAAGAATCCTTGAAAGAGTAATTCTATTTTAGCATATTATCTCAAATACTAGAGATCCGGTACCTTATCAATACATTCTGAAGTCGCTGCCAATAATAAGTTACAAATTCAATGTTTCTCACCCCCCCCCCCCGNCCCCCCCCCCCCCCGTTTAGCAATGCACATTATCTCACCAACACTATAAAACTATGAAGGTTTATTTTAATAATGGAATTCATATACTTGTATCCCTCTGGTTACCCAAATGGGAGGACAAATGACATTCTAAACGAGACTTAGAAACAAGGATAATAGATGGCTATCTCTACGGGATTTTTTTTCTTCTATTTACTCGTATACCAAACTTTGTTCGTTTGAGTAATCCTTTTAATCCAAGACATTAAATAAACAACAAACAATCCCTTAGTTACTTTCTCTAGTCAATAGAGTGTAGATCGTGGTTGCAACAAAACATCCGCGGAAAATCCTTGTTGCCTTCAATTTTTTCTCTTCGCTAAATTTTAGTGCAATTTGTCATCACACGGTACCTGGTCCTCAGATCTTGTTTCTTTTTGTGGCAGTTTTTGTGCTTTCTTTTCTTCTTTTTGAAAGTTTTTTATCCTTGAACGAGAACGAAATTGACCATTTTTAAAGCTGTCTTCATGTTTCAGGTATAGTAATAACGTAGGGGAGAGAGTACTAACTAATTTTTTTTCTTTCTAATCCCCTTCGCTTAAGTAAAGAAAAGTCTTGCCTCTAAATAGTATAAGTTTCTTTATTTCTGTCTGTGAAAGTTGATGTACTATGATTCCTAGTGAGGATATACATTTCAGATGCTTTCATATGGCAATTGTGTCTCTGTTTAATGATAATTTTCTACCTTTTTTATTTCTGCAGTCATATGGGGCAGAGGGAGAAAACTCTGCAGTTATGAAGTACTAATAAAGAAGAATTTTGATAAAAATAAAAAATTAATGACTGCGTGTGTATTTCGAGAAGCACGACATTAATAATCTTTAGATGAGCGTCTGAAAGCCACAGCTAAACAAATGAAAAACACGGTCGTATGAAATAAGGTAATGATACTAAAAACAAAAAACAAAAACAATAACAACAACAATAACATTTAAAATAAGCTTCCTTCTTCATTCCTCTTAATATTGCTCCATACCCTCATAAATTATTCAAATTTCTCTTTTTCCTTTTAAGTCGTGTGGACGCATCAAAGTATTCTAACCTAAGCTTTAATTTAGTAAAGAAGAGATCCCTTATATATAAGTAATTGCCTTTATGAAAACCAAATAATTTCCTTGCATACTACCTTCTATCATATTTATTTTTATATTTTTATTTCTAGTTCTATAGTAAACCATTTAATTTGTTCAATTGGACATAGGAAGCTCTCTTCATTTTTATTATTATATCCTATTCAATATTTTGTTTATTTTGTTGAAATAGCAGTTGAGAAGTGATTAAAACGAAAGATTTCTTCATCCATAAAATTGAAATTAACCAAGTTTAAAAATTAAACAATTATCATATACACAACTCATTTGATCTTTTTCCTTAACTTTTATTAATACCTTTCAGTTTATTTCTTCAAACTCTAATGTCTAATATTTCTAAATATTTTACGCCAGTCCCTGACGCCTCAGTGACATTCAATGGCGCTAATGTTGAATTAGGCAACGGTTTTGGTCATAAGGTCAACAACAAAGATCCAGAGGCTGATGTCATATCTGCTGCTGCCGCTGAAGGTTCTGAAGAACATATCCTTCACGATCTAACTTTCAGAACCTCACAAGGTGAAATGGTTCTTATTTTAGGTAAACCATCATCTCCATTATTCAATGCTCTTTTTCATGGTCACAAAAACCTAAAATACTCTCCAGAGGGCTCCATCAAATTTAAGGAAAACGAGTATAAGGCTTTCTCATCCACATGTCCTCAACAAATTATTTACAATAATGAACAAGATATTCATTTCCCTTTCTTGACTGTTGAACAAACAATTGATTTCGCTTTAAGTTGTAAATTCAACATTCCAAAGGAAGAACGTATTGCGTTAAGAGATGAATTGTTAAGGGAATTTGGTCTTTCTCATGTGTTGAAGACTTTAGTCGGTAACGATTATGTTCGTGGTGTTTCTGGTGGTGAGCGTAAGCGTATCTCAATTATCGAAACCTTCGCTGCCAATGGTTCCGTATATCTATGGGATAATTCTACCAAGGGTTTGGATTCTGCTACAGCTTTAGATTTCTTGTCCATTTTGCAAAAGATGGCTAGAGCCACTAGATCTGTTAATTTTGTTAAGATTTCGCAAGCATCTGATAAGATTGTTTACAAATTTGATAAAATTCTGATGTTATCTGACTCATACCAAGTGTTTTACGGTACTATCGACGAATGTATGACTTATTTCCGTGACTCTTTAGGTATTGAGAAGAATCCGAATGACTGTATAATTGAATACTTAACTTCTATTTTAAACTTTCAATTTTCAACCCAAAACATGAAATCACATTTGATTCCAAGATCCGAAATTGATTTATACAATTTATGGAAGGAAACTGAATATTATACTCACTGTAAGGAAGAAGTTGATGCCCATGGTGCCCCAGGTAATACTGACATTCCGGAAGAGGATACGACTCCAACATTTGCTATCTCTCTAACAAAACAACTAGATATCGTTACAAGAAGAGCATTTGATAGAAGTATTGGTGACAAATCATATTTGATTTCTCAATTTGTGTCTGTGGTTATCCAATCTTTAGTTATTGGTTCTCTATTTTATGACGTCGCAAAGACAACTATTGGTTCTTTTTCTAGAGGTTCTTTAAGTTTCTTCGCCATTTTATTCTTTACATTCCTTGCCTTATCTGATTTACCTGCTGCCTTCCAAAGACAATCTGTCGTTAGGAAACATGTTAACTTACATTTTTACTACAGTTGGGTCGAAACATTAGCATCTACATGTTTTGATTATACATTTAAATTCCTTTTGGTCGTTATATTTTCTATTATCTTATATTTCTTAGCTCATTTAAAGTTTGAGGCTGCAAGATTCTTTATCTTCCTGTTATTCCTGTCATTCTACAACTTCTCAATGGTTTCGTTATTTACATTAACTGCACTAATGAGTCCAACACTGTCCATCGCTAATCTGATCGCTGGTATTCTGTTATTAGCTATTGCTATGTACGCTTCTTATGTTATTCATTTAGAAGATATGCATCCATGGTTTATTTGGATTGCCTACTTGAATCCAGCTATGTTCAGTATGGAAGCTATCTTGAGTAATGAATTATTTACTTTGAAATTGGACTGTACAGAGAGTATTATTCCAAGAGGTGATGCATACGTTAACATCACTTTCGCTAATAAGGCTTGTGCTTGGCAAGGTGCTACTTTAGGTAACAATTACGTTAGAGGTCAAGATTATCTAAAGTCTGGTTTGAAGTACAAATACCACCACGTCTGGAGAAACTTTGGTATCTTAATTGGTTTCCTATGCTTCTACCTTTTCTTATCATTATTCGTTGCTGAATATATTACTCCATTATACACCAGACAAAATTTGCTAAAATTCCAAGCATACTTGAGAAGTCATGGTATCATTAGTGGTAGCGATCTTGAATTCGAGGAGGAATTATATAACGAGCCAATGGTATCTTCAAGTTCTTCATCCAGTTCTCTAGATTCTGTCCACAAAGAAAATCCTGAGGGTTCAAAAGATGAAGAAGACAAGAATATATCTAACGGTGAAAATGGAGCTACTGTTCAATCTCAAAAACACGTTATTTCATGGAAAAACATTAACTACACCGTAGAAGGTGACAAACAATTAATTAATGATGTTTCAGGTTATATTTCATCTGGTCTAACTGCCCTTATGGGTGAATCCGGTGCTGGTAAAACCACATTATTAAATGTGTTGTCTCAAAGAACCGAAAAGGGTCTTGTTACTGGTGAATTATTGATTGACGGTCAGCCACTAACAAATATTAGTGCTTTCAGAAGAAGTATTGGTTTTGTTCAACAACAAGATGTCCACTTAGATCTATTAACCGTCAAAGAATCTCTAGAAGTTTCTTGTAACTTAAGAGGTGATGGTGATATGGAATATCTGGCCTCTATTGCTAAGTTATTACGTTTACCTGCTGATAAATTGGTTGCCGATCTATCACCAACAGACAGAAAATTGTTATCTATTGGTGTCGAATTAGTTACTAAACCATCTCTATTATTATTCTTAGATGAACCTACATCTGGTTTGGATTCTGAAGCTGCTCTAACAATTGTTAAATTTTTAAAGAAATTATCTGAACAAGGTCAAGCCATTCTGTGTACTATTCATCAACCTTCTAAGAGTGTTATTAGCCATTTTGATAATATTTTCTTGCTAAAGAGAGGTGGTCAATGTGTTTACTTTGGTGATATTGAGAATGCTTGTGATTACTTTGTGCAACATGATAACTTGTTAACTTATGACCATGAAACTGAAAATCCTGCTGATTTTGTCATTGATGTTGTAGGTGGTAAAGTACGCGATGGTGCATCTAATAAAATAGACTGGACAAATGCTTGGCAACAATCCCCACAAAAGGTTGAAATTTTCAAGACGTTAGATATCCTAGAGACTGACGCTCGTAATTCGAATGTCGATTTTACTACTTCCGCTTGGACTCAACCTTCTTACATGGCTCAATTGAGATACATCATTAAAAGACAATATATTTGTACAAAGAGAGATAAGGTTTACGTGATTTCTAAATTTGGTTTAAATGCTGGTGCTGGTCTATTTATTGGGTTCTCATTCTGGAGAACAAAAAAAAATATTGCTGGTTTGCAAAACGCTATTTTCTTAGCTTTTATGAATATGTGTCTATCATCTCCATTGATCAATCAAGTTCAAGATAAAGCTCTACAATCTAAGGATGTCTTCATTGCAAGAGAAAACAGATCTAATACTTACCACTGGACCGTCTTATTAATTGCCCAAACAGTCGTTGAATTACCTTTGGCCATTGGAAGTTCCACATTGTTCTTCTTATGTTGTTATTTCTGTTGTGGTTTCTCAAATGCACCACATATTGCTGGTGTATTCTACCTAAACTATATTTTATTCAGTGCTTACTACCTAACTTTTGGTCTTTGGTTGATGTATTCCGCCCCAGATTTACAAACGGCTGCTGTTTTTGTCGCTTTCTTGTACTCCTTCACCGCATCCTTTTGTGGTGTTATGCAACCATATGCTTTATTCCCAGGTTTCTGGACTTTCATGTACAGGGTTTCTCCATACACATATTTCATTGAAACATTTGTTAGTTTACTTCTGCATGATAGACCCGTCGTTTGTGAAAATAGTGAATTGGTCCCAGGTCAACCTTTAATGGGTCAAAATTGTGGTGAGTTCATGGCTCCTTACATCGCTGAATTCGGGGGTTACTTAAAAAATCCAAATACATTTACTGTTTGTGGTTACTGTACATACACTGTGGGTGATGACTTCTTAGAAGTTGAAAACATGAGTTACCATCATAGATGGAGAAACTTTGGTCTAGAAATTGTTTTCGTAGTCTTCAACTTTTGTGCAATGTTCGTAGGTTTCTACTTAACCTACATAAAAAATGTATGGCCAAGTGTTTATGCTTGGTGTATGAAGGCTACCGGTCTAAACCGTTTACTAAAATTGGATATTAATTCAAACGGTAATTACATTGATGAAAATGGCGTTTCAGCTGAAAAGGAAATCTTAGAAAAACCTGATTCTTTCGATGCCAGGGAGGAATATATTAATGATCCTGTTGCCCAATCAATGGAAATGGTTCCTGATTATATCGAAGAACCTGATAGCAATGCTGCTGCATCTGCTTCCATCGAACAACCATTTGCTACACCTTTGGAAACTCCAAGTGTTGTACAAACTGAAGGAAACAAGTTGTAGGTTGGTAAAAGCCGATAATTCCACTATTTAAAATCGAAATTTAGCGTTATCATATTCTGTATTCTAGTTCATTAAATGGCCTGTTAGACTGGCCATCTCTACATTTAATCTTTAACAAACTCAAGGTAACTATATAAATAAGCACATATAGCTATTTGTATAAATAATAACATTAATTAATACCCATTAAAAGAAAAACAATATCGTAACAAAATATGTGAAACACTATTTACACGATTCTATTTCAATTGAAAAGGCGATAGTATATTCCATCAATATTGAGATCTATTCATTCCATATGCGTGATATATAATTGTAAATATTTTTTTCATCATCGTCAAATCTAATAATCTTTCCATTAGTAATCTCTGCACCTGAAGTATCCTCCGTAACAAATGCACAATACATATAATTACTACACTCATTAATTTGTTTCCAAGGACTGAGGAAAGGATCTGGAGATATAAAGCCTTCTATCGTTATTGGTGAGTTGTATATACCTTCCAAGTTTTCGATTGTCTTATATCTATCTGTATAGTACGACTCATCTTTAATGAAATCGTGCTCTGCAGAGTTCGAAATTTTGCAAGTTCTCAATCCACCATTTGTCCAAACTAACCTATTATCTGCATTACTATGAGCGATCTGAGTTGCACATATGTATGCCTTCTTGGACAATGTTTGATCGTCAGTATACTCCCCAATACTACCAACTATACCACCTTCAAATGGATCAATTGTATAATCTTCGCCGGCGAATAATTCTCCCAACCAGAATATTTCTTTATCACCATAAACACATCTTTGCATTTTTCCGTCCAGATGAAGCAAAAAAGACATCAATAGACCATTCAATTTTTTAAGTTTGTTTATTATAACCAAGCCACTGTCAACATGATGGAGCCGCAAATCATTAAAGAAGTTTTGGTATACTTTTGCTTCTGTTGAAACTATACTTCCAGTATGTAGACTATCAATAAACAGACTAGATCCTAATAGGTCTCTTTCCTGTTTGGAAGGATTCATATACGCCAACATCTCAGTACAATATTGGAATGTATACTCTTCTGGCATTGTTCTATCTTGATACATATATATCCCCGTAGTTTGATAATCAGGGATGCTAAAAAATGATGTCGTATTCTCAAATACTACAGCATCCACATCAATAAACATGGATTCGTCAAAAGTGTTCATGATAACTGCTACCCATTTATTAAAGAAATTTTTAATATATTTTTCAGTAAATGCAGAATCAAAAAATGGCGAACAATCAACAATAAATACCTGTTGATGCGATACCTTTGAGGCCTTTGCTAGCTCTTCGATAAACTCAGTTGTAAGACCATGTCCTGTTGATACCACCTGAATAGGTAATGTGTTATTCAGTTTTTGAAATATCTTTAGTTGTCTTGAAAATGTAGCTATATCCGATGGAGCCATTGTAGATACGATACCTTTCCCTTCGGATTGCTTCAACCAATTGACCCAAAAATTTACATTGAACTCAAGAGGTGTTATATCAAAAAATTTAGATTCCATATCATTCATTTTGTTGACTTTTAAACCTGTCGTTAGATCTAGAACATCTGGCCACATATACTTAGATTCTTTCTTAAAATCTTTATCAAGGAATGGAAACATTCTAGACTGATAATCCCAAGCATCAATCCCCTTATCTTTAAAAATACTCGAATCAAAAACTTCTGTTAAACTTAAATTCCCTTTGAAGAAGCAATAGTCATATGTTCGCATTCTCTCACCCAACAGTCCGATCAATGAATTATCCAAACCATCGTTAGCATAGAATTTCAATGTATCTCGATTACTCCATTGCGGTTGCTTAAAATACATTGACGATATAATAATTTGGCATTTCTTTACTCTATCTGATCTCGAGTTTTGAGCTTTCCAATTCATAATAAGACGATCTTCTGCCTTAAAAATAGATGGACCAAAGTCACCTAAGGAAACAATCCTCTTAATAGATGTCCAAATATCAGTTTTGAGTATTTCATTCCTCCTCTCATAAATAATTTTAAAAGGAGAATGGAGAGTCGAATCTCTATAGTTTTTTAACAGAGACTCCGTACCATTAATAGCAATTCTTGTTCCTTGAACAGTTTTATTACGACTGATCGAGACATGATATATTGCATAGAATATCAAGAACAATAACAAAAATCTCAAGTTCAATAAGCGTTTCAAACGTAATCTAAACATTAGCTCATATATAAAATCAATTCTTTACCATGTTTGTAGAACCTTTGAACGATAAAAAAAAAATTATAGGAAAGATATCGTCGTTGCAAATATATCTCAAAATACAGCTACACACATCTCAAAAATATTTTTAAAAAATAAAAATGCTTTCACTCGGAGTTGAACCGAGGATCTCCACATTACTAGTGTGGCGCCTTACCAACTTGGCCATAAAAGCAGCTAATTTATATAAATGTATCTCTAATTAGGATTTATGACACCTTTCAAATGGATTAGAGTTCATGTTATAATATAGATGTTATAATTGTTAAACAGAGTTGCTGTTGTTAAACTGCTCATCTTTTGTGCATAGTAACGTTGGACTATGTAGCTCCAATAAACCCAATGTAGGGAGAACGAATACTACATTATGCAGTATATATCATGTGTTATTATTGTTGACGTAGATTGGCAAGAGAGTAGATCCTGTTGAATATGTAGCGGCAGCACTAAAAAGGCTAACATTAGCTTAACCTAACTGAAGGTGAAGGTAGCTAATATAAGTAGAATTTAGAGTGTGCTGCACTACTGTCGGAAATATATTATAAGAGGGATAATGACCAAGGTTGTGATCTATTGATAGATTCATCCCGCAATGACTTAACGATAGGTTCATCCCGCAATGATCTAACTATAGGTTCATCCCGCAACAACTTAATAATAGATTACTTACGCCACTATCGAGTGAGTTTATAATCACGACAACAAGAAATCCAACATATATAAATGGAACAATATTTCATTTATGAATATAATTGTTTCCATAATTTACTTTATACATTTTTATATAAGATATAAAAAGATCAGACGACTATAAGTTGATTTTGTAATATAATAAAATTTGTTCAGTTAAATAGAAGATGTCTAATTTACAATTTTCCCATCATGGTAGCGATCAATCAGCTCAAGCTAACAGTCGTGATGGCACTGCTCAAGATCCCGCTGCTGATAATTCATCTGGTTCCATTAATGACCATTTTTCTAAACTGAATTTATCAGAGCAAACAGACGCTTCCACTGCCGCCAACGATGCTCATCTTCCACACACTGACGACTCAACTACTATCGGTCACGATGCTCATGCAGCATATGGTCAGTCGTCGCCCAATTTATTACCGCAACAGCAATATATCCCAGGATATAGTATTCCATTTCATGGTCATCCTGCTTATACCGCTGCTCCGTATGGTTTTTCTTATCCACCTGGTTACCCAATGTATCCAGGGCATCACGCCTCTTTCCCAATGTCTGATGTTTCCTATCAATATCCACCTGGTTTTTCAATTCCTCCAGGGCATCAACCCTCCTTCCCAATGATTGGTGTTAATTCTACCTATCCTGGATATCCTCCATCTAGTTACACATATGCTGTGCCTTCTATGCCACAGACTTCCGATACTGATACCTTAGGCTCTGAATCCCAAAACGATCAACCTAAGGACAAACAGCAAAGAACCTATACTTCGCCAAAAGAATCACCTGTAGTGGTTCAACCTGTTGCTAAATTCCATACACCAGTTCAAATTTATGGTTCTCCACAACTACAAATTGTTTCTTCAAAAACTGGTTTCAATACCTGGATATTCAACTTTATTTCAGTCTTAAAAGAGTATGGACTGACTGATATAATTCCAGGACCACGTGGTCATTCGAAACGTTCTCCTACTACAACTGAACGTCAGAATATTATCTCTACATTCCATTATTATGTGAAGGATGAATTTGTGCCAGAATGGTTTTTCTCAAACTCCAACGATACTTTCGAATCAGTTAAAAGAGCCATTCAATTACAACAAGCACAGAACGATTCCTCTCAATTATGGCATGACTTAAAGGCCCTATCATACGATGGCACTAAGGATGCATTTCCTTTTGTGACCAAAGTTAGGTCCATCATCCAACGTTTCTCCAATCCCGACGCTGATGAGACTGTCACTCTAATAAAGACAGCTATTTTATCATCATTATCCGGCACATGTCTATCAATTGTCAAGACATATGAAAAATTGGAGCATGACTATTCCCTTGACCAATTATTAGATGATATCCAATATGAATACGATTTCAATTCGAAATGCAAACTCATTTTGAGCTGAAGCAGACATACTGTGGTTAGACTTATATTCGTTCATATTATATAGTGGCAGGTAGAGAGGTTGATGGCATAGCTTGAGTTTTAATGTTAGGTAAGCAAAATATAATTGTTATCTCTCTCTTATATTTGTCAGTGATTTTTTATATTATATATAATTTATAGAACGAATAGAATCTAACTCAGAATGTAAGTTCAGAATTCTCTGTCTTTATATATTATTTATTTTCTCAAAAAACTGTTTCTCTAATTCTTTCTTAATAAAATATTACCTAATGAATTATTAAGTAAAAACCATTATTACCTAATTTTTACGTAATGAAATTATTAGGTAATAAATTACTAATTAATGGGAATGTTATTACCTAATTATTACGTAATTCTTCATTCTTATTTGGACATTTTAGATATCTCAATTCCACATAATTTCTGTCACTTTTCATCCTCTAAAAGGTCTCCAACTAAACCTTCCGGTACCATTATGTGCAAGTATTGTAATAAATCAGGACACACTATCGAAAACTGCTATTCAAAAAAGAACCAAGAAAATGGTTCACGATCAACTGGTAGACAGAAAAGACCAGTTCGTAAGAACAACAATATCAATTTACGTTCTTCCATTACCTCTTCGAATTCTGATTCTTCTCATTCACTTAGGCCTACTTCAACATCTTCCATAGTTGCAATTGTCAAGAACTCTGTTAATAATGTTCAATCGTCGACTTTTACCTTTGATGTTGACAAGTACATTTTACTAGACAACGGTTCCAGTATCACATTAATCAATGATGTTGACTTACTGCACGATGTGACATATGACTTCGCCGTACCTCATATTGCCACTACTCAAAACCATCGTCTTCATGCCAGAGCTCAAGGTACATTAAAACTTCATCTCCATAATAACAAAGAGATATCTGTTAACGCCTATTTCGTCCCAGAAATTGTGGATAACATATTAAGTGTTCATGATTTAGAGGAACAAGGTGTCTACCAGAATCCCAAAATACGAGTGTTAGAAAACAAAGATGGTATTATATTCGCTGACTACACTAAATTCGATTCACTTTGTTGGTTATCAAATCGCCATATTATTTTTCCTCGCGCTTTGCCTTTAAGCAAAGTGAATCATTTAGTACATAAATATCCATTGGAATTAGTTCATCGGCTATTCGGTCACGTTAACGTTGAATCTTTGCGTCAATCATTCTTAAAGAAGACGTTCAAACATCTCACGTATAACGACATTGATTGGACTGGTTATTCCTCATTTCAATGTGTAGAATGTGCCCAAGGTAAAGCTAAAGTACACAATCACATAGAAGGAGCCCGATTAAAATATCAAGAGAGATATAAACCTTTTGAATACATTCACTCTGATATATTTGGTCCAGTACCTTCATCATCCATTGCAAAATACTTTATCACATTTATTGATGAGCACACCTCTTACAGATGGATTTTCCCTTTAAAAGATAAAAATTCAGAAACTATTCTCGATATCACAGTTTCACTGGTCAATACCATCGCTCGCCATTTTGATACTCAGGTTAAGGCATTTCAATTCGACCATGGATCCGAATATACTAATAAGATCATGGTTCAATACTTAAACGAATCTCGAATCCAATATTTCTACTCCACTGTGGGTGACTCACGTTCCCATGGCGTCGCTGAAAGAATGAATTTAACCTTTCTAAATGACTGTCGTACATTGTTGAAAGCTTCTCATCTACCTCCTCACTTATGGATTTACGCTGTTCAATTCTCTGCTATTGTTCGAAATGCTGTTTATAATAAACGGATTAACACTTCCCCTCAAGCTTTAGCAGGTCTCCCTGCCCTTGATGTCACCACTATTTTAGGTTTTGGTCAACCAGTCAGTCATTGTACATCTATCAAAAACTGCCTCTAAACTTCACTATAGAGGTGAACAAGGATATGCATTGTGTCCATCCACACATTCTTGCGGTTATATGATATATATTCCCAAGAATCACAAAATTGTAGACAGCACTAATTATACTGTTCTAAGAGCTGACATTCACATCGAAGTTGATCAGGAATATGACTCTGATATATTTGATGATATGATTAATAAAGTTACCAGTAATGAAGAATATCAAATGATTAAAAATCCTCATACCCCTTCTACTTCCGACAAAGCTGATCTACCTATTGAAAACGACATTATTGATGCTTTATTCCCAGACGATATTCAAACCCAAAATGAAACTTCCATTCCGGAAGAAACTGCTACTACTATTCCAGAAGACATTGACCATTCCAGTCATGAAGATATTGATACTTCTATCCCAATCAGAGATGATCCTCCTATTTTAGCCCCTCAAGCGATCCCTGAAATATTAGAACCATCCTATGACTTACAATCCGATCTAGACGAATTTTTAGAATCCATCGAGAAATCGGATACAAACAATAAAGAGATCTCTTCAGATGAATTACCAGACGAAGTTATCGAAAACTCACCAACTGAAAATGAAACTATTTCTCATGATTCTGAATCTTCTACCAATTCGGGTGGTATTAATTATGGTATGCTACAAGACAACGAAAAAGAGTTACTAAACCGTAAAAGGATAAGGTCCTATGATGGCAATAATGATGAAACTCATAAAGATGGAATTGGTAGGAAGGATACATCATATAAGAAACAAAAATATTCAATTAATTTTATCAAGGCGATCAAAGGGATAAAAAAGAAGATAAATTCAATAAACATTAATCCATTATCTACTGCAGTATACTACAATAAGCCAATTGCATATAATGAAAATTCAGTGGAAAAGAAACTGTTTGAAAAAGCATATGAAAAGGAAATTACACAGCTGAACAAAATGAATACGTGGAACACAACACCAATCGACGCCTCAACAGTAAATCCAAAAAATATTACAAGCTCTATGTTCATTTTTACAGTAAAAAGAGATTATGAACACAAGTGTAGATTAGTTGCTAGAGGCGATCTTCAAAAAGAATCTACGTACAACCCAGAACTAGTAGCCAATACTGTCCACTATTATGCTCTAATGACATGCTTATCAAATTGTCTATCTAATAATTTTGATATCATTCAACTGGATATTAGCTTTGTTTACCTTTATGCTAAACTTGAAGAGGAGTTGTACATCAAAGCACCACCCCATATGGGACTGAGTAACAAGGTGTTCAAATTACAACGATCCTTATATATGGTCTTAAGCAATCCAGAGCTAACTGGTACAAACTAATAAATGAAAAAATTATATGGGAGCAAGTTATCTCAAACGTCCTAAAAAGAAACTAGAAACCCTTCGTAAAAAGGTTTAGAAGTCGAGATCACCACCACTGATACTGTTTTATGTGAAAGAATCGTTGAACAACTATTTGGTCCACTTAAACGAATTGCTGATAATCACGATCGTAACTATACAACTACTAAATTAACCGATCTGTCAAATGAAATTCAACGAGTCTACAATAGACTAATCAAAAACAGAAGAAAATATGCTGCTATCGACACAGTTGTCGCTGTGAAATAATAAATCTTCAAATAGATCTTTTACCGAAAAAACTACTGCTCTCAAATATGTACCAAAGAATGTTACCGAAGTCAAAAGCTAAACGATTATTCCATATTCAACAGTCAGATCTATCCAGTGAAGCTCTTAGGTCACTCGAAGTGTAAACTAAAGGATTTATTGATTGTAGATTCGGGTGCTGAAATATCTGTTGTGCGTGACACTTCACCTCTAATAAACCTGAGCTTCAATCCCTCAGACCAACTTCTTGGTGCGGGGATGAAGTACTCAACGTAGACGCTGCTGGTACTTTATGTTTAAAATTTGGAAAAACGACTATCCGTGTCAAGGCATTGGCCTCCCCAGATACATCCTGTAATTTAATCTCTCTACACGATCTGGAAAGAACTGGTTTAATTATAGACCTCCAACATCGTGCATTTCTAAATAAAAATGAAGAAAAAATTGAGGACATCATCGATTGTGGACGCTATATCTGTCTACCACTTAGCCTGATCCAAAACACATCGAAGAAACATAAAGTCCACCATGTCTCACATAAACTTTCTAGGACTTTTCTACATCGTCTCTTTGGCCATATCAATATCAAAACAATTAAAGAGACAATCCGTAACAAACTTATCAAAAACATTCAGTTATCTGATGTCGACTGGTCAAACATTGACAAATTCCAGTGCACCGATTGTATGAAAGGTAAAGCTACCAAACATAAACATATTGTTGGTTCCCGCTTAAAATACCAAAACAACTACGGTCCATTTGAATACCTTCACTCTGATCTATTCCGCCCAGTTACTGGTGTCTCTGCTGTTTCTCCAACTTATTTTATTTCATTCACTGATGAAGCTACTCGATTTCGATGGGTATATCCCTTAAAAACTAAGTCTGCTGATTCAATATACAATGTTTTCGACCACTTAGTGAGACAAATTCACACCCAGTTCCAAACAAAAGTTTTATCTTTTCATATGGATCGTGGGTCTGAATACACTAACTCCGACATGCTCGATTTCTTTCAAAAACATGGTATCATCCCGATCTATAGTTCCACAAGTGATTCATCCTCAAATGGTGTTGCTGAAAGAAGCAATCTCACCTTCTTAAATGATTGTCGTACGCTACTAGTTGCTAGTCATCTTCCAAACAGTTTATGGTTTAATGCTGTAGAATTTGCCACTCTTATGAGAAACGCTTTTATAAATTCTACCAACTACCTCTCACCCCGCGGCAAAGCGGGACTTGTTAGTTTAGATGCTAGTACTATTCTACCGTTCGGCAAGAAATGGTCGTTCTCAATCACGAAGTTAAGAACAAATTACACCCAGAGGTATTACTGTAACGCTCTCTCTCCTTCCAAGGAATCTCATGGTTATTTAATTTATATTCCTGCCAATAAACAGGTCATTGACACTGCCAATTATTCGCTTGTAAAAAATTCTACCAACGACCAAACACCTAAACAACAATCCGTTTTTGATGACTTAATTACCCATCCCCTGGGGATCCATAGATAACAGTTACCCAGGGGATGGGTACATAAATTTGGGAAGTATCGTTAATGGTAACCCGGTCCGTTTTCACTAAGGTACGACAATTTTCTGAAGAAAAGTTTCAACGTATGATAGAGAGACATAAAATATGAGTTTTAAAAATTTCATCTGATTTAGAAAAAGATGTTCCTTTATATAATGAAGGATTCACTGATCCGCCGCGCTGTTAAATAAAACTATTTTTTCACTAAAATTTGTTTCATCATGAGAATAAGCACAACCATAATTTAATATAATGTTAATCTAATAACAACTTATAGATGAGCTGAAGCTCGCATAAAAGAGTTTGTGCTGAAGCAGACATACTCTTGTTAGACTTATAATCGTTCATTATTATTGACAGAAATTATGTGGGATCAATATATCTCGAATGTGTTATGAAGCGCGTTATAGTATGAAACAAATATTACGTAATGATTAGATAATATGAGAAGCAGATTGTCGAGAAAATAAATAATATATAAAGACAGAGAATTCTGAACTTACATTCTGAGTTAGATTCTATTCGTTCTATAAATTATATATAATATAAAAAATCACTGACAAATATAAGAGAGAGATAACAATTATATTTTGCTTACCTAACATTAAAACTCAAGCTATGCCATCAACCTCTCTACCTGCCACTATATAATATGAACGAATATAAGTCTAACCACAGTATGTTTGCTTCAGCTCAGTTATTATATATACGGCAGTGCAGCACACTCTAAATTCTACTTATATTAGCTACCTTCTCCTTCAGATAGGTTAAGCTAATGTTAGTCTTTTTAGTGCTGCCGCTACATATTTAACATATTTAACATAATCTTTATAGAAATGACAATCGTTCCCGATCCTGATTCTCTTAGGATCTACTCTCTCGCCAATCTACGTCAACAAACTTCAGCTCAAATGGAAAGATAAAAATACTTGTATTTTAGTTACCCGGATCCCATATTTATGTTACCTTGTTATTATTTCTTTTATGAAGCTATAAACAAAGCCTTGTTGGCGCAATCGGTAGCGCGTGTGACTCTTAATCACAAGGTTAGGGGTTCGAGCCCCCTACAGGGCTCTTTTTAGCACTTTTTAAATTTTTTATTATTAACGGTTGTCGATAGAAATGACATATTTTGGAGAGGAAAAAATGGAGTTCCCAAACTGAATCTGAATGACGTGGAAAACAAAAACACAAATTAGCTCTGCTCTATTATCCAACAAAAACCATCTTCTTTTTATTAAATATAAATTATTAAAGAGTTATCCCATCTGATTTCTTTCTGAGTAATTTTTGTCATTTTAGTTTTGATACCATACAACAAAACTATTGATAACTCTGGTGATCGTTATTGTTAATAGTTTATTTTGGAATTTTTTTTTCTCCTTTACATAAACAATTGTTAGCAAAATTTCTTGGTTCTATTTTCAATCCTCCTAACTACTTTGGAATTCCCTGTATGAGTGGTTTAAAGTCCCAAGTTGTACGCCATATAGTCTCTCAGTGACACATCACTGTTTACGACATATCACCATAGACGACCATGGGAAATATTTTCAGCAGATCACACGGCGAGAAGCGATGAGTAAACCATTGTCTTCTCGATCGTGAACAGATTTATAACCCCCAGAGCAGTTAACTATCAGACATTCCTAATGAAAACGGTTCCCCAAATTGGTGTTTGAGTTTCTACATTGTTTAAAAGTTAATAAACTATATAATAAATACATCATACCATTATGAAAAATCCTCTGAGTAAAGAGTACTGGACAGAAGTCGTCGATGGCTTTAGACCAGCCGAGATCGGGAACCAAACGACAAACAACAATGACAGTGGTAGTGAAATGGAATTAACAACAGACCCTACTATATCTGACTTACCTGCTGGTGAGAGTAGTGCGTTTTCTCAGACTGAGAAGAAATTATCAGCAACAACAACATCACACCTATTTCATGGTGACTCCAAAGATGGTCTACGTTTGACTCAAACTACTAACGACGTTACATCTACGGCAACTCACGAGAAACTAAAGGATGTTGGAATGAACAAAGACCTAGATGTGCGTCATTTAATTACACTAGCTGTAGGTGGTGCTATTGGTACGGGTTTATTTGTTAACTCTGGTGCCTCATTGACTACAGGTGGCCCGGCTTCATTAGTCATCGGATGGGTCATCATTTCTACCTGTCTTTTCACTGTTATTAATGCACTTGGTGAACTTGCGGCTGCTTTTCCTATTGTCGGTGGTTTTAATGTGTATATCACAAGATTTGTTGACCCTGCACTAGGGTTTTCCATTAATATCAATTATTTAGCTCAATGGTTAGTCTTATTACCATTAGAACTTGTTGCAGCTTCAATTACTATCAGATACTGGAACGAAGAAATTAATTCAGATGCTTGGGTTGCAATCTTTTACACTGTTATTGGTTTGGCCAACATGTTGGATGTCAAATCCTTCGGTGAAACCGAATTTGTATTATCAATGGTGAAAATTCTTGCCATTATTGGATTTACCATCCTGGGTATTGTATTAACCTGTGGTGGTGGTCCAAAAGGTGGATTTCTAGGTGGTAAATATTGGCATAACCCTGGGGCTTTTGTAGGGCATAGCTCTGGCTCAAAATTTAAAGGTTTGTGTTCAGTGTTTGTTACGGCTGCATTTTCTTATTCAGGTATTGAAATGACTGCTGTGTCAGCTGCAGAATCAAAAAATCCAAGAGAAACTATTCCAAAGGCTGCTAAGAGAACTTTTTGGTTGATTACAGCATCATATGTTACCATTTTAACACTTGTTGGTTGTCTGGTTCCTTATAACGATGCAAGGTTGTTGAAAGGTACTTCTTCGGTCGATGCTGCTTCATCACCTTTAGTTATTGCCATAGAAAATGGTGGTATTAAAGGTCTACCATCCTTGATGAACGCTATCATCCTAATTGCTATTATCTCGGTTGCAAATAGTTCCGTTTATGCTTGTTCTAGATGTATGGTTGCCATGTCCCACATTGGTAATATTCCAAAGATGTTTAGTCGTGTTGATAAAAAGGGTAGACCATTGAATGCAATTTTAGCAACATTATTCTTTGGGTTGCTATCTTTCATTGCTGCTAGTGACAAACAAGAAGAAGTCTTCACATGGCTAAGTGCATTGTCTGGTTTATCAACAATTTTCTGTTGGATGGCCATTAATCTATCGCATATTAGATTCAGACAAGCTATGGTTGCACAAAACATATCCTTAGATGAACTTCCATTCATCTCGCAAACTGGTGTCTGGGGTTCATGGTATGGTTTCGTTGTTCTTTTCCTAGTTTTGATAGCATCGTTCTGGACTTCATTGTTCCCTGTTGGTGGTTCTGGTGCAGACGTTGAGTCCTTCTTTGAAGGTTATTTGTCATTCCCAATCCTAATTGCTTGCTACTTTGGTCACAAGCTATGGTTCAAGAGGAAACAACTCATGGTGAATCTAGATGAAATGGATCTAATCTCAAACAGAAGACCAGTTGATCTTGAGTTGCGTCGCCGCGAGATGGCTCTGGAGAAGGAAGCACTTGCCAAACGTTCGTTCTGGTTCAGGTTCCTCCACATCTGGTGTTAGATAGACCAGGTCGTAATAAATACTTTCTCTTACATACACATACGCATACGCATTCATACTCACATATATAATTTATTGTAATAATTAAACTCAACATACTATAAATTACTGATAGATAGGAAGTTTTATCGATGGAGTTTGATATGATGAACGTTACCCTCACGGACCTTTTTTTTTTGTTTGTATAGAAATCGCTTGAAGTTTGGGCCTTTTTATCGATCACCGCAAAAAAAAGTTATGAATTTTCGTCGAAAGAAAATTACTGAAAATTTTTTCATTGATTGGGTCATCATTAAGTAGATCTTTTGCAATTTAAAGAGAGTACAAAGGGGGAAGAAGACAACTAAAAGGGAAATATTGTTACTTGAAAGGAATTATTAGCAGCAATTGTTATAGTAAGAGAAATTAATCCGTTGTGTGTATTTGAAAATGTCAATTAACCACTGTAGATTTTATGAAAACAAGTACCCTGAAGTCGATGATATCGTCATGGTGAACGTCCAGCAAATTGCTGAGATGGGTGCTTATGTGAAGTTACTGGAATATGATAACATTGAAGGTATGATTCTGCTTTCTGAATTATCTCGTAGACGTATTAGATCCATCCAGAAGTTGATCCGTGTTGGTAAGAACGATGTGGTGGTTGTTCTAAGAGTCGACAAGGAAAAAGGTTACATTGATTTATCAAAGCGTCGTGTTTCTTCTGAAGATATTATTAAGTGTGAAGAAAAGTATCAAAAATCCAAGACTGTACACTCTATTCTAAGATACTGTGCCGAAAAGTTCCAAATCCCATTAGAGGAACTTTATAAGACCATCGCTTGGCCGTTGAGTCGAAAATTCGGTCATGCTTATGAAGCTTTCAAACTTTCTATTATCGATGAGACCGTCTGGGAAGGTATTGAACCACCATCTAAGGATATTCTAGATGAATTGAAGGTATATATCTCCAAGAGATTAACTCCACAAGCTGTTAAGATTAGGGCCGATGTCGAAGTTTCTTGTTTCAGTTATGAAGGTATTGATGCCATTAAAGAAGCCCTAAAAGCTGCTGAAGTTTTAAGTACTGAACAAATGTCTATCAAGGTTAAGCTTGTTGCTGCCCCATTATATGTTATTACTACACAAGCTTTAGACAAACAACAAGGTATTGAATTATTAGATAAAGCTATTGAAAAGATTAATGAAGTTATTGGTAAATATAACGGTGTTTGTAACATTACTATGGCTCCAAAGGCTGTTACTGCTACTGAAGATGCCGAGTTACAAGCTTTATTAGAAAGTAAAGAGCTAGATAACAGATCAGACTCTGATTCTGATGAAGAGAACTCTGATTACGAATAAATTTAAAAATGGAAAATCATTATTAATTAAATACTTACTTAACAACCATTTCACTACTTACATACCTCTAGCACATATTTTTAATAAAAAACGTAAAAGATATAAAATATACATATACGTCTAACGACAATTCATAACTTAATCATTTACTAACTAATTAGTTGTTGTGGTTTTTTAAATACTTAAAGACTTAAATTTTTACCATTGTTCTAGTTCGTTTTTATAGCATAAATTTATAAATTAAAAAAACTACATAAGTATAAAGACTTAAAAAATCAAATATATTAAATCGTTATAAAGTTTTGTGATCATTAAAGGTTAAATTTGTTTTTTCTTAACAAAAGGGGGAGAGATATAATATTAGTAATCAAAATAATAAAAAGTAAATTTTTGGATTACATTAAATTAAACTCTTTTAGTTGGCAGCGATGTGTTCAACTAAATCAACGACTCTAGTAGAGTAACCATATTCATTATCGTACCAAGAGACCAACTTAACGAACTTTGGAGATAATTGAATACCAGCAGCGGCATCGAAGATGGAAGAGTGAGAGTCACCTAGGAAATCTGAAGAGACAACAGCATCTTCAGTGTAACCAATGACACCATTGGACTTAGCAGCAGCAGCCTTCATAACCTTCTTGATTTCATCATAAGTAGTTTCCTTTGATAACTTAACAGTCAAATCGACAACAGAGACATCGACAGTTGGGACTCTGAAAGCCATACCAGTTAACTTACCGTTCAAAGCTGGTAGAACTTTACCGACAGCCTTAGCGGCACCAGTAGAAGATGGAATGATGTTACCGGAAGCGGTTCTACCACCTCTCCAGTCCTTGTGAGATGGACCATCGACAGTCTTTTGGGTAGCAGTCATGGAGTGAACAGTAGTCATTAAACCTTCATCGATACCGAAGGCATCGTTGATGACCTTAGCCAATGGGGCCAAACAGTTAGTGGTACAGGAGGCATTTGAGACGATAGTTTGACCAGCGTATTCGTTTTCGTTGACACCCATGACAAACATTGGGGCGGAACCAGATGGAGCAGTAATGACAACCTTCTTGGCACCAGCATCCAAATGCTTTTGAGCAGTGTCTAATTCCTTGAAGACACCAGTAGAGTCGATAGCGATATCGACCTTAGAGGCACCCCATGGCAAATTAGCTGGGTCTCTTTCTTGGTAGACGGCGATCTTGTGACCATCGATGATAATGTGCTTAGCATCGTGAGTGACTTCACCAGCATATCTACCATGAGTAGAATCGTACTTAAACATGTAAGCAGCGTAATCAGTAGAAATGAAAGGATCATTGACGGCAACAACTTCGATGTTCTTTCTGCTTAAAGCAATTCTTAGAACTAATCTACCGATTCTACCGAAACCGTTAATAGCAACTCTGACCATGATTTAAAAAGTAATTTAGTGATAAAGGGGATGATTTGGAAAGTAAACTTTTGAATGTTAGATTGATGTTCTTACACTAGAAGTTTTCTGGTGATCTTGAATTGAAAATTAATAAAAATAAAAAATAGTTGAATATAAAAAATAATGAAACTGTTAAGATTAAAGAAAGTAGTTGGGTTTATATATTAAAGAAAATTGTAATTAACAATGTGGTAAAATGAAAAAAAAGTGAGATTAGTAAGAGGAGATATAAACTATAATAACAACCACTAAATATTTGATAGGATCCCTCTTTCCTAAAGACTCAAAAGTAGTTGCAGACTATCAAAAATAAAAACTATCAAGACAGGCACCCATAATTGGATTCACTTTAAAAGTATCTATATTTTTCTCTCAAGTCAAAATGAACATTTAGTGTTGAAAAAGAAAAGTCTAGAATATATGTTATTCGGTGTTAGATGAATTAGTAGTAAGTAACATTTGTAGTTACAGTATCACATCATGATATCATATATGTAATTATCATATTTTTTTATTTTAATAGAATCCCAAAATAGGGGAACTTGAAAATTGTATGTAACAATATCTAACTGCCAGTCGTAGATGCACAGTTGGTTATATTAGCACTTTATTGAGATAGAAGTACAGGCGGATTACACGTATAATACAGCTAATAAACAAAGAGCAAGGGAGTCGAATTATGATACTCCGAGAATCTAAATAGTTAGGCTCCCCCCATGACCATGATCATGCTAGGAAACACGTATAATTCAAAAAAATTCAAGAGCAAATACGTAGCAGTTAAGTAATTTCTAATGTGTCTATTGGTCAGGTGAACTATCATTAAATCTATCTCAGCAGACCACTGAAAATGTGAAATGTGAAATAAATTAAAATAAAAACACCTCAAAGGAAAGCTTGCGTAATAAGAAAAGTTCAGTGTGAACTATCGAATGAGGTGTCTGGAGTTAATTGATAGTTTACTGTCTCCAGTGAGAGGACTAGCCCAGTTTGGCTCATTTAAGGTTTTTCCTGTGAAATTTCTGGATAATTTTCCAGAAAGTCTGCTGACGTGATGAGCTCTGTGCCACAGGGACGGCCCACAGGGAAGGAGTGGAGGAGGGAGGAGAGTCTGCTGGTTCCGCGTATCCGCGTATCCGTGTGTCTTTCCGTTTTCTGCTTTTTGTTTCTGCGGGAAACTCACAGGAGAAGAAAAAAGCAATTTTTTGGAGGGGAAGGAAGAGAGCAGATACCACTAGACCATGTGGGTGGATGGGTGTTGGCACAGAAACGTTTGCAGGACGTGGGTTGGGACTGGAAGCCCATCCTTTCACGTGATCTGAATTGTTCATCATGTCTCACGACAGTGTATCTATCTCTCTATCTCTATTCATAATAATGTATAGAAATGACACAAACGACACAAATAAGTTATGCTACAATTACTTTCGAACCAAGTTACGGGAAAATTGTAGGTATATTTAATGGCACATTAATGAAAAGTGTAAGACAGCCATGTGTACGTTCTTTTAACTTCTACTGTGAAATGTATGTAACCTTGTATCCATCTTGCTAAAATATATATATAAGAGTCGTATTATAGCATTTAGTCTGTAGTTAGATTTATATCTCTATATCGGATCATGTTTTAAAATATTATTAAGTATATGTAAAACAAAAATTATATAAACGTAACTGTACATTACCAAAATTTACAAAATAACAGTACGTTCTTTTCAATCACTGGAAATTGCAGATGCATGTGATTCTTCTAAGAAATCAAGTCTGTTATCAATATACTGACACATGCTTTTGAAATCATTCGCATTCATCTTATCTTCTAAATATTTGAATAAAGGTACTTTTGACACTCCACATAAGACTTCTTTAAAGACCTTGAAATTTTCTAATTCAATGTCATAGTTCTTTAATCTACGTAAATTAGTAAATGAACGAATATGTTTCCCATCGACAATAAGATCCTCATCCGTCCATAACGTATATGGATCAAATTTCGGTAGATTGGAATGAATGAACATGACATCCACTTCTGTTTGTTTTTGACCATCTTCAAAATATTCTTTGTAAAATGATTCAACACTATATTCAGGATCATATGCTAATCCAGCTTTGGCATATTTATTAGATATATCTGTGCGAGCTTTAACATATTTCCCATAATCTTGGATAAAATCATGTTGTAACATAGCAACACCACGATAACCCTTATCATTTGGTTGATGATATCCGTCTACACCAACATTGGTCTTCACTTGATAAAATGGTAAATCATAAAAATTTGCAGCAGCAATAAATGTCTCTTTATCACCTTCACCTGCAGCTTTTTGAGAAAAGATAGGATAATACCATGTGGGACCATTAACATTATAGTATAAAGCCAATAATACCGTAGCTAAATGTTTGGATTTATTGATTAATAATTGACCAGACTCTGTAGATACATCAGGTATTGTACCAAGGAAATCGTGGAATGGAACATCCTTCAAATCTTGTAAATTTTTGGTATATACGTGAGGTGGAGTTAAATCATCAATAGAGTTACGTATTCTTGTCTTAAAATCAATTGTTCTACCAGCAATTTGGTAATATAATGGCTGAGTGGTACGTCTCCAGAAATCTGGCCACATTACTAGGCCAGTACTTTTATATGGTTCTGCTTCAAAGATATCATCCAATGGTTTAATTGGGAAATTATCAGCATCTAATAATAATAAATTTTCAAAACTGGAAGCAATAATAGCAATTGATTTGAATTGGTACCCTTTAAATTCAAAATTATTAATCATTTCTTGAGGTAAAATATCACTAATATAAACACATTTAGCATTGTATTTTGGTAATAATTTATTACAAAATTCTGTCTCTCCTTCATCATTTGGTGGGATGAAGACTTCCACGGGTAGTGTTGTACCCAAATTCCGTAGAGTTCGAATCACCAAAAATGCCATCAGAGAGAACTTACCACCACCAACCGTAACAATCCCATCATTTTTGTAAGAATCCTTAGGTAGCACTAATTTATTTAATTGTTCAATAAAACTTGCATGAGATTTAGATAAGTTTTCAATCTCCCCAGAATCTAACTCTAGACAATCGATTAACTCAGCGAAAGACAATTTGAACCAATTTTTGTAGTCGTCTGGTCGATTACCAACATCACTGGATAGTTTACAACTATCTTTATATACACGACGACATTTCCCAGTCGGCGAATGATCTATGATACTTTGAAAGACGCTGCTATAGAATTTCAGCAAACGTTCATCCTTTACCTTCTCCTCTTTATTATGACCATCAGAATCTGCTGAAGAACTTAATGTGTCAATGTGATTCTTTAAATAATCCCTGTATTGTGATACACTGAGATTGGAATAATCGTTCCCACTGCGCACAGATTCAATTAGTGCATATACACCTAGAACACCCAGAATAACCAGTGTAATCTTTAACAACTTCCCTATTCTCTTATTAACCAACATCCTAAGTCCTTTTTGAACTTCCTTTTGCTGTTGAGAAGTAGTTCTTTGTCTCTCTCTACGATTGTTGTCTTTAAATAGAAATTGTTCAAAATTCTTTTAACCTGCAAAGCAAAAAAAAAATTAGAAAATTTCAATAAATATTAAAGACACCAAATTGATATTTAGTAAGGAGGAAGACTCATGAGTAAAGAAAAAATCAATAACAGAGAAGTAAATGTCTGCACAGGACTATTACGGGAGCTCCAAGGCCCAGTATAACAAGCCCAATAATGATCCACGAGCTCAACAACATTATCAACAACAACAGAATAGGGGCTATCAGCCGCAACAACAACAACAATACCAACAGCCCCCACAGTATTATCAACAACCACAGCAGCCCCAGTACTACCAACAGCAACCACAACAGCCAATTTATGTACAGCAACAAGCTCCTCAAAGAGGAAACGATGACTGTCTTGCAGCGTGTCTAGCGGCTATGTGTGTCTGTCTAACATTGAACGTCATCTTTTAATAATAATAATCTATATATATATATATCCCTCTATAACTTATAATATTCTCTAAATTGAATTATCATTATGCAAACTATATAAATACATAACAAGCATAATTATTATTATAATAATATTATAATATCATAAATTGTTTTAAACTATGATGTAAAGGATTGAAGGAAATGCAACTCGTGATCGTTGAATGATACCTGCGATAACTTTTGCTGGTGAATCATCAAGAAGTCAATAATTTCTTGGGAAAATACCGATGTGTCAACATTTCTTGATAGACCTTCTATTATCTTATGTAGTGTGGTATTACTCATCTGAACATTGCCACTCATTGCTGTGATCTTAATGAACCCCAAGTACGCACTGCTCTTCTCTTCGATGGAATCCACTGGATTCACAAGGTTGCACCAACGGCTCCATATAATGTCATTAGAAAATTTGCCTGTACTGAACACCTCAGGGTGTGTCATACCCATCCTACCGATTGTAATGGCGACATTTTCTAGAATGGCAAGATCGACATCTTGTAAAGTAGTGGTGAATAAATCCAAAAGAATTCCCGAAAGATCGATAATATATTGAGCTAAGTCGATACGTTCACTGATTATACCGAGAGCCCATACAGCATTTATTACACTAGGTATACCTTCTATATCATCGTTATGCATTGCTTCTATTCCTATAAATTTAAGGAATTGAGATAAATAGCCACTTAGTACTTGTGTATCAAAAAAAGTTACAATATCACCCAATAATGCAAAAACACTTTGTCTCACCTCATGAACTGGATCCTGTAGGCATTCCAACATGATTTGAAGCAAAGTTCTGTCTGTCTGCCCTGGTATTAATAATGGTTGAGCAGACTCACCGAGTGCTTGAACAATACCGTCGATAAGATCTAGTGATGTAATAGCGAAATCCTTTTCAGGTACCACTATTGTAGGATCGTTCTGTGACTTGGATTCACTTTCTACACAATGGCATAGAATTCTGTAGGCTCTCGAATAGACTTCTGGCGCCATTGGAGCAAATCTTTCACCTAGGGAAGATGCAACACAAGATAAACATTCTAATAAAGGCCATAATTCCTTGTCGTTGTCTGGTAGTGCTGACCATTTTGAAATCAAATGGGGCAAGATTACTTGCATGCTCTTGTCGTCTAATTCAACTTTCTCAGCAAAACGACCAACAGCATCGTATAATATAATTAAGTTCTTCTTTTTGTATAGAGCAAAACATTTATCAAAACTTTGGAGCAGGTCATTGTACAGTAATGTTTCAATCAATTCAGGATCACAGTTTTCTATAAATACTGCAACACTACTAATAGCAGCCTCTTGAACATCTTTCTTGTTATCTAATAATGTAGCTACAATAGGTTCCAACACTGGAATTAAAAATTCGGTGTGGTCCTGCAAAATCCAAGGAGAAAATCTACTTAGCGTCCAACATACAATTTTCCTTACCGGAGCCCATGTGTCTTTCAGTTGTTCTACTAAAAACGGTATCAGCACTGGTAATTGATCATTGAAATATTTCATACCACCCTCTGCCATGGCACCTAATGCTAAAATAGTGGCTTCGCGAACATACCATTCTTCAGATGTTAAGTGTTCTCTTAGGAAAGGGAAAGCAATTTCTATGACATCTCTTGGTAACACGTTTGTCATTGAATCTAAAGTAGCGGCAGAACATTTTCTTAAAGTCCAACCGGAGTCTACTTGTCCATCACCATCTTCGTCGTCGTCGTCATCTTCGTCGTCACTATCATCTGCCTGTGCACCGTTTTTACTCTTCTTGACAATACGAGGCGCCATTGGTCTAATGTCTTCATCCTTGTCCTCTACCAGAGCATCTGCTTCATTGTGTGTCTCAAATATGTTAATTGAATCCTTATCATACACCATATTTGCCAATAAAACAGGTACCAATTCTCCAACAAATGGTTGTAAGATATGCTTGGGGATGTGAGCACCAGTCACAAATGTATGCAAGAACTCGCATGCCTCGACTGCCACTTGTTCATTTGTAGAATTACCAATCACATGCAACATGAATTGGACTATCCCTGATAAATGCTCTATCAATTTATCTGGCCTAGTCTCCAATAATAAGGTAAAACTAATACATATTTGGGTGGTAATGGGGTCATGACTCTCAGTTTGTGCCAAATGGAACAATTTATTCAAATATTCATCAATCCTAACAATAAAATACTGAGATTGCAATTTAATAATAAAATTTATGGATTTGATACATTCAGCACGTACTTGGAAGGGTAATTGTGGAGAATCTATCGTTAAGAATAATTGTGTTACTAAAATTTCAACAGGTTGTATAAGTTGCGATTGGTTGTTGGTCCAATCTAATTGGAAGAAAGTAGCATTATCTTCTACCACTTTAGATAAAGCCTTTGCGGCATCGACACTACCGCTTGATGATAATTCCAGTAACTGTGTTAACATATTCCAACCAGTAGGGTCATCCCTATGCTGTCTGTAATAACTAGAAAATAATGCTGTAACAACAATACCTGTTACGTTTCCTACAAGTGCATTAGATCCATTCTGTAATCCTTTGACAATATTACTCTTCACATACTCGATGTTCTTTGTTGCGATATTTGATGGATCAAGAAGAGAATTCTTCAGTAGCATACCAGCTGTAGCCCTGCAATTGGCTAAATCAACTTGAGAAAATTGTTGCAACAATGTTGCGTCAGTTTCTCCCTCAATCAAGATATAACACAGGTAATTAAAAAACTCCGGTTGTGATTCAAACACTTTCAACGAATCCATTGCATTGGTTCTTACATCGTGGTCCGATGACATACAGTTCCCTAGTAACGTGGTCAATTCGGCCAGCGACCTATTATCAGCAATCCATCCTTGGTTAGACATGTCGTTAGCTCTGGTGCCCTTTTCTGGTTGTTAATTGAAGTCTGTTTCTTGACTGTTCTTTGTTTTATCGTTGGGATTTCTCTCTTAAATCTGAAAATTTTTCAATTTTTGATCATGTGCTCACGTGATCTATACGAATTTATATTCGATATTTAATGAATTCTATGAATTTTATATATGATAAATGACTAGCTATATGAATAATGTAGTGGACTATGACTGTGGTTGTAGCAATAGATCAAGATGTTGCAACATATTATCGATCTCTGCGAAGAACGGGTCATAAATGCGGGCAATTGCAGGATGTGGAGAGCCATCCTTAGTGGATGGAACCATTGACAGCTCCTCTTGAGATGTCTCTGGCGAAAGTTCTTGTGACGTTACAAGATTTGAAATAGAATTAATAGCATGTGATTGTGGTAAAAGTCGTAGTGGTGATTCTGTAGTTATGTGATCTTGGGGAGAATCATTAGTTTGGTCTGATGATGAGGATGGTGAGAATTCACCTATAGATGATATTGAATTTTCCGAGCGTGAGGTGCGCAATTTACCTTGTTTAAAGGGTACTACCGGTGCTTCAAATACCTTTGTTAGATCATCATCTTCATCTTCATTCTCATTGATCCCACTTGTGTGTTGTGTACTGGTGATAACAGTAGGGTTTAGCAGTCCCTCGATGTCATTCTGCAGAGTTTTCTCATCGTCGATCTCCGGTTGTTTTCTTGTCTTCTTGTAAACTAATGGTTGAGTATATCCAGTACTAAAGGAAACATCGCTAACAGTATCGCTGGTCTCATCGTTAAACCTTGTAGCTTCGTTACCAAAAGTATCTTCATGTTGAGGTTCTTCATCACTGTCGACATATCGGTCAGCATAACTAACAATATCATTGAACGACACAGACTTACTGCTCTTATTGTAACCTTCCAAATGAAGTTTATTTTTTTCATCCAGTCGTGACGATGATGACAAGTTCTCATTTTTCCAACAGTTGAGTCTTGCTAGTCTCTCAGGAAATGTTTCAAGAATCTCAGCTGGTGCAAAACCAATTCTATTGTCCCGGCATCGTTTAACTAACCACCAATAAGAGTCCTGATCATTTAACAAGAGGCATGCTTCATCTTGTTCTAAGGGACAATGCGAGGTGTCGGGTCCATTAAAAGCGTACAACGCGTACAACTTATCTGGGTCTAGCTCTTGGGGTGGTGCCAAAGGTTGGAATTCTTCTCCATCTTCATCATCTACATCATCATTATGATCTTCTCCATCTTCTTCATCCTCGTCATCATCGGAAAATTCCAATGAAGGTTCTTCTTGTTCTAGTTTACTTCGTATTTCAGTTCGAGCCTCATTTAAGGACGTATCTGTAGACGATATTGTACCACCTCGTAACTCCATCATTCGTTGTTCCAGATTATCCTCAAATTCACTATCAGAGTAATCCATATCATGCTGTGGCTCCTCAGGTGCAATCATATTAGTATTTGCCGTTACTACCACACTTCCACTTTCCTCTGATTTTATAACAGGTCTCACAACATCGCTAAAATCCTCCACTAGCATTGGATCATGCAGTATTTGTCTCTTATCACTCGACAGAGCAGCAATACTTGTTGCTTCGCTCATCTTTGGTTCCCTTTTCCCTTATCTTTTCTTCTTGGTTTGCATCTAAATATTCATTTATTTTATTATATAATTTATTTAATACCATCGCGAATTTATAAAAAAATTTCACTTTCGACGAATCAAAGCACAACCCAATTTCATGCATTCCCACCGAGGGGAATGAAAAGGAAAGTGAAAGAAGGAGTTATTACTTATAATGGGTATGCCAGCGGTATGTCTGTGAGGGTGGTGGCACACCTTTACGATTAGTTGTCTGTTGATCAAGCTCAAGGGCTTGCTTCTCCAGAATTTTTTCAATGTTTCGCAGTTCTTGCTCGTAATCCAGTAAATTACGCTCAAACTTCTCTAATTGCAAAGCTTTACGTGAGGTACGTACCTGAATATCCTGTAACAACTCGAAGGTAGATGCTCTCTCAGTTAAATCAGTTCTAATCATACTCTTGACAATACTGGCTAGACCTGCGGAATAGTAATCAGGTAACTCGCTGTCAACTTTACCCATTTTGATCTTATTTTGCAACTCAACGTAATTCTTAGCTTGAAATGGTGGGCGTAAAGTACACATCTCATATACAATACAGCCTAGAGACCACACATCACTGAGTGGAGAATATGGTTGGTCCATTAATACTTCAGGAGACATGTAGTATGGTGTCCCTACGTATGTGGTAGCAAACTGAGTAGAATTTCCCAGGGCCTTAGCCAGTCCAAAATCACCCAGTTTTATTGTTCCTACAGAGCCACTACTCCCACTACTAGTCAAGAACACATTCCCTGGTTTTAGATCTCTGTGTATCACGACATTACGAGGGTGACTACTAGGTGGACGCATCCTATCATAGATAGTGACCAATTGAGCAGGATCTTCACCATAGTGACAACGATACAACGCCATCAATAGTTGTGCTAAAATCGCCCAAATCGTTTGCTCGGGCATATATTTATGTTCTTCTTTATAATGAACAATTAATTTTTGTAAATCCCCTTTCGAGCAATATTCCATGTATAGGTACAATACTTGTCCTTGTTCATCAAAATCCCACGAGTGGAATTTCACTATGTTCTCATGATTTAATTGTGATAAGATACGACACTCTGCTATCAGTTGTTGTCTCTCCTTTTGGTTCATGTGACCATATTTGATCTCCTTCCGGACCATCAATGTCTTGGTCGGTAAATGCACTACCTTTCGCACCGACCCAAATGACCCACGACCGATCTCCTCCAATACTTCATACTCGCCATCGTGGTCCTGTCTCCGTTGCATCCTCTAGAGTTAGTTCCTTTCACAGTTGTTTATACCTACCCTTGTTTATTTCATAAAAATTTTACTGAACTTTTTAAATGTCTGTAGATTTTGGTTTGTTTGTCTTATCTTGTTTTGTTTTTTCTCGATTTGGAAATAAAAGCGATGACCTTAGAATTTGGAAAATTTCAGATCAGGATGATGAAATCAGCGATCTCAAGTCATTGCAAAGCTGAATAAGTAGCACCGAGTCTCCTCCTACTTGTCTTTGGTGCGCAGTTGTACCTTGAGATTTCCAGTTGCTGTTGAGAAATTTAACAACCGGTACCAGGACATCGTGAACTGCAGAATCCGAGTGATCCCCATGCAAGAATAGTACTTTCAATAGCTTCAACAGATCCAGTTGGATAAGAATACTACTCTCGTATGTTTCGAAAAACACTTGGATACGCTTTAAAAATGACCCCTGGCATAAAATATCCTTGCAGAATGTGTCATAAGGTTGAAGCGAGCACAGTTTAGTATATCTATTTACAAACGCGCTGAAATCTATATCTTCTGGGTCAAATTCATAAAATACTCGCCCTAGGATCCCACTTGTCTTGAGTAGAAGTGCCATTTCTTTACGTGTAGAGCCTTTAAGTAATGATCCATTCCTTTGTAAGATATTTAAGATGATTTCTATGCCTAGAGAACTGAATTTGTTTAATTTCATAAACGATGCTACGATTTGGAAGAAAAGAGCTTCATGGTTTGCTTTATCTGGTAACGTTTTTTTACGTGATATTTCCACAAGTAGCATGAGCCATTGTCTTAATATAGATACCAACGATTTTCTTGTTGCCTGGTTATGACTTGATTTATATTGATCCAATAAAGAATCTAATAATTGAAATAATAATGGACTAGAGTACAATAAACTGAGAAACCCAGGATCTAAATGTGATGCATTGTAACAAACTTTCGTAAAATACTTCCAAACATGGATATTTGACACTTTTATTAGTGTATTTTCATGACCGAGGATTCCTAAGAGCCACTTTTGGGTTCCAACAGGTAACGCCAAGGCAGATATCGAGTCATTGATACTAGAGTTTCTATATTCATGTGTTTGAAAAGTTGTTAAATATGTTTGTTTGATAGGAGATCCATTATTACTGTTTGATTGCGCAGATCTTATCATATTTCCACTGGGAGTTCTATCTACTGAATGATAAGGGGTATTGGTATCGTCTGGCACTGATTCATCGCTGTAAGGTGTCTGTAACATCAACGTCATTGACTTCAATACAATATACATGCAATGTAAATTTAATGAATCTAATCTGGAATATTGGTCAATAATCTTTGGTAATATCGTTTGTAATGTCCAGTGGGAATGTTCTGCATTAACTCTATTGTCCCATGAGGATAATTTAATTAATATTGATTGAGCTCTTTTGTCGCCAGATAATTCTTTTACCAATAATGCAACATCTAAGTTGGTAACACACCAATTATACCAAAATTTGATAGATGTTACATCAAGATAACGATACACGAGTTCTAAATAAACGCATGGATTAGAGTTGTAATTCTGTATGTGATTCATTATCCCGCATTGAAACATAAATTGATATCCAGACAGAGACTTAGATGTCTCCATTAAGAAGCATTTAGATATCAATTGTTCATTATCAAAAGCCTTGATCAATCCCCCGTAATTGATAAACTGATTTTTAACTTTAGACTCATTTGATTTAATATCATATTCAAATAATCGAATCATTGTTTCTGTTTTCTCATCTATGATACATTCGTTTCTAAGTAAAAGAAATAAGCATTCAACAATATCACTAGTTTTACAATCGTTAAATATCAATGGTAGCTTTTCTTTCGCTAATATTCCACCAGATCGTATCTTTTCAAGATAATAATATCCACTGGCCGGTAATTCATCCTCTAATTCATTTATATCTTTATTAAGTTCATCAAATATATCACTATCACCTGAAACGTATCTACCTAACTTTACAGGTGACCTAGTTGGCGATCTATGGAGCTGTATGGCACCTGGTCTTCCAGGTGACGATGTCCTAGATATGTAGATATCGCTATTTGAAGCTCTCTTCGCAACAAAATTTGTCAAACTGTTCTTTGGTGTGTTTGTAGACTCTGTAAAATCAGAATCCCAATCTTGATCCATATCTGTATCATTTTCTTGAAACTTTGACAGTTTCCTCTCTTTAGAGACTTTTGGGCCAACATTTCTTATGTCCCGTAACCATGGGTGTTTTAGTAACTGTGCCGCTGTGGGTCTTCTATACATTGATTTATGGAAGCACTGCTTCAGGAAATGTTTGCATTTATCCGGTAGTGAGTCTGGAGGATAATATTTATCGTTTTCTATGGCATAGTAGATATTGATATCAATCAGATTATGAAATGGAGGATTCCCGGTCATTAACTCCACCACTGTAGCCCCTAGGGACCATATATCACTCAGTGTTGAAGCACCTTTGTTCGTAATTATTTCGGGTGCCATCCAATTTAAAGACCCAGCTAGTGTCATCGCAGTATTGTTTACCATTGTCGAAACCCCAAAATCGGCCAATTTCACAACATTGTTAGCGTCTAAGAGGAGATTTGCAGCCTTAATATCTCTGTGTATGACACCTTGTTCATGTAGATAGTTCAAACCGTGTAAAGTTTGTTTAATGTATATAGTAGTTTCGTTCTCTTCTAATCTTTTATTAGGCCTCTTAGCAAAAAGACTCTTCAAGGAACCATGTGAAGCATACTCAAGTATAATGTAGAGATTTGATGATTTCTGGATAAAACCATGATATTTAACAATGTTGATATGGTTCAAATTCTTCAACAAATCGATTTCGATCATAATTTCACTTAATTCCTCATCGTTATCGTAATTAATCTCCTTGATAGCCACAGTTTGTTTACTCTTTTTGTTGACAGCCCTATATACAACCCCATATGAGCCTTTACCAACTACTTGTTTTAATTGGTATTGAACAGAAGGTGATCGTGATGGTAGTGAATCATTAGTTTTCGGGTCCCTCATCTCGTGGGCCTGGTGATCTCCTTTTGGGATGTCTGAAGAATTAACTTCTCCATTCCCTTCAATTTCAGTTTTAGACATCTGCAACTATGATGTTACGGTTACTTCCACTTTTAATAGATAAGCTTTTGAACTTTTGGTCTTCTTCGAGAGATGAGCGAAATCAAGTTTATTGTTTATTATATCTTATATGTAAAATATATTCAATGTTGAAAAATTCTTATTTTTACATCAACTGTTAAAGAACAATGAAAAGAGAAGAAGACGAAAGATAAAAGTGAACAGTTTGGGATCTAAATCCAAGATTAATTGATTCATCTAGATTGTTTGGGTAAAGAAGAATACTATTATAACATATTTTCCAGGAAATTTTATTTTTAGAAACCTCTGAGTCTATTGATATACACGAAATCAGAAAATAAAACCATGGTTGACGAGGTAGCTACTGCTGAAAGAACTAAATCCAAAATAGTCAGCAAACCTCTGTTGAAATTAAAGTTGCTAGACGTACTGAGAAAAGGTAGTTACGAAGAGTTACTGCAACTGGTGAAGACTCAATTCGTTCCTGTCGATGATGCTAATGTCATTCAAGTAACTAGGTTGATTCTACACTATGCCATTCAAGTAGCACCATTCCCATTGATTAAGGAGATTGTCACTAAAAATATTGATCCGTCATTGGACGTTGCACCTGCAGATAAACTTCCATTACGTATTGATATAAACGAACAAGATAATAATGGGAACACGCCATTACACTTGGCCGCTTATCAGTCAAGAACTGATGTTGCATCTCTGCTAATGGATCAACCATCCGTTAATGATTGTATTACAAACGATATCAATTTGCAACCCTTCGAATTGTGCAGAAATATCAACGTGGCACAATTAATGCAATACAAGAGGTCCCAGTATATAGCTGAAATTGCTACTGAGTTTAGAACCGCGTTTAATAATAGAGATTTCCAACATTTAGAATCGATTTTAAATAATCAGAGAAATTTCCAGTTATTAGATATTAATGGGATGGATCCACAGACAGGTGATACGGTCTTACACGAATTTGTGAAGAAAAGGGATGTCATGATGTGTAGATGGTTGCTCGAACATGGAGCCGATCCTTTTAAGAGAGACTCTAAGGGTAGATTGCCGGTCGATTTAGTGAAAAATACAGCTGGTAATTCTGCGGTTGCCACGTCAACTACAGATCCGACTTTAGATGTATCTGTTGCTACTGGAATTAATGGAGCTGCTGATGTATCTAATGCAACAACACAACTAGCAATTGATATGGAATTAAAAAAAATGCTGGATAAATCTGCAACAGAGCAATCGGTTATCAATATTGATAACTCAAACCACAAGCCCGAGAAATTAGTTAACAATAGATTAACTGCTGCACCAACTTACAAAGGTTACTTAAAGAAGTGGACTAATTTTGCTCAAGGCTACAAGTTGCGTTATTTCATTCTAAGTGGTGACGGTAAATTGTCGTACTATATTGATCAAGATGATACGCAAAATGTGTGTCGTGGTTCATTGTACGTCTCTAACTGTTACATCCATCTAGATTCATCAGAGAAATTGAAGTTTGAAATAATAGGTGGTGGTACAAATGAGACGATTAGATGGCATTTGAAAGGTAATCATCCGATTGAGACAAATAGATGGGTTTGGGCTATCCAGGGTGCAATCAGATATGCAAAGGATAGACATAAGGGTTTGGTACCACCTCCAGCGGTACCGAAGTTCAATCAACAATCTGAGGATACAATGAATTTACCAATGAAGCTTTCAGTTAACGACCACATTAACATCACAGCAGATGATATGAATGATTTGGCATCAATTAAGACGGGAAGAACTGATATTTCAATTAATACTACCAAATATGACAGGGAGTCTCATATGGCATCAACACTGACTGCTCCAGCAGGAGAAGATTTGAATAATCCACCGTCATTAGAAGCAGAGCTCACAAAAAAGAAATTTGAGGATGAAATTGAGATTGATGAGGATGAAGAAGAAGAAGATGAAGACGAAAACAATAGGATGTATGATATTGCCACTAACAATGGTGTTGATGTCCAATTAACCTATGGTCCATACTCTCAAAAATTACATTTCCTGAAGAGATCTATTGCCATCGAACTTTCTTCATTGGGAGAACTGCTAGGTGATCCGTCACTAAGGGAGAATCACGACTCTAAGGTGATAGTTGGCGAAATTATCGAGACCGTTAACAAATCGATTAACACCATGAATGCCAATTTCGAGCAATTAAATGACTTCACTGAAAAGAGGGATAAGAGATTAATTAATATGTTAAGGAAACAGTACGATGTCAATAATGTATGGATGCAATCGATGAAAGAATTGGAATTAGAGTTGATAGAGAAGGACACGAGATTGCACGGGCTAGAAGATGAAAGAAAACAACTACGTAAAGTTTTGGAACAGGCTACCACCAATGGAGGAATTCAAGTTGACACTGTAAATCATGACAATGATAATAATACCCAGAATTCGATAAATAAGGATGATAGCGCCATGCAACAACTAGTCGAATTAATCAACCACAGAGATGATGATGATGGAATTGTGGATGATTCGGATGTAGACGAATTCTTTGATGCAGAAGAGATGGATTCAGCAAACGAAGAAGAAGCTGAAGCTGAGAATTCAGGCACCGATTCCAAGAAACAGGTCGAAGAAGTTGTAGCAGGTAATCAAAGCGATACAACCAGTGAGATCGTTGACTATGACAGGGCTTTACCTGTGATTACTACTGCACAAACTGAAAAGCAAGACGGCATAGACGGTGATAAATCGTTCAATGGTTATGAAAATGGACCAAGAACATGTATCAAACTGGATGCTGACAACAGACCATCTGTTAGTCTATGGGGTGTTCTAAAATCTATGGTGGGTAAGGATCTGACAAAAATTGCATTACCTGTGTCTTTTAATGAACCATCATCAATGTTACAGAGAGTTTCTGAGGATTATGAGTATGGTTATTTATTGACTCACGCATCGACAATTGCAGACTCGGCATTAAGAATGCTGTATGTAGCTGTATTCACCGCAGCACCGTACGCCTCCACAATTAATCGTGTTGCTAAACCATTCAATCCATTATTGGGTGAAACGTTCGAGTTCACAGACAAGACTCAAGAGTTTCGTTTTGTTACCGAGCAAGTATCGCATCATCCACCTATTTGTGCTACAATGGGGGAATCGCCCCGTTGGGATTTCTACGGTGAATCACACGTTGATTCTAAATTTAATGGTCGTTCATTCAATATTAAACATTTAGGTAAATGGTTTGTCCACATGAGACCAGATGACAAGGATTCCCCTGAAGAGGAGGTGTACAGTTTCATGAAACCTGATAACTCTGTCATTGGTATCCTTGTAGGCAAACCAGAAGTTGATAACGTCGGTTCTACAAGAATCGACAACCATACCACAGGGGATTACTGTATGTTGTATTATAAAGCTCGTGGATGGACAATGGCAGGTGCGTATGAAGTTCGTGGTGAGATATTTGATAAGGATGGTAAAAAGCGCTGGGTACTTGGAGGTCACTGGAACGATGCAATCTACGCAAAGAAATGTGTGTCCTCCGATGATAATGATACTTCATCTGCTGAATTCCCCGTGGAGACGACTATCACAGGAACAAATGGAACAAATGGACCAAATGAACCTCGTTATGATGGTTCAAAATTCCTTGTTTGGAAGGCCAACAAAAGACAAACTGGAGTTCCATTCAATTTAACTCGTTATGCGATCCAACTAAATGACGACAATGAACAACTATTACAATGGGCAGCACCTACTGATTCTCGTCGTAGACCAGATCAACGTGCCATGGAAGAAGGTCGTTATGATGATGCAGCAGATGAAAAATACAGATTAGAGGAGAAACAGAGAGCTATTAGAAAACTAAGAGAACAAGAAGAAAGTGAAGTACCATCATGGACGCCCAAGTGGTTTACCAGGGATGTTCATCCAACTACTGGGGACTCCTACTGGCATTTCACAGGTGATTACTGGAAGAACAGAGAAACTCACAACTGGGAGATCTGTGATGATATCTACTAATTAGAGCGTCTTTTATCTTTATCTTCTTTTTATGATGATTATTATAATTTAAGTATATATATACCTACAGCCTTTCTGTAACTTAACTTAACTACGTGAAATGCATAATATTAGCCGACCGCTAAGCGAATGTTCCTACAAGCAATGGAAATTTTTCAATGGCCTGATGTACCCAAAAGTTATACAACCTTTGACCTCTATAAAAGGAAGCAATAGAAACCTCTAAAATGGTTCGATGCCAGAAATGTTGACAAATAGATGACCATAATACTACAGTAGTGACGATGCCATATTCAACTATTACTATCAATAATCCGCCACCTTATTTGACGCTAAGCAGCTCGGAACATTTACCAACTGTGCTAACTGTTGCTGGGAGTGATTCCAGTGGTGGTGCCGGTATCGAGGCAGATATCAAGACAATTACTGCTCATAGATGTTACGCCCAGACGTGTATCACGGCGTTGACTGTTCAGACTCCTGTCTCGGTGTTTGATGTGCAATTGACTCCGAAGAAGATCGTCAGTGGTATTCTCGAGGCCAACCTTAGAGACATGAAATGTGACGTTATTAAGACCGGTATGCTTACAATGGATGCAATTGCTGCATTGTATGATAGAATAAATACTATTTCTGTCGTAGAAAGACCTTTATTGGTCGTCGATCCTGTCCTAGTGGCCACATCTGGATCTCCATTAGCTGGTGATGAGTTAGTTGCTGAAATCAAAGAAAAAATTACTCCTTTTGCAACTATTTTGACACCAAATATTCCGGAGTCATTCAAATTAATTGGTGAAGAACGTACCATTGATTCACTAGACGCATTATACAAGCTAGCTATGGACGTTAGAGATGCTTGTCACTGTACTAACGTCTTAATTAAAGGTGGTCATATTCCATGGAATGGACAACACCAAGGTGATAATCACCGATATATTACCGATGTATTACTTCTTGGCGAATCTGATAAGTTCATTGTCTATAAAGGCCATTACTCAGAAACTACGCATACTCACGGTACTGGTTGCACTTTAGGGTCCGCCATTGCATCCAACTTGGCCCGTGGTTATTCTTTGGCTCAATCTGTCTATGGTGGTATTGAATATGTACAGAATGCAGTTGCTGTCGGTTGCGAAGTAACTAAAGATATAGTGAAAGAAAATGGTCCAATCAACCATGTCTACGCTGTCGAGATACCATTAGAGAAAATGCTTACAGATGAATGTTTCAGTGCCACTGAAGTGATTTCACCAAAGATAGATAGCGTAATTCCAAAGGATATGCCTTTAATGAAACAAAATTTCTCAGAATATTTACAAAACCATCCAAAAGTTAAACCTCATTGGGATTCTTATATTAAACATGATTTCGTTAGACAAATTGCAAATGGGACTCTAGCCAAAGAAAAATTTCAATATTTTGTTGAACAAGATTATTCTTATTTGGTTGATTACGGTAGGGTTCATTGTATTGTAGCCTCGAAAATTCCTACATTGGATGATATGGAAAAAGAATTGATGATGGTTGCTGGTGTTAGAAACGAGATGGATAACCACAAGAAAAGACTTCGTGAAGAATTTGGAGTCAAGGATGATTCATATTTTGAACAAATTACTAGAGGTCCTGCTTTGAAGGCATATTCACGTTACTTCAACGATGTTGCCCTAAGAGGCAACTGGCAAGAATTGATCTCTGCTTTGACACCATGTCTAATGGGGTATGGTTATGCATTATACCATGTTGAAGGCAATATCACCACTACTGATCCAGTATATTTGGATTGGTTAGCTGTTTATTCTTCTGAAGAATATCGTCATCATATGGCTGAAGGTGAAAGATTGATGCAACATGTGTTACAAACATACCCATTGGAGAGTCTTGACACTTTGATTGACATTTATGCTGATGTTTGTGAACTTGAGACGCAGTTTTGGGACGCCGCTTTGAATTATACGAGAAACCAATAAATAACATTTTAGGTACAAAGATTGATAGAATCACTTATACTTTTTATTTAATTAAAAGCTATAATATGTTGAGAGTGGGTTATGATCGTTTATAATATAGATATTTTATATTAAAAAAGGAATTACTTTGATATAATTTAGTTAATTTTTATATTTAGTTGGTTTTGTAGCTAATGGGGTAGTTTGTGGCTGGACCTTCTCTCGTAAACAAAAAGATAAAAGTGATAAAGATTAATCCTTTCCTTCACTAAGTATGTTGGTAACCAACAGAATATCTAGTCAATAACCTACGACATCTTCAATCGCAACAGGTATGTAGAAAAAAAACACAGTATATTAGAAAGGTATATCCTTTATATCTTAAATTATCCATAAACGAAACTTCTAAATAAACTGATTGAATAAATTAATATACAAAGCCCCTAAATATTCGGAACTCTAAAAAATCATACCAACGTTACTAATAAAGTTATATATTATATTTTGATTTAAAAAAGGATTCAATTATATAAGTATATACTTAAACGTCGAGAATTTTGTTTCATTAATCATTTCTATCACTGGTCATAAAAAAAATAGCGTGAGAAGAGAATCGAGGTAGGTACAACGGTACTATGGGTTCTTCTCAAATCCTTCCTTACGCACCTTAGCTGCATTGATCTTAGCAGACTCCGGATCCAAGTAAAAGCTCTTGATAAAACTTAGATCGCTTTTGTCAAATTCAATGACCAAAGGAATACCATTAGGAATATCAACATTTTTGATATCTTGATCGGTAATATCTTCAATGATTTTTAACAATGATCTCACCGAAGAACCATGACCGACAATAATACATGAATTCAAATTGTATTCTTTAGCTGCTCTCAATACAATACCGTCATAGAAGGGTCTGATTCTAGTGACAACTTCTGCTAAGGACTCACTAATTGGTAATGTTTCGCCAGCAGCATCCTCAGTGGCATATTTAACTGTTCTGTTAGGTTCCTTAAACTCATATCCAGTTGCAGCCCCTTTTTCATTAGGTTGAACCATCTCAAGTGATAAATCAACTAGAGGTGGTTTCCCACGGTAATCCCTTCTAATACGCATATACTCCTCGTCACCAACATCCTTCAGGACGTTTGGCTTTCGCTGACCTTGCCAAGCACCATAATGACGTTCATTCAGTCTCCAGGTCTGTAAGACAGGTAATTGACCCTTGACTAACGCTTCCTGTGGCAATTCAATTTTCTTTAAAGCGTGTACGTCACCACTGATCACTGAGAAATTACCCTTTAAGGCCAATTCGTCCATTATCACCTCCATAGTTTGTTGCGTACGAACCAAACGAGATGTATACCCGATCTGAGGCAATGTTTCTTCATTAGCTTCACAATATTGTTTAATTAATTGAGCAGAATTACGTGCCTGCTGTTTACCTTTTTCTGTAAGTTTTGCATCAATCCACCCACAAAAGATGTTTTCATGGTTCAGTTCACTTTGTCCATGTCTCAGGACAAATATTTTAAAGGTTTCCTGTTGAGAAGTCATTAACTGTATACACTTATTTGTACTTTTTTTGCTCTTTTCCTTGTGAGTGTTCCTGTTGCAAGTTCTCTTTTAATTGTCTCTTCTTATATAATCTGATTCTTCAATTTCGGGGCAAAATTTTTCAGATATCCGTATGACTAGCTACCAAAGAAACTGCCGCATGAGACAACTGAGTGATTAAGGAACCTTTGAGAATAATAAGAAATAGAAATATAATGAACAACCCTGCTATTTTTAATTATATACATATATGTGTTAGTATACGAAGAGAGAAGAAAAGTAAAAAGTAAATAAGTATGAAAATTATATGTATAGATTGCGATATATAGAAAAGCTAGGCTTGACGTTCCAAGAAGGATTGGATCATACCCATTACAGTCTCTGGATACTCGTGGACGGTGACAGTGTCTGTGTCAGTATTCAGAGCAGTGTTAGCTTGGATGAATTGACGACGAGGTAATCTCTTAGAAATTACCAGATCTCTTAAGACTGCAAGTTCCTGTGGTACAGTGGATCTGTCGATATAATATTCGGAACCACGTTTGACGTCGGCAGAACATTTGTAAACGTGCAAGTGTAACAAGTAATCACGGACACACTCTAGACCTTCATTTTCGATTATGGATCTGTCTAGATTGATCTGAAGATCATCGTCACCAATTTTGTCAATTTTTAAGAACTTGTCGTTAGTACAGTGCATTAAGAAAGTTTTCATAATGGAGAATCTAGCTTGCATATGTGGTTGACCCCATTTCCCAGTCTTTGGGTCCCAGAACTCCAAGGCCATTAGACCAGCTCTTGCCATTTGCAAATAACCTGCGTAGATAACATTATCTTGGTCCTCTTTAGTTTTGAATCCAAATATTTCAAGTAATTTACGGTTCGTGATTAAGAACATGGCGACAACTTCTGCACGGGTCTCTTCAAAAGCACCAGCTAGGGAACCAAATAGAGACCCCCAGGTCTCACCTTGTTTGTAATAAGTTGTTACTGGTTGACCATCTAAACCCAATGGAGGATTGGTGTGATCAAAGTTGAATTCGTCTGGACCAGTTTGTAATAAAAGCTTCCCTGATCCATGACCTAATAATTCATGAATACCCACTTGTACTTCAAAGGAATCTGATTGATATTTTTGAAACAAATCCAAATCATCTTGTCTTATGAATGATGGGGGGTGGTTTGAAGAACTCTTAGCCGAAGCACTTAGAATATTCCCAAGGGAAACGTTCTTAAACCCAATAGTCAATCTAACGTCATCATAATTTGGAATGTTGATCCCTGCTGGGATACCTGACCCTGTGAAGGTCAAGACTTCCAAAGATGTAAAATCAGGAGGATTGAATTTTTCTTTTTCAAAGGAACGATCCCAAGGTAATAACGCAATAAATTCTTGAGCATTTTGAACCATTGTGGCAAATTTGGCAGTTCTCTCTTTATTTTGAACTGCAACCAATGATTCAAATTCACCAATGATTCCAGAAGGTTCTCTATAGGTTTCAATAAATCCAATATTAGTCTCAATGATAGGTGATATATCTTTTACCCATAATTTTTGAGCTTCCTTATGTTCCAAACCAGAACCAGTCTTAAAATGAGCAATGTAATGATCCAACATATTTGCTTGGGTCTCATTAGCAGCGAATTGTTTTGCAGAAGATAAGTACTCACAAATCTTTTCCATTTCCTGAGAGTGGTCTCCAAATTTGAAGGTAACTTGAGTATGATGGATGTCACTCAATGTAATCACACCATGAGGGTACTCAGAAACTGGTAGTTTATTTGTCACAGTCTCTGATGCCACCAGGACTTCAAATCTATGAGAAGCCAATTTTTTGATACGTGTATTCTCTGGTAAGATCTTATACTTCGCAAATAATTCTTGTTTCAACAATTTCATATCCTCTAAAGAGACGGGCTCTCCAATATAGTAGGAAGACAGGTGTCCCTCTGAGGGGAATCCTAGTAATGCAATATCTTCATTGACTTTATACATCCCATCTTCAATCAACTTACGTACTGTTAATTGGTGTTCAACTTTAGAAAATTGATCAATTGATCCCTCAAGATCGATACCAGCGAGTTTGCCTAGTTCATAAACATAATTGATTGAGCAAGCAGGGATGAATTTTGAATCTCCAAAGGATTTATAATTCCCTAAATTGGATAAAAATTGAGAGACATAATCCAAATATAATTGAGATTCACCAGGGTATACCCCGCTCACACCTCTGTGTAATGCTAAAACTAAGTCAAATATAGGTTCACTCTCTTGAGAGACTTGTCTTAAGACGATTCTTGTCCCGGCATGGGAAGCGCTGGCCATGAAATGAGCATATTTCTGTTCTTTTTGGGTCAAAGTTGGAAAATACGTATCCGCAAGGGATAGCATTGTAAGTGGAGCCTCGTGATCAGCCTCGTACATCGTTCAATTGTTGTTGTTGTTGTTGTTGTTATGATCTCGAACTCTGTTTTGCCACTGCCATTTATGTATTTCTTTATCTCTTGAGTTCCCTTTATTTATACAAGCGATGCAAGAAAAAAAAAAGATTACTGAAAGAATAACAAACTATTGATGATGATGATGATGATGATGATATTATTATTGAATTAGATATACATGGTTAATTAATATTTGGAGAAAAAATAGATACATATTCAAAAAGGGGGTTAAGAGAACACATTACTTATAAAGTTAGTTTTTCACCAGCAGCTTTCTTAGCTTCACCGTACTTCTTGACTCTAATTGCTTGGATAGCAATGAAACCAGTAGTATCGGTTGGTTCGAAACCTGTTAGTTCATCCATGGAGGATTCAGTGGCATCGTAAAGCTTTTCAGTGTTAGAGTATCTTCCTAGAACGAAGACGTTACCCTTGTATAGAGACAATCTAACGGAACCGTTAACATGCTCTTGAGATGGAGCAATCATTGATCTGATGTATTCACATTCTGGTGTGAAGTAAGAACCGTTGTAAAGCAATCTAGAGTAGTTTGGTGTAACAAAGGAATCTCTCAATTGACGGACTTCCTTGTCTAGAACTAGACCTTCTAGATCGACATGAGCACGTCTTAAGACAGTCAATGGAGCTTGTTCGTAACAACCTCTAGACTTCAAGTTAATGTAACGATCTTCAACAATATCGATTCTACCGACACCGTTAGCTCTGGCCAAAGCAGAGACCTCTAAGAAGATATCTAATGGAGCAGTGACAGTTTTGTTGTTGTAAGTCAATTTGACAGGTAGACCCTTTTCGAAGTCCAATTGTAATTCTTGTGGCTTGTCTGGAGCATCTAGTGGGTCGACGATCAACTTCCACATGTCCTTTGGTGGAGTAGTGTTTGGATCTTCAAGGATACCAGCTTCGTAAGAGATATGAGCTTGGTTTTCATCAGTGGACCATGGCTTAGCCTTAGTTTGTGCGACTGGAATACCCTTTTCAGCAGCGTAATCCAAAAGATCCTTTCTACCAGCGAATCTTTCGAAGAATTCTGGTAATCTCCATGGAGCAATGACCTTAACATCAGGTTTCAAAGCGTAGAAACCTAGTTCGAATCTAATTTGATCATTACCTTTACCAGTACAACCGTGAGAAACAGCGAAACAACCTTCTTGTTCAGCGACTTGGATTTGAGCCTTAGCAATAACTGGTCTAGCCAAAGAAGTACCTAGCAAGTAAACGTCTTCGTAGACTGCATTGACTTGAACAGCTGGAAATAGGATATCCTTGACGAATTCTTCACGACAATCGACAGAGATAAACTTAGTAGCACCGATTTTCAAAGCCTTTTCTTCAGCAGCTTTGAAATCTTCTTCTTGACCGACATTAGCAAGGAAGGCAATGACTTCGTAACCTTGTTCCAATAACCAGGCTAGAATGATGGAGGTATCCAAACCACCAGAGTAAGCTAGACAAACTTTTCCTTTAGACATTGTGTATAATTGATATGAGATGAGATGTGATTGAGATGTGATTAAGATACGATCTGACGATGTAAATATGTGACGATGACGATGACGATGATGATGACGATCTGTTGTCTGACTCAATCTTTAGAACTGAGACAAGAAATATGTAATAAGAAATAAGGTGATAATAGAAAGAGCTTAGAAAAGGGAGAGATGAGGGAAGGGGAAAGAAACTGAAAAATTATTATTTAATCCAATCTCTCATAGAGTATTTATACTTTTTCATGAGTGTTAAGTGACAAAAGAAGCGAGCAACCCACGAAAAGTGTGACCGTTAAGTGAAAGTGCTGGCGCGGCACAGAGTTATAAAACGAAAAACAGCAGGTAGTATGCGGTGTGTGGGTGAGTGACACATACTGCGATAACGGGCAGGTATGCGGTGTCCGGGTGTCGGATATAGTTGTCCTGCGATAGGGCAGATAACGTGAGTCACACAGAAAGGGGAAGGAGAGAGGGAACTGATCGGTCACGTGCACCCACGTGACCGGTTTTCTTTGTTTCTTTTCTCTTTTAAAACATAGACCTAAATTTAGACCTAGGGTTATCCACTAAACCCTAGGTCTATGATTCATACGAAGCTACTTCACGACTCAGTGAGTTTAAACTGATAAGGAAAAGGATCAAGTTAGAACTTTGAATAATCCTGGTTTGTCTTCTTCATTGGGGACGATGGAGGAGGTGAATGGCAGTTTGTACTTTCCTGCTTCTATCCAAAATAAAGGACTGTTATATAATTACGCTGCAGCGTTAAAGATATCTTAATTAAACGTATCATTAATCTTTATGTTTATGCTATTGCAAAAATGTAGCTTTATGTAATATACAGAGAGAGGTCTATGGATGTAGGAGAGAGAGAGAGAGAGAGAGAGAGAGAGAGATAAAAAAACAGAATTTAGGTGTTCTTTAGTGGTTTTTGTTCGTAATAGGAAATAAAAATAGAATAAAAGAGAGAGAGAGAGAGAGGGAAAAGGGGACACACAAAAAAAGATGATTATGAGCGTACTGTAGTGGTAGCTGCAGATGGTTCTTCTTCATCGTCTTCTTCAACTTCAAATGGTTCTAATTCATCAATCATTTCAGGGATTTGCTCCATAGGCATCTTGTTATAAACAATTTGAAAGACTGCTTCAAACAATGGGAAATCTTCTGTCAATTCACATGTAGCTAACCATTCATGAACTTCTTTGCATGTAATTACACCTTGTGCAGATTGACCATTCAATAATTCCTTTTCAGCTTCAAATGCATCGACATGTTTTGTAGCCATATATTTTGCTACTTTAACATTTCTACCACCTGAACATGTAGTAATCAAATCTGCTACACCGGCAGATTCTTGATAATAAGTTTCAACACGAGATTCTGGGAAAAACATTTGACCAAATTTAATAATTTCACCAAGTCCCACTCTTTGAATAGCTGCAGCTGCATTATTACCCCATCCAAGCCCTTCAACGAAACCACATGCCAAAGCAACAACATTCTTTAAAGCACCCGCAATAGAAATACCTGCAACATCATCAATAACATTCACATGGAAATATGGTCTATGGAATAGCATCTTTAATACTTTATGATCAACATCTAACCCTTCCCCCTTAAAATCCTCGGGTAATTGATAAGCCACTGTAGTTTCTGACCAATGTTCTTTAGCGACTTCTGGAGCTAAATTAGCACCCGAAAGAGCACCACATTGAATATCCAATTCATCCTTAATATATGAGGATAATAATTGAACACCTTTAGCACCAACTTCAAAACCTTTTAAACATGAAATGGCCCTTACATCTTTGGAAATATTACCCTTTAATTGTGATACAATCTTTGGTAAAAATTGATGAGGTACATTAAATACAAGAATATCTGCACCTTTAACAGAATCTAATAAAGATGGATTTGCAATTAAATTATGTGGTAAATCAATTCCTGGTAAATATTTAACATTTTGATGTTTTGTATTAATAATTTCTGTTAATTTTTCACCATTAATATTTTCCTCAAATACCCACATATGAACATCTTTAGCAAAAAGATGTGGATTTTGTACAGTATTTTCAGCAACAACTTTAGCAATAGTTGTCCCCCAGTTACCAGAACCAATGACTGTCACTTTAAAAGGTTGACGATGCATATGAATAATGGATTGTGTAGATTCCACTCTTTTAAATGGATGTACATGTGTTGTAGACATCTTGAAAACTTTTGTATTGTTGTTGTTATATAATAATTTCAAGCGTCTCCTTTGGATGTAGGATTTATAATCAAATGAATAACAACGAGTTATGACTCTTTGACAAAATAGTCGTTGTGGTATCAAGAACATTTAAATAAAATATTTTACAACTTAAGAAATGAAATAAAAATAAGAGATGAAAAAGAAAGAATATATTAATCAAAAAGGAGATGAGATTAGATTGTCTTTTAAAAATTTGGCAAAAAAAAAAATAATAAAATCAAACAACTAAAAAAGAAATCATTAATAATACTTGCCTCCTAATAATATAATCATTGTCTAAAGCAATAAAAGAAAACTCCTTAATATTTCACACTTTTCATCAATATATATAACATAAATGATGATGATGATGATGATGATATAACTGTATGCTTGGAGAGGAGAGCGGGAGGAGGAAACGTGATGCGAGGGGACGGAGGGAATTCCAAAATATACATTAGATAGAAGCTCTTTGTTTAAGTGAAGGAAAAGATTACATTATTTCATTTCTCCGCATGCTCTCTTTGTCTTCTTTTGAAGAGCGAACAAATAAATGTATTATTGTTTTTGGCTAATTTAGCCTGGTCAGGTGAGAGAACGTTGGATCCATCTAGTTAATATTCTGCTGCCTTAACCCTCTTTTCTCTGTCTCCCTAACATTTCCACTAAATTCTGTACCAATTCGTGACGGTTACTTTGTTCTTTCCTTTTTCTAAACCGGATAACCAACCCTCTGCTGCTGCCGTTGTTATTTTTTCTTCTCAACAGAGAGGGAATTTTATTTTATTATATTTTATTTTGCTCCCTCATAGTGCAAATGGTGCTTCAAAAAAAACAAAAAACAACCGGACAGAATCAAATAATCTTGCATTCTCAAATGAGGGTTTAGGGTATGAAGAAGTTAGGGTTAAAGGGCTTCTTTTTATAGAGACACACATACATGACTTGGAAATCCATAATAACCAATAGAGCTAGAGAACCCTTAAAAATACTGAAATGTGTTCAAACGTTGGAATAAAGAGAAGTGAATTAGTAATCTTGAGAAAAGTTTAATTAAATCTGTTTAACTTCACGAAATTAAATGAGCGTAGTTCTTACTTGATAATAATTAATGTAATGGAATACAATATATTTGCAACCCTTAAATTTGTATTAGTTAATTCTTATTCCAAAAGAACTAACATTGAAGTATAAGTTTCTTCCTTTTATCTCCCCTTTTTATGATCTTGCAGATATGAAAAACACATATATAGAAAAAAGGTGCCGATATTTAGATATATATGTTTTTCATTTTGCCCGGCGGCTAAACCTTGCTAATATATATATGCATTCCTTTGTTTTGAGTACCAACTCCACAAAATAATACAACCAAATAAGAGAGAGAGATGAAACCTGAAAACATCCTATATTATACAGTTTCACATACTGTTCCACAATTAGGACTGTTTCTGGTAGGGCAATATATTATATTTTACCTGGTATCATTACTCATATACAAATTATCTCAATCATTACAAGAAGTATTGACTAATAATAGCCGGTTACCATTTATAACCGGGTTTCTCAATCGGCTCGTTCAAGATTTAACAGATTATCTAGTGTACACTGTACTCTATATGTTACAATATAGTCCTCCAACTCGCAAGACACTTTATTCCTTACTGTTTAACGCGATGTATTACTCAACTCACTAAATATTCCTTATATTGCTATCAATATACACACGTGTATATATATATGTGTGTGTGGCTATAATACCAACCCTAATAAGTTGGTAAGACTAAACCCTATAAAGGATCGTGAAACGCATTCTTTTTCCTCCTGCCAGAATTTTGTCACTCAAAGCAAGAAGCGGAGACGGCTTCCTTTCATTTCATTCACAGAAACAGAAAATGAAAAATTGACGCACCCCGGTGTCTGGGTGTCCGGTTTCTCGAGAATACAAACTGTTAGAATAATTAATATAGATGATCTATATATTTGTGTTTCCATTATCTCTCTTTCTTTACTGGCAGTTCCGATTATTTATTTTACTTATAGATTTATTATATATACCACTATTCGTTGCTCAAGTAGTAACAGCCTCACTGAACTAAGCCTTTGGTTTGATTGAGTCTTCCTTTTGATAAAAATTTGATCGATGACACGTCAATGAGGAAATCAAATTAAGTAATAAAACATCTTGTTTTTATTTTTATATCATACGTAAAATAGTTGTGAAAATTTGATATTATGATTTAGTAATGATTTAATATTATACATGTACAGAAAAGCTTTTCTTTTTTACTTTTTACTCATTTTCAATATCCATGTTCGAATAACATAGAAATGGATTCCCCATTATGAATACGACGAATGGCTTCTCCGAATACACGAGATACATCTATGATATCTACACGATCATTACCTAGATGCTCAACAGTTTGTTGTTGTGGAACAGTATTTGCAACAACTAATTGATCGATCTCTGATGCAGCAATACGTTCTAATGCATCACCACTAAATAACCCATGTGTAATCAAAGCATACACTTTAGTGGCACCTTGTTCCTTTAATAATCTAGCAGCTCTTGTAATAGTATACGAAGTATCCACTAAATCATCAACCACTATACATACTTTATTACGAACATCCCCGACTAACATAGTAGTTTGCACAAATTTGGAGGATTCTGAATTAATAGAACTAACAGATGAACTGCTTGAACTACGTCTTAAATTAGTAATCGGTTGTGACACTAATGGTCTGTTGGAGACAGGTAATGTACCACCACTGGTTAATGTAGCATCAGGTGGACCTTTCAATAATTGCGATCTACGTTCTTTATGAATTAAAGCAAATGATAATTCTAAAGCATCTGCAATTGCAGTGGCACGTTTTGCACCACCTGCATCTGGAGAAACAATCACAGCATCTTCATAATTTGGAATATTATGTTGAATATAATTCTGTGCTAATGGCTTACAATATAAATTATCCACAGGAATATCAAAAAACCCAGGATATTGACGATCATGAAGATCCATGGTAATAACATGATCTGCACCTGCCTCGGTCAATAGATTGGCAATCAAAGTACCAGCTTGTACTACCCATAGTTTATAACCTGCGTTTTGTGCATTAAACAAATCTTCAGCATCACCGTTAGTATGACTGTTTTGTAATTTTGAACCTGGAATCATTGGGATTCTAGAGAATGACTTTGAAGATGTTAGTTCAGGTGCACGAACTGGTTGAGGACTCTCAAGATTAATCGTAGATCTAATGACACTGTTCAAACTTTTGAAAGAAGAATCGGCACCTGGTCTTCTAGTAGTCAATTTGGCTTCACCTTCCTTTTGAGGTCTATGGATCACTGGAGCACCCTTTGCTGTGTATGGAATATCTGGTTGTCTAGAGTAACAGAAATATGGCATCACAGCAGTGACACGAGATGCAGATGCACTCTTACAAGCACTAATCAAGATCAATAATTGCATGAATGCATCATTGACTTGACCACACCCACTTTGAATCACATAAACATCCTTTTCACGTACAGACTCATTGATACTGATACTTGTCTCACCATTAGAGAATTTACCTAAATGAACCTCTGAGGCCTTGATATTTAGGTTGTCGCAAATCTTCGAAACCAAATCAGGGTGGGAATCACCACCAAACACTACGATGTTACTCATTACCCTTAACAGATTCTTTTGTAGTCACTGGTCTATCTTAATCGTATATTGTTTCAATGGTTAGTCTTGCTCTCTCTACCTCTGCTCATCGCAAATTTCTTATAATTTATTGAAATTTTAACAACTAAAAGAAGAAAAAAAAAAGTTTTTTTTCAGTTGAAAAACTGCGAAAAAAATCTGGGAATCACGTGGCTCATTGGCCAAAAATATGACACAAATATATCGGTAATGGTATGGAAATACCTTGGTTTCTTAAATCATTATTTAATCATATTACATTATTCGAAAGGTCATCCCAAGCTGAAGAAGACATAGTAGAGTTAGATCTTGATTTGTTCATTAGATTTAGCGGCATGTAGAGAGATGTAGTTGTAGCTTGAGTTCTAATGTCAAAATAAAGCAAAAGATATTATTCTTTTCTATTTAATTGTGAGTGGTTTGTTATTATTATATAAGACTTACAAAACGAATTGGATCTAACTTAGAAGATGAGTTTAGAATTCCATGTCTTGATATATTATTTATTTCCTTGTAATTCTGTTTCGCTTATTACCTAAAAGATTATTAACTAATGAAGTATTTAATCATTATTAGGACTTCTGAGATATCTCATGCTCACATAATTTCTCTGACATTCCAAAATAGGAGTTTTTTCAGTATATCAATTATGGATGTCTGAATTGTCGTGTTTCTATACGGACATTCGAAGTCACTCTTTTGAAAGAAGATTATGTTTTTCAAAGCAAGAAAAAATGAGACGGTTACTTTCATATTATATATCAAACGTATACAACTTCAAAAATACTAATTTCCTTTATAAAGAGCACTTACAGAGAACGAAAAAAGGTCTGATGTGCCAGCTATTTTCATATCCTTCTTCCTTTCTAGTTATAGCGTATATATATTTTCAATTAGTTACTGGAGTAATGCTTTTTTTGATCAGACAATTATTAAAAGTTGAAATACATTCCATTTCAGTAAATCTAAATATCAAACGGGTCAACCCTAACTGTAACCACAAACACCATTGAACTCTTGGTTTTCTCAAAGACCATCGTAATGAAACACTAATACAAACGAAACTACCACTGAAAACAATATAAACCACTCAGCGAAACAATAATTTTTCATAAAGAGTGTGGTATTTGGGTAATCACCAAACACATCATCGGTTGTTACTGAGTGCGAATTATCTACCCGTTCAGCACTGTTGTTGTTACCTGTTTCCATAAGTAGAAGCAACAAAACGCAACTGCTGCGTTTCACGGCCCCCAATCATTCCTCTCGAGACAGCCATTTTGCAGCCAAAAGAAAAATGTGATGGCTACAAATAAATATAAATTACCTCGACCTCCTCCTACCGTGGGATTCTCTTCTCTCTTGGTTGAGGACTGACCACTTACCGTATATGGCAAATGAATAATAGTGTCTCATTCTCGCTTGTACAGCATTTCCACCGGCGAAGCGAGCAGTTGCTCGTCGTTCATTTTTGTTTTTCTTTGGCTCAAGGGGGAAGGGATGAGCTGCTGCTGGTGCTGCTGGGTAGTGCTGCTGATGACATAAATTCCTCTAGTTTGATTATATTATCAAATAAGAATACGATAAGAGGGATGGCTCAAAATATACAATACAAGAACATACTGCCTGTTGTTGCAGAACACCTTTTAGGAACAACAACGATTCTACGGTTCCGGGATGCATCAATCCAGGCTACTCCCTGTTTTCACATAGTTGTGATCTTCTGATTTTACATCCCTTCAATGTCTCAAGACTGTAAACTTACTTGATACTATATATATATATATAAATGGTGTCGTTCCTCTAAGTAAAAAATAATTGTTTCTATAATTGGCAACCTCCCCACTACGAAACTAAACATCTACAAAGATGAAAAATTCAATATTATTCCTATTAGTTTCAATACTCTCCACAATTGTCACAGCTGCTGATACTTCAGGTACCTCAGGTAAGATTCAATTTTCTGGAGTCGGTTACGATTTTACCTACAAACCAATTAGTAAGATCAATAACAATGATAAAAATTGTTCTTGTGAAATTTCAGACAAAGAGGAATGGTTCACTGGTACAAACGCTCCATTCTCTGAATATTTAGCTGTTCATATAAGAGGTCCAATAAAATTATCTAAATTCGCTTATTATACTTCACATCATTTCTCAATTGACGATAACTCTTCTACTAATTGGAATCGTTCTGCTTTATTCGATAATACAAAGGATTTTGTAGTGATGGATAATATCACTTTTCTAGGTCATCAAGGTAAGGATTCTAATTGTTTAGGGAAAGCTTTAACTTATGTGGGAGAAGATGCTATAACACCACAGAAGACAAATACTGCACCTAGTAAATATATGCAAGATTTGTCAAATGTAGAATATATTATGTATTCTAACATATCATGTCCTAAATCTAGTGTCAATGGTGGATGTGGTGTTTACCGTAGTGGTATTCCTGCATTCTATGGGTTTGGTGGTGTCACCAAAATGTTTTTATTTGAGTTTTCTATGCCAAATGATTTAGAGGGTAGCAATCACACATCATATTACAATGCTCCAAATATTTGGTTAAGTAGTGATTCACAACCAAGAGTCACAAGTGAATCTGATTATCAAGGTTACTGTTCCTGTGTTTTCCAAGGATGTGGCGAAATTCAAGTCTTTTCAGCCAATGCTACCAAGATGAATTCTTCCATTGCTACACTTCAAGGTTTAAACGGTACCAGTTCTGACAACTTTTACTCCATGTTCTCTAATATGTACGGTCATGGATCCTTTGATAGACCAATTAATACTACTGCAACTGGTGGTATCCTTTTTGATTCTGAAGGGAATATCGTGACGTTCATATCCTCAGATATTACCTTTGATGAGGAATTGACTGCAAGTTCAATTAACGCTATATTAGCAAACATCCCTGAATTAGGCGCAACAAAACAATTGAAGGCTGGCGTTAAGAGTGCTCCAACCTCTACGGCAAGTCGTAATAGTGCTAATTTAACACCCTCCAAGGTAAATGATTGGATGTATATTTTTACAATTGCAACCACTTTACTACATTATATAATGTGGTAATAATAGTAAAATACATTTATGTATATATATTTCGATGTATTTATTACATAATTAAAACCTATTCAAGTTAACTGTTAGATTAAAAGCTGAAGGGGGTTTTCTGTAAGGTCAAGAATCTAGATTGGTCCCTCGTACAGGACAATTGTTTAAAGTAAGCATCATCAGTCTTAACAAAAAAAACAAAGATCAATCAAAAGTAATCGTCTTGAATATACGATGTTCAATGGTGTATTAGAGTTATGATTGTTGTAAACTAGGGCCTGCGAAACATATTAAGTTCTTATTGCTCTGACCTCATTTTTCCCTTGAATATATGCCGATCGTTACGACGATTTTTTTTCATTTGGGCATCTATCTCATCCCTTGACCTTTATAATAAGAATTGAAATATATTTGAGAGGGATGAAGACAACAAGGGATACACACTATTCAATTACTTCAGGAACTATTCCCATTTCCTAGTTTATATAAAAATAGAATTTTTTTATTGAAAATTATTGGTTTCAGTTCCATTTCAAATCAAGTAGACAGCCATCACATAAAATAAACACTAATAATGAACAAAATCACAATTATCTTTTCACCATATCATGTAGGAGAACGTGACTTCCGTGTAGGTAATGGTCCAAAAAGAATTCTTGGTTTTGGTATCGTTGATGTCCTTGAAAAATTAGGGTATGAAGTGGATATTGTAGAAATACCAAGAGTCGATGAATATGAAGGAGAAATTGGGAAAAGTTTTGAAATTTTGAACAGAACCTCAGTAATAGTGAAAAATGCAATAGCTAATGGTACTTTCCCATTGATATTATCAGGTAATTGTATGGCTACCGCAGCTGTTGCATGTGGTTTAAGAGAAGAAAACCTTGGATTTATATATTTTGACGCACATGATGACTTAGATTCTCCAGATGTAAACACTAATGGCTATTTAGATGCCATGGGCCTGTCCATGTTACGTGGTGAAAGTTGGAAAGCTCATATGTCTAAAGTTCCCTATTTCAAGCCTTTAACTTTTGATAAGTTTCTTTATTGTGGTCTACGTGCTTGTGATGAAATTCAAAAACAACGTGTGAAGGAAGCTAATATGGACATTATTTGGGGTGACGAAACTAAAAAAGTGGATTTCATAAAGGAAGTAAAAACTCAACTGCAAAAGAGAGATTATAGTCCAGCTGTGGTTCATTTAGATCTGGATTGTTTGGATGCTGCTTATGGTAAAGTTAATGATTTCCCATCCGAAGGTGGACTGTATGAAAATGAACTCTTAGAGTGTATGGGTATGGTTCCAGAGTATTCAACACCACGTTCTTTAACTATTTGTTCATTTGATCCAGATTGTGGTGATGGTGATAAAATAGCTCAGATTGCTGTGGAGGCTGTTAAAAGATTCTTCACCAGTTTAAGTAAGAAGAAGTGAACATCTGAATCTTTTAGAAACCTGACGTTTATAATTTAGGAGTAGATGAACATTAACAGTCATGATGTGATTTCTTCTTGTTCCACTTCTACTTGTTACATACAGAATTTTCCATATATTTTTAGACTGATTATTATTTATTACTTATTTAAGAATATATTAAACTATATTAAAGTATCAAACTATCAAAATTACTAACTCATGAATAGAGACACTTGATAACCATCAGATTCCAAGGCCAAGCTATATTAATATATTTGTTTATCTGTTTGCCTGTTCATTGTCTTAAATCTCTATAAAACTCCTAACGAGTTCTAACGAGTTCTAACGTATCGCTACATAATGCGACCGGCCCCAATCTTCACTTCACAATAATTTTTCACTTTTAAGAATTGTTGATATATAAATAAATAGATAAATAGACTAGAATAATCCTGTGATTCTGGAAACAAACGCAAAGAACGCTAGTTGATATAATTAGGAAACCAGCTATTAGAGAATGCTCAGTGCAGTATTGATATATACTCCTCGTGGGGAGCTTGTAGTTTCAAAGTTTTATAAAGGATCAATAAAGAGATCAATTGCAGATATATTTAGGATCCAAATAATCAATAGTCTCGATGTGAGATCACCGATTCTTACTTTGGGTTCCACTACATTTCATTATATTCGTTCAACTAATAATATGTGGTTAGTGACAGTGAACAGAAATAATACCAATTCGGCAAGAATATGGGAATTCTTATACAGTTTGAACTCTATTCTGACGATGTATGCTATTGATAATAGTGAATCCCTAAAGGAACAGTTCATGATTGCCTATGAGGCACTAGGGATCATGCTATTGGAGACTGGTATTATAGTAGAAACAGAATTGACGTCAGTTGTGAAACAGATGTCCCAGAAACCAGTTAGACCTGAATTAATTACAGAAGGGAGTATTTCATCGCATAAAAATAATAACAGTCACAATAATCATAATAATGCATCTAAAGTTTTCCCAAATTTTTTGAAACCTAATGCTGTAAATAATGTTACAAGAACGCTATCAACTAGTGTTTCTTCAAAGAAGATGAACAAGAATGAAGTGGTCCTATATGTTAATGAAAGAATTAATATCTTAGTCGCGAAAGATGGTTCTATATTAAAATCTTACGTCGATGGTTCTATTGATTTAATGAGTCATCTACAGGGACAACAAATATGCCAGTTTGGAATAAACGATTCAATGGCTGGGAGGGCAATGCCTCGTGGCGCTGAAACTGCGCAATCTGTACCGACATCGGCTGCAACTAGTGTAGAACTAGAGAATTGCAAATTTCACCAATGCGTCGATCTCGATAAATTCGAACAGGAACATATAGTAAGGTTTACACCACCGGAGGGCTCTTTAGAGTTGATGAAATATCATGTGTCTAAGAATCTCAATCTACCATTCAAGATCACTCCTACTGTTACTGTTATGACTTCCCCAAGAGATGGTACAAACTCTTGTGGTGTCGATTTTAGAATCAATCTCAAATCGTTATTTCCTTCAAAGCTATCGGCTACAGATGTTCAGTTGAAGGTGCCTGTACCACTAGGGACTATAGATTGTCAAATTAATGTTACCAATGGTTCTTGTAAATTTGTCCCAGAAGAGAACGTCATGTTATGGAAGTTTAATAAATTCCAAGGTCTAACAGAAAATATGCTGAGCGCATTCACTGTATGCTCAAAGGACACTACAGAACTCTCATTACAACAGTGGTCCAGACCACCGATCTCACTCGAATTTGAATTGTTAATGTTTAGCAATTCTGGCCTTGTAATTCATTTCTTCAATGTTCTTCCATCAAGAGATCCGACTGCATCAATTCGTACAATCAAATGGATTAAATACATCTCGAAATCGGGAGCATATGAGGTCAGATATTGAGATATGTTGTATATATTATATATAAGTACCCTTTTTAAAAATACACATCTTCTGTAACGATAAATGCAAACAAACTATCATTGTTCTCCCAGGGAGCTATCATCATCACCTTTGGGAGAAATGTTTGAACGTTCATAATTTAAAGAAAAAAAATTAATAAATATTCGTAGATTAATGACTCTAGTAAGAGACAGACAAAAGACATCAGGAACAGCCATATGAACTAGTTAAAAGTGTGTGTATCTTGAAATTGAGGTCTCAGACAACTTCTCTTTAAAGAATGAACAGTGACACTGTGCAAGAACGATTTGCTAACTGGCTTTTAGTACATCGTATCGCCTACAAAGTGTCAATCACTGATTCGTTGCCATACGATGCTGACATGTACACAGAGATAAATGATCTCAACAATGTTGGAGTTTACCAGAAAAAGAAGATAAGGCATTATTATTTAGACAAAAGGTTTCCTGATCCCACATGCTTCCTTCCATCCGCTGCATTTTACCGAATTAAGGCCTTTTATAATGATCTGGAAACATTCTCAATAAATAAGGACCTAACAGTAACAACCGATCATGGTGAACCGTTACTGGAATACATCCGAACTGAAGGTATGGGTGATTTTGAACCAGTGTGGTCTGATACAAGAATACAGGACCCAGCAACCATGTTCTTACCTAATAATCAAAAACTAGTTGTTGAGAAAGTTGAACGTCATAATATACCATACAGATTATCCGATTCAAGGACCCCATTACTCAATTTTAATAATAATTTGTTATGTACATATGGGGAATGGGTTATTGTAGTAGTTGGTTCCAAAATTCTTAGGTTTAAGATGGATGATGATATTGACGGAGATGTCACGGAGACTAATAAATCATTTGATTTGTTTGATCTATTATCTTTAGATCTTCCATCTGGTATCTCAGTTGGAGACTTCATAGAACATGATATTTTCACAAAAACAGACTTGCTACGTGTAAATTTTATGAAGGTTTGTAAATTTCAATCGCTGGATGTTCTTTGCTTTTGTACAGAAGTTGGCATCGTAATTATTATCGACTTGCCACATTGGATACTACACAGCAGTGACTTATTGGTAACGTGTGGCTATAAAGTTTGCGAGGATGCTACTCCTTATTCTAAATACGCAGCCCTCCCGATTGCCATACTGGATGTGACGCATGGTGCTTGGAGTTTAGATATTATCCAATTAAGTTCAGAAGTATCTATTGTAGCGATTGGTCATAATGGTCCCGGGATATCTATCTTTAGATTTGAAGGTGCATATGTAGAAAGCTCAGGTACTTTATCGACACCGCATAATGTTCCTTGCCTTAATTTTATACAAGACTCGCTAGATTTGCAAGGGTATGTCACATTAACGTATGTTACTGTGAAAGGTTCTATCAGTGTAATAAAGGTCAGATTCACCCAAGAAAAGCTGGATGTGATTCATTTGGATACGCAACTGGTTGATGAAATGGTTTGGACTGTAACTCCATTAAGGAGATCTGATTTCTTGCCCGTACCGACGTTTGAATTGTTAAATCTGAACTTCAAAGAATTTTTTAAACAGTCCATCCTTTCATCAGTAATAATGGATACAATGGTTTTAAATGGGGAGTTACCAAATCCTAGTATATCTAATCGCTTAGGTCCTGGGACATTAACAACTCAGATCCCAGTTCCGACTTCGAATTTAACATGGAGATGTATCGGCGGAATGCCAGATACACATGTAAACTTAAGATTTACCACATTTGATATATATGGACAAATAGACTCTGCAACATTGATAAAGGGTGATCATGAGGGGTTTGATTGGTTGGTATTAAACGAACGTACTGAGCTAAGATCAAAAGAACGTGTAGAATTGGATGAGAGAATTAACCCCATCAATCACTATTATTTAGGAAATACTTCAAAAGAAAGTTGTAATTGTTTCAGTGGGACTGATACTCAAAGATATGAAAAACTATGGAATGGTGGCTTCTTAATCAAACCTTGCTCAAGACCTAAGTCTAGCTCTAGTACCGCCCTCAGTTTAAGGTCAGAGACACCCATAAACAATACTAATTTTAAATTTGCATATTTTCCTTTCCAAGCAGAGGAAGATGATTTGGAGAGCTACTATCCTCAAAGAAAATTTAAAGATATGACATATGAATGGAAAGTTAGGAGACAGAATAGCCGGCATGAGTGGTCAGTATTTCACAGGTTAGATGATCCCACAGTTAAGAAGCCTGCTGAACCTGCAATGGCACAAAAAACGTTATCACCCTTTTCGTTAGGTATGGAGCCCCTTTCTAGGAAAGGATTCGATAATGATGGTGCATTGGCAAGTAAAGAAAGGTCAGTTTCTATTAGCAACGAATATATGGACGCAGCTCCGTTTAGGACAACAATTTCTGCTGGCACCACTGACAGCCATTTTGATAACAATGAAGATAATGGCTTGAATCGTAGATTAGAGTATGCCCATGAGCAACAAGGTCAATGGTTTCTTCATAACCACGTCTCTAAAGTAAGAAAATTAATGAAATATATGAATTTGAAAAAGGAAGATCTAGTAACACAAGAAAATAATGAGAAAAAAGTGATTGATTCAATAGACGATAACGATATATTATTAGTTACCACAGAATCACGTATACTTTTAATGAAATTGTTTCCATTAATAATAACATCCTTCACAATGGACGAAATTTTCCCACTTGAGGACGTTACTGTATGCATTCCCCATTCATTCATGGACTCCATTAATAGGATCAATTTTGTCTGTTTTATTAAGGAACTGAATTGTATTGTTGCGGCTTCCCAATTAGGCCTAGTATCATTATTAAGATTAACAGAATACAAAGGTATCCTGTCATTTAGACAAGAATATATACTAGGGTGGCAATCACAAGACCCACAGCGGCCAATTGATGATAGAGATGAATGTATCAAGGATACTATGAAAGGTCGTCATGGAGACGGTATTACTTGTGGAGTTGATGATGTTGCGTTCCGGTTATTTAATATTATCGGTATGGATTATACTTATAAGCCTTATGATAGAAGAAACAAAACTGGTGGTTATGCTATCTTATTTTTGAATTCTCATGGAGAACTGCATCGGTACAAAATATCACCAGGAGATTCTCGTTATCATGTATGATAATATTTCTTGTTATATTCGGTTTTCTTTTTAGTTATTTATTTATTTTTGATTCAGTAGTAATCGTACTTTGGGGAAGTTTTCGCTAGAAAAAGTTTGCTATATATCTATATATATTAATAATATAACAAAATGATATCTAGATCGAGTGTCGTTAAGTTCTCATAAAATGAGAGGTTGGTATAGAAGTTACAAGATTACCTTGGACCGAATTTAGCCATAGATTGCGCACCACCTTCTTGCCATTCTTGTTTAGATAGCCACATGTGATCCTTATCAGCCATAATACTAGCTAACACGGCACCACCAATAAACACCATATGCTTTCTTCTTGGAGGATCCTCGATTCTCACTTTGAATTTATCAAGCCTTGAAGGATCATTGTGTAATACTCTGGTGTACCATAGTTGCTTCAATTCTTTTTCTAATCTTGAAGGTAACCCTGGGTACATACTTGAACCACCTGACAAAACAATGGCTTTGTACAAGGAAGATCTCACATCGACATCTGCAGATTGGATGGTGTTGAATAATAATTCTCCTACACCAGCTTGTTCGACATCAACCAAATTTGGTTGGAACAAACATTCAGGAGCCTCAAATCTTTCTTGTCCTACTTTAATAATTCTACCGTCAGGTAATTCATAATCCTCAACCAAAGTTGTAGTCTCACGAGCTAGTTTAGTATCAAGATCTAAATCATACGATACGTAACATACCTTCTCTTTAATTTGGCGCACAGTTTCGAAATCTGCTGTACGATTGAAGGTATACCCACGACGTGACAAAAGATCAATCATGTGTCTGGTGACGTCTCTACCAGCGACGTCAAGTCTTCTGGTCAAGTGATTCAACACAACCGATTCATAAACTGGAACAATATGCGTAACACCATCCCCTGAATCAACAACGACACCAGAGGACAAACCTTGAGCATATAAAGCTAGCACTGCCTGGATCGCCACGTAAACTCCACCAAAATCGTATTTTTCAAACATAACTTCACACATCTTTTCTCTATTTTTCAAAGGGTTCATAGGTGGTTCTGTTAGAAGAATTTTCCCGTTACTAGTAGTTGGTAATTTCATTTGATTATAGAAAGCATAATCCCATAGCAATTCCATATCGGTCCAATTCTTAATGATACCATTCTCCATCGGATATGAAATTTGTAAATATGAACGTACTTCACTAGCCTCATCACCAATCATAATATCCTTTAAGGGGGTATTAGCAATGGCACGTTCTTCAGCTCTTAAAATGGGTCTCCCGACGATGGATGGGAATGTGAAATCAGGGAAGTTCTCTCCGGCTCTACCGATCTTAACAAAACCGGTACCTTGATCTAAAACAATAGGGCTGTGTGGATCCATTCTTAATATTAACAGTCAGGTATCAAAAAGATGCAATGACTATCAATTGACTATCTAATTCTTTCCCAACCTTCTTTTGTTCCCTTTTTACTAAAATCCTAATGAGTAAGTTCTCTCATACTTTTGCCCCTTTTAACAAAGTACGATTTCTTTCTTATTCGGAAACATTTTTCGTACTTCGTTGCAAAATAATGGCAGTCGTTGAAAGTGATATCTACAACAGACCTTGACGTTGCAACTCCAGGAAATCTTCATGAGACAAGACGTTGCCCTCACGGTCCTCTACTTCCTCGACAGAAGTAGTATTGGCTATTGTTATGTTTGTGGTTGTATTGGTTGTCGTATTAGCTAGTGAGTTTTGCAGTTCTTGAGCCTCGTGAATCGTGGCAATACCGTTGAATGTAGCAGATGGTTCAATCCCAAGACAACGTAATCTGTATTGGTGCTTCGGATCATGGAAATGACGTAAGAACTGACGTCTACCTTGGAAGGATTCGTTACCACAAATTTCACATGTGTAGTTAACGTCAAGGCCTTGTAACTTGTACAACCAGAAGGGCATTGGCACACCATCTGGCCCCACGGGCATTCCAAGTGCAGCCGTTGAAGTACTATTTGTACCTTGAGAATCTTCTTCTTCATCATTATCATCATCATCTGGTGTACAGGTAGGTGCATTATAAGTGCTATCAAGTTCTTGAATTTCTTCCATTCGTTCTTGAGCAGTAAATGCTTGTTTTCTTTCAATGAGAGTTTTGGTGCTAGTGAATTCATCACGAAGTAACGATAAATATTTGTGTAATTTATACTCTGCGAATAATTCTTCTGATCTTTTATTCAATTGTTTCAGATGTGGTTTTCCCTTTGTATGGTTTTCAAACACAGCTTCACCTTTGAAATGTTTCGAACAAACAACACAAAATAACCGTGTATCATTGGGGTCCAAAGGTTTGCTTATGTAATCTTTAAAATCATGTTGCAAATGACTGGTTGCTACAGTCTTATCTATAATACAATATTTTCTGTGGAAGAAACCCTCGATGTATAATGATAATTTTTTCACGAAATCCATATATCTGGAGCTCTTACGATCCATGGGTGGTTTCTTTAAATATTCTTCCTTATCCATGAAACATTCAAATTGCGATAAATATTGAAGCAAAGTACATTCTGTATTTTTACTGGCCTGTACCCATTCTGAATGTAAGGGTTCTAAGTCCATATACTCACCATATTGTTCTTCTCGATTGAAGATATCATTGATATGTAAACCTGCTGCTCTAACGGACAAAATAGTAGTGGGTCCCGACTTCATCGCATACTCCTTGGTCTTCGGCTCCAAGTTTGATACCAATTTATCATTCGATTGAATATTATCTATCTGTAATTTCAATTGTTCTAATTTATCTTCATTTGAACTTTCATTTTGTGGTAATTTGGAAATTTTGTTCAATTCACTTAATTTTCTATAATAATCATCTAGAAATAACCTCATTTCATGCATTTGAGCCTGCACTTGTTTCGATGACCTATGAGGCTTGCTAGTCCTGTATATTTTATTACTAACCATTTGTTTTGAAGGTGGTAGATGAACTTTGGTATGACAAAGCGATTGCAATTTATCCAAACTCGAGTAATAAAGCTCTGGATTGCGCTGTAATCTTTGACTTATCGCATCTTCAATAATCTCAAGGTCCTCATTGAGTCCTAATCTCTGCTCCAAGTGTGTCATTGTTCGTTTTACTTGGCGATTTTAACCTTTATGTGGCTTTGTTTCTAATACTTTAAAAGTCAAAAGTTTTTTTTTATTTTTTATTTTAATATACAAATTTTAACTATAAGAAATGCGATGCTATGAATAGAATTATAAATAAAAGAATTATAAAAAGAATCAAACAGAAATGAGCTCAAGTATTTCAATACTTCCTCTTCTTCGATGGACGGGCATTCTTAGCCTGTTTCTTCTCTTGTTGGATACGATCCTTACGGATATCAGCTGTGGATCTTAGTTCGCTTCTTGGAGCTCTTCTACCATTGTAACCCTTGACAGATGCACCTCTCTCAACAGCAGCAGTAACCTTCTTCTTTTGTTTGTGGTAATCGTCTCTGTGCTTATCAGGCATACGTGGGGCCTTCATCTGTTTATGTTTGAATTTACCACGCATTGGGCCGCTATTGTTACTTGTTGGATCAGATAATAGGTTAGATGGTACTGCATCCTCACGAGCTCCGACCTTCAATGGTTTTAATTTACGAGCCTTGGACCAGTCATCGAACTTACCCGATTTGAAACTGGCTGCAATCTTTTGTCCACTCTCACCAATAATATATTTCTTATTGTCAATACCTTGCATATTAACGTACTTCTTACGTTTTTTATCCCATTTAACGGTAGCATTTTGTTTGTGCACTTGAACCTTATCATCATTATTCAAATCATACATTGCATCCGCAGCATCGTTTGTGAACCCACTCGTTAGTTCCAATTGCTTATCTTGAATGACCCCAACAGGAGCATAATGACTCAAGAAGAAGTTAGGATCCTTGTATGATTTACGACTTTTCTTCTCCTGTTGATCCAACAATACATCACCGTCTTCGAATTGGCTTACAGCATCCTGTGAGACTGTATAACCTGCCTCATTTTCCTCACCTCTAAGAATTTCATCTTCAATGTTATGTGTTAACCCTGCAAGTCTTTCCTTCTCTAGCAATTCTTTCCTTTCGGCAGCTCTTCTTCTGATTGGTTCTAATTGTTTCCGTCTTCTCTTCATGAAGATCGACATTTCATCATCTGGGTTTCTAGCAAACTCAAAAACTGTTTCTTTGTTGTGTCTATTTTGCAATTTAGCTAAGAAATCAAGTTTTTCCTTTTCAGGATTCTTACCAAACATGACATTTTGGTCATCCCAACCTGAGCTAATAATCTCTTTACTTCTTTTAACAGACTCTGGTGAGGCAGATGTACGTGTTCTGAAATACAATTGCTCTGCCTTTATTGCTACCCCACGGGCAACTCCCAAATCGAAATTCGATTCTAAGATATTCTTATATAGATCCCCACATCCTTCAAGTTCAAGTCTTGGACATGCACCTAATACAATACGTTTAGTGTATGGGATTGGAGGTGCTTTAAACAACAGTTCTTCTTTACCGTCTTCAACCCATTTCTTCTTCAATATATTAGCGGTAGCATCATACATCTGAGGTAATAGCACTTTTCTACCTAAGAATAATTCCAAATCCAACAAGTATGGCAATTCATTATCGGAAACAATGGAGTAAGCCCAGCCTCGGGAACCAGCTCTAGCAGTTCTACCAACACGATGAACAAAGATCTTGGATGATGAAGGTAAGGAGTAATTGATGACATTAGCTAACAATGGAATATCCACACCTCTAGCGGCAACATCTGTCACAACCAGGATTGGGGTCAATCCAAGTCTGAAATTGTACAGTTGAGCCTTACGTGCATGTTGATCTAAGGTACCATACAGATATGATACCAAGTAACCAGTATCTCTTAGCAATTGAGAGATGTACTCTACATGATGACGTGTTGGTACAAATAAGATTGTAGCCTTTTCTGATGGTAACTCGTTAGCAGATGGCATTCTTTGTTTCTTAAATTTTCTGTACCTCTTGCTATGGTTGTTACCTTTCTTCTCGTTGTCAGAATCATCATCTTCATCATTCATGGCATCAGTGGCCTCTTTAAATTGCTTGATATCCTCAGGGGTAGCAATTGGAATCTTAATAATTTCTTGTAATGTATAAAGTAATGTAGCTTCTCTTTCATCATTCTTAGTGGACAAGAATAACATTTCTAAATCATCTGATATCTTTGATTCCGCATCCAATCTGACCAACACTGGGTTCGTTAGACCAGCTTTGGCGAAATCCACCAATGAACTAGGTAAAGTGGCAGAAAATAATAACGTTTGTCTAGTTGAAGGAAATGCTGCAAGTAATTCATTTAGTTGGTCTTGAAAACCCATTTCGAATAATCTATCAGCTTCATCGAACACAGCGTACTCGATACTTTTCAAGTCCAAGTCCATTTCCACTTTCAAATGTAAGAATCTACCAGGAGTAGCAATGATAACGTCCGGGTTCCCCATCATCATGGAAAATTGGTCCTCTAGGGAGTCACCACCAGTTAACAAAACACCTCTCAATTGAGTTCCCTTAGCAAACTCCTTAAACACGTTGAATGTTTGCATAGCCAGTTCTCTTGATGGTGAAAGGATCACAGCCCTGGAACCAATCTTCCCTGAGTGGGTCTTCAACTTTTCTATCATTGGTAAGACAAAAGCAGCGGTCTTACCAGACCCTGTTCTAGCCATCCCAACAATATCTCTATTCTGTAAGATTAATGGAATAGTTTTCCTTTGAATAGGAGTTGGTTGACGGAACCCTTTACGACCAATATTACCCAGGATAAATTTGGAAAGACCAAATGAGGCAAAACTACCTTTCTTATGCTTTGTAGTTGCGGCATTAGTATTTGTGAAATAACTATTCACATCATCGTCATCGTCACCAGCCTTACTCTCCTCAGTATCAGATAATTCTAGTACAGGGAATGACATATTTTTCTTCTTCTTAACCACCGGAACCTTCTTCTTCGGTTTCTCTTCCTCTTCATTATCACTGTAGTCAATGATATCAGCGACTTCTCCAGATGATTCATCTTCACTTTCACTGCTGGACCCCATTACCAGCTCATTTGCAATATCGGCATCACTGTCACTATCGCTGTCATCTCTAGACCGTTTATAAGTAGTCACTGCAGCCATCGTGATTGTTCTCTTACCTTCCTTTATTATACCTTTGGCAAGTTCCTCACAGATCATCACCATCAGATTCCTCTTCTTTTTAAACTGAAATTTTTCAGCTCATCGCATCGCTATCGCAATTTGCACGAAAAATTTTCACTTCGAATGGAAACTGAAAGCACCGAAATGACCAAAAAAGATAGCAAGGGGAGATATACATACAAGATGATTAGGTTGCAAGGTTCTATTTCGAAGTATGTATATATGTTAAGATCTGGTACTTCGATAAGGTATGGGCGTGTTTTTGTTCTAATGACATTGTCGAGGTTGTAGTTGGGGTTTTGACTACTTTCTTGCCCATTGAACTACTACAATTTTTGAAGGGAACAGTTGCTCGTATCTAATTCATATGGGTAATTGTACTTGTTGTAGTTTGTTTTCTTTTACGTTAACGTTTAGTAATAACGTTTTATCAGTCATGTATATACTATTATTAATCCAGGGACAATATATATATATAATTAAGGAACTCCGACCGTGTTAAATTTATGCACAAAATCTTGAAAATGACATGGAATCTTGTGATAGCATTTACCAATATGACTATCTTCTTGGTATATGACTTGACATGTTAAAATCAACTTTATCTTCAGGTTGTTACCTTTATAATGGATAAATTACTATTTAATGGCTCATTTCACGTGATATGGGGGACGGCCTCTTTAGTGACGTCCAAATATCGAGAAAGATACATAATCGAACTATATAAATAGGGAACTGACAGAAAGAAAGAAAGAAATAAAAAACAGGAATGTTTCCCCAATTATATCCTCTTAACTTTGGGTAAATCTTCAATTGGTCATATAAAAGTGGTAACAATGTTTGAGAAAGAATTAAAAGTCGCTACTGAAGCTGTCCGTTTAGCCTCGCTATTGACCAAAAGAGTTCAATCCCAAGTGATTGCTCACAGGGAATCTTCTACTGTGATCAAATCAGATATGTCACCTGTGACTATTGGTGATTTTGCAGCCCAGACTGTAATTATCAATGCCATCAAGAGTAATTTCCCAGAAGATCACGTCGTTGGTGAAGAGACTGCCGAAGGATTAGATGATAAGTTTTTGGCTGAGATTTTGAATGTTATCAACGAGAATGAAGCAAATTTCCAACAATATACCAATGCTAAGGATGCTATTCTTTTCAAGAATGAACAATTTCCATTGAAGAACGTAAATGACGTCCGTAAAGTTATTAATTTTGGTGATTATGAAGGTGGAAGAACCGGAAGATTCTGGTGTCTAGACCCAATTGATGGTACAAAGGGATTTCTAAGAGGTGAACAATTTGCTGTGTGTTTAGCCCTCGTAGTTGATGGTATACCCCAAGTTGGCTGTATTGGTTGTCCTAATATGACTCTAGCTAACTATGGCTCCAAAGATTTGCAAGGTCATGAACCATTTGGATACATCTTTAGAGCAGTTAAGGGTCATGGTGCTTTTTACACTACTAACACTCTACAGGAACCTTGGGTTCAAATCCATGTGAGACAGTTGAAGGACACTCATGAGATGGTCACATTAGAAGGTGTCGAGAAAGCACACTCCTCTCATGATGAACAGGATGAAATCAAAAAGAGACTAGGGATCACACAATCCTTACATTTGGATTCGCAAGCTAAGTACTGTCTATTGGCTCTAGGACTGGCTGATGTCTATTTACGTCTACCAATCAATCTAAGTTATCAGGAAAAGATCTGGGATCATGGTGCTGGTAATGTCATTGTCTTGGAGGCGGGTGGCCAACATACAGATGCGTTTGAAGACGTTCCCTTGGACTTCGGTAACGGTAGAATTCTCGCTACTAAAGGTGTTATTGCATCAAGCGGTCCTCAAAAGTTACACGACCTAGTGGTATCTACCTCGGGTGATGTTATTGACACAAGAAAGTAAATTGCATCTCTTTAATGATTAAATAAGCTGATTATAGATATATATATATATATAACCTACTGAAAAAAAAAGATAAATATATGAGTAACATACTCATTATTGGCCTTGGCTCCAAGCAAGAAGAGGGTTGAAAGGTAGCAATAAAAAAGATGAAAGATATATCAATAACAACGTTTAACTGTGGGAAACACTTTCCTTACGATGAAAGAGTGCAACTCCAATCAGTATTGGATTGCTTGATCCCACCGAGTTCGGATCCCCTAGATTTATACGTAATAGGATTCCAAGAATTAGTAGAGATATGGGAAGGGTCATTTACTCAAATAGTTAATAATGGGTTGTTGAAGATTGCTGATGGGGTAGTTTCTTTATTACAGTTACGGTTTCCCGATGAACACTTTCAGGTCATAGCGACTTCGAATTTGGGTGCCATCGGTATGGTAATAGTTGGAAAACAATATTTACAGATAAGAGACATTCAGAAGGGCAATTGTTCAAGAGGGATGTTTTACTCAAACTTGAAAGGTGGTACTGCTATCCATATGAACCTGTTGGAAGATGATAGGTGGGAGAATTTTGTATTTATGAACTGTCACCTTGCGGCAAATGAAGGTGAATGGAACAGAGAATTAAGGGTTCAAGACCAAGATGCGATCATTAAAAGTTGTTTTAATCAGTTTCAGTTGGCTTCAATGTCTCGATCTCATGTATTCTTTTTAGGAGATCTCAATTTCAGAAATTTCAAGCAATACGATGCATACTCGACAGATTATTCAAATACGTACACTAGGCAAGAGATATTGCAAGAAATAGATGAATTGAACATTTTAAGACACAGAGGAACTATTTTTGAAGGGTTTGAGGAGCCACCTATTACATTCTTACCTACATTCAAGTATATACTGGATGGTACAAACAAATATAATCCAAAACGAGTTCCCTCATGGTGCGATCGAGTTCTATATTCCACTTATAATAGTAAAATTAAAACCAAGTATACGTCAATGAGGAGAGAACAGCCATTATTATTTAGTGATCATCAACCAGTGAATCTCACCGCCACCTTACCAGAATTGTACTACCCTCGACACGCAATAACGATAAGTTCGATAAGTACCAACCATGTAACGGATTTAGTTGACACAGTTATCGGATATACAGGCTGGATGGTTTCTTTAAGGGTACATTGGTGTATATTGGCTCTTTTGATTTTATTTATCATTTACAAAAAACTTATATAAGAAAGATTTGAAAAAAAAAAAAATTAACTTTTCAAATATGCTTGAACAACAGCAAACAACAGCAAGTATATACCAGACTGATAATCAACATGAGTCAAAACGAATTTGATGTGCATTTAGAACAAGAGATAGAACGTGCCAAGAAAGCCATTGAGACGAAGAAGCAAAGGAGAACTCAGGATAACAAGATCTCGTATGCTGACCAACAGCAGTTGAGAGATCACAATGGATTCAAATTAAAGCTAGTAGGTACTGATGCGTCTAAGAATAAACAAGTAGATCCTGATTACGAGGTCATTATCGATGGGCCATTGCGTAAGATTAAGCCATATTTTTTTACTTACAAGACATTTTGCAAAGAACGGTGGAGAGATATGAAACTTGTTGATATCTTTACCAGCGAGTTCCGTGACCGTGAACCTGATTATTATAGAAGAACTATTGCCAAAGGTGAGGTCCTTGTCAATGGCCAAGTAGCTAATTTGGATACCATTGTAAGAAATGGTGAGCTGATCACACATAAAATGCACCGTCATGAACCCCCTGTGACATCAAAACCAATAGGGATTGTTTTTGAGAACGATGATCTTTTGGTCATCGATAAACCAAGTAGTATTCCAGTACATCCAACCGGAAGGTTCAGATTTAATACAATTACAAAGATTATCGAGAAGGAAAGGGGGATTGTAGTACATCCATGTAATAGATTAGATAAACCAACAAGTGGTCTAATGTTTTTAGCAAAGACACCTCATGGAGCAGACGATCTGGGAGATCAATTAAAATCCAGAGAAGTGAGTAAAGAGTACGTAGCAAGGGTAATTGGAGAATTTCCTTTGGAGGAAGTTGTTGTGGAGAAACCCGTGAGATCTATAGATCCAAGGGTAGCATTAAATGCAGTTTGTGCTATGGAAGATAAGGATGCCAAACTTGCAAAGACAGTGTTTAACCGGATTAGTTATGATGGAAAAACAAGTATTATTAAATGTAAACCATTGACGGGTAGAACACACCAGATTCGTGTTCATTTACAATACATAGGATACCCAATTGCTAACGATCCACTTTATTCGAATCTTAATATCTGGGGTCCACAGTTGGGTAAAGGTGGTGCCACAGAATTTGATGAAATCGCAAAGAAATTGGATTTGATTGGAAAGACAGATACAGCAGAAAGTTGGTTTTATCCTAATGATAACGGAGAAAAATTATTGAACAAACAATGTGAAGTATGTGAAGCAGAACTTTACACAGAACCAGGTCCAAATGACTTGAATCTTTGGTTGCATGCTTATCGTTATGAATCAACCACCAGGGATCCTACCACAGGTAAATTAAAATGGAGTTATAGAACCAAGTTCCCAGATTGGGCTCTTGAACCCCATCGCAAATATATGGAGTTAGCAATCAAAGAGGCAGACAAATGTGGACCAACTACAACCGCGTTCAGTGTTGGTGCAGTTATTGTTAATGGTCCAAGTGTGCTATCTACTGGTTATTCTCGTGAATTTCCAGGAAACACCCATGCGGAACAGTGTGCTCTTGAAAAATATTTCGAAAGAACTGGTAAACGAACGGTTCCACCAGGAAGTATTATATACACAACTATGGAACCTTGCTCTTTGAGATTAAGTGGTAATGATCCATGTGTTCAACGAATTTTGGCTCTAGATGGTAATATTTCAACAGTTTTTGTTGGTGTCATGGAACCTGATACATTTGTCAAGAATAATACAAGTTTAACTCTGTTGGAGTCCCATGATATCGACTACATTCAAATACCAGGTTATGAAGCTCAATGTACTATCGTCGCATTCAAGGGTCACGAAGAAGACATGGAACCTCTAACTGATTCAAAATAATCATGTTTTGTTTCTTTATATAATATTGTAATATTTATCACTTAGTACGACTAGTATGTTATAAAATAAATTTTTCAAATTTTGAAGATTTTAACAAATTTACTTAAATTATGAATGGTAGCCATGATCTAATTTAAAGATGACAGGCGTAATAAATAGTAGCATTTTGGTAATTCCACTAGATCTTTAGAACTAATTAGGGACTCAAGTTTTAAATTAAACAGTAAAAATGACTGATTTGATTAGCGATCCTGTGTCTAACAAACGAACGTTTGCGATAGGGGATGAACGCGATGAAGTACCTGTTGTAAAAGATCAGGCAAATGGAGATAATTTTCCTAGTAAACGTTTAAAATACGAAGCGGCTAATGAAAATTCATCGTCAGAGGATTCAGATGTGATGATTAGGAATTCTGTGGGGCCCTTAGATACTGAGGAGGACGAGAGAAATAAACATGAAATTGAACCTGTGGTACAACCCTTGCGCATAGCGAGAGATCGTGAAAGTAACAAATACATTTATCCAGAGGTAGATCGTGAGGCAACTATGACTGCTAGGAGGTATTTGAAGCATTATGGTTTACAAAAATTTTTGGATGCATACCTTCCACAAGAATTGAATTCTTTGTATATTCATTATTTGATTCGTATGCTTGGATTTGAAGTGAAAGAACGTGAATTAGTAGAGAAGGTTAACGAACATTTGATAGATACAAGTGAGACAAAAGAGGAGAATTTGACATTTAGTAATATTGATGATCCCTTAGAGAAGAAGTATGTTGTAAGGTTAATTAAAGATCTGCAGAAAGCAATTAATAAAGTATTATCTACAAGATTAAGGTTAACAAATTTCTATACAGTGGATCATTTTGTTGAACGACTGCAGAGTGCCAGAAATATTCTAGTCCTGACAGGGGCTGGTGTCTCTACATCCCTGGGGATTCCTGATTTCAGATCCTCCCAGGGGTTTTATTCTAAAGTGAAACATCTGGGACTGGATGATCCACAGGATGTCTTCAATATGGATATATTTATGCAGGATCCATCAATATTTTACAACATTGCCCATATGGTCTTACCTCCAGATAATATTTATTCCCCATTGCATAGTTTTATTAAAATGTTGCAGGATAAAGGTAAACTATTGAGAAATTATACACAAAATATTGATAATTTAGAGTCCAATGCTGGAATAGAGGCAGACAAATTAGTTCAATGTCATGGGTCGTTTGCAACTGCGTCATGTATTACTTGTCATTGGCAATTGCCAGGGTCTCATATCTTCGAAAATATTCGTAAGAGAGAATTACCCTTATGTCCTTACTGTTATCAAAAGAGAAGGGAATATTTTCCAACAATGACCTCTAAGGAAAATGAAGAATCTCAATTGGATAGATCTTTCAGCTCCGCCCCTGTATCAAAATCATATGGTGTATTGAAACCTGATATAACGTTCTTTGGTGAGGCCCTTCCGTCCAAGTTCCATAAGACAATACGGAAAGATATTACCAAGTGCGATTTATTGATATGCATAGGGACAAGTTTGAAAGTGGCACCTGTGTCCGAGATTGTAAACATGATCCCGGCAAATGTTCCTCAAATATTAATCAACAGAGATCCAGTGAAACATGCAGAATTTGATTTAAATTTATTGGGTTATTGTGATGATGTAGCCGCTTTAGTAGCCCAAAAATCGCGATGGGAAATACCACATGAAAAATGGACAACATTGAAAGATCAAAAATTTCTTTATGAAGAAATTGATAAAGGTACCTATAAAGTGGAAGCTCAGTGATTATATATACTAAATTATGAGACTCTAAATGCATTTGTAAATAAAATTTAGCATGTATGCAATAAAATTAAAATATATTATTACAATATTAATTTTCTTTTATCTTTAAATACCCAGTATTATCCCAATTTGTATATAAAATATATACGCTTATATGTTTTTATTAATGTTACACGGAAAATGTACATTGTAGTTTGTTTTTTTAACCTACTTTGACATCCGTTAAGAGATCTTCCATATATTTGACTATGCAATCTATTAACAATGACCACTCTTCCTCTAATTGCTTCCTTTGAAGCTCATAACTGGCCTTCAGCTCCTTTAATTTTTTCTCTGTTGTTTTTATCTTCCCATTAATCAATACACGATTAATATAATCCTCACTTTCTTCTTGTTTTGGTTGAATGACTTGATAGTAATGCTCTGATATTTCTTTCCTCTTTAATTCAAATTCTTGATGCTGTGAGTTGAATAATTCCTCAAGTTTCTGTAATTCAGGCTGATTAATCTTAATTTGTTCATCAAATATCCCAATCCTATCTAGAACTGTACTTGATAGAACATTTTTTAAATTTTCTTGCTGGGTTGTTAATTGTTGTTTGATCTCCATTAAGGTTCTTTCATTTCTTTGGGAATCATGCAGATCTGTAGATAAGATCCTTAGAAGGTCATATAATTCATTTATAAAATCCTCATATACCTTTGCTGAAACTTGTAAATTATTTTGTTTCTTCTCCAATTCTTGTTGTTCTACCATTTTTTTATCAATGTCGTTTTTCAAACCATTTAACTCTTCGATGAGCTTCTCCATATCTATATCGGCCCCTTTTTGTAATTTATCTCGCTTAGAATCTAATTCGATTAATCTATATCCAACAGATTCAAGTCCTTTTAATAAATTTTGTTTTTCGATTCTGTAATTGTTATAATCTATTGAAAATGTTTCCTGTAAGGACGTTAGCTTCTTCAATTCGGATTCCAACTCTTTGTTATGTTCTTCCAGTTTATTATATTCTTCATCTATTTGTTTCTCAAACTCAATACCTTCTAAATCATTGATATTTATTCCAACCTGCTGTAAATAATCACCAATCAAATCCTGGATATCATTAGTCTGCTGTTGTAATAAGTTATAATCATCAAATTTAGATCTTAGCCTATTTAATAATAATTCCATTGTTGCAATAAATTTCTTACAATCAAACATTCTTTCTTCTCTAAATCTGGCATAATTAACAACTGCACTCAGTAATCTTCTTACACGTTCAAACGTCGGTTTCTTCAGGTCCATCATTCCGAAATCATTTACACCGATATCCTTAAAAAATCTATAGCAAGTTCTGTTCAATGTAATTATTCTTAAAGTTGGAGCCAATAGTCTTGTTTCTTCGTCTATCATCCGCTTTGTTGTCTCATTAAGTGTCGTATCCGAGAGAGATCCTGTAAAACCTTTAATAATTTGTTCGTAGAGACTCATAATATATGCAGAGGTGGGTCTTGATATGTCATCCTTTGCAGCTAATGTAAAATCACAACTTTGTAAACACATCACAATCTCCGGTACATCCAACAATGGGAACACATCTCTGTTCATAATGAGTAGAAGCGCAGTATTCCTTGTTTTTTTTGAAGGGGAGGGCGTATAATTTAACTACACTTATATAGAATGGCGTTCATATGTCTCAATTGCAACCTATGAGTTCCTAAGTTCTAATACCTTTATCTGTTTAATTATTCATTTCAGTTAAAGTAAACAAAAAACCAAAATTTCGAAATGTTTATTTTTTTGTTTTTCATGAAAATTCAGTCCCTTTGGCAACCACCGGGATTCGAAGAGAGGTGCAAAACCCCATGAGACCTGACCATATCAATAAGCATGGCCATCACTAGCACTTATAAACGTAACATTTGCACAATTGAAACCAGTTATTCCCTCATTAGTAACTGTTTGTCGAAACCGTTGGAGTTCTTAAGCTGAATTTGAATCTATTTAGAGCAATAATAATCTATGATAAGATATTTTCATGTTGACATTATTCCTAATCGGGAAATTTTGGGGCATCACTCTGCAATTGAGAAATTGAAATTTTCGAAATTCAGAAATTCTAGTAAACTTTCAGCCTATGTATGTTGCTAAAATAGGCAAAGAGCAGATCTAGGTGTTCGTAACGCAATACACATGTTACTGTTGTGCTTGTTGTCTCTTAGCTTGAGGTAGATCCTTGATTATTTTAAAGCTAGACGTTGTTTCTTTTAAATCAGTTAGAAACGAATATACTCATTTGCTCAAGAATTAAAGAAGGAGAAACCAAATCAAAATGTCAGGACAAGTGTTAGAACGCAAGACACCATCGCCAAATGTCTCGAGCACACAGAGGCTCTCTGCAATGATCGATTCCCTTCACAATATACAATCTAATGAGGACCTGCTACGGCTTTCAAATCAACAGCCAAAGAGTGAGGAGTCCCTCAAGGCACCAAATAGAAATTCTCTTGTACCACCTTCAGTGTCCTCTTTTTCTCCTTATCAAGGGTCAAGTTCAGTGTCAGATTACTCAGGAGTTATTAGTCAAGCAATGGAAGTAGTACGAGTAAATAATAACGAAGTTAATTCAGTTCAACCATTGAACGCACATGCAACAATATCTAATTTGGCACTAAGTCACAATGATATTGAGAATATAGATGTATCGTCATCTAGTGATAGTGACGGAGACAAGAAACCTTTATTACCAAATCTCCCAACTGAAGAAGACTTAAGAAAGACAAGCTACGCCTCTAGATTACCAACTTTTATTTCTGAGAGAAGCGAAACTCCAGTAGCTACAATTACAGATTCTCCTGGTAAGAGTACTATGACTTCAAAGGGTTCAGGGTATAACAAAAGTATACCTTCACATCTCAACTTAGAGAAGGAAGAAAATTATATGACGTCTGACTTCATCTCGGATAATGATGACGATGACGATGTAGAGAGGACAGAAAGAGAACTGATGTCACTAAATATTCGTGATCCGAACCATTCCCATTATAAAGAATCTAGTATAAACGATATTGACAATACTGATATAATAGATGTTAGTGATCACAGTTCAATTGCTTCAAGTATAGGAGAATCATTGAATGGAGATGATGTCACGCCAGAGAGTAAAATATCAGTAGAACAAAACGGCGTGAATGTGTCTCCTGTCGTTCCACCAAGAAGCAAGGATAGACCAAGAGCCAATAGGATACCAACAGAAAAAAGGGTTATTGAGGCTAAACAGGAGGAAGCATTAAGAGTACAAAAACCTCATCCACAGAGTCACAAATCTCTAACGTCATTTCAAAGTACTACAAATAATTCAGAGAGTTATTATTCCGCAGCAAGTTTCTTACCAGAAGAAGACAATCTGAAAATGGATGACTTTTCAATCCATGATCCACAACAATTTACTACAATGAATAAATCAGGAACTATGGTTAAACCACCGAACCATTTCTCAAACGAAGAAATTTTCGGAGATACCCCATCAAAAATACATACTGTCGATCTTGATAATATATATGAGGATATCCATCCTGCAACATTACCTCCAAAGAAGGTGACATCCAATGTTATTCAAATATCAACAAAACCTCAAACTAAATCAAGTTCCAAAAAGGACCATAAAAAGAATAAAAAGAAAACAAAGGAATTACGAGACTTCAATGTCGAAACTATTAACGAATTATTAAACGTTACAAAGGGTACTTTAATCGGTTCAGAATTTTCAAACCTTGGTATGAAGATGGAAGAAAAAAGATTATTGGAAAGATTAGTTGATTCATTATCAAGATTGACAGCTGATATGGTACTTGAACCAAATCGCTACGATGAAGGTTTAAGAAGGATAAACAAGGCTACTAGAGCCCTTGAAGGTTTCGTTGAAAAATGAGCCATTTCAAAATATACAACAAAGACATTATACCCTGAAAAATTGAGTGAAGATGTATTGTATAATAAGGAGCTCTTTCTTGATATGGATTCTCTTCTTCAATTACTTCACGTTTCATATATATATATATATATGTGTAAATCACTGGTGGTTTACCTGTGTATATAGAATATAAATAATATATATTCATAAATTTGCAATAAATCATTTATCTTCAAATTTCTCATAAAATTCGACTTTAAGGTGTTCCTTCAATTTAGAGAATTTATTTGTGAAGTTCTTGCCACAGTAACAACATATTAAGTCATGGTCTCGTAGGTATTCTTTCTCTACTAGTTTGTTATCTAAAGGTTTTTCTGGAAGTGGTAGATCATCCCATTTCACAAAGAAATCAGTGTTAAAAGAATTGAAATGTTTTTTATTTTTTAGTCTTGCTGAGTAAAAGTCCTTAGTGATAATGTGGATATGAAGGTTGTTCATTGAAGGAACCCTATGAATACCGCTTTGAATGAACTTCTTTTTAAAATCATCCTTCAAATTTTTATCAAGGATTGAATATTTCTTGGTAAACTGATCAACTATATAATCTGTACCAATCTCAATATATGGTTCCATTTTGCGCTTAACATTATCAGTTAGAGCTACAGTAGGGTGTAATTTTGATAGTACTGGATTTCGAGGCAAAATTAATATATGTTCTGAAGCCTTTGGGAAACCATCCGTGATCAGAACGACTTTTGAATCATGATATATTACACGAGATCCAGAGTATGATTCTGTCAATGTCTCAAACCTTTCTGGATGGGTTATATATTGTTGTAAAGCTCCTCTCCAAGACATAATTGTTTCTCAATCCTGTTTAAATCATCAAATAGAGATGTTCTCTAACTGTAAGTTTTAAATATTAACTGATATTCCCCATAGTTCGAATATCTTTTTTTAAATAGCACGACTTAAAAGTGCTATTACCGTTCATTGGGTTACCTATTTATTTTTGTACTAAGGTAAGACTATGAACCTTAGATATTTTGGTTTCATTATTTTTTTTGAATTTTTATGTTTTACTAAGACATTTTAATTTTTGGAGTTAGTAAGCAATTGGAAAGGTACCTGTAGGATCCATTGAGTAAACAAAAAAAAATAAGTGATATAAATTTGAGTATGACGAAGACTACTCATGTTAGATAAAGCATGTTAGTTTTAGTATTCTAACTGTAGAGAATCTGAGATAGAGTGTTTGCCTCTATTAGTCTCTTCAAGCTTTACTTTATTTAATTCGGGCATTTTTTAATACGATAATTGTCGGAAATATATTATAATAATGATAACGACCAAGGTTATGATCTGATGAAAAATTCATCCCGCAACAACTTAATAATAGATTGATTACGCCATTGCCGACTGAGTTTATAATCACGACAATGATAATCCAACATATATAAATGGAACAATCTTTCATTTATGAATATAATTGTTTCCATAATTTACTTTATATATTTTTATATAAGATATAAAAAGATCAGACGACTATAAGTTGATTTTGTAATATAATAAAATTTGTTCAGTTAAATAGAAGATGTCTAATATTCAATTTTCCCATCAAATCATGACGGAAATTATGTGAAATTGAGATATCTCAAATGTATTACGAAGCATGTTAAAAAATGAAACAAAATATGTGGCATTATGAAACAAAGTTAATCGTATTATGAAACAAAACATAATTCGAACCTCAATTGATATTGGAATAAAAATACATATAAAGACAAAGAATTCTGAACTTACATTCTGAGTTAGATTCTATTCGTTCTATAAATTATATACAATACAAATAATCACTTACAAATAGAAGAGAAATATAACAATTATATTTTGCTTACCTAACATTAAAACTTAAGCTACACCATTCACCTCTATACCTAACACCTTTAATAATGAACGAATATAAGTCTAACCACACTATGTCTGCTTCAGCTCAAATCATATATTGAATGTAAGTTCAGAATTCTTTATCTTTATATATTATTTAATTTTACCGATATTCCATTTCTTCTTGCTACCTAAACGATCATTGGTTAAACGATTATGTGTTGAAATGTAGCTGCAGCACTAAAAAGGCTAACATTAGCTTAACCTATCTGAAGGAGAAGGTAGCTAATATAAGTAGAATTTAGAGTGTGCTGCACTGTCGTATATATAATAACACATGATATATACTGCATAATGTAGTATTCGTTCCCCCTACATTGGGTTTATTGGAGCTACATAGTCCAACGTTACTATGCACAAAAGATGAGCAGTTTAACAACAACAACTCTGTTTAACAGTTTAACATGCAGCAGCTCACTATTGTTAGATCATTGCAGGATGAACCTAACATCAGATCATAACCTTGGTCATTATCACTCTTATAATATACTTCCGACAAGTCTGTTGTTATATCACTGAGGGGTTAGCCTATTGTTAGATTCTTATATTATGTTTTCAACTGTTTCAGATATGACAAAGCCATAAATAGTAAGCGGTTTTAGCTCAGTTGGGAGAGCGCCAGACTGAAGAATAACTTTGGTCAAACAAGAAATCTGGAGGTCCTGTGTTCGATCCACAGAAATCGCACATTATTTTTTATTTTCTTACTTGAGTTTACTCTAATTTACGAACCATATCCCTCAAATTGTGCAATACAATACAACTACCATTTGACAGTTGTTATATTATCTTGTGATATAGTTAATATTATTTTTTGTATCATTTCTGTGTCCTCTTTAAATTAAGGCAGAATTTCAGGTACATTATTGTCATATTATTTTTTTTTTATATTTACAGTAATTTGAAGCTTATATGAATATATAAATATATATGTGCCACTTTGTAAACGATTTTCTCGTTATAAAATTAGATAAATGATTAAAACTTATCTAAGTCTGGCATTTTAATAATACTTTTTTCTTTATTTTCTGTGAAAGTCTGTAATAACTTCATAATCTCCGAATCCTTCCATCTATCAGGGATGGGACTCTGTTCATAATCCTTTGTAGCCCAATAGTAAATATCCCAATCTAATTCATATAATAAAGTATCATATTCTTCTAGCTGATCTCTATTCATAGTCTTTAAATATTTAGCAGCAAAAGCAGATAACAACAAGTCAGTTTCCAGGATACCTCTCTTACGAGACTGATACACTAACCTAGACTTCATCTTATCAATAGATTCACCTACTCTTTTGTTTGGAACAATCTTAATCCTAGAAATGATATCCTTTAACTCTGAGTCATGAATATTACCCTTTGGATTGTTTGAGTACAATCTCGCGGTTGTGAACAGCATCACATTGGTTCTACTTGGGACTAGTCTGCTTCCTGCTCTTAGTAACATCATCTTTCTGAAAAATACACCTTGCACTATTTTACGAATACTATCACTTAGACTTCCAACCTCTAATGTAACTATTACTTATTGTTGTCTCTCTTAATGGGTCACCTTTTAAACGTATTATTAATGATTTCGTTATTCGGAGAGATATAAAAGGGGAGACAGAAATTAAGTGTGTGAAAGTCTTTCAAGCGCGAAAATGAAATCTGGAGTGGGAAGAAAGAAAGAAACTAAAAGAGACCTTTTTTTAGCAACTTTCTAGTTTTAAAGAGAACATACCACTGCTTAAGTCGGGAGTTATTTGTTGGTATACCTGAGGTTATCTTTGAGGTATATAAATCAATTAAATAATGCCATAGGTTTTTGCAACAGAGCAACACGATCAAATTATGATTTGAATGCGAACAAATAACCAAATATGATTTATTGCATGGCTAAGCGCTGACTGTTACGTAAAGTGATCTAGCGATTAAAACATCGAAATATTTATGATCGATGAACTAGATCGACATAATATTCATTATCAATCATTATAACAATAGAAAAGTAGCAAGTTGAAATCAACATCCCTTCAGATTTGGATCAACACACTACATAATGTGATGTGTGGGTGTGCTATGATTATCCTGATAGGCTTGGAATTTTACGCATACTAATTGTGAGTTTTATTTTACTTTCTTCCCTTTAGACGTTTATTGACATTACAAAAAAAGTATATACAAGATTGAAGAACCAGCGGTTGGCTCAGAGGTATTTGAGAGTAACAATTTTCTTTTTTGATTGAACAAATTACAAAAAACATTAACAAGGTACTGGACTCTTCATATATTGTAAGGTTTTCATTTTGTGGTTTTTCCTGTCTACTATAAGTCATACATATACTCACTAACTAGACAATGGACTCATCTGAAGAAAGAACTTCAGATAACTTCGTAATATTTCCAGGGTTTTTCAAAAATAAAAAAGTTTTTATTCCAAATGAGGAGATAACTAAGAATCGTACAGGACTTAATTATAAAGCTACTAGAAACGATATATTTTTATCAAAAGAACAGAGACAACATAAGAGGAAAAAAATAATAGAATTGGCGACACAGTTTTATAATGCTAATGGAATAGAACCAAATAATACAGATACTGATGTATCAATGAGTGCAGTGGCAGATTTTTTCAATATACCTAGACAATCATTCAGTGATCATATTAAAGGAAATCATCAAAATATAGCTATTCATGGATATGCCAAGAAAGGAATTCTGACTGATGAAAATATCAAATTATTGAGAGATATTGTTAGAGCGGTTAGAATCAATGAGAATCCAGACTTTGATGGACAAGATCTATTTGCAAGTGATAAGGAATTGATAAATCTAATAAGTGTGGTGACAGTATTCGTAAACAATCAAGTTGAAACAACTATCCAACTAGGTAGTCAATTGGAACTTCTGGCTGTAGATTTATCTACGGATGAAACAACATCAAGACAAACTACCTTAGAGAAACTATTGGCGTTTTTCAATAACCCGGTTCTTTGTGTGGAATCATTTAAATTGAAAAGTAAAGATCTGGATCAAATGCGACTGGGGCTAATTGCTTTAAAGAAAATATATTCATCAGAACATGAAGTCAAATTACTTAATAGAAGAACAATATCAAGATCTAGAGATAAACTCGGAATTTTTCCTCCCAACGTAAAATCAAAAAAATCGTCTCTTTCTACGATATCGTTAAAATATGAGAATAGTCATAAACGTAGGGATACAATAATGGATCCAGAAATAAAAAATGTCACAGAAAAGTTAGGTTTATTAGATAATGAATTGCCTGTTACTAAGGATCAAATTATACGAACAGTTTTTGTTAAATTGAATAAAATTCTTGATAAAAAACATCAAAAATCACTTGAAGATATACAAGAGTATCGGAGATTGATAAATGACTTAATAACCCCACTTAAGGCATTTACTGAATATGGCACATTGATAGGTGAGCAGTTTCAAAAATTAACAGACTTAATCTTGCAAATAAGTTTCGAAAATGCAGTATTGCTGAGAGCAAATGGTGGAGGTGAACCTGCCCTCGGTCTACCATCGAGTCTAGTAGAAAAAGAAATACAATCTAAAGGAGATGAACATAATGATTCTTCTCATTCCACTGAGACTATGCATTTTTGAAAAACAGCATCAACAACATAAGCTCAAATGAATTAAATAAAATTTGCATATTCCGAGTAGATAATTACAATATATATATATATATACTATGCGATTTGATCGAAATTTATACGGGACTAATCCTCTAGCCAAGAATCATCATCATTCAATGGGAACATACTCGTTATCCGTTCTTCGATAGCTGGCATTATATCACTGATGTTATTCGTCTTTTTAAAGACGCAAAGTCTCATGGATGGGAAACAATTCCCACGAAGATACCCTAAATTGATCAAAGTCACGAGAACATTCTCTACGTTATCACTAGAATGTATACCATTAAATATAGTAATCGTAGTAGTAGAATCGTTAAGTGAAAAATAGTCATCTTTACCGATTGATAACCTTAAAGCTCGTGAAACCAAATCATATGGGAGTCTATTAAAACCTTGCGATAATGACCATTCAACAATTAAATGTTTTATAAGATATTTATATGTTACCATTGGCAATTTTTCTAAAAGAATAAGTAGTAAATTTGCCTCTAGCAAATCTGCTTGGTATAATTTTAGCCAATTGTTCACTTTTTGCAAATTACCAGACCTTATATTTTGTTGTAATTCTGAATACATATTTACCATTTCTGGATGGAAATGAGATAAGACATCAAATCTAAACCTTTTACCTATCAAAATTCCAGTCGGAATCAAAAATTTTAGTATCCTTTTAATATTTCTCTGCAACTGAGGCGTCTGATTAACATTTGGTATCGAAGTTAAACCAAGTAATAAACGGAAAGAGTTGTTCAGTTGTACAAATGCATTCAATATTCGAGAGTTTAACAAGTAATATCTACCTAAAAGATATCTATATTCTATCTGTTCATTAATTGGAAATTGACTAAAATTAGCTAACGAACATTTAGGTTTAAAATTCTTAAATATATTAGAACATAACTGTGGGGATTCTATTCTGAAATAAATATTATTCAATTTATTTACCAAGTATAACAAAATACGTTGTTTATGAGGCAATTGTTCAAAAATTTCAGTTACGTTTTCACTATTTGATTTAATACTATTAAAAAGTTTCGAAATAATCATCGAAGTATGTGATAAGAATTGATGTTTTTTTATTTTCAACTCAAGATAATGGTTATCTAATTCCCTAGCCAATGGAATAATAAACTCAGTAACCTCTATGAAAACAGGGACTAGCGCCTCACATGGGTAGGAATCATTTAGTAGACAATTGTTTAAATCTGAATAGTATTTAAAGATAAGATCACTGCTATCCCATGAGGACCACGGGTTGACGTCTCTGCAATATTGTAGAAAAGACGTTATCATAATGTTAAAACGAGTCCATCTTCCCCCATGAAAGTTCCGAGACTCAACATATTCCTCTATCGATTTATCGTCCATAGCTTGTCCATTATTGTTCAATTGGTTCTGCAAAATGGCTACCAATCGACCATTCTTGTTCAGGTCTAGGTTGAGAATGGCATAATTTTGGTTCTGAATGTCAGACACAAATGTGTTCAAGTTGTAATTCATTCCTTCTGGGTCACGATCACAATTTGTTCAAATTGAGGACCAGTCTTGTTTTATGATATCTAAAGAGCTTTATAAATAATTTCTGTGCCAATATTTATGTTCCCTTCACAACATATATAGATTCCGATATTATACTTATTTAATAAATTTTTCACTTTTGTTTCTTGAAGTCATCCGAACAACAAACTCTTTCAATCTTTGTTACAAATATAAACCTTTAAATTACAATAAAGCAGGAAAAGGAAAACGGTGAATTCTACAATAAATTCTCAGTAGATTATTATAAAAGGAAAGGAATAATAATATCCGTTTTGTTGTTGTTGTCTCTAACTCAGATAATCAAAGAGAAGAAGGTGAAATCTGCTCAGGTTTTTCACCAATTGAGTTTACAAATCTGTTAATACCAGCCGAATTAATAGAACTAAATTGCTAGTTTAACCCATGAACATTTATTAAATCAAAATAGATCATATAGTAGACAAATTTGGCAATGTCAAGCAGTGGTAGTAGTGAGCAACCAAATGGACCAAACAAACTCAACAAGAGGCCGCCAAGAAGAAACTTTAGAAGAAAGACGAACAAACCTAAGAAGATAGATGATAATGCACCTGATCAATCATCAGATGTGACGAAGATTTCTTCTGAAACCAATAATAAAACAGTTCCTACTGTAGAGAATAAAAGACCCTCTGAACGTCAAACGAAGAAGCCTTCTGAGAAGAAACCAAAAAATAAAACCAAAAATAGTAGAAACAATAAAAGTAAAGCACGTAACAAGGTGAGACGGGATGCAGATCAAGGGTTCAAGTTGGTGCTTAGACATTTACCTCCAAATCTAACGGAAGAAGAATTTATGGACAACTTAAAACCTGTTATCCAGGACAAGAAACTATCAACATTTGGAATAATAGACAACTATTATCGTCATGGATCTATAGCAAACAATTTATTTGAAAAATCAGTGTATTCAAGAGCTTATTTTACATTTAATTTAATGGAACAATTGAAGGAGTTTGGTAATAATGTCAGAACTCTGACATTTATTGATGATAAAGACAACGTGTCAAATCCAGTTTTGAAGGTATCACCATACGTGAAGAAATTAGGCAACTCTAACGTAAGTAATAGAAAGCATAGTAAAAAGTTGGAGGGTACAATTGAAAATGATCCGATATTTAAACAGTTCTTAAAAACAATTAAACTTATGGGAGATAAAGATGATTCCTCGTATGCTTTTAATAATATTAGTATCTTCAAATCATTAGAGAAAGAACTAGCCAAGGAGAAGAAAATAGATGCCCTTATAGAGAAAAAGACTGAGTTGGCTATGATCAAATTATCAGGTGTTGATGTCAATAAGATGAATGAAAAGAAGAAAAAGAAGAAAGAGAAGAAGAAAAAGAAGAAGAAGGAAAAGAAGGCCAATGAAGTAGAGGATTCAGGATCAGTATCCAAAAAGAAGAAGAAAGAAAAAACATCTAAGAAAAAAAGTAAACAAAAGAAAGATAAAACTTTAAAGAAAGAAGATAAAAATAAAAATATAGTCATTTTGGAAGAGGCAGGAAAGAGAGAATTGAAGAATAGAATGAAGATATTGCAAGAAAAGGAGAAAAAAACCCTTGCAATGGAAAAACGTCTCGAAATGGTTAATAAAGCTAGAGAACAGCAAATGTTGTTAAGAAAGGCTAAAGAAGAAGAAGCCAAACGTTCAGATAACGTAGAACATACCCCGAGGACTCAACCTGTCAAATTACTGAAACATAGGGATAAATAATGATAACTTTGCATTTACATTATTGGCCTGAAGTTATTACGTTCAATATCGTTTGTGTGCTGCTCCTTTGTAATAATTTTGGTGGTTCATTCGCAGCTTTCTAATGTTGGCTATTGAAAACGATGCCTAAGATTAATTTCAAAAGAGAATAGGGCTTAAATGTAATATCGTATATCTATCCATTTATCTATCTATCCATAGATATATATCCTCTGCATTAAACTATCAGGAAGAGGTGAATACTGAAACAATTTATATAAATACATATACATATATATATAAATGTATGCTAGCCATCAATAGAGTCATTGCTGTCTTCAGAATCGTCCGTGGAGCTATCAGAGTCACTATCAGAGTCACTATCAGAGTCACTGGCATAAACATTACACCAGTTGCATCTGCCTAAAGGAATTCCCCATATATCATCTTTAGTAATCAATTGGTCAAGAATTTCATCCACATGGATAATAGAGATGGTCAGATTCTGTGATATAGCAGTACAGTCCTCATATAAATCCAAAGACTTCAACTTTCTATAATCCAACAGGTGTTTTTTAAACAATTTTTTTAAACGTTTTGCAAGATCATTCTTTTCACCTAGATAGTAATATTGGACACGAATATAAGTAAGTAGCAATACAACTATATATTTATCATCAAAATTCTCAGAATCTCGATTAGACTCAATAACATCTATTAACTGATCTATGGTAGGTCGTATTTCTACAAGTTTCATTAGTATACATTTGAACATCATTCCTCCCAACATGTGAACTTGATTGACTGATTTCCCCTTTAGTGTACCAAAATCTCTTACAATTACCTTTAGAAGACCCATAAATGTATCACAATGTAGTGATGGTGCAGTCAAATTGACTTTGTAATATACATTGTTATGTATCTTGTCTCTTGTCAATCTTGGTATAACCAAGGATACTGATTGATGATTGAGCTCTTTCGAAGAAATATATGATTCCACATAAAAATCAAACGACATTAGATGCTTTGTTCATATGTTTAAATAGTAGAGTGTAGTTCTCTTGCTGGCTCTCTTTTATGTATCAAATTGGGAGGGGAGTTTGCAGAACGATATCAATTATTCTTCTAATTATTGAGTTCTTTCTATATTGAAAAATTTAATTCGAAGTCATCGCTTCATTTAGAAGTGTCAACAACATAAAGGAGAATATAAATAAAATGCAAGTTAATTAATAAGAGTATATAGATATATTATATTATGAAATTTGAATGACATACGAATTATTAGAGTCGACATTTGTCAGATGTCATGTTTGTATACCACCATCTCAGTGATATGTCGCTATGCATAGTAGATATTACATCCCAAGTACAATTCAGAATATCGTTTGTAGCTTGCCCGTCCAGGCTTGACTGGGTGATAAGTTGAAGAATGTTATCCAACCAATCCGATAGGTGACTTGGATGACAGTACGGTAATTGAAGTGTCAGGCATTTGATAAGTTCTACGCGTTGAGCTGGATTCTTTAGGGGTGTATTCACAATGGCACGGTAAAGCACATGTAATACATACATAACCATGTCCCGATCTATTGTCTGCATTAATGGCAGAGAACATCCAATACTTTTAAAAATTATATGTAATTGGTCGTTGGTTAGCATTCCGCTATTATATTGGCTGATTACCATTGAGGTATAATCATGTACTTGATCCTTCTTCCACTGCAAAAAGTTTACAGAGCGTGATGTATTTAGCAGTAATGACATCATTGTAGTGTGGGCACTTTCTCTGATTTGTTGAATTCTACTTACTAAGTGACTACTAACTATTGGAAATTCTATATTTGTAACAAACTTGATATCCAAATCAGGGATTTTTTTATTAATAGTATCCATATACTCTAGAAGAAATATTAACCTAGAATCATTAACCTTATTGGGATATCTCAATGAGGGGTTGAAATGGCTTTGAAATAAGTCAATCAATGACAGAGTAACGTCGGTAACGTCTTTATGCATTAATAGACCATCCACACAAATACCGTAAACAAACTCATATGACATAAATCCAACCGTACCAAAATCATCTGCAATAAAATTCAAATAATAAAGGATAATCAATGATTTCTTGTACCACTCAGTAGGAACCAAGTTTCTTGATTCTAGACACCCCCGTATCGCAAGAATTATACTAATAAATCGTCTTGAGTAGAAAGGAATATCATATGTTTTGTTTGGCATGACACTATTAAATTCCTTTTGTGATAAAACCAGGGAAACTTTGATCAGATCATCCAAAATATCAGAAGCGCAATGAGGCTCAGTTTCCGTCATTGAAAACTGTAATATTCTTGCCAAATGATTCATATTATCTGAATAGAAAGTACCCTTTGAATCATTAGAAGCTTCCCCATAAACGTGTTTAATCAGAACATTTATACAAGAATGACTTATCACATTCCACAACGGTTTCATATTCTTATTTCGTAAATCTATTCTAGCAGAGACAGTTGCATATATGGATGTTAGTAATTCAGTCAAATCTAGATCCTGGGTCATACTTTGATTGTATAAATGAATCCACAATGGTATAAAAATATCTTCTCTCCAACTTTGAAATATCTTGGCCAATTGTCCACTATCATCAACATAATATGTTTTTTGTAAAGAATCATATTCATTTTTCATTGTGAGTATACCACATAAAATAGATAATTTGGGTAAAGTCCAGGATTGACAAAGATTGAAACAATCATTCCAAATACTGAAAAAGTCATGCAAACTGACTGTAGGTTCGGAAATTTGCAACTTCCATTTAAAAATAGCATGCCCAGCTTCAAATAGCTCTAACGGATTAATATGTATCAATAAAGGAGATTCAACGAATGCATAAACTAAATCTACCAGACTTGATTCTATTTGAATCCTTGGGATGAAATACACGAGGTTATTTAAAACTGCAGGAACCGCATTGATATTCTGTGAACTGCAGGACTTTAAGAGTAGAATAAGATGGTTGATATTGTTGGAGTCCATTTTAATATGATACAGACCCTGTTAGTATGACTCGTCTTACTGTTATATCTCAGTTAGATATTACTCAATCGCTGAAAATTCAATAAAAATAATCTGCCTTAAACTTTTTTTTTATTCTTTTTAAAAGGAAAGAAACCCTTTAACTTAACAAGATTCTATACTTCTACACACTACAAATATTAGAAACAAAGAGATAAACACAATAAGATATATAGAGAAAACAACGCCAAAGATGTCGGTAGAAAATCCAACTGGATTACACAACTACCCTGTTACTAGGACATGCATGATTCTGACAGCTGTCGTACCGTTCCTGATGGCAGTGACAAATGACAAATATATATTTTTGGCCCAGTACGATCCATTCATTAATCAATACCATCAATATTATAGATTTTTCATATACCAGTTTTGTGCAGTTAATGAAAGCGATGTAATGCTTTTGTTATTACTCTGGTATGATTATCGCCATGTAGAGAGATTGTTTGGTTCTTATAAATATATTAATGTTATATTATTGACACTGATATACACAACTGGAATCTTATCATTACTCAACGTTGCTGTCAACGTGTTATTCCCTGCAATAATATGGAATAAACTTCCTACAGGGACTCTTCCAACCGTTTTAGCATTGTTCCATTTCTATAAACAATACACACCCCAATTATATGAAGTCAATTTAAGTTTATCACAACCATGGTTTGGAAAGAGTTCAAATAGCAGTTTTAGATGGACAATCAACAACCAAGTATTTTTAAATATTACTATCATACTATTGTTATTAAATCAAGGGTTAGTAGGTATTGGTTGTGGGTTAATTTGCTGGATAATAGGTATATTTATGGAAAAAGGATTACTTCCTGGAGTTGATAACTGGAGATTACCATTTCTACGCCATGTTTCACATTTAGATACACCATTAAGTGGGAGTAGTCGATACAGAATGATACAATCCCAGCAACAGACAACTGAGTTAGATGCCTTAAATGGCATACAAGGTGAAAATGTACATCCCGATGATGAAGCTCCAGATGAACCTGAACGATCCTTAGGAGTACAATTTTTGGATACATTTAGAAGATAATAAAAACAATATATATAACGATATACTGAATAAAATAAGTAAACTAATGAAGTTAAAATGAACAACGATCAAGATAAAATTGGACTTAAATTTAGAAAAAATTTAGGTGAAAAAACTCCGATACGGGGAGTCGAACCCCGGTCTCCACGGTGAAAGCGTGATGTGATAGCCGTTACACTATATCGGATAGTAATCGATGAAAAAATTTAATATATATGCTATTTTCAGAAATATTAATTTCAACGTGCTTCGGCCAGTTCTGGGAGCACTTCTACATAAAATAATATTATGCATTCAGTTCCCATTTTGCGAGTAATCTGATCCTTCCCCTCAAATATGTACTCCTTGAAAATAGTAGAACACCAATTTCCATCCACAAAGTATTGTTTGTGTACGAATACTGGTGACATTTGTTACCACGTGATCAAGATCGATGTCTGGGTGTTTGTCTCTGTCGTACACCCAGACAAAAAATGAGCTGAAGCAGACATACTTGTCGGAAATATATTATAAGAGGGATAATGACCAAGATTATGATCTATTGATAGATTCATCCCGCAATGATCTAACGATAGGTCCATCCCGCAATGATCTATTGATAGGTTTATCCCGCAACAACTTAATAATAGATTACTTACGCCACTGTCGAGTGAGTCTATAATCACGACAATGATAATCCAACATATATAAATGGAACAATATTTCATTTATGAATATAATTGTTTCCATAATTTACTTTATATATATTTTATATAAGATATAAAAATTCAGACGACTATAAGTTGATTTTATAATATAATAGAATATGTTCCATTAAATAGAAGATGTCTAATATTAAATTTTCCCATCAAATTGTTTATTCTTTATATATGAATTATAAAAGAAGTAGGAGAAACATTATATTCATAACTGAAATAATGTTCTTGTCAGAAATTAAGAGTAATATGCACAACACTTAATTTCAATAGGTAAAGAAATACCTTTACGACAGGAACTATCTGGAATCAAGATATCTAAAACGTCCTAATAAGAACTAAAGCTTGAAGAGACTAATAGAGGCAAACACTCTATCTCAGATTCTCTACAGTTCTCTTTATATACGTTGGTTCAGGTTGTAATTATCAGCTCATTAGATAGTAGTTTAATTACTATAATTAAGTTGTTGAGGGGTTAGTCTACTGTTAGTTCACTGAGGGGTCGCTCTATTGTTAGATTCTTATATTATGTTTAATATGACCAACTTGATATTTTACTATTCCACCTGGATATATATATAACAGTAGAACTATATGTATATATATACTTGTTTCATAGCTAGAACTTCTTTACCAGAATCCAAGAATCCCAAACTCCACAAACTTGAAGAGTTCACCTTTACTACAGTAAAGAAAAATGTTGTACAGAATGCTACTGGTACGATTATAGCACTGACGGCAAATCTTCTGAAAGAGGAAACACTCATGAACTGGCATACGCCAACCTTCAAAACCCCAGCTTCAATGGCATACAGACCAAATAGGAGCCGACTAACATACGAAGGTCTCAACCATCATCCTTCCCTTTGCAAACAGACAGAACAGACAAGCACCTCAGACCACAGAAACAAAAACTGCTTCATCATTCATTCATCGATTTTTATTCTTGGAAGATCGATGTACCTTAAACGAAATATTCAAAACTTTCTCTTACCGAAGAAACAACCGCAGAACACACCACCGTTTAGAAACAAAATTTCAGTCTCTTCGCTCTTTTCAAAGGACAAAAAACGACAACCAGAAGAAGAAGTAATAAATTATGAAATTTGATAACGATTTTTCACTGTTGCACTGTAAAATGAATGCATCTTTTCATTTGAATCAGGTAACATAAGGCTGGCAACTTGATATTCAGGTCGAAGGCAACAATGTGAAGATTCGAAGGTTTAATTTTAGAAAGCATACACGCACATATATATATATATATATATACTTATTTATTTATTGTTCTGCTGTATGACAATGGATTTTATTTAGTTTCTGGTTCTAGTTAAAGAAAGCGTAAGATAGTTAGAAGTATATAGCTTTGATACTTATATTTGTGAAGAGTGAACTATGTCTCAAACTCTGATAGAGAACAACTTATCGTTCTCAAAGGTACCGAGAATCGGATTACATGTACGAGACCTATCAATTATAGCGTCCAAGTCGAATACAAAGCTGGTAGACTCGTTCTCTATGGATTTAGAGAGTGGGTCGATTATGGCTGTTATGGGTGGTTCTGGTTCTGGTAAGACTACCCTGTTAAACGTGCTAGCATCAAAGATAAGTGGTGGTCTTACCACGGAAGGTACTATTAAGTATGTGCTAGAACAACAACCTATGGATAATTCATTCACTTCATCGTCATCTCCACGTCATAATGAGATAAATAGCAAAGAAGAGATAGTAGTCACTGGTATAGAGAATGAATCCGAGACTGAATTCGAAACTGAGGAGAAACATGTAAAGATGTCATATGTTCCACAACAGGACGTGTTATCTGCAAGACTGACTTGTCGAGAGACCATGATGTTTGCAGCCGATTTAAAATTAGATAAACCAAAAGAAGAGAAAATACGAATTGTAGAACAATTAATTAATGAGCTGGGCCTTAAAGATTGTGCTGATACGATGGTCGGGGATAGTACACATAGAGGTTTATCTGGTGGTGAAAAGAGAAGATTAAGTGTTGGAACTCAAATGGTAGCTAATCCATCTATTATGTTTTTGGATGAACCCACTACTGGACTAGATGCATATTCTGCATATCTAGTGGTGAAAACTATTAAGAAAATGGCAAAAGAAGATGGCCGGATATTTATTATGTCTATCCATCAACCTAGATCTGATATCTTATTTCTTTTTGATCAAATTTGTATTTTATCTAAAGGGAATGTTGTATATTGCGATAAAATGTCAGACACTATACCATATTTTGAAAAAATTGGATTTACAGTACCTCATATGGTGAACCCAGCAGATTATTTTGTTGATTTATCAAGTGTAGATGGCAGATCTGACGATGCACAAAAATTAACTGAGGAAAGATTGGAAAGATTGGTAGAAAATTGGCATACTTTTGAAAAGGATACTGTAAAATTTGAAAATATTGATCATATGGATCCACTACAAGTGCAAAACATGACTACTAGTCTACCATTTATGAAACAAGTAGCAGTGTTAACAAGAAGAAACATTAGATTGAATGTGACAGATTACGTCACTTTAGGTGCAACGTTCTTAGAACCAATTATTATTAGTACAGTTTCAGGTTGGATTTATTATAAACCTGATAAGACTTCATTAAGTGGACTTAGAACAACATCTGCTTGTTTATATTCATCAGTCATTTTACAATGTTACCTTTATTTACTATTTGACACTTATAGACTTTGTGAACAGGACATTGCATTATTTGATAGAGAACGTGCAGAGGGATCAGTTTCACCTGTTGCCTTCATTGTTGCAAGAAAACTTTCATTATTTTTATCTGATGATATATTAATGACCTTAACTTATACCACCATCAGTTATTTCATGTTTGGTCTAGAAGCAAATGCTACAAAATTTTTCATTCAATTTTCTGTAAATTTCTTAGCACAAATGTGTTGTTCTGCATTGGCGATGTTATCAGTTGCTGTTTCCAGAGATTATTCTAAGGCCTCATTAGTAGGTAATTTATCATTTACTGTGTTATCAATGGGTTGTGGCTTTTTCGTTAATGCTAAGGTTATGCCTGTATATGTTCGTTGGACCAAATACATTGCGTTTACTTGGTATGGTTATGGTGCATTGTTATCTAATACCTTCACGGATGAATATTGTACAGGAGATACACTAGATTCTTGCATGGGTAATCAAATTATTGAAAGTTTCGGATTTTGGCGTAATTGGAGAACGGTTCCAATTATTATTCTATTTTGTTGGGTTATTGGTTTCACGATTATTGGTATCGTAATAATGTATCTTCATAAAGTAGATATTACATTACAAAATGAGGTGAAATCCAAGAAAAAAAAGAAAACAAATAACAATAGTAAAATAGATGAAAATAAAAATAGATCAAATCCATTTTCATCAATATTCGACTCAAAAAGCCAAGAGAAAGATGTAGAAGCCACAACAAGTCGTCATGAACATGAAATTGCGGTGACTTTGAAAGATATTAACTTAAAGGTTAATTTCACAAGATTGAATCGTGATAAATGGGCATCTGGATTTATCGAGAAAGAAGAAAAACAAATTCTAAAATCTGTCAGTGCTAATTTCAAACCTGGAATGGTTAACGCAATTATGGGTCCATCAGGATCTGGTAAATCAACATTACTTAACTTGATGTCGGCAAGAGTACATTCTAACTTAATTACAAAATTCACAAAGAAAGGTTCCATTCTATTCAATAATGCTGAGGTTTCTGAAGATATGTTTAAAAACATATGTTCTTATGTGTCACAGGACGATGACCATTTATTGGCCAAGCTGACGGTCAAAGAAACATTCAAGTTTGCTGCAGCATTAAGATTACATCATTTAACTTCTGAGCAACGTGAAGCTAAAAGTGAAGAATTGATTCGTGCTCTTGGTATAAAACATTGTGAAAACACTATTATTGGAAATGAATTTGTCAAAGGTATCAGTGGTGGTGAGAAGAGAAGAGTTACGATGGGTATCCAGTTATTGAATGATCCGCCGATTCTTCTATTAGATGAACCTACTTCAGGTCTTGATAGTTTTACTTCATCAACCATACTGGAAATTTTACAAGGACTTGCTGATGACTACGGTAAAACAATTATATTGACTATCCACCAACCGAGATCTGAATTATTTGATAAATTTGGAAATATTCTATTACTTGCAAAATCTGGTAGAACTGCATTCAATGGTACTCCAAAGGAAATGATCAAATATTTCTCTGATTTGGGATACCAATGCCCTGAATTGACTAATGTGGCAGATTACTTCTTAGATTTAATCTCAATTAACACTCAAAATGATCAAAATGAAAAGGTTTCCAAAGAAAGAGTGGAGTCATTATTAACTAATTGGGATACAGAGAGTCAAAATAAGGCTGAAAAGAATACCAACGAATTGAGTATCATGACAAAGGATTTATTCCATACAACATACGGTGATTGTATCAGAAAACCTTGTAATGTAGGCCTAGCTTACTACGTCAATGTTAAGAGACAATTAACTACTACTTTAAGAGACTTTGATTCCTTAATGGCTAGAATTGCCCAAGTTCCTGGACTTGGTGCTATTTTTGCCTTATATTTTGCTCCATTGAAAGGAAATTATGTTGGGGTAACGAATAGATTAGGTCTTGCTCAAGAATCTACCTCATTATATTTTGTTGGCATGTTAGCCAATTTAGCATGTTACCCACAAGAAAGAGATTATTTCTACAAAGAATTCGAGGATAATGTGTACGGTATTGGCCCATTTTTCCTTTCATATATGACTTTAGAATTGCCATTATCAGCATTTGCATCTATTATTTATGCTGTATTCACGGTCCTAGCTTGTGGTTTACCAAGAACAGCTGGTAATTTTTTTGCTACTGTGTACTGTTCTTTCTTAGTAACCGGTTGTGGCGAAGCTCTTGGAATTATAACTAACACATTTTTCGACAGACCAGGGTTTGTTGTGAATTGTATATCTGTCCTATTATCTATTGGTACTCAAATGTCTGGTTTAATGTCCCTAAATATGTCGAGAGTGCTTAGGGGTTTCAATTATTTAAACCCTGTTGGTTACACATCCATGATTATTATTAATATGGCTTTCCCAGATGACTTAAAACTAACATGTAAGGACGGTGGCCAATTAGAGGATGGTTCTTGTGAATTCAAAACTGGTAAGGACGTGCTGGATTCTTATAATCTAAAGACTAACGTTTCAGAATACCTAGGTATTGCAATTTGCGTTGCAGCCATTTACCGTCTCTTAGCATACTTTTCGCTCAAGGCCAAACTAGAGTGGTTCAGTAAATAGTCATAGTCTTAGTCATAATAATAATATTAAGAATATTCATTTAATTATGTAGAATATTTATAGACATAAACTAAATAAGAGGGTTATTGTACTTTTATATACACACATTGTTGTAATGGGGAATCTGTCAAAAAGAAAGAAGCAATGCAGAAAATGATTCACAAAAATAAAAAAGAGAATAGAGAGAAGCATTAAATAAATGAAATTTAAGCTGCCTTTGCTTCAGTACTATGCTTCTCAATATAAGCCTTAATGAATGCTTCTTCCTCTGCAGATTCAGCCTTAATTTCAGCTACCTTTGGCTTCTTGGCGGCGAATGGATTAGGAGCAGCAATGACGGCTACTGTGGCCAACGTGGCAATAGCCAGTTGATGAGGTTGGAATGTTCTACCGAAAATCTTATATGCACTACCCATTATTCTTGAACTGTGTTTGTATTTTTGTCGTTTTAGTTTTCTAGGAGTGTTAGTTAAGATCCTTTATAATTCATATTTTTTATTCCTTTAAAATTGAAATTTTCGGTATTCAAACTTCGGGTTCTTTGACCGAACAGCGCGCCGACCAATCAGGTCGGAGTATTTAACATCATATTTTCTTAAGCCCTTATATATATAGATAGATACACTATTTATGATTCATCTTGTAGGCGTTCAGTAGATTAGTAATACGGGAAACAATTTCAGTACACTCCTGTGCAGATACAGCCTCAAAGTAGTAACGTTTGATATCATCGGGACCCCTTCTAACATATATCTTGAAGTATTCAGCGACCCTCTTGGACTTTTTCACAAGAATAACTTGACTTATATGGAATGATTTGGTCTTGACATTTTCATGCCAATGCATTTTACCTTCCGGTGGTACAATATATACGTAATCACCATCTAATGCTAACGTTCTTTCGTGTTTGGTGATCAGAGACATCTGCTGTCTCCTCCAAACTTTATACTTGTGATATGCACCGGAAAACAAATCTTGAAAATTGTTATTACTCGTTGCATTATCAGGCGTATATTCATTTAGAATACCCGAATGATTGTTATGGTAATTCTGCATCGGTGTATGCAAAGAGTGTCTCGACGAGTCCTTATTTTTAAAAAAACTCCCTGAATTGTTGCTACTAATATTGTTGCTAACAGAAGAAGACTGTTTCGAAAGGTTAAGTTTGATCTTACCAGAAGTCTTACGCAATTTTGTGAATGGAACAGGTACTTCAGTTGCTGGGGCAGCACCATCATTAGTGTCCTCTGTAGTCATGAATGCCGGTGCGGGTTCCAGAGTCATTGGTGTTAAATCGTTACTTTGAATAGTAGGCAACTGTGGCTTGGTCAAATTAGGTTTGATCTTTTCTAGCTGTAATCTACGAGCTTCTTTCTTGGAAATTATTTCCACTTTATTGTTACCATCTAGTCTCAAAACGGTATCGTTCAAGTCAAATATTCTGTTCTTACCTATCATCTTTAAAGCATATTCATTTGGATCCATATTCTTCATCCTACAATATTTTGCAAGGATATCATTAATATTACCTGTAACCAACACATTAACAGTTGTGAAATTAAATTTTGGATTAACGTTTGGATACATATAAACAGTAACCTCAAGGACATTTGAACTATTGGCATTATTAGCCAGATCATCCACATTACCACCAACAATAGGTTTGTAAAAACTTAACTGGTTCAGTGTGTTGTCTTCATTATTGGTACCACCAGATGTCTTTGATGATATTGATTTTGCATATTCTATAATATCGCCATTGACATCATAAGGAACTGGAGTTTCTCCATCATTCTTCAATTTCTCTTGTTCACCAACCTTACACAGTACAATTTCATTATCAGAGATAGATTGCATTGTACTGATTCTATTCAATTTCCCAAAATTATCTTCAAATGGTTCACCATCTTCATCAACTATATGTAATGCAAAATTGTTTGGATTAATTAGAGTATGTATGTCCAATCCATCTTGATCAATGTTATCTGGCTTAAATTCAGTGGTATAAAGATATAGGATATATCCAATTACATCAAATATCTTGGCAGTCTTTCTAACCTTAGTTTTAAAAGAATTTCTCTTATATTTTTTTGAAAGTTGGATATATACTTCCAGATCCATTGCATCAAATCTAGGAACGGTATTGCCAGATACAAATGAAAAATACTCCAATACCTCGACAGGGTTGCTAACTTTGTGTTTTTTCTTATTAAACAATGACGATAAATGAGAACTTGTTGTTTTCACAACTGGAGAGGTGGGTATCTTTTCAAAATGTAATGTTATATCCTTTGAACTTCTTCTACTTGTACGGCTTGACGATCGTGACGTTATAGGCACCTTTGATACAGTTTCATTCTTCAATAGAGGTTTATTTTTATGTGAAGATGAGCCATATACTCCAGAATATTTATTACTCTCTGTGACATTGTTGGAAGATGATCTCAAATGATGTCGTAAAATATTTGGTTTTATCATTGGATTAGAGGTTAATGAAGCACGTTTTGAATTTAAAGTTTGAGTTATTGAATTTCTTCTTGACGCTGATGAATTGGCTCTATCACGACCCATATGAGGTACATTCGATTTAATTTTCGTCACTGCCCTATCTAACACATTATTCAACGTAGAATCATTTGTTCCTTGGAATAAACCATATCCTTCGAATGAGATAGGGATGGAATGTGAAGATATTGTGTGATGCACGATATCTGTATCTAGCGATATACGGTCTGTTGCACTGTCACTATTTTCTTGTTTCAAATATTCGTTACTTGTATATTCCGATTCCAACAACGATTTGCCAAATGAGGATACCTCACTTAGATCTTGCTGTTCAGAAGTACTATCCATTGCATGGCGTACATGACTGTCGTCGTCGTCGTCATCATCTGATAATCCCTCACTATGAATTATACTAACACTATGTGCATAATCTATAGGCTTAGAGTTTATAGGGGTCAAAGTCAATGATTTATTATTATTTGAGTCGTGATGATCCAAATTTAGACTTTTTAAATCATCTTCCTTAATGAAGGATTCTATATCGGACAAATCAGAATCGCCAATTCTACTGTCACTTTTTGAATTTTTATTCATATCATGATCAGAATGTGTGTTTTTAGAAGAATTAATGTTTGTATTATTATTATTGTTTATGTTGGCATTATTCCGTGAACTTTCGAGGATAGGAATTTGTGGTAAATGTGACTTAAGTCTCGATACATTAATAATATTACCACTTGACGAAACGGCATCATTTGTGTTATTTCCTTGCTGGCTACCGTTACTCATAGAACGATCACTTGTATCCGATCTTAAATGACCGTCAGTATCTTTAGGTACAGAGAAGGTATTTTCTAATAATGACCTTCTATCTAAACTAAATGCTTTTGTCCCCAATTTTGATTTATCATTATTGATATTTTGATTATTATTATTATTTGTTGAGCCGCTAGCTGTGTTACCATTCAATGCAGAAGTAGATCTATCCAATTGGAAAAATTGTGATTTTAATTGATTATCCTCATTATCCTCATCTTCATCTTCACCTTCATCCTCAAGGTCTTCATCCAGAATATCATCGTAATCAAAATTCATTGAATATATAGAATCCTTCTTTAATTTCTTTTGAGCTAATGTAGTTCCATTAGAACCACTAATTGTACCAGTAGTAGCTCCTGGAATCGCTGATGTAATATGAGACGCGACAGTCCTATTATGAGGTTGCTTTTTATTACCTTTAAAGATTCTAGTGAAAGGTAATGCTGATTTCTTATGTTTAGTTTGTGATTCCGAATCAGAATCATCAGAATCGTAGGTCACTGAAGCAAACTGAGGAATTCCATTATTTCTACTAACTTGACCATAATTGTTATTTAATTTAGTGTTATCTGATGTGACTTTATCAACTTCCTGTGGATTAAACAACATACTATCACCCCTTAGGATCGAAGGATCATCTATTAACTGAGATTTTTTGGTGAGGGTTTCTTGTCCCTGCATATCATCATTTTGAATATTATTATTATTTCTGTTATAAGCCTTTGCGTTTCTAATCTTCCTAGTTGTAATATAGTCCTCTAAGAAGTTGGTCATAATAGGAGGTGACTCCAACTCGGGTAAGAGGTAAGTTCCATTATTGTTCCTATACATATCCTTTATCCTATCATCAATATCATCCAAGGTATAATTGTTGTGATTTTTAGAGTCAAAAGGTTTAACAATCCTTCTGACTTGATCTCTCTCAGGACAAACGTTCAGGAACCGAGCCCTGAGCGAGTTGACCGCTACAGATGTATCCATTTTCTCGTAACCCTCTGAGACTCCTTGCCCTTTTGTAGCTATAGGTCTTGTCAGGCTCTTTTACCAGGCTCTTAGGATGTGAGTTCTTGAATGGATTAATATTTTAATAATGAAGTAAACTGGAGGGAAAACCAGGCAAAATGAAAAATAAATACTACTAAATACAAGAGATTCCCTACTTAAAGAAAAGAAAACCTATCTCCAAAGATAGATATATACATATATATACACACACAGATGAACATGATTCAAGTACTATATAAGTTGCATATATCCTATTCCCATTTATAGGTGGGTGTAAGGTGTTCTTAGAACTAAGTCTACAACTGCAAATCTAGCCAGTCTACAGCAACAAGAAAGAGAGCGCCCTAGGCTATTGCATAATCTTATCTCCTGGTTAACACATAGTTCAAACATCTTGCAAACATATATAATCACCTCAATTAACATCGATCTCTGTCTTGTTGATGAACCTTCTGATAGTTCTCGTTCTCTCAGTCTCTCTCTTTATGCCTGTTGAAATTTCCACCAAAAGAGAAAGAAGCGAAAGCACTCGACGACTTTTTGCAAAAACATTAAAAGGGGGAGATGTCAAAACATATAAGTTGAAGAGGAAGAAAGGGAGATCTAATCCTATCAGTTAACCAGTTAATAAACTATCACCAACTACGCACATCTAGTCGAGAGTCTCCTGATGTCTAACCCTTCCGTTTCTGCTGTCTTCAAGCTTGTTAAAGCTCCTATCTATTCTCATTGTTTTTCCCAAGACAAATCGTTACTGGCAGTGACTTGTAAGAACGATTGTCTTGTCTATCGTTTCACAAATGGCACCCCACAGTTAGTGGCCACTCTATCCAACCATGACAAGACTGTCACAGCTGTCGATATTTCTATCCATGGTAGAATTGTCACATGTTCTCAAGATAGAAATGCTTACGTCTGGGAACCTCTAAGTGATGGAACTTACAAACCAACATTGGTCCTGTTAAGAATTAACCGTGCCGCCACATGTGTTGCTTGGGCTCCTAATGGTTACAAGTTTGCTGTTGGTTCAAGTGCTAGGATCATTGCTGTTTGTTACTACGAACAAGAAAACAACTGGTGGGTCTCTAAACATATCAAGAAGCCTATCAAGTCAACCGTCGGATGTCTATCATGGCACGCTAATGGTGTTCTTCTGGCTTCAGGTGGTACCGACGGTTACTTGCGTATCTTCTCTGGTTTTATTAAGGGTTTGGATTCCAAGGATGCTGTCGCTGGTTCTCCATGGGGTGAAAAATTCCCATTTGGTGCTCTGGTTAGAGAATTCTATCATGGTTGTTATATCGAAGATGTTCAATGGAGAAGCTCTGTTGAACGTATTGGTTATGTTTCTCATGAAGGTACTTTGAATGTTGTTGATTCCGCAAACAATCATTCTCAAATTAATGCTCCTGATGGGTTACCATTCAACACTTTGTTATGGATTAATGATCATGAGATTCTATGTGCAGGTTTCTCCAATCATCCAGTATTATTTACAGAAGCTGCAGGTGGATGGCAATTTGCTAAGGATCTAGACAAACCTGCTTCTGCGGATTCGTCTGTACATAATGCTGTCAACAATAACGAAGATCTAGATGAAAGTGAAGATGCAAGTACCACATTCGGTATTTCAGCTTTGAGAAAATTCAAACAATTGGATTTGAAAGGTAAAGTCTCTGCCGATGTCAATGAAACAACTCACGAGAATACAATCACTCAATTATTGTCTTATAAGGAGGCAAATGGTCAAGTAACCCAAGCTTCTGCTTGTGGTCTAGACGGGAAAGTTGTCATTTACAACATTTGATCCTACAGTACATTTCATTTTGGTTATTTTCATTAAAATTATATAAATTTTGTACGTATCTGTGTGAATATATAATATAAATATCCTTTTATTATTTCTATTATTATACCTTCTGGCCTTGGTTGCTCAGCACATACGAATAAACACTACCTTTTAACAATGTTCCAACTAATGCTAACTTCACTTCTAGCTCTCTCATCTCTGCTAATACTTCTTCCGGTGACGCATTAGTTTTGTCCTTATTACGTTGGTTTGCGTTCAACTCCTGGATCGCAGCATCCAGCGAGTGTAACGAAGTGGCCAGTGTGCTATACTTATCTAATACATTCTGCTGCAACGGTGTCAATTGGGCTTCCATCCTCTCTTTATAGTCTTCCCTTCTTGTCCTGGCTAATACGTGACTACTTGTTTATCAAAAAGTTATTTACTTATTTATATTTTATGGCGTTTAAATTTCTGAAAAGTTTCGACTTAAAGACGAATTGAAAAAGATTATAAATATACCAACCAGCAATACAACCAAAAGAGAGAAAGATAAGAGAAAAACCAAACAGAACAAGGAACAATCAAATGTCTAATCAGCAACAATCATATACTATTTGGTCACCACAGGATACTGTCAAGGATGTCGCCGAGTCGCTTGGTCTAGATGGAATTAGTGATGATGTTTTGAAGGCTCTCGCTATGGACGTCGAATATCGAATCCTTGAAATTATTGAGCAAGCCGTGAAATTTAAACGTCATTCAAAGACAGAAGTGCTATCTACTGAAGATGTGGCAAAGGCCCTGAATGTACTGAATGTAGAGCCACTCTATGGTTACCATGATGGCTCCGCTAGAGATAAAGATGTCACTTTTAAACGTGTGAATGTCACTGGTGGACAACCAGTTTATTATATAGACGAAGAAGAAGTGGATCTAGATAAATTAATAAATGAACCTTTGCCACAGGTGCCACGTTTACCAACATTTACTACACATTGGCTAGCAGTAGAAGGTGTACAACCCGCTATTGCACAAAATCCTAATATCAACGAAATTAGAACTACGATTCCTCCAACTACAAGAGGTGCAATCGTCTCAACATTAAATACTAACTCTTTACAAAGTTCTTCTTCTAATAACCCAGTTACTCAAAAACAAAATGAAACTAATAGTAATGGACAAACATCTCTACCAGTAACTGCCGTGAAACCGGGTCAAAATACCAACGTTGAAGTAAAGCCTTTAGTTAAACACGTTCTATCTAAAGAACTACAAATTTATTTCAATAAGATTATTTCAGCACTAACTGCGAAGGAAAATAGTAATGACTTATCAGAACATAATAGTCACCAACAACATCTCAAAGCTGCTGCTTTAACTTCTTTAAAGACTGATAGTGGGTTACATCAATTGGTTCCATACTTCATTCAATTTATCGCAGAACAAATTACACATAATTTATCAGATTTACAATTACTAACGACAATTCTTGAAACAATCTATTCGTTGCTAAATAATCCTTCCATCTTTTTGGAGCCTTATATCCATTCCTTAATGCCATCTATTTTAACCCTGTTATTGGCCAAGAAGCTCGGTGGTGCTCCAACCTCAGAGACTCCTGAAGCCACCAATGATTTCTTAGAGAAGACCAACGCATTACGTGATTTTGCTGCTTCATTATTAGATTATGTTCTAAAGAAATTCCCAGAGGTGTATAAATCCCTAAAACCTAGAGTGACAAGAACACTGTTGAAGACTTTCCTAGATACAAACCGTGTTTTTGGTACTTATTATGGCTGTCTTAAGGGTATAACTGTTCTAGAATCAGAATCTATCAGATTTTTTTTTGGTAACCTACACAATTGGGCCAGATTAGTGTTTAACGAACAGAATTTAACACTAGATCAATGTTCCGAGTCAGAAACTATAATAAACAACAAAACTAAATTTACTGATAAAGAATTATTTTACTTAGTAGATGTGGTAATAAATGCAATTTGTGTCCTTAAGAAGGATTTACCAGAGATATATGAAGAATCTGGAGAAGAAAAGAAGGAAATAAATGATGATACCAAACAAAAATTGGTCTATAGGACTGGGGTTATAATTGCTAGCCAAATACTCAAGAGAGATGATGCTAGGCAGTTAGTAGATGCAATGTTCTTTGGGGAATGAGTATTTCAAGGCTCAGCCTCCACGTACAGATATAATTAGTGACAGTTGTTCTATTCTGTGTAATAATAATAATAATAATAGTAATAATAGTAATAAATTTTATATTATATATTTAATGCAATGCCGATTCACATGGTGACTTTTTATATATAATGAGAATGAAAAATTATCATGGTCCAAATAACCTTCTTCTAACTTTCTTCTTTACGGGAAGTAATGTGGGTTGGTTCTCATTCTGCTTTTGAGTCGGCTTATCCATTGGTGTCGACTCGATAACTTGGTCCAGTACTGGCGCTTGGGATAGCCGTTGGTTTATAGGTGGTGTACGTATCACCTTATCATTAATGCTTGATAAAGGTGAGACCACACTGCTCTTAGAATTTTGAATTGGATGAGTTGCTACTGTCGGAGATTCAACTATGAGACCCATATCAACCTCCCTCGATATTGTAGTTTTAACTCTCTTCCCCATAGGCGTAGCCATAACTTGTATAGATGTTTCATTCTGGAGCTGATTATTATCCATAGTTGCTGACGATAAATCACCTAAGCTTGAACGTGTTCGTTTACCAACTCTACGGAAAGATTTAGGGGATGCATTTACAGCGGATCCTTGATTTTCAGAAGCTTGGGTAAAATTTGTCATTGTCTTAGACCTAGAAGCAAAAGCTGCAATGTCTTTCTTGGTAGACAGTTCTTCAGCCTTAAATTGCCTCCGTTGTAGTTTATTTATCATCAAATCAGATGATGTTCTTGATAATGATGATGGTAACTTTCTCAGTGCTTTCGCTTCTGCCTCCAAAAATTCACTTAGGTTGGAATTTGTTCTAGATTCTAAAAGCTCAGGTGACAGGGATAAATTCTGTTGACTACTAAAACTTGGTCTCCTAGAAAGACTTGGTCTTTTATACGAGCCTGCACTTTTTAGAGACGATGGTGTTGATACAATACTTTCAGGAGCCGAACCTGGTCTTGAGTCCATTTCATACAATTGCTGAACAGTATCTTTTGTCTTATTTTCATTCTTTGATATCGTTGAACTTATGGATTTTAGATTCGGACCTTTAATCTTTCGCATAATAAATCTAACCGTGTTCGGCAATTTTTTACTAAAATATGGTATTAAAATGTACCTTGTGAACCCAGTCGACGATGACTCCTTTGTTTTATTTAATATGCTCTTTCTATAATCAGTCAAAGTGTCACTTTCACCATCGGTGGGACTTATGGTAACACTTGTTTCAAGTAACATCTCTAAAATTGATAATTTATCCAAGTATAGGTCTAGCAATTCGCAATAATCAATAACAGTATTTGTATTCTGTTTCTCTATTGTTCTTATTCGCGTTCGACCCCTTCGAGTAACATTCAATGATCTATGTTTTAATTGTGGTTTATACTTTTCCTGAAAATTTTGGAAGTTTTTATCTAAATGGAACTGATTAATTAACTCTAACAATAATATTATTTGTAATTTGATTTCTCGAGCTTTCAATACGATCTCTAAATCATTTATTCTAGGATTCGTTATAGATCCATCATCAGCTATGTGTATGTGATATTTGTTAAGGCAATGATGCCTTGCTTTTGTAAAATTGTGTGGCCCAACAGCCAATGCTTTATCCATCGTCAACAAATTTTGTTTCAAATGTCTCTTATCAAAATCCACGATATTCATCACTAATAACTCCAATGTACTCTTATATAATAATTTTAAATCTTTAGCTTCCGCGGTGGATTTGCACATATTATAAAACCTTACCAAAGTTGACTTAACAAAGTATGCTAATGCTATATCGGGAGAAAACAATAATTCATTATATCTTGAGACAAGGTAGTCCTTAGGGTCCCTATTAGTATTATCATTCTCTGCATTTGCATGATTATTTTGTTTCTGTGATGTAATATTAACATTTGGTGGTGTCATATTCAGTTGAAGACTACGTTTATTTCCATTTGTTGGTTGCAAAATTCGTTGGAAACACCAATACGGTAGCAGTTCCATAAGATCTAGTTGCGACCAATTTGTATCAGAACCTAATTTATTTGATTTACTAGAAGAAGACCGGTTATATGTACTCTGTAAGTCAGATTCGATCAGTTGTAGTATCCTCCATCTCACCCACCACCGTTTGCCATATTTTTCGAGACAAAAATACTCCTTATCCTCCTGGAATACAAATATCGCTGCGTAACAACTACTTTTATCTATCAAGTCTAAAGTTTCACTGGGAATACTGTCGCTATCGATAGCTTGTGGGGTTTTCCAGTCGATATCTAAAGACTTCGGGAGTGTGGTTACTCTGGCAATGAGTTTCCATCTCATAATCGAGAATGTAAATAAAACTATAGGTTTAACAGCCTGTTCTAGATTCTTAAAGTTTTCTTTTTAATGTGTATACTACTACCTCTTTCACTACTTCTTCTTAGATTTCGTTTGTGTGTACATTCTTTTTATTGTCAGCTGAAAAAAAAATTGTAGTCTTCCAGAAGAGATGAAATTCCTATCTTTATGCCAAGAAGGCTGGAACAAACCTTTTAGACGTGTGAATTAGAAGAGAAGAGAAGATAAGCTGAAAAGTATGAACAGGATCAATGCTAGTTCTTTTTATACAAAACATATACATTTACATATCTTTCGATTTGTTAATCTTATTTATCATGATATGATCCCGACCATTATCGAGAATGGTGTCTAATTGCATGTTATCGCGGGATCATTAAAGTGTCTCTTAATGACAGCAAAAAATAATATCAATTGCTGCTATTGCTGTTGGAGTTGTTTCTATCAAGGTCGATCTTGTTGCTTATTAACATGATGGCTGCTTGGGAGCCCATAGGTGTACCTTTGATGGTTAATTTCCGTTCTTTGGCACCCTTTGTTGGACCCTCAATGAAAATTGAACAGCCAGTGGTCTCCTTAATCGAGTTGATATGTTTCCCCTCCTTACCTATGATATTCCCTACGAAGTTCTCGTCAATATATACATCTTGTTGCAATAAGGGCTGTTGTGGCTGCGGTGGTATTTCGACGACTCTAACGTTCGGAATCTGTAGCGTTGGAATGAAAGATTTCGCATTTGCAGCAGTTTCGGGTGTATATACAGCTCCAGGTTGATTATTGGGCCCATTGGCTAATGACTGCGGTACCATCACGTACATAGGTCCTCTAAAGGAGAGTCCATTTCTATTGCGGTAGCCATTGTTATTTATATTGCTATTATTATTATGATTGTGATAATGATTATTCTTTCCTAGGACCGAATATAGTGGTCCCGGTTGATAAAATACGGTTTTCTTGTTTCTCAAATTATCTTTGAAGTTAGTCATGGTTTGAGCAACGTAGAAAGTTGCAATATGTAAAGCATCTGCAACACCTGTCACCTTCAAAATTCTATCATTTGATGGTAATAATTGATATGGTGATGCTGATAATCTTGCTGCACTTAACTCTTCTATCTCCTTAAGACGTGAACCATGCTTCCCAATGACATATCCCATTAAATGATGGGGTATGAGTAAATGTACAGTGATCGGGATTGTATTCTCTATATCTTTATCACCTTCTTCTGCTGATTTCTTCGGAATATCTTTGTTTTCTTTCTCTTCTTGTAACATGGCACCGCTGAGAATTCTACTCACTTTACCAAACGCTTTAGCAACATTTTCACAAGAACCCCTGAAGTATACTACGCGTTCAGGAACACCTTTAATATTCTCAGAAACATTGATTCTTGTCGACGTCTCATTTTTAATCCTCGATATTGTCTCACCTTTTGATCCCACAATCAACGACGCCTCTCTCACGAGACACAACATCCGTAGGTTCACTAGATCAGAATTATTACTGGAACTTCTAGAACCATCAGAGGTCTCATCATCTTCTGTCTTAAGACTAGTAATATTATCCTTAACAATATCTTCCTCATTCAAGGCCACTCTTTTAATAGCTGCCTCCAAATGTGGCTCCTCACCAGCGTTCTCGCTCTTTCTTTTCAATCCACTCACTAAAAGACTAGGACTCTCAATTGTAGTCTCCATCTCGTCACTCATTGTTTCTTCTATATTGGTATGTATTTCTTTCCAATTTGAACTTCACTAATAACAAATATCAAAAGCAGACCTTATCATGGTGTCTCCCCTTTTGAATGAAACGTTTCAAACTGATTTTTTTTATAAAAACGAAATTTTAATTTTGGCCTACATAAAAATACTCACACTCTCGTGATCTCCGGGTAATGCCAGTTTTTTTTGGAGTCAGCAGGGACCCAATGGCCCAATGAGAATCGAGGAAACTATAGAACGTCTACATAAGGCTCAAATAACGAAGTGTCACCAGTGAGGGACATTCAATGAGCTCAGGGTCATAGTCACGATGGAGCAAACCCCTTCCCCTAGGACAAGCCCTGAACTGAAGACGATCATGCTGGTTTTCATGCTGAGATCGCCTCTTTGGTGCTTTAGCCACAAATGAGACAGTAGACCACCCAAAAATCTCGCAATAGTAAAACTTGGTACATTGTAGATACCAACCCCAACGGCTACTCCGGAAGGAATATAATATAGCCATCTAGGTGGATGTTCAGTACTTGCAAACACGTTCTTGACAAATGATAACAATGCAAATATACTACCAAATATCACAGAGCACTCCAAGGCACGTTCAGGTAAATCTTTACCAGCGACCAACCTTGCGCAATCGATCCAAACTATAGCCGTTGGTATTCTAATTTGATCATTTGGTAAGTCATATACTTTGTTGTAACATATGTACATAACACTTGATAACACGATAGACCAAACGACACCAATTAGCTGAGCAATAAATTGTGCCCTTGGTGATGCATTTAATAAATGACCAGTCTTTAGGTCTTGCATTAGATCACCAGCTTGTTGAGCCCCAGCTTCTGTGACGCCCCCAGCGACAATGTTAAGTAAGATATTTCCCGGGTGATTCTTGGGTATAATTAATGCAAATATCAATTGAGATAGTTTACCAATCCCACTGACAGGATTTAAATCAGTCTCCCCTAAGGCACGGATCCCCAAAATCGATAATAATAATGCAAATATCAAAGCAATAACCATAGAATATACAGGTATTATATCACTTCCAAACAAATAGACAATAAATATAACACATATCATGCTGGACACAACTAGTCCACTGAGAACCGTTGTATAAGTGACCAGATGTCTCGAATCGACCTCATGTTCCACCATAGTACTCACAAGTCGTATAGTCTCTTGAGTACGAGAACTGGATTGGGATGCACGTTTGTTTAATGCACGTTCTTCCTCTAATAATAGTGATTTTAAAGAATCATCCCAAATTGTGTTTAATAATTCTGCTTTATCATCTACAAGCATGAATCTTACTAATGATTTCGTAGTGACCACTAGAAAACCAACAACACTGTCTGCCACCATAATGGACAAAGAACACCACAGAATCCAACCTTGTACGCCATGTTCCCAATCTCCAACATCAGCATCTGATTGAACCCAACCTTTATGTTTTGCTAAACTGGCTAAAACTATCCAACCTAAAAATGATCCAAATAGCATATAACTAACCGTTGGTAAACCCATAATAATCCCTTGACCAATATAAGCTGGCGATGGTTGAAAATTCCATAAGTAATGTTTTGAAGCATATCGCCCAAACACTGGAATGCTACGCATGATGGGGAGAAAATACGAAGCAATAGTGTATACAGCCGACACTATAAATGTCCTTGTAAGAATCATCATATTCTTACCATATGAACTGCTATCACTGGTCAATGTAGATTCTGAATTGTGTTCGTGCTCATTTGTATTATTGCCTCCATAAGAATTGTAGGATTCGGTATTCCCCTGGTGAGTCAGAGGGTCATTCTCTTGAACTTCTTCTTCATCCAACCGTAACACTTCTGGGCATTCGGCATTCAAACGTCTGTTTCTCATGTCCATCAATTCATCTGTTGTTACTTCTTGTAAGACTTCAGACCCACTAAGGACAGCAATAAGAATGGCAGTAGCACTCCCACTTGGAAATCTCAATTTCTCCTTTACAATAACTTGTTTCCTTAATGGCACAGCAAAGAATATGCCGAAAAATGCTAAAGAACAGGACCACACTAATAATTGTGCCAAACTAAACGACGTCCCTTGAACTCTAGAGTACCCACTTTCTTCAAAAGTAACAAATTTCTCAATTGCAGGTATCACCCCAATAAACCCAAATGACAATGGACCTGTACCGACAGCTACTGCGAGACTTTGCACATAAACTATCTCGACATCACTGAATGGACAACACTGAGGATAAAATAATGGCCAAACTTGTTTAAAGAATGCGACAGCAAGTAAAGCAGATGGTAACGACATCATCGACACCCACCCGGTCTGTAACCCAAATTGGAAATTAGATATCAAGACAATGGACCCAATGGCTAAACCTACAATGGTTCCTCTCATAGTAACTTGTTTTATGGCAGGTTTTTCTTCCCAAGGAGGCATCGTTTCGGGACAATCATGTTTGGTCAATCTATGCCGTATCTGAACGCTTCTTACTCTTCTAGAGTCAGTCATATTAAAAATCAATATACCTCTGTATGACTGATCTACTCACCACCACTATAATTTAATATATCGTTGTTGAAGACGTAAAACCCATTCCATTCCATCCACTTTCTTATCTCATCTCTTTTATATTCGAAGAGTTTTTCAAGAATTGAAAAAATTGTATCTTGGCCGATCTCAGCGATGATTTAATGCTGATTAATACGATAAGAGAGCACAGAAAGGGGTGCTCAAAAAGGTGGATGATTGATTGATACATAGATGTTCATTAAATAGGAAGATACATAATAATAAAATAAAGTAAAAGAAATATTCTTACTCTTGGGTAGCGAACCTTTTTTGTTTTTTTAATTGGCTCCCAAAAGAATGTAGTTTAGGATATCGCTCAAGGTTAACACCCCAGCAAGTCTACCAGCCTCGTCAACGACAAAAAATCTATGCACACGAGACTTTCTGATGTTGTCCATAATCGTAGAGAGTCTATCATTTCTTGTACAAGTGTACACCCCTTCGAAGTCGTCACTACGACGCATCAGAGCCTCCCCGACACTCAGAGACAAATCGTTGTATATACCGCCTTTAATCAGCCCTAGCACATCAACAGCTTCATAGACGTTTACTAGGATTCCTTGATCATCCACTATAGGAATCGAGGATACTCCACCTTGTGACAATAATTGGATTACATCTATCACAGGCGTAGTCATATGACAACTCTTAACTTCATGATCACTGACAATCCCTAAGTCGCCAATAGGTCTCTTCAAAAAATGAGTTTCCCTACAATTCAAAGATACAAACTTGAGGATTCTATATTGTGTCAGTACACTCACGACAATCTCACGGTGGGTTTCTTCGTCTTTATCGATCAATGGGATTCTACGACTCTTGGAATCCAACATCTTAAGACAAGCTTCAAATAAAGGTCGCGATGGATGAATCGATGCGGTATCCAGAGGCTCAACACCAATGGCTCTCTCGACATCCCTCAGCCCTTCCAGTTGCAACTTGTCGATCAACTCGAACTTGTCAGGGTTTGAGAAATAATATTGAATGACATTAATAAAATCGTTAGAGGTCAATAGTCCCGCAAATTTTGAGGATTTCGAATCCCACAATGGTGCAGAGACGATATTGTTCTGTAACAACACATTCAAAGACTTCTTTACAAGCAACGACGTATCCAGAACCACTAACCTATATGACACAGGTAACACATCGTACGATGTTTTACTCTTCAAAAACGTTCTAATCGACTCAACGGCAAGCTTCTGCTCCACCAAAACTTTCTCCACATCATGACTGTCTGAAACAGCACCAGTCTCGTTCATACTGATAAGTGTTCAATCTCCTTAACTGGCTTTAACCCCCCAACTCCCTAATAAATCAAGCCGTAGTTGGTATTGTTGTTGTCAATTGTTTTGTTCTTTTTAAAATTCTTTCAACAAAGCAAAAAAGGCAAAATTGCGTTCGCGAGCTCGACACCGCACGTGACCTATACGTTATTTAGAGTAGTAAAGAGTAGAAAGTAGTAGTCGGAATATTGACTTGAATTATTTCAAAAACTATATATGGTAGTTTGTTATCTGATTATATAATCGGTTCTAGCCTGTGACGTCGATGGGTCAAGTTCCTGGTGTTCATTTGGCGGTAATGGTCCCAGTGCAGTCTTTGTACGGCGACGGATTGCACGACGAGGATCAAACACTTTGAAGAACTTGAGGTTCTCATCACCCCCGACTGTTGCTAAGGTGGTACCATCTGGTGACAGTTGTGATCCACATATCCTTGTTTCGTGGGCATGTGGGATTTCTGCCACTTTATATTTGGTGTCGTAATCAAATACAGAGATCGCATTACTTGGGTTACCCCCTGTTGCTACAATTTCTCTATGCATAGCGGAATTTGGACCTTCGGCAGATGAATAACTTTGACCCCAATGTAATGATGACACTTGAGAGCCTGTATTTATCGAGCCTAGTTTGTTCCCCGTAGTGGTATTCCAGAAATGAATATGTTTATCGGCTTGACCCCCTCCTGTTGCTAATAAATTCGGAATATAAGGACACCACGATATGGCTTTCACTGCTGCGTTGTGGGCTCTCTTTGTAAATATAGGCATAGAGTTTCTGGTGTCCCAAAGAATCACAGTATTATCATTACCACCAGAAGCCAATTGTGTCCCATCGCATTTATAAGCAAGACCACATACTTCCCCTTCATGACGGTCCCAACGGCTTACTATATGATCACGTACTCTTACATCATTAATTTGTATCTCTCCCGAACGAGATCCTGTAGCAATTAGAGTTTCTAACCATGATTGAGAACCTATCCTTACGCCTAACCCTGATCTCATTGTTCTAACCTTTGATGATGTCTCTGTATCCCATACTTGTGTGTTACCATTATCTGTACCCACAGAAATATGACAATCATCATCAGACCATGTAACGCTAGTTATCAGTGCACCTTCAAGTTCCGTTAATAATGAGACTTGCCCCGACGTGGCATTCCATAGATATAATGATGATTCTAATGCAATGGCTAAGATATTACGTCTTGACCAACTTAATAAATTCAAATAAAAATCGTCTTGAAACCCTGGAGCGTCAAGAATCCTTTCTGGATTGGTTCCAATCTTACGTAATTTCAATAACATTGGTGATTCATTATCGTTACTATCAAACCTAAATTGAGACCTTGATTTCATTTCATATCGTTTGAAGTTTGCTACTGGTGGTTGTGGTAAATATTGTAATATACGTTCATTGACATTAAGTCCGCATGCTTGTGCTACTTGAGTCTTGAAGACACATTTCTTTTGAGCACGTAAGTGTGTCACTGGAGATGCATCCGGTGGAGGTAGTTCTTCTTTCAACTCTCTGTGATCAATTCTTGCCTGCATACCATTCTGTAGCAAAGGGATGAATCTATCCCCTGCACCACTTGGTAAAGTCTCATCATTATCATTATCGTCATCGTCATCGTCCTCTCCCTTGGTGAACTCATTGCACTTGAAAAATGAAGAATTACGCCTCAACAACTGAGGCCTATTTCCCTTCGTCAACGTAGGTCTATTGAATTGAGGCATTCTTGGTCTTATATCCAAGGAACTGGTCCTCGTAAGTGACAATTTGCTTACTTTTCCTTCTCCTGGTCGACGCTCTGAGATCACATTCAATTTGGCCGGCGAGGTGGTCGACAATACAGACCTATGTGGATTATTACTACTCTTCATTATTTCCTTAGTGTTGTTGCTAGAGCAGCTTGATTTATTCCTTCTTAGTAGATAATGCTAGTTCCTGTGGTTTCATCCTTTTTAAATGATTTTTGACTTTGAAAAATTTCTTGTGTTAATTGTTCTCACTATTTACAAATTACCGAATGCGGAATCGTTATGAGGAAGGAAAAGTAAGAAGGGGCCCCATCAACAAACGACATAGACGTTGAGTAACGTAACGTAAACAAAAGCGAGTAGAGTACCCTGAGATGATCAGCGTATGTTTTCTGGAAAGGGGTTTGTGGGGGGTGATGTGATATCAAGTATTTTCCCGTTTAGTTTGTTGTTCAGTTGCAACGAAAGTCACTACTGTGAAATATATATTATCCTTGAAGAAGATACTTAATAATACATAATAACGAAGTATCCACTGGTGAACTGAACCGCTACCGATATTATTACAACAGCAAATTCATTTACTTCTCTCAAAATATATAACAACTTACTAAAAAAACTCAGTGTATTTAAAACTTGCTAGAGTATGACATATATATATATATTCTTTAGTCTCGGACTTTTATCTGTTGTGTCATTTATAATCGTTCGAAACTTAATTAGTTCTTTCCTCCAATATGATCAGTTTGAACTCTGTAGGGGTTGGAATATTGTGTGTTAAACAGAGTTGCTGTTGTTAAACTGCTCATCTTTTGTGCATAGTAACGTTGGACTATGTAGCTCCAATAAACCCAATGTAGGGGGAACGAATACTACATTATGCAGTATATATCATGTGTTATTATATATACGACAGTGCAGCACACTCTAAATTCTACTTATATTAGCTACCTTCACCTTCAGTTAGGTTAAGCTAATGTTAGCCTTTTTAGTGCTGCCGCTACATATTCAACATTGTGTACATACATAGGCATCCTTTGTCAAGGCTGGATTTGATTCTTTCGTAGCAGATGTAGATGAGCAAGAGCAACTTGCTATCTCTTCAGAATGATATGACGTATGAAATTATGAAATTAGAATACTGATACTTTAAGTAAATGATTATTTAAAAGATTTTCCTATTGGTTATATGTAGCAAAGCCTTTCTATCGTTCAAGAAGGTATACAACGCTTGATCTTCTATTGATAATTTTGCTAATGATTTACCAACATTTTGTTCTTGTTGAAATTCACAGTAATCTTTGTAACCACTCGATGATAATAAAGTATCCTTGTATAATTGGCCAGCATTATCACAAAATTCAAGGACCTGTTCTGTAACAGATCCTTTCACTTGAGAACTCTTTGTTAGATAGCCTACTAATACATCCAAAGTGCCAAACATTTCAAATACACTTTCGAATTGAGGTTCGCTTGCTACAAGGATACCATTGTAAATACGGAACCTCGACAGCACCAGCCTATCATGGTTCAATTTCTTATGGATATGGTACATTATTAATTCTATGTCAACTAACCTCTTTTGTGCATTTGACCCTACAAAGCCATTGTCTACCGTTGTAAACTCCTTCACATCTAATGCCCGTAATTTAGTAATCTTAATACGTAATGCAATAAGTTCAAATATGATCGGATGACCAAACTTATAAGTATCGTCCTTCACAACGTGTTCTGGCAGCAAACTTTCTTCATTTAACATTAATTTAGCAGGAGACGTCGTCAACCCACGAGGGTACATAAAGTCCTCTGTAATCTCATCCACTATCTCCAAGAAGGGCTGCGTCAATGCACTCGTTAATTGTTTCACAGTCTCTGCCATGGTCAGTTGTTGCATTTCTTCGCTACGGTTATCAATCATGTTTATAATCAGGTTATCTGGTATCCTTCTTCTATACTATATAGCACTCTCTTTCTATTCGATGAGATGAACTGATAATTTCGACTGAAAAAATTTTCGATTTCTTTTTATTTTTCGTTCTTGCTTATATAATGTGAGGAAAATACATAGGGAAACAGAGAGCAATATATATTGGAGCTAATAATTTCGATGACACATTCAAATGACTCATACTTTTTTTGATAGATTTTTTTTATATATACATGTTAACTAGATGGGGATGTTGGATATGGAAGTGGACATATTTGACACTACTAATGAAGGGCAAATATTTCATTGAAGAGTTTTGCGCAGTGTACGCGTGCTCCCATACGAGCACACAATAGGAATATCCCACTGAATTTACGATGTAAGGAGTAAGTTTCTTCTGGTGGCGGGCATAACCTTTCATTAAGCATTAACCCAATATTACCACGGATCCTATCTGAAACAGTTTGATCTTTGAAATCGAATGCTTTGTTTACATCTCCACTGAAGGGTTCTCCAAGGGTCATAACACTATCTGCATGTGCATCTATCATTGCTTGAGATTCAAGACCGTTCAGGTAACCTAACTCTTGCGACATCCTTTGAACATTTGGACGATCCCCTAAGGTCGCATAAGTCAGTAGCTTCCTGTATTTCGTTATGAATCCATCAGGGAATGGCCTTGATGCACCGAAATCCAATAGTTCTATTCTAGGGGTTAATCCTTTGTCATTATACAAGAAGTTTGCCCAATTGGGATCTGTTTGCATATATTCAAATGTAGCAATCTCTTCAAGACACAAACGCATAATATTCTCAGAGATAAAATCTCGGGTTTCTTGATTTGTTGTAGCATCTGGTAATTTCATAATTTCTGTACCTGGCATCCGTTGCATAGTTAATACATTTTCTGTACTGAGTTCATTATAAACTTTTGGAACATCAAAGACAGGATCTCCTTTTAATAATTCCCCGAATTTTTGTAATGCTTGAGCCTCTCTAATATAATCACATTCCCACTTCAATTCTTTTCGAGCATTCGCTATAGTCTTATCCAGGAATAGCCCCTTTGGCAATAATTTTGAAGCTGTCAATAACATTAATAAATTGTTCAAGTCTGAGTCAATAGAGTCTCTGACTCCCGGGTATTGTATTTTACAGACCACATCTTCACCGGATGTTAATGTTGCTTTATGAACTTGTCCAATGCTTGCAGCAGCAAATGGAATATCTTCAAATTTAGCAAACTTCGATCTCCATTCATAACCTAATTCTCTTTTCATCACACGTTCCAACTGTCTCTTTGGCATATAATTTGCACTGTTTTGAACACGGCTTAAAATTTCATATAGTTCTCTTGGAAGTAATTTTTCATCTTGAAATGACATCATTTGTCCTATTTTTAATGCAGCACCTCTCATTTGTGAAAATTTGACTGTAATCCTATCAATATTAGCATCTGAAAGGATCATTGACTTCCATTGAGGAGATTTCCCTTTAGCGACCTCGGAGATACTCTGTTTGGCAACATTGAGTCCAACACCTGCAGCCAGCGATCCATAATGAAACAGTCTTGATATTCTTGACGTTGGAACCTCCGAACTTTTTAATTCTTCTGGTTTCTAAAAAATAATTAGTTAGTAAAAATGTATAATGTTAAATCAAAATATTGTTAACGACATTAAAATTATAGGAATAATATTATTATTATTATTTTTGTTTCTTTGTTTGTATAGTTATTTACATACGTCTTTATCTCTTGCACTAGTTGAATACTGCCTCTTTCCACTAAACAGTTTTTTAGTACTAATGGATCCGCCGTTTCTAATACTCTCCGATAGTGCTTTAGCAGCATCCCAGTCCTTATCATGATACATCTGACAGTTGCTTAAAGCAGACCCAACTAATGGCGACGCATCAAACCATTGTTTCAGCGCTGTCCCGGCCATTGGAACTGACCTTTCCGCCACAGCTTTCGACGATGACAACAAGCACCATGCATAATATAGTGAATGACGAGTTGACATGACTGTTATTACCTTATTTACGGTCTCTCTTGCAGGTCTGTCTTTAGTGAAGCAATCTTTTTAAGTCTTTGCCAAAGTAGCCTCCCCTTTTAAATAACAAAAGTCACCCAAATTTGAAATTTTCAGGCTTCGTTCTTCCTGTTGTTTTTGCCTGAGAGCGAAAAAAAGAGCAAGAAAAATTTATTTCAAGAAAAAAAATTTTAGCGATGAGCTATAACAAGAACAGTTTACAACTGTTATTATTGTTTTAACAACTGGGTAAAATAAGTAAGAAAGGTTTATCATTGATATTGTGAATAGTATTCTATACCAATTACATTATCGTTAGATAAAGACAGTATATATATAGAAATATTTAGCGTAAAATGGCATCAAAGAGAAGACTGTCTGAGGAAAACCACGTTTGTCCGGACCCTGTGAAGACATCCATTCCAGAACAAGCTGCTGAAGTTGCAGAAGAACTGGCCAAAACTCATCCTATCAGAGAAGAAACACCTTTAGTGCATCATGATGCTGGTGAGTTCAATGGGTTGATTCGTCACAAGACTACAGCTGAACAAGCTGAAAAATTAGAAGATAGTAACGTTAATCCATTCACTGGTAGAAATTTTAGCTCAAAATACTTTGAAATTCTTAAAGTTAGACGTGATTTACCTGTTCATGCTCAACGTGCTGAGTTTTTAAGGATATATCAAGAGAATCAAATTATGGTCTTTGTCGGTGAGACTGGTTCTGGTAAGACTACTCAAATCCCACAGTTCGTACTATTCGACGAAATGCCTCATTTGGAAAATACTCAAGTAGCTTGTACACAACCTCGTAGGGTTGCCGCTATGAGTGTTGCCCAAAGAGTTGCTGAGGAAATGGATGTGAAACTAGGTGAAGAAGTCGGTTACTCCATCAGATTTGAAAATAAAACCTCTAACAAGACCATATTAAAATATATGACCGATGGTATGTTATTAAGAGAGGCTATGGAAGATCACGATCTTTCTCGTTATTCCTGTATTGTTCTGGATGAAGCACATGAACGTACTTTGGCCACTGATATCTTAATGGGTTTATTGAAACAAGTTGTCGTTAGAAGACCTGACTTGAAATTGATTATCATGTCTGCTACCTTGGATGCCGAGAAATTCCAACGTTACTTCTGTGATGCACCATTACTAGCAGTTCCAGGTAGAACTTTCCCAGTTGAATTGTACTATACTCCAGAATTTCAAAGGGATTATTTAGATTCTGCTATTAGAACCGTTTTACAAATCCATGCTACAGAAGATGCTGGTGATATTTTATTATTTTTAACTGGTGAAGATGAAATTGAAGAAGCCGTGAGAAAGATTTCTTTGGAGGCAGATCAATTGGTTAGAGAAGAAGGGTGTGGTCCAGTGTCTGTGTATCCATTATATGGTTCTTTACCACCTCATCAACAACAACGTATCTTTGAACCAGCTCCAGAGTCTCATAACGGTAGGCCAGGAAGAAAAGTCGTTATCTCGACCAATATTGCCGAAACTTCTTTGACCATTGATGGTATCGTGTACGTTGTTGATCCAGGTTTCTCCAAACAAAAAGTTTATAACCCAAGAATTAGAGTCGAATCTCTATTGGTGTCTCCAATCTCCAAGGCATCTGCCCAACAGAGAGCTGGTAGAGCTGGTCGTACTAGACCAGGTAAATGTTTCAGATTGTACACCGAAGAAGCATTCCAAAAGGAATTGATTGAACAAAGTTATCCAGAAATCTTGCGTTCCAATTTATCCTCTACGGTGTTAGAATTGAAAAAACTTGGTGTTGATGATTTAGTTCATTTCGATTTTATGGATCCACCTGCTCCAGAAACAATGATGAGAGCTCTAGAAGAATTGAACTATTTAGCTTGTTTGGACAATGACGGTAATTTGACCGCGTTGGGACGTCTTGCCTCTCAATTCCCATTAGACCCTATGTTAGCGGTTATGTTGATTGGTTCCTTCGAGTTCTATTGTTCTCAAGAAATTTTGACTATTGTAGCTATGTTATCTGTGCCGAACGTATTTATTCGTCCACCAAAGGATAAGAAACGTTCTGATTCGTACAAGAATATTTTTGCTCACCCAGATGGTGATCATATCACTTTATTGAATGTGTATCATGCTTTCAAATCTGATGAAGCCTATGAGTATGGTATTCACAAATGGTGTCGTGACCACTATTTGAATTACAGATCTTTGGCATCAGCTGATAATATTCGTGCTCAATTAGAAAGATTAATGATACGTCATAATTTGGACTTAAATACTACAGATTATGAAAGTCCCAAATATTTTGATAACATCAGAAAGGCTCTTGCTTCAGGTTTCTTCATGCAAGTTGCTAAGAAGAGATCCAGTGGTAAAGGTTACATAACAGTAAAGGACAACCAAGATGTTCTATTACATCCAAGTACTGTCTTGGGCCATGATTCAGAATGGGTCATCTACAATGAATTCGTTTTGACCTCCCAGAACTATATCAGAACTGTGACTTCAGTTAGACCTGAATGGTTGATAGAGTTAGCTCCAGCTTACTATGATTTGGATAATTTCCAAAAGGGTGATGTGAAGATGTCTCTAGAGAGGATCCAAGAAAAGGTCAACAGAGCCAAAGAACTTAACGACGTGAGAAAAGATAAGAAACAAAAACATAAAAGTAAACATTAGTACCTTACATACAATTTTACATAAAATCATCTCTGTATATTAAAATCTCGAAAAACAAAGAGTATTATTTTTGATAAACTGAATACATTGGATCTCGTTGTCATTATCGCAATGCCAAATATTTAATTTTTGTAATCCCAACTCCCATCGTTGTTTGTCATTCATTAATGACAAATTATTCATTAATAATGATTTGTCAAATTACCAATGTCGCTTCGCTTTACCTAATCATCGCCCTGAACAGGATAATTAGAAAAGAGTTTCTCGCTTACTAAAAAAGGGAGATGATCCTTACTCAGTGCCGATCTCTTAGAAATTTCCGTAGTAAATTAAGACAGAAATATTTCATTAGCTAATGCAATATAATTACATATGGTGGAGCAAGTGAAATGAGGGGAGGTAAACTCGACAAGGTTCAATGAGGACAACTTCAAGTACGAAATGGCATATAAATGGGTAGTTTCACGTTCAATGTTAGAATTATTTTCCTCAAAACCTAGAATAGCATAACCATTGATACACAATGCTATCAAATTACAAACAAACAAAAATATAACAATGTCTACTAAAGTTGCCCAATTCGAACAAACAATATCTAAGGATCACCCAGTCTACAAACCAGAAAAAGGTAGATACTGGTTGTACATTTCTGCTGGTTGTCCATTTGCTCAGCGTACTTGGATTACCAGAGCTGTTAAGAATTTAACAAGCGTAATTGGTGTTACTGTCGTTCATTGGAAATTAAAGGACTTAAGTTGGAAATTGGTCCCTGGTGATGCTTCACAACTTGGTGATATGGCATACACTATCGATGGTGGTATGATTAGCTCTAAATATGATTCTTCTACTTTATTAGGTGACAAATTAAATGATGATAATGAAGTTCCCTTCGTTGATGGTACTGTCGATCCAAATTATGGTATTACAAGTATCCAGCAATTATATGACATGATGACTGATGTTGAATACACGGATACACATGAATTCCCAATTTTATGGGATTTGAAGACGAGGACTATTGTCAATAATAACTGGAATCAAATTCCAGGTATTTTGAATAGTGCTTTTGCTAATTTCCCCGAGACTCAAGGTACTATAGACTTAGTTCCTACTTCTGTTGCTAAGGAGATCAAAGAATTTAATGAATGGTTATCTCCTCATATTAATTTTGCAGTTTATGAAGTCGGTTTAGCCACCGAACAAGGAATCTATGAAAAGAATTTAGTTCAATTCTATAAGGATTTAGATACTGTTGAAGATAAATTAAAAGCTGTGTATAATGCTCTGGAGAAAGAATACGGTTCTAGCAATCAAGAAGATATTTTGAAAAAATTCTTTTTATTCAATGGTCAGTTGACAGAATGTGACATTAGACTGTATGCTACCATTATTAGATTTGATCCAGTATATGCTGTTCACTTCAAATTAAACTGGAGAACTATCAGAGGTGATTACGGGTATATTCATTTATGGTTAAGAAACTTGTATTGGAACCACAAGGAATTTAGTGCTACCACTAACTTCGATCACATGAAGTTGTTATATTTCCGTTCCCAATTGGAAGCCAATCCAAACGGTTTAGTGCTATATGGTCCAGAAAAGAATATTTTAGAGCTATAGAATATATTTTTCAATCAGATCGATTTATAACTAAATTTATAATAAACGTAATGAATAAATAACAAATTATATTACTAAATAAATATCGTGAGATCTATGGAATGGTGTGACTTATTGGTGTAACATTAAGCGTCAAACTTATAGTTAAACGCAAAATTTTGAGCTTATAATATATACAATTCTAACGCAACTTTAAAGTAGTTTTGACCTTATTAATTGATATTTCATCGTTATGTAAGTGAAAAATCCCCTGACCAGAGGATTACAAAATATGTATCCAAATTAATATTTATTTACATTACGAAATTGCTTACTACTATAATTGTATTAAACCTAGTTGGATAGTGTGGTCGTTAGACTCCCTCATGCCACACACTTCCATACAACAACTTAGTCTCTACGAATGCTACTCTACAACAAGTTTATCAATGTGCTTCAGTTTCGCAGGTATCTACTACATTAAACAACTATGGTCCAAATATTGAAGGTATAGGTGATAGAATTAAAAGAAACAATGTTCATCTTGTCAATACATCCATCTACTTCTCTTTAGGTTTTGATCTATCTTTAGGTGGTAATATCATGAAGTATGGCCCAAAATATAGATAATTCATTGTGAACTTCGTGAAAGAAATCAACCCAAGACTAAAAAAAGGTGATTTTATTCATCCACCAATTAAGGTTTTTCATAACGGTTTTGAAGATACTATTAAAATCAGGAATAACCTAGAAGTAAGAAAGGCCTCTGGTGAAAATTGTATAGTAGTATTTCAATGAAGATATAATACAATAGGTTACTTCTAATTTTTATACGATTTCTCTAATATATATGTACCTATGTATTAAATTCTGGTGATAATAATGGGTTTAAAATTTTGTTTTGTAATATTGTTTCATCTCTATAATTTAAATACAGGCGTTAAATATTTCGATATCACATTAATTATCTGGTAATATAATGCAATCAATCAAGCTCGCTCTTATCTTAGGTACTCCTATAATGTGTTTAAACCGAATAAGAAACCTAATTCTCTTGTACCTAAACCATTAATCTGTTTTAGTTTACTTGGATCCATGGCAGCATCCACCATTTCACGTTTTCTCTTTTGTAATTCTGCAATTCTATCTTCGACACTATTCTTGACAAATAGACGGTGAACAAAAACTTCTCTTGTTTGACTAATTCTGTAACAACGGTCTTGTGCTTGTTCTTCGACATATGGATTCCAAAATGGATCCACAATAATTACGTGGTTAGCACAGGTTAAAGTTAGACCTGAATTACCTGCTTTCATCGAGATCAATAGAATTCTCTTGGTGGTTTCCCGATAGAAATCACTAATAACATCAGATCTTTTTTGTGCATTCATATCCCCAGTATATTTCAAGTATTCTGTGTTCATCAAGTTGGTGAGAAAATATCCGAAGATATCGAAAAATGCTGTAAATTGGGAGAAGATGATTATCTTCTCTGTTGAAGAGCCCTCAAATACTTTTTTAATCAGGTCCATACATTGTACCATTTTCGGAGACGGCTTTAATTTTGATATATCTGTCACATATTCTGGGCATGATCTACGGCTATCCATAGCCAGTTCATATTCTCTACGTAAGTCGGCACGACTATAATTCAAATTCACATTTTGATTGTAGAGTTTGTAAGATACGATTTCTTTATCGCTAGTTAATAAGCTGCAATCGTTGCATTGCAACATCATTACATCATTCACCATCCTTGTACTAGAATTTAAAGAAGCCTCTTCCGTAAGAGGCTCGATGCAGGCATCACAGATCATATGACCACATCCTGTTAACACTGATGAATTTTCTAATTCAAGCTGTTCCATACACCATAAACATGTCATTCTATCTAGTGACTCGGTAACTGTATTTCTTTTACTTATATTCATGTTATTAATCACTTCAAATAATCTATTCCAGTCCCTTTCAAAATTTTTACCGTTAGCGACCTTGGATGTTTGACTTTTCTTCTCACCAATAATGACTAATTCCGAATGAATACAAGCTTGTCTTAGACGGAGTAATAGCGTTAAAACACTTGAATAGTTACCCTTCGCCTTTCTTGCTAGCAATCTCTTTGCGAGCTTCTGGTTCTTACTCTCCAAATCAGTATAAAAACTCAACTCTTCACCGTCTAAATTAGTCTCATCAATATCTACATTCTTAGGTGGCAATTCAAGAATAGGTTTACCATCGATCTTATCAGTTTTTGAACGACGTAGCATAATGGCCTTTAATAGCACTTGGACCTTTTGTAAAGCTCTTTTCCTATCCTCAGAGTCGTATGTATATTTTTTATTCTTACCAAACGGTCTTCCTATATCTGCCTGGAATCTCTCCTCCCTATTGTAAGGTGGGATACGTAAAAATCTAATTAATGAATATAGTTCTTCCATACTATTTTGGATTGGGGTACCAGATAATACCCATCTATACGTACTGTAGAGTGTACAGCACGCCTTGGCAGCCTGTGTTTTTTTATTCTTGATATTTTGGGCTTCATCTAGAATTATTCTATAAAAAGTTGAATCATCTCTGTAGAAAGGAGACCAATATTCGTTATGTTTTTTCAATTTATTCATAGCTCTGATATCTGGAATAGACGGGATCTTCTTTTGGTCAATGGATAGAGCATCGGGCCAATGTTTCTTGAATTCATTGGCTAATGTCTGATAAGACACTAATATTGCATCATATGATTTCATCTCATCCCAGGATTTTAATTTTCCCTTTTCCCCATTAAAGATAAAGCTTGTGAATCTGACATTCTTCTTAATTTTTGTTTCCATTTCACCTTTCCAGACTCTCAAGACACTGACCGGAGCAACAATTAGGTTGGTCTTATGTCTTTTGTTATCGGATTTATTGGCCATCATAAGAGCCAATGCTTGAACAGTTTTACCTAAACCCATATCATCTGCTAACAATCCAGCTTTTCTTTTAGATTTCTCCATTTTTAATAGCCAACTTAGACCTATCTTTTGATGTTTTAACAAATTGACAGTCAGCTCCTCTGGAGTCATTTCTTCACCTTCTACTTGATTTTCAGTTTCTTTAACGTTTGCAAGTAGCTCACGGATGTATTCCTTATCTTCGGCATCGTGTATATTGCTTATACCTCCTGATGGAAACATATCATTTCCTTGCATTCTATTTTGCTGAATATTTGAATGTGTTTGTTCAGATAGCTGCCACTTATTAAGACCTTTATCATCATGAGAGTCAAATATGTTATAATTCTGATGATTGTTTGATAATTGTATTAGGGCACGCAGTTCATCTTCTGTTGTACCCACATGATACACTTTTAAATTATCGTACAACTTGGTCATTTTTAATCCTTGTTTCAAAAGGAATATGACTGAACGAGTTATGACAATACGGGTTTCGGGTACTGGAGGAGTACCATTGTCGATATTTTTTCTAAATAATTCGATTAGATCCAGGTGATTCAATATCGAACGTTTGATGTCAGCATATCTTGAAGATTCGTTTATTAATTTTTTCGCAATTGAGATACTCTTGAAATATTGAGACCTTCTATCTACAGGAATAAGACCTTCCTTTCTATATTTTAACCCATAATCTTGCAATAGATTATAAACAACTGGCATTTTTACACCATTAGTAAATAGAAGTTCTGCAGAATCTAAACATGTACCCATCATAAAAGCTGCAATTGTCCTTCCGTTCTCAAAATGGTTTTTATATCTTAACAAGACATCTAAATGTTGCGTTAACATTTGTTTTGTCAACCCTGTTCTTGTGGTACTATCAAGGATCAGTTTTTTAGCAGCATCAATAGATTTTACAAAATAATCAGGTTGATCATTAGAATTGTTAATCATCCCATTTATTACCTTTGATGGATCCTGAACAGCTGGAGCACTCTTATTCTGAACAGAAAGATTGGTCAATTGTGATTGTACTTCATTCATAGCTGTCCTATGAGTACTTTGACTTATTGTACCTTCATTCAGCATAGCATTTAAGGTATCTTTCTGTTCAAGTAAATCTTTCCTTTGATTCAGTATAGCTTTGATTTCAAAATCTCTTTCAGCCATAATTAAATTATTCTTGGCCTTTCCTAACTTATCTGTCTTTTCTGATATTAACATATTTAGTTTAACTTTTACCTTTTCTAAACTTGATTGGACCGTCTTGAATTTTTTCGACGTCACATCTCTTTGAGTCGTCAATGTTGTAACAGTTATTTTTGCATCTGCGATAAGTAATCTACGTGCAGACGTCTTATGTTGCATATTTTCGAATGAACCTAATTTTGTAGCGGTTTGTTTTAATCTTTCATTCCGTTTCTCGAGTTTTCTCTCTAAGATCATACTACTAGATTTCAAAGAGTCCAGTTTATTACGCAAGGAATTTTCCTTAGCAATATATTCTTCCTCAAGCATTTGGTATTCCTTCTGTTTTAGCTCAATGGTATTAGATGGTAGTTCAGTCTTTGTAATATTATTTGCAACATCAATAGTATCGGCACTTTCAACATTCTCAACATTTGTACTATTATTGACGACAGTTGGTCGAGCATTCTCAAATTCTTCTTCGTCACTTGACAGTATGATAATTTGTTCTTGTATGGATGAATTTAAGTTTGAATTTGAAAGTATAGGCTTTGAATCGTTCAATTCTTGCTTTTTAGGGCCACGTGTATTAATATCTTCCTCATCAGCGTTTCTCTTTATAAGGTTATTATTTACTTCAATTGGTTTCATTGCATCTGAAGCTTCTGAAGCTTCAACATGAAATGTACTATTCTTCTTTATAATAGGATCAGTAAGTGGCGTTAGTTCTTTGATATTTAAATTGTTATCGTTTCCTTCATTTGTGATATCAGATGGTATATCAATATCAGTTTGTATTTCTGGTGTTACATTATGAGTTACTACAATACTTCGTATTTGTTCATTATTGTGTGCTTTATCTAAAGAATTTCTGTCCGTTGCTGGAATTTCTAAGGAACCCTGTTCGTTTTTTGGAACTAGTAGTTGTTTATCATTTGAAGTTCCTAGGAATTTATCATTATTATTATCATAGTTGTCATCGTCATTATCATCATTTGGGACTTTTAAAGGTTTATTATCATCGTCCGAAGTTTGTAACTCTGTAGTATCCTCAGATGTTGCTAATGACCTATTATTATTCCTTGGAACGTGTGATATTTCATCCATTTCTTGTTTAGGAGATAGTTTCGAGACTTCGTGTGTCTCATCATTAGAAGGCTCATCATGATGTTCTTCGGAGGGGGTTTGTTCATTTTTATTTTGTAACTTAATAATTTCCTCAGTACTCGTTGGTACTTGTTGATTAAAATCCGTATTTTCATTTGGTTCTTCTTTTTTGCTAAATATAGAACTGTCATCATCAACTTCATCGAGTTCTTCTGAAGAACTCGATGAGGATTCTATGTGTTCCATTTTTGGGGTCCTTGGAGTTAAAATATTTGACGACGCACCGATTGCTAACTTCGGGATCAAATCGAAAGTGTTATTGTTGTTGTGATCAATATATTCATTTGTAATACTTTGAGTGAATCTTGATCTTTGTAAAGAAGCCAAGTTTTTTAATTTCTCATCTGCTGTAGTGGCATGTTGAATATGTTTTCTATCATATTCATTTGGTACATCACTACTTGTAGGACTTGGTAATTCTTGGTTATTTGTCTCTAGAAACAGTTCCTCCTGTTTCTCGGGTATACTATGATAAGTACTACTTTCATTTGGAATATTATTATTTATATTGTTATTACTACTATTTGGTGAATTATCCATCATCTCTTCATTGGATTCATCCAGTGTTAGATCTATCGTCGGCATATCAGAAGTCATCACTAGTTAGCACCGGTTTATAAAGGTTGTGTAAGTAGTTTTTGGAAGGAATAAGTATGAGTGTATTTATTAGTAGTGGTTCAAGTGGGAAGAAAGAAAGACAGAGTAATACTACTGAAATGAGCAGTTGGATGTATCATGCATGATAATAAACATTGCTAAATTAATTAGAGATGTTATTATTTTTTCCATCTCTTTTTTTTCGCGTTTAAGTGTGTGAGGCGAGGCGTCTGTTTCTATTAGGAATTTGATATTGACAAAAATTTTGCCCTGAAAGTTGATGATGTATATAGTACAATATAAGATATGAAATAATGAGTTGGATGTTGACTTCAAAGAATGGACAGCAATATATTTAATTAAGTCATTACAAAAAAAAGTTGATTGTTTATATTAAACGTTTAAGAAAATAAGAGCACTATTCCATGTTTTGCGATGAGAATAAAAGTCTGTTTCTCCCTTAAGCAAGCATAAGAGGAACAAATTCTGGCTCTTCCTTGTGTGAAGAGCCAGAATCTCGATAGATAATTCGATACAGCGCTATTAAGAAATTAGAATATATAGGGTATTCGATTTTAACCAATAAGGTATCGGTAACTATTAAAAATAATGTGTATATTATCTTCATCTTTACCCATCCCTTAAACCATGATAAAGTTAGAAATATTTACTCTTCCATATGTTTTCGACTAAATATAAAGCAGTTGAAACTCAACCACTTCTAGTCATCGTCTTTCTTCAGTAAAGATGGTCTATTTACAGTGTCGTTACCTCACTTTACCTCACTTCCTCCCTGTGACGCCTCGCCAGACCGTCATTCTCGATAATGTGCACCCAGACACCGCAGTCTATGTTTGTCTTTCTCTCTCGGAGTCAGCTGATCGGCGCGATGTCTCCCAGATCTGCTGGGTTTCCTTGGAAATTTGTGCGGTTCTCTACGGGGAGGACGCTGTAAGTGTCAGTTCTGTGTGCGGCTGATTTTTCAAGAGACAGAAACACAGCTGTTCATATTATGTAAAGAAACGTTCATTGGCAAGAAAATGTTTGATTGTAACGCTTATATCATATGCAATCCATATTATTAAATATATTTTACAGCAGCAACAATATTATACTCGGGTATCAGTATTGATCTTTAATCATTTCTGTCAGGGCTTGGCAGAAATACAGATTGCGGATATAGGTTCGTTGAAAATTTCAACCTGGGAATGCCTGTTGGATACTGTAGAACTGCTTTGACAGATGATTAAACTTATAGTCGTTGTCGAACCTATTTAACAGATGGTGATTGATTTGATTTCACAAAGAATAGGTTCAAACATTTTCCACTAGTAAGCGTATCAAATATATGATGCACAAACGAACTGTTTGGATTTTTCTATGCAATCAGATGATCAAAATATAGTCTTACTTCAAAACTGATGAAGGTAACTTATATATTTGGAAAAATGAGTTTGTGTTATTGTTACAAAGGAAGTGTGGGTCATATTTAGTGCGGATTCATTGATGGTACCATTTATCAATTTAGTGATAAACATATTTATTATGTCTCAAAGAAGATTTCATTACCACTGTTGGGAATCGTAAAGTAACATTCCCTTTGAATTACTCAGTGTTTAATGATGAAATATTTGTCAATGTTGAATTAGTTCCACCAACTATTGAATATCCAAATCGACTTCCCGTTACATCCTCAAGTGAAATTGAAAGTTCATCTGCTGACGATATCGGAAGTACTTCAACAAGTGAAATAATTACCAGACATTGAATCTAGTGCTTTGGCCACATCTTCCACAGTCGTTGCTTCTACAAGTTATTACGAGTCTTCTGCAATGGAAACTGAACTACCAATTCTATCTCCTTCTAGCGATGACACTATCGCCACTACAAGTACGCTAGAATCTAGTACTGTCATTACCACAGCAGATCCAATATTTACCTCCAAGCGAAATGCAGACTCCATTTCAAGCGATCATCCTACTGTAATTATAGCTTCATCCTCTATCATAAGATTAGAAATTTCATCTTTATTAATACTGATTAGCAGTGGATTATCTTTTCAAAGTAACGATAATCCACCTCCCAATGAAGTAGTATTGCAATCGATGACTAGTTTAGATGACTAGTTTAGATCCCATAGTTTCGTCATAATCACTTTAACTAATTGATCCAAATGATTCTATTGATTCAGTTGACCACCTCAATCGATCCAATCATCACGGCTGATTCAATCACTTCACTATATTATGACGAAGTAAATCAAAAAGGTACATTGAGGAATCCTTCAGAATGTCACTATAACCTACCATAATTAGATTGATATCGATTATACCTTCCTACGCATCCATATACACGTTCGTTAGCATATTCATATAAATAAAAAATGATAATTGAAATGGTATAAGATATTATTATGTTATGTTTAAAAATGAAATATTTGAAGAGATATAAGAATCAATCAAATATAGATGTGTATGTATGTTATGTATGATAGTGTATAAAATGTGTAATTAAGAAGAACTTAAGGAAAGAAATAAAATGGGAGAAACGTTGTTTTGTTAGCCTTATTGTATCTCAAAAAAGCTAACAAGAAGAAGAAAATTTGGAGTAGAAAATAACTGTAGTTAAAGCTTATCGAGATTAAGCGTTGTTACATTGACCTGGATATTGTCTGTCAGTCAATGGTTGAGGGAATAGACCGTTAGCGATCAATTGGTTGACACCCCATTCGACGGAAGTTTCAGTCTTGTAACACCAAATGATCCAACCGCCTCTCATTTCAAAAGCGTCGAATTGAGCTTCGATGTACTTTCTAGTGTCTTGTTTTCTTTCCTCGGACCAAGCATAGACATTTTCGTTATCGTTACAAGAACCAATGTAGTAGGAAGAGGCACCATTCTTGTTGAAGGAACCGTCATAACGGGCACCAATACCGACACCGTTCAACCATTTAGCACAATCGGTCAAAGCGGCAGAGAATTCACCAGCGACAGTCCAATGAGATTCGGAAAGAGTACCTTCACCCCAGGAGCAAGTGACGCCCAGACGTTCATCCCAAGAACGTTGTAATTCACCAGAGGAGAAGACTTGGTAATGATGATGATCTAGAGTGATACCGTAGTGGTCCCCATCGTTCAAAGTCATGAAATCATCCCAGTAGTTGAAAGCTTCAAAGGCGTCATGGATAATGATGTTTTGGTCTTTACCTAGAGTATTTCTTAAATAATCGTAAGCAGGAACCAGGTAATCGTTTTTATATTTATCCAAATCGATAGATGGACCTAATGGTTCATTTAACAATTCGATACCAATGACAGTATCGACGAATTCATCACCTGAATATTTTTTTAACAATTTTTTTAGAACGGTCATAGTCAAATTCAAGTTTTCGTCTTCCAGGAAGTTAATAGAATCTCTTAAACCCGAGTTATCGAACCCATTTTGAGAACCTGCGGCACCATGTAAATCAACCCAGACTTTCAAGTTGTTGTCACGGGCCCAGTTGATAGCTTTATCCAAGTAAAGTTGTTGCCATCCTGGAACGTAAGGGTCGTATTCCAATGTTTCGAAAGCCCAGTAACCGATAGGGATTCTAACCATGTTGAAGCCTTGAGAAGCGATATCGGCAAAATCTTGAGCAGTGTAGAAGTTATCCCAATGGTTGACCAATCTGGCCATGGCTTCTTCTTTACCTAGTTGTTCCCAATAGTGGTATTCGTCTACTGGGATGCCGTCGTCGTTGTACTCGTTTGTACGGAATGGTTCGAATAAGGAAGGAGTGATGTAAGGTTCTAGAACCAACCACCCACCGATATTAACACCACGGATAGGTTCTTGGGCGTTATCGTAATCGTAGTATCTTTTGTTTAGAGCATCCTTTTGAGTAGGGAATTGCAGGGAGGACAGGTCCTTTGGTTGAGGGACTGCCAAAGCAGAGGCTGTTGCAGCTAATAAAGATGCAAATGCAAGAAGTTTCATCGTTAGTGATCTTCAAAATAAAAAGTAGGAAAAAAAGTTACAGAAATAAAATAAACCAACAACAGAAGAGTTAGTGATACTGCATAAAATAAAGTAAAACAAAAACACTTCTATATATATATGGAAGAATTATAGAATTTTATATATATTTCTTATTCCTGATCCTTCCAGAATTCAAATGTGCAGGATGCAACTGACCGGTGTGCGTGTACGTGGACGTGTGGGTGCCCGTACACGAGAACACGTCCACGTACACGCACACGAACGGGTCTCCCACCACAATGACCGTTTGCTATTAATAACGAATGTCGCTTGTCGTTATTATTGTTTGTTGATAGAATTGTTATTGTTGTTTACATCAGCAAACTGAAAAATTTGATTCTCTCGAGAACCACAAACCCCAGAACAAACCCCGTAGAACGCGCAAAACATAGACGTCAGTTTCATCTGAAGAAAATTTTCTTGTCGTCGCACGCGCAAAGTGAGCGACAGACGGCAATGGGATTAAACGGGATGGCTTGCACGGCGAACTCTGAGGCCCAGAATTTGAAATGGCGAGCGCGCGGGTTGTTTTTCTGTTTTCGCTGCAAAAATAAACGAAATCGAAATCGAATCATCGACGGTTTTACTCGATGAGGTTGGATGGTGGAGTGCCAGCAGGCAGGAATAGGAAATGCGAATGTGTGTGTGTGTGTGTGTTTTGGGGAAAGGGTGCCCACACACACACCTCAAGTTTGTGACGTCTTTACAAAGAAAGAAGGGCAGATCCGTGGATTGATGCCGGTTGCAATCATCGTTTGTTTTCGTATTACGTATTTCTGGGGAGAGGTCAGCTTGCAAGCTCCGTTACTCATAGTGTGATATATGGTAACACTGCAATCTAATTATAACAAATCATATCATATCGAAATGAAATGAAATGAAACGAAGTGTGCGTTGTTGGTATCGCTGCTTGTTGCACTCACCACTAAAAATAAATAAACAACTAAATATATGAATATATGAATAAATGTTAGGGCTGGTCTTCTTTTCTTAGGGCAACGCAACGCAGCGCGGTTTGTGGATGGGAGCGCATCCCACAACGCATCCCTCACAGATACCCATATATTTTACCATCTTTGTAACAGAACTGTTTTCCACTTTGGGGTTTCATTTATTAATAGGTTCTGTAGGATCTCAGGTTAGAACGTCATACCCCCCTGTGAGGAGTGCTAATCTCGGGATTTATTAATAGAATAACAAGTCCTGAGTTCTATTAATTGCTTGGTATTTTTGATTTTATCGACTAAAGGAATTAAGATTGGGGAGGTACGATATTCGATTTGATTTAGCTTGATTTGGCTTGGTTTAGCTTGTAATATTATAAATTTTATATATATGGGTCTATCAACTTTATCATATGTATATATTCGTTATTTTGAAAATGGAAAACTTTCAATCTATATAATATTTCACGTTGTCCGGTACGGTACCGTACGGTATCATACTCCTCAACTTGAGCATTTTGACTCTTTTGCTAACCTCATACTTCGTACGGTTTATTCATCTTTAACTTCATCAGTCTTATCATTAATATCAGTTTCATTAGCATCAGTCTCGTTAGCATCACCGTCTTTCTTCACTTCTTGTTCTTCTTGTTCTTCTTGTTCTTCTTGTTCGTCACCACCTGCAACAATATCTGACTTTATCTTTTGCCACCCACTGAACTGTATATTATATCCAGTAAATGACTTGACTTTAACCTCATCAACCGTGTTTTCCCATGGTATCACAGGCGTCTTCATCTCTTCAGCAATGAGCTGGTCCTTGGCTGTCTCGATCTCCGACATATCTATTAATCTCACTGAACAAGAGGAAAACTCAATATTACTAATGGTTCCTGTTTTGCCACCTTGCTTCTCTCTCTGTTCTTCTAGAAAGTTCTAATCTCTTTATTGCTCTCTTGTTTGTTTGTTTTTCCACTGATTACATAATATGGGAAAAAATAACAACAAAATAAGTGACGAACAAATCCTAGTTTTGATAAAGCCACACATCACCAGATTAAAAAAAGGAAAAGAAATATGTTTGATATAAAAAGGAGGCAAGAAATTGCTCTAACAACTAAGATTGAACTACAACAAACAATCAAACAAACAAACGAGAAACTTAATAACATATATTATAAAAAAATGAGTACGAAAGTGCAAGAAACCGGGATGCTGGATGTAGGAACACATTGCGCATACTGTCGACAGATAGATTTCTTACCATTTCATTGTAAATATTGTGATGGGGATTTTTGTGCTAAACATAGATTAAAAGAAGATCACCATTGTTCGTCTTTAACAGATTCAACTGCCGAACTCGATAATATTGCGGTACATAAAAGTGATGGGGGCAAGTTTTTTAGAAGTTTATTACCTCAAAGATCTCATATTCGTGTACAAAATTCCAGTTCTCCTAATGGGAATGGCAATAATAACGATAAATCGCCTACCATTAAATCGACTTTAAATAAAACTTCATTGGACAAGTTACTGAAATTCTTCAAATCAAGACAACGGAAACCGATTATTAAATCAAGATCAGCTTCAAAAGTTACACAGTTGGCACAATTGAAAAGAACAGCTAAGGGAGACTCTAAGATTCCAGAACAAAACAGAATATATTTGTTTGCAACTGTAATAGATGACCATGACCATGATACTAATACAACGAACACCTCAAAAGAAAACGTTCAGGTGTATATCAACAAGATGTGGCCCGTTGGGAGAGTTTTGGACTCTGTAGCCAATTTATTAGGTGTGAAAAATATAAACGTTAAAGTAGATACTTCCCTAGGTGAAAAACTATTTATCTATAAACAGAGAGGTCCCCAAGGTACAATATATCAATTGGAAACTGGGGCAAGAGCTGTAGATACGTTTAATAATATGGACAACATATACATTATTAGAGGCACAGAAGCATAGATTATATACATATATGGTCACATAAGCATTACATAAAATATATTTAATAACATTTTTTTAAATATTCATTTTATGATTTTCGATTAACCATCTACCCGAGAATTAATTCAAAGATATAGTATCTTACTTTGGCTAGTTGTTATGTTCACCTATTGTTGTTGTTATCGAAACCATTATCTTATTTTACTGAAGTCTTACACATATTTTACATTCTTCTATTCGGTAAAACATTCTTCTATTCGGTAAAACATTCCTCAATACAACATTTAAAAAAATATAAGTATGTAAGAACTTGACCAAGAAGACTTTAATTGTAGTCTTAGCATTACTTAATCGGAACAAAATGAGTAATTTAATTGTGGTTGTGGTTGTATTGTAATTGATTTGTACGTGTTGGTTTGGATTTTCTTTAAAGTAAAAGAGCTCTGTCAATCATAATTAACAACTTTAATAAAGGCATTCTTTGTTAAAGTTGTTATCCTTTTAAGAATGTGTTGGGGTAAATTAGTCATTCACCCTTATATGCTTTATGAAACAATATAATTGGTTTTGGTAAATTTCTTGAAGCCATGAAAATATTGATATATAACAAGAAGCCAATAATATGTCGTTATATTACAATATTCTTATTTTTTATTGCTATACTCAATCATAATACTTCAAAGTTTATACAAAAGAAGACTACTACAAACCACATCAATATACTACTAGAAAACTTCCTTTTTTTTTTGCTCAAAGATGTTTAAAAGATACAACGGGTCAATTTTATTACTTTTAACCTTATTTAGGTTAGTATTTGCTGGCTTACCAGACTGTAAAATGAATTATGTCCCTCCTTCACCACCTGGATTTACATATGACTTGTACCCAGAAATTTATTATACCAGACCTCTGTACTTCGATGGTTTATCGCCACTAAGGATTATGTTCCGGCCAAATGTTCTCGGTATACCAATATATGAAGGTACAGCTACTGGATTGCAGTTTTATCTTACTGGAAATTTCCCAGGGGCAACTATAATCAACGGAACAGTATATGATAATTCAATTACAGTGTCAAATTTTAGTATGACAGCAGATGCTTGGCTTAGAGTAGATCAATCTGGCTATTACACTTTTATCATCCTATCGGATTTCTCAGCAGTAATGACCATAAATAATGATACCTCTCGTTTATGTAGCACTCAACCTTTTGCTGATGGGTTTAATGATACCTTTTTCATTAGCAGTTCCAATGCGGCTCCCACTAAGCAACACTCAACAGGAACTGTTTATCTATATGCTGGTATCCCATATGAATTGGGTTTAACCTTTGCTCATCCAGTGGGTTTACCCTACTTACAACTATCACTCATTGATCCTAATGGACAATACCATTCAGATATATCTTATTTGCTCACACAGCTGGATGTTTCAGACGGTGCTCTTCTGAAGCCAACACTTCTTTATGATTTAGTTAATGTTACTAGTACGATAGAATGGGGCGGTGACAGTACCACTTTATTGTCGGTGACATCTACCGCGACAACTGGACCTGATAATTCATTAACCGTTACTAGCATATACTATATTGGAACGCCACTATTAAATGTTACCTCGACTATATCGTCCATTATTCCAACTAGTATATCTACAGAATCTTTATCAACAGTTTTGGTTAGCACATCTATGATATCCAATAGCACCATTATGACAAACACAACACAATTATCCACAATATTGTCAGTCAATTTTACCGAATATACTGATGAAAAGACGCATGAATCATCTAGATCTGCTAATGAAAGCTCAAGTGCAAGCTTAACGGTTTTTGTTTATTCCAGTTCTCTCTTTGATGTAGAAACAGGTAGTGACAATTCTAGTTCATTTCAAACTCCTATTATGACGTCAGAAGTTCCTAGTACGGCTAGTCCAATCCAAGGAGTTTCATTTGGAAATAGTTCGTTCGCTAGCGAAGTAACGTCGTCAAATAACGTTACTTCGAAAAACAAACTTCTCACCTCAGAATCTCTTTTAAGAAGTTCACAAAACAGTATAATAGAATCTGAACCAATTAAAGTAACATCAAGCTCGGAGTTGGCTCAACAAATAACTATTATTGAATCAAAAGTATCCGATAATCATTTTTCGAGAAGTTCTTCGGAGTACTTGGATATTAACGATAGTACTGGCGTAACTACAATCACAAGTATGATCGCAACATCTGATAAGAGAAGTAATGTTATATCTGTGAGTCAATCGATACCAAATGACATTATTTTAACCACTAAGACAATATCGGCTGAGATTTATACAGTTATCATAGCCGAATGCTCAAGTTGCCTTAACAGTCAACGTACTATTACATTGGCAGTTTCTACAACCAATAGTAATGTATGCATTGATCAATCATTCTTAACAAATTATGGCAAACAGTCGGTTTCTTCTACTGTTGTAAAGCCTAGATTTTCTAATGCTGACATTGTTTCTGCAATACCTGTAGATGGGGTGGAACCAGCAAGTAAAGTATCAATAATCAGTTCACACCATATACGACCATCATCTATTTCTGTAGCAGTTGTAGCAGTTAACAATGCTCCATTCCTAGCAAATAATTCTTTCATGGGAGTACTGGTTTTTGTCATTAGTTTCACCTTGTTTTCATTTTAAACCGTTTAATTATTGCGATGATTTTACTTCCCCTTCATCCACAATTCTAATCAATAAAAATATGTATTGTTCTTTTGAGTATATGATGTAACAAGGGAAGCTAGCTTCTCATGTCTACCTTAACTCTCTTTATTTCTTCCATCTTTTTCTAAAGATATTTTGTTCGTTGGTATATTGTATGGAAAGTAGCCACCAATTTTAGAGTGGTATATGAAAAAATTCCTAGATTATCATTGAGGCATCCTCCACAACATGGAAGATGGAGGCCAGAGAAACGCTAGTTCACCTCGACTAGTCAGGGGATATATACTGAATAAAAACCCATCACAGTTTTCCACTTGGGTGGTCTTTATGATCTAACAAACTATTTGAATCATAATCGTTATTTAGACTTTTAAATTTTTATTTTATCCTATATATCATATATAGATATATAGATATATAGAAACAATCAATCCAGTTGATTGTTTTTCATTGGGAATAGGAACGACAGGACGACAAAAAAAGGTAATGACTAAAAATTGAATTGTTTTTTGTCGTCAATTTCTCTTCTCATATCCTTATATTCTTTAATATATTTCAAAGCAGAATATTCTTTATCTTCTAGCGCATGTAGCGTCTTTTGATAGAGGTCTACCATCATCTGTGATTCTCTCGAATTCTTTGCATTTGGTTGTAATAAAGAATACAACATTGTAGTTCTCGACAAAAAAGCTAACAAATGGTAAAACGTCCAATCATAACATTCAAAAAGATTTTTCCTTTCTTCGTTCTCTTCATCACCTTCAAATCGTCCAGTTAAGAAGCATCTGTCCTTTTGCATAAATGCCATAGGGCCATTAAGTTCTGAAGCTGAAACTTTCAGATATTCATACCAGAATTGCAATTGAATAAATCTAATTAAACCTTGGTTACACATATTTGCAGTTGAATCAATATAGACATTTGCATTTGGAATAAGTTTCTCAGGTACATTATGTAAGACACAAAAATTTTCATGTTGATAATAAGTAAACACTTGAGTTCCATAAACGGCATTCATTATGTCATTGATTTGATCGGGAAATATTGAAGAAGTAATATTAACATGCGAACTTGATTTTAATTTATGTGATTGGCCGTACCAGAGGAGGTATGACCCAATAATGTCTTGATAATCATCCATATCCCATCCAGGTAGAATGACACAAACAGTGCCATCTGTTGAATCTAGAATATCCTCTAATATTTTAGATTGAGCTAACTTTTTACAGTCTGTTTGAGTCTGTAAAAGATTTCCATCTTTGAAGAAAGTAAAGTGTACTAGATCATCCACATTTTTTGAGGTATGCTCGTGGAAGGAGTCTTGAATAAATTGAGAGTAGTGATCGTTCATATTAGGAGTTGTAATTGTATTATAAAAATAGCATTATATTAACGTAGTTAACATTGCAAGTTTGCCATGACATACTTGAAACCGAAAGAAAAAAAAATTCATTACTATAGAAAGAAAGTAAACTTATTTATTTCCACAAACAAAAAGCTCACTCGTTTATATACGTTTGTTTTTTGAGAGGGAGGGAAGTTATTCATTCAATTAATAGTTCTAACATATCTCCCCTCACACTTTTTTTTCTTTCCAGTCAGTAACCCTTTTCTAATGAATTATTTAGTGAAAAATGTTGACCAGAAATAAATGAGAAGTTACTTACTTCCTGTATCTTATCTTTGTTATAGTTATAATGAGCATAACTCATTTGTTCGATGAGATGCTTTTTGCCTGCGGTGAAAACTCCGCGAAGTGCAAGGTTCGAGAGATTTACTCTTCTCCTCTCTGAATGAGGAGTTTCCCCTTAGAGTGCATCACCTACTTGAATGAAGTTGAGAGGAGAATTAAAGTTAGTGTGAAAAGAGTTGTATATTAATGATTCAACGTGGGGGTAAGGGGGTATACAAGATCATTTATTGTTATATATCGTAGTCTTTTGTGAACATAACAGAAAAGTCTAAGGTCATGCGTAATTAAAGGTGAGTCATTGAATGGAGCGATATTTAACAGGAAACACTTCCTCCACAAATATATTGTATATTTTGTCAATATTGTTATCTTGGTATAGATATCTGATATGTTGTATTAACATTAATTTATTTTGAAAAAAAATAAGATATCCAAATTATTCTTTTTTTTGCAAATATTATATTTAGGTGGACGTATAACACTTTCAATAATGCCCAAAACTTTATTTTCCTGTAAACAAAAAGTGCAAAGTGATATCTGTAAAAACAAAATTATAAGTTCGTTCAAATAGGAGAAGATTATTAAGAGTTATTAAATATAATTATATATGTATATATATGGATGTAAATATATCAAACTAAGCGCCTGGCTCAGCAACATGCAAATTTTGCACAGAATCCTCCCTTTGATGCCTTAGACAACGAATCACTATCGTAGTTTTGTTGTTGCGGAGGAGCTTGTTGATTGATAATATTATTACTGTTGTTCATTACTGGTTGTGATTGGCGACCATAACCTTGCTGTTGCTGCTGCTGTTGCTGCTGCTGTTGTTGCTGCTGCTGATGACGTTGTTGTTGCTGTTGTTTCTGAACAATCTTTTGTTGAGTTTGTATCTTGAATGCTTCATAAGAATTCGGATCTAATTGAGGCGAAGAAGAAGTAGGTTGTTGCTGTTGTTGTGGAGGACTATGATGTGGTTGTGATTGTTGTTGCTGCTGTGTATTTCTACTTCTACGCTTGGCGTTCTTATCATTTGGTGGGGCTGGATGACCATAACCATGTAAATTAGGTTTTTTATTAATCGAAAGATCCCAACCACGTCCACCATTTAGCTTCATCCAATCATATTGTCCATCAACAGTTAGATTCATATCTTCTAAAGAACTTAACAATAATAATCTATAACCTTCATAATCTGGTGTTTCTTCAAAGGCCAAATTACGTACAATTTCCAAATAACGACCAAATTGAATTGGATAGCCTTGTGCTAAATCATAATAGTTTGTAGTTCTCTTCTTTTCACCAATCTTTTCGTATTTTAATTTATTGTTTGGTGCTTTTAAACCTTGCCATGGCAAAGAACCACGTAAGAAATAGAAAAACACATGGCCTAAAGCTTCCATATCATCTCTTCTTGATTGTTCTCTACCAAGATGTGTATTAATTGACATGTATCTAGCCGTACCACTTAAAGATTTCTTTTCACGATATGGGATATGTTGTTTAGTCTTCGGGTCTCTATATTGTTTTGCCATACCAAAATCAATCAAATGAATTTGATTTTCATCAGATGCACCTGGCCTTCCAATTAAAAAATTATCAGGTTTAATATCTCTATATATTAAATCATGAGCATGAAGATCTTCAATTAATGTAATCATTTGAACAGCGATTTGAACCACAGTCTTAACAGAAAACTTGCGATTGCACCATTCAAATAAATCTTCCAAAGAAGGACCTAATAAATCAATAATAAGAATATTATATAACCCTTCTTGACCAAAATAATAAGCACGAGGTACATGCGGCGTACCAGAAAGAATCTTATAAGCACGATATTCATCTTTCAATTGTGGTGCTTCTGTTTTTCTTGGTTCGAACTTAATAGCAACAGGTGTACCATTAACCATGTCAACCCCTTCAAATAATACACCAAAGGAACCTTCTCCAATCTTTTTCCCAATACCATAATGCAAACCGACAATAGTGGAGTCATCACGGGCTACACTACTAGTTCCATTTTTATAATTGAGATTATTAACATTGGCGCCATTGATCAATTTAGCATTACTCATATTTTGACTTGTTCCAGCTTGTGGGGTAGCACTGCCATGCATTGACGTATAGGGACTCTGTTGTGACATTTTTTTCTTCCTTTCTTTACTTGATAAAACACTCAATCGTCACGATACTTTTTCCAAAACCAAAAAAGTGGGGGATCTTGATCCTTATTACACTGGTAGAGTTCTTGTCTCTCTTTCTATTTGTTCTTGTTTTCAAAATTAATCAAAATAAAATAAGATTAATATAAAGATTACCCCCTTTGAAATTTGGCTTACATAAACTATGAAATTTCAGTTTTTGCGTTTTTTTTATTTTTCGTTTGGAAATTTTGTTGTCGCCGCTCGAAGTGGTGAAACAGATGCTGAAATACTTATCGTGTCGCACGAGTAGTAGAGTCATGCTTTCACTATTGGTTCATTCAGTGTTACTTGTACACCACAACAGTGAACAACAACAGCCTCTCGATGGGTCGCATCAAAAGTACTAATACCAATGTCTCAATGGTACTTCTGGTTTGTTACTTGTACATTATTATGTTTCTTTACAGTGAGGTGGTAGTCGGTAAAACAGGATTACAACGAATATCTGACTGTTTTAGTAAGTGACACTCAATATTAATAATTTCTTCTCTTATAGTCTCCTACACAATTAAGTTTGAGCTCATTCTCAATACGTAATATCATAACATAACCAAGTAGGATTCAGTTATGCAAAAATTATACAAGTATGTTCTTATAGATAATGTACGATGTTATACAAGCACCATAGCCCTGAGAGTACATCTTCCAAGCTCTAATACACGATATAGAGGGCGAACTGAAATAATGACACAACCCATAAATTCATAATTCCATTGATTGATCGATCCATGGATGCTTTCTCAGTCTGTGCTTGGAGAAAACTGAGCTCCATACAGAGAAAATTTTTTCTTTTCTTTTTGGCTCGGTAATTTCCGGTCTTGAAGTGCAATCTTTAATGCCCGATGACGCTTTCATAAGCAAGAAGTTTTCACGATGCTTGATGTGGCTGTAATAAGCAAATAATTGCAAAACCTCATCGAACGTTTCATTTATATATAATATATCTGTATTAGTTTCATATATATTTATTATCTTGGTTCTGTTAACTAGATTGTTTACTTAAATTCTTTTATTTTAGTTACACTACACAACAATAAATTTTATAAGATGTCGTCTGTCTCTGAAGCTTTTTTGAAAGAGTTACCTAAATGTGAACATCATTTACATTTAGAAGGTACTTTAGAACCTGATTTATTATTCCCATTAGCTGCCCGTAACAATGTCACATTGCCTGCCAATTTCCCAAAGAGTGTTGCTGAATTAAACGCTACATATAATTCATTTGCTAATCTTCAAGATTTCTTGAACTATTATTATATTGGTACAAACGTTTTGATCACAGAACAAGATTTTCACGATTTAGCATGGGCTTATTTCACAAAAGTTTCCTCTCAAGGACTTGTTCATGCAGAAGTATTCTATGATCCTCAATCTCATACCGAACGTGGTATCTCCTTAGAGACCGTCACCAAAGGTTTCACCAGAGCTTGTAAACGTGCTGAAAGGGAATTAGGTATTACATCTCGTTTGATCATGTGTCTATTGAGACATACCGAACCTTCTGCATGTCTTGAATTGGTTAAAGCTGCCGCCCCATTAATCAAAGATGGTACTATCCAAGGTCTAGGACTTGATTCTGCAGAAAAACCTTTCCCACCAGAATTATTCACCGAATGTTACAACGAAGCAAAATCCTTAAACCCAGATTTACAATTGACTGCACATGCGGGTGAAGAAGGTCCTGCGCAATATGTATCCAATGCACTAGATTTATTACATGTCACTAGAATCGATCATGGGATTAATTCTGTTCAGGATCCAGAACTATTACAGAGATTGGCACGTGAGAGAATACTACTTACCGTATGTCCTTTATCTAATGTAAAATTACAAGTAGTTAAAGCAGTGAAAGAATTACCATTACAACAATTACTAGATAATGATGTCCCATTTTCTTTAAATTCAGATGATCCAGCTTATTTTGGTGGTTATATCCTTGATAACTATTTACAAGTAGCACGCGATTTCCCACATTGGGATTATTCTACTTGGGCTAAGATTGCCTCGAATGCAGTACAAGGATCTTGGATCGATGATAAGAGAAAGCAAGACATATTGGAACAAATTGAAACTGTACTCACCAAATATACCTCTGTATAAAGTATAAAATAGAACATAATATAAACATATAATTATTTGCTTATCTGTATACCCAAAATATGTAATGCTGCGGGCATCGCTGAAAAATTATTAGATTAGAGATAGATAAAAAAAAGTTCAATATAAGAGAAAGAGAGCAACAAAAATATAGTCGAAAGTGAAAGAAAAAATTCACAAACTTAGATAAGTGTAGAGAAACAGTGTGGTAAATCGACTGTCCAAGAATATTTATAGAAGAATAAGATGGAATTACTTCCTGAGGGTAAGAAAAACACCGTTCAAGTGACGTTGGCAGACCAAAAAAAGATCAATGAGTTCTCAAAGTTAATTATGAGAAAAGATGTGTGCGAGGCAGATCTAGCACAACAGAGACAAGAGAAGGAGTATCTGGAGGATGTCTCCTTAGAGATTGAATTGATTGATGAGGACGAGAAAGTTCAGTATAAGATTGGAGAACTATTTGTATTTTTGAAACAATCTGAAGTTGTGGAACAACTGGAGAAGGACGGTGAAGTAATTGATGAAAAAATTGAAAACTTAGAATCAAGAGAAACTGAAATCAACGAAAGATTGGCCACTTTGAAAAGTGATTTATATGCAAAATTTGGAGATAATATTAACTTGGAAAGGTAGTATCATCAAGACCAAATAAAAGATTTTGTTACGTTTTTTAAAAAGAAAATAAATATTAATGAAATGAAATTGAATTAAATTGGATATGTGAGATGTGTATATGTATAGAAGAATCGTTATTATTATATAAGAATAAGCAAAAAGAAAAAGAAGAAAAAGAGAAGAAAAAAAAAATGGAGAAATGACAAACTTTTAATATACTATTATTTGTTAGTTTTTTTTGGTGTGCATCATACTGTTTCCTTTTCTTTATTCTTTGAATCTTCTTCATCCGAGTTTGAATTTGAATTAGAACCTGTATCTGGAATGGCTGCAGCCTCCACCACTTGTGGCATAGATTGTTCAATCTTATCATCTTTGCCACCCATTGGATGTTTAATTTGATGAGTCAAAGAGGCAATCACAGAGATTCTTGATCTAATAGGTTGTGGTTCGAATGTGTAATCCTCTTCTTCATCCTCATAGGCAACTTCACCAATCTGTGCGACATCAGTACCTTGTAATTCTTCTTCTGGAGATAATCTAATCCTTAACATTGGAATTCTATCCATTATTAGTAAGATAATAGCTGTTACTACACAAGTCCATCCACAAATGGCACAGATACCTGCAATTTGATAACCTACTTGTTTCCAATGATGATTCAACCACCCACCTGGAATAGGAGTAGCATAGACACCTGCCGTGGCGTTAACGTAATCTGCGGCAAAAATACCTGTCAATACAGAGCCAATACAACCACCTACACCATGCAAAGCCCAAACGTCACAACCATCATCAATTTTCAAAAGATATTTCAAATCAACTGCAAAATTACAACCAGCAGCTGTAATGATACCGATGACCATGGATGCCCAAACAGGAACAAAACCAGCACCTGGAGTGATTCCGACTAAAGCTGAGACAATACCTGAACATAACCCTACGGTAGTCCATTTCCCATCGTATCTGAAGTAATCAATGAACATCCAAGTCAAACCACCAGAAGCTGCAGCTAAATTAGTATTTTGCAAAGCATACCAAGCACGAATAGATGCATTACCTGCAGAACAGGCATTAAAGAAGAACCAAGCGAAGGTAATGAAAACAGTTCCAAGGACCACACTTGCTACACTATGAGGTTTATATTTAGGTAACTTAGTGTTTTTATCGCGATCACGATGTCCTAGGATTAAAGCATACATTAAAGCACCATGACCTGCAGTTTGATGAATCAACCCACCTGCAAAATCGTATTCACCTAGAATCGCTAACCAGCCATTTGGATTCCAAGACCAATGAGCACAAACACAATAGACACAAGTCATCCAAATGAATAAAAAGATCATCATTGGCATCAATCTTGCACGTTCACCACCACCACCTACCATAAGGACACCTGCCACACAAGCAAACATACCTTGGAAGACAGCATATGTAATATCAGGGACAGCTGCGTCTGCAGATGGTGCACCTAAGACATCACGAAACCCAAAGAATTCAAAAGTACCTAACATATGAGATCTGGAATGATGTGAAAAGACTAAAGAAAACCCCCAAAAGAACCATTGGAAAGAAACGACACAGACACCCATCAATGATAGCCATAAAGAAGCTAAACTATGTTTTTTTCTGCTTAAACCAGAATATAATAGACCAATACCAGGACACATGATCCAAACACCGGCTGCACCTACACCTAACCATACCATGTTGGCCAATTCAAATTGGCCAGTTAAATCTGTAGTTAATGAATCACCACCGGTACCATGACCCGTAGGCGTACCAGTAAAATTATAAGAAGACATAATTTTATAATTGTTATTATAAAATTATTTTGTTTTTGGTTGATTTATTTTTATTATTATAGAAACATTTAAACTACAGGAAAATATAAATTAATAATATAGAAAAGCAAGATTAATATCTTACTTTATATACATTATTATTTATTAATTCATCTTCAACAGAAAACAAGAATAAACAGATATAAATCTAGAATGATATGCAAGGAAGGCTGTTATCATATATTGTTGTCCATCACGATTCCTTACTAGGTAAATCATTTTATTTCCCGAACCGCATAGTATCTAAAGATAACTAACTTGATCTTCCAATGAAACCAGTTCCTTAAAGTTATTTGAGTAGAAATGGAGTTGCATTGTTCAGAAACTGTCAAATGACATCCATGCGATAAATAAAGAGATAACAAGAATATTTAGATTACATTTCTGTCATAGTAAAAAACACAATATTATCTAAACACTGCTCTTTAACTGGTGTTTCGTGCTGCGTGAATTGTACCGTGCATGGCGTTGGGGTCAAGTTATGATAAGTTGAGGGCATCGCGTTGTGCTTTTTTGATAAGGAAAGATAAGCGATAAGAGAGGAAATGGGCAAAGCGGGCTAGTCATTGATGATAAGAGCAAGTTGGTTAGTCCGGAGATTCCTTCCCTAAGTGAGTAATGCAACAAATGATATTCAAGAATGCCTTTCATTTGATAAGGCTTCGTGAGAAATACGATATATTGGCCAGATAAGGTTGTCGGAATTTATTTATGATAACACAAATGACATTAGCACAGAGAAAGTTAAAAAAGGTTCCTTTCTACTTGCGTATCATAATGCTATAACTATACTGGGTTGCCTAGTCGATGTAATGATGACGATGATTAAACAATATTCCAGTTTTTGTTGTATTATATTCTGTAGTTGTCATTGTATTATATTCTGTAGTTGTCATTGTATTATATTCTGTAGTTGTCATTGTATTATATCTTCTTCTATCAATACATATATCTCTATACAGATATATGTGTTTGATAGTGAATGGAAGACTGCGATATCGTTTTAACATATCGCTCTACATTATCAGTGTACTAATACGTGTATATATATCATTACATATTTCGAAACTAGAAAGAGAGAGAGGAAAAAATTAGTAATACACTACAGTTCATTGGTTACACAGTATACACTTCTATATAGAGACCTTGTGTACGTGGATAATGTATTGTAACTACTTTCCAAAACTTGCATCATGCGGAAGTGTGGGTTCGCCAGACGTTTAACGATAGCCTTATCTTAAAATAGAACAGACATCTGTATATTCTATTACCACTCATGTATTCTAATTAATCACCATTTTCTCACCCAAACAGAATACCACCACTTATTATATATATATACATATATTTGGAGGTGTTGCTTGGCTGAGCATTGATAAGTTGATTGGTCGTTGCACTATTAATGGCGACCGGCAGGGTTACCCCGCGGCACCCCTTGAAAAATTGTATATATTATTATCACGGAGTTCGCATCTCGAGAGAGGGAAAGCAAAAGTACTGCGATTTAATAACTCAGTCCACCCACCCCTTGCCGTCTCTTTTCTTGCTCAACAAGGTACCTTTTAGGTCAATTATCGAAATAGGGAGAAGGAACAAGGGTTAATTGCTAATTTTTTACATATCTTCTTATATATAGGTAACTGAACTAGCAATTGGCATAGTATATTACACTTTGAATGTCTGTTCGTTTGGTTTAAAATAAGATATATGTATATATATATAGACATAGATATATATAATATTAAAGTAATAACAAAACTAAATCTACTACAACTATGAATTTGAAGAGAACGTTACTATTACGTTTGAGCGATAATGGTGAACCTATCACTAGTAGCTCCTACGGAAATGGTGTATTGACTCTACCTTCACTACCACTACCCGATGAAAGTTCTGAACATACTCCAATGTATACTGTACGTATACTGATTGCTGCATCATCTCCTATCGCTAGAGATGGTCTTATTTGGACCAATTGTCCACCCGATCATATCATTCCCTTTAAAAGAGATAAATTTTATAAAAAAATTGTTAATTCAAGTTTCCATAAAGATGATACAATTGATTTAAATCTCTATAAACCAGGTTCGTATTGTTTTTATCTTTCTTTTAGAAATGATAACGAACAATTAGAAACCACTAGAAAGTTTTATTTCGTTGTATTGCCTGTTTTGAAATTAAATGGGAAATTTTTACAATTAAATTCAATTGAAATGCAAAGTGTCATCTCTAAATGGATGGGTCCAACTTTAAACGATTGGGATAATGTCTTTAAAAAAATTTCTGATAAAAATTATAATATGGTACATTTTACACCATTACAACATCGTGGTGAATCAAACTCTCCTTATTCCATATATGATCAATTAGAATTCGACCCCAAATTCTTCAATAATAAAGAAGATGTTCAAAAGATGGTTACACATCTACATAAGGATTATGGAATGCTAGCCTTGACTGATATTGTGTTTAATCATACCGCCAATAACTCATCTTGGTTAAGACAACATCCCGATGCTGGTTATAACCATATTACTGCTCCACATTTAATCTCTGCTATTCAATTGGATGGTGCTCTAATAGAATTTAGTGTGAACTTAAAGAAATGGGGGTATCCAACAGAATTAAAATCTATAGATGATTTATTCAAGATAATGGATGGTATTAAAGTTCACGTGTTGGGTTCTTTAAAACTTTGGGAATACTATGTGTTAAACGTTCAAGATACTTTAAAAGATGTCGAAAAATCATGGTCGACAATTAAATTAGACTCAAAGGATTCTCAATTATATAAACAAACTCCTGATTGTATCGAAAACATTGAAGATTTTGCTAAATTTGTATTAGAAAATACTACAGATTCATCATTTAATACTCTATCTACAAGAGGTGCTAAACGCTTAGATTTGGAAATTTTTACAAAGATTTTAAAAATTAATTTTGGTGATACATATAATGAAGAAATTACAGAACGTATCCATAAGATATTAGATGAAATCAATTTACCATTATACGGTGAATATGATGATGATATCAGTGAGATCTTAGAACAATTGTTTAATCGTATCAAATATTTAAGACTAGATGAAAATGGTCCAAGACAAGGTCCAATAACCGTAAACTCTCCTTTAACAGAACCTTACTTCACTAGGTTTAAAGGTGCAGACGGTGAATCTTATGCGTTAGCTAATAACGGTTGGATTTGGAATGGTAACCCCTTAGTGGATTTTGCTTCGTCACAATCAAAGGCTTATCTACGTAGAGAGGTTATCGTATGGGGTGATTGTGTCAAACTACGTTATGGTAAAGGTCCACAGGATTCTCCCTACCTATGGTCAAGAATGGAAAAATATATTGAAATTAATGCTACTATATTTGATGGTTTTAGAATCGATAATTGTCATTCAACTCCTTTACACGTTGGTGAATACTTCTTGGACCATGCTAGAAAATTCAATCCCAATCTTTATGTCGTTGCTGAATTATTTTCTGGTTCTGAACAATTAGATTGTTTATTTGTAGAAAGATTAGCAATCTCTTCTTTGATCAGAGAGGCTATGCAAGCTTGGTCAGAAGAAGAGTTATCACGTTTAATCCATAAACATGGTGGCAGACCAATTGGGTCCTATAAGTTTGTACCAATGGACAATTTCCCTTACCCATCAGATATTTCTGTGGATCAAGAATACTGTGAATACAATCCAGAATCCAATCAAGTTCATTGTGTCTCTGAGATTAATATTCCAAAGATTTTGACAGCAACTCCTCCACATGCTCTGTTCATGGATTGTACTCATGATAATGAAATGCCATATCAAAAGAGAACAGTGGAAGATACTTTACCTAACGCGGCTTTAGTTTCTTTATGTTCTTCTGCTATCGGTTCTGTGTATGGTTATGATGAAATATATCCACACCTATTAGATCTTGTTAATGAAGAGAGAACTTATGATACTGAATCATGCATTGGTATTGGTCCAGTGAAATCAAAATTAAATGAAATTAGAGAAAAGATTAGTAAGAAATCCGTCGATATTGAAGATTCTGAGATGCATGTTCATCATGAGGGACAATATATTACTTTCCACCGTACTGACGTTAAATCGGGATCAGGTTGGTATTTAATAGCCAGAATGAAATTCAATGAAGATAGTAGTAAACAAGAACTACCACCAATCATCTTATCGCAATCAAAATGTAAATTGAATTGTGCTTACACTCTGGAAAGAGTTGGTACAATAGAAGACCTTCATGATAATTTAAAAATTGAAGGTATTCCAACTAAATTAATCGAATTAAAAGGGTTTGATGTGTCTTACGATGAAAAAGAACAACAAAGTAAAATTGTATTGCCAAAGGATTTCCCAGCTGGTTCTATTGCCATTTTCGAAACCCAACAAAATGGTGTCGACTTATCCTTAGATCATTTCATCAGATCTGGAGCTATGAAGGCTACAGCTAATGTAACCTTGCAATCTTTGAATCCAATCATGTATCATGCTGCTAGTGAAGAACTGGATTGCAGTGGAGGAAAAGAAGGTGCCTATAATGTTCCTGCTATCGGTGACCTAGTATATTGTGGTCTTCAAGGCTGGATCTCCGAACTGAGAAAGATTGTCTTTGATAATGATTTAGCTCATCCATTGAGTGAAAATTTACGTGAAGGTTCATGGGCCTTGGATTATGTTGTTAATAGACTTGACTATTACAAAGACGAACCTGGTGTTGTCGATGTCCAAAACTGGTTACGTTCTCGTATGAACAGAATTAAAGTCCTACCAAATTATTTAAGACCAAGTTATTTCGCTTTGATTATTGGTATCTTATATGGATGCTGTCGTTTACGTGCCATGCAACTAATGTCAATTAACATCGGTAAATCAACTACTTTTGTTCAAAGTTTAGGTCTTGTATCTATTCAAATGATGGCGAAGGTCAACTCTACCTCTATTTTCCCAGACGAAAAAATTTACGCAATGGCTGCAGGTTTACCTCATTTTAGTACCAATTACATGAGATGTTGGGGTAGAGATATTTTTATCTCTTTACGTGGTTTATTATTAACAACTGGTAGATTCCAAGAGGCCAAAGAGCATTTGTTAGCATTTGCAAAGACTTTGAAACATGGTATGATCCCAAATCTATTAGATGCTGGTAGAAATCCAAGATACAACGCTCGTGACGCAGCATGGTTTTTCTTACAAGCTATTCAAGACTACGTCAATATTGTTCCAAATGGTGAGGAAATATTAAAAGAAAAGGTATCCAGAAGATTCCCACTGGATGATACATGGGTTGCTGAAGATGATATTAGAGCCTTTAGCTATTCTAGTACCATCGAAGATGTAATTTACGAAATTTTGAAGAGACACGCAAATGGTATTAAATACAGAGAAGCTAATGCCGGTCCTAATTTGGACCGTGTTATGACTGATGATGGTTTCAATGTCGAAGTTCATGTCGATTGGAACACTGGTTTGATCCATGGTGGTTCTCAAAATAATTGTGGTACCTGGATGGATAAAATGGGTGAAAGTGAAATGGCTGGTTCTGTAGGTGTACCTGGTACCCCAAGAGATGGTGCTGCTGTCGAAATCAATGGTCTATTGAAAAGTACACTTAGATTTGTCATTGAATTACAATCCAAGGGTTTATTTAAATACACTCAAGTGTCAAAAACTAACGGTAAAGGAACTATTTCATTTGAAGATTGGAACCAATTACTACAAGACAATTTTGAAAAGAAATTCTATATTCCTTTAGATCCAGAGGATGATAAAAATTTCGATGTCGATTCTAGTATTGTGAATAGAAGAGGTATTTACAAGGATCTTTACAAGAGTGGTAAACCATATGAGGATTATCAATTCCGTCCAAATTTCACTATTGCAATGGTTGTCGCTCCTGAATTATTTACTCCTGAATATGCTACACACTCTCTAGATTTAGCAGATGAAATACTAAGGGGCCCATTAGGTATGGCAACTTTAGACCCAAGTGATTATAACTATCATCCATACTACATCAACAGTGAGGACTCTGAAAATTTCGCTACTAGTAAAGGTAGGAATTATCATCAAGGTCCAGAATGGGCATGGCCAGAAGGTTACTTCTTAAGAGCTTATTTACACTTTAACTTCTTAACAAACCCTAGGGCTTGTAACGAGCATAAGAACAAACCATCATCTTACTTGTATCAACAACTTTATCAAAGATTATCCAAACAAAGAGACGAAATAATGAACAGCCCATGGGCAGGTCTTCCTGAACTAACAAACAAAGATGGTGAGTTTTGTCAGGATTCCAGTCCAACACAAGCCTGGAGTGCTGCTACTCTATTGGATCTATTCTACGATCTATGGAGCTCCTTCGAAGACGATGATCAATGGGAGTAATCTTTTATAACCTGTATATTAAAGCGCAAAACGTATACCTTATCTTAATATGTACATGTATAGATTTATATCGATAGATATACTAATAGTATAAACTATAACTTTAACCTTCTCTTTACCTCCCTTGACGTTATCGTCGACAAGATTAAGCCCATTGTCTCTCGCGTTTCACGCTATGCAAAACAAACAAACAATCGCTTAACGGTTAAAAAAGGGTGGGTGCCCGATGCTATTAGGAACTTATAATAAAAGTTTACATAGTTTTTATTAATAACCCTTTAAAGGCAAACGAGTGAAGAAGAGAAGAAAGAGGTATCTTTTAGTCTTTAACCCCATACAAATATTTAAGAAACTTAACTTTTAACTATTTGATTTTAATTTATCTGTTTGTCTGATAGTAAAAGTAATTACTAACCATTGCATTTAACGTGGTTTAAGCCTCCAGCGCTCGCCAAAGGGAACCTACAAAAGAACACACACAGCATAAGGAACAGACTAGTCTATATATCAGTTATTGCATCTCAAAGTAACTTTCTGAATCAGTCCTAAATCCTATTAATACATATTTTTTTTATTGCATAAATTCATATATCTTTAATTTGGTATCTACCATTCATTACCAATAGTGAAGAGAAATATTATCACCAAAGCAAACACGTTATTAGAGACTTAAAAACAACAACAGAAGGGGATTCTCATTACCTAAAATCTCGATAAACTTCCACCATTCATGAATAAAACGTAAAATCATGTCGTCCAATAAAGAAGAAGAAAGCGAGGTCTATAACCTAATAGACAGTTTTTTCCTCAAATCCTCTTTATTGATTTGTTCAGTGGTTTCACAAAAACAATCGCATTGCCCTTCATTTGATGAACATTGGTTTCAGGCTAATGTTAAGGATACTTACAATTTACCAGATATAATAAATAAATGGATATCGTTTGATGGAACAAAAACATTACCGCCTTTGGTAATCGATGTATTTCTAGACTTGAGAGACCTGACTTCATCAAACACAGTAAGGTTACAAGATAATGATGAGAATTTATGGAACGTTTGTAAAGGAACTAAGAAAACAGAAATTATGCTAGAAAGATGGCTCATAGAGCTTGATGATGATTCTACTACATTTAAAACATATGATTCATCACAAACGACAGATATTAATATATCGGATCAACTTACTTTGTTATTGAGATATTTGCATACTTTAGTAAAATTGTTGCCTATGTATGAGTTGGTAAAACAGGAACAGAACCATTATGAGCAAAATGATCCAACACGTGCCTACAATAGTAAATTAACACCCGTTATAGGCGCAAGAATTGTTGATGGATCTAAACCAATTTTGTCAAAGGGTAGAATAGGATTGAGTAAACCTATATTAGGAATATATGCAAATATTATAAATGATAACAATTTCCCATCACACTTAGAACAAAAAAAAATTACACCAGTGTGGACTAAATTTGGGCTTTTGAGAGTGTCCGTCTCTTATAGACGTGATTGTAAATTTGTGATAGAAGATACTGAATCACATAATCTACAAAACCCAATGTCTATCCACAATCAAATTGATGACATTAAGAGAGCCAAACAAGTACCAGGCTCCAATATCCGAACGGGGTCTCTTTCTCCAAGATCGAGGGAGTACTCATTAATGTCTTTTGATCGGAACAAAAGCACCAGCAATCAAAATTCCCTTAACCAAAGAAAATCCATTTCAATAAGTAGGCAAGTACAGCCCTTTAAAGTGGGATCAGTGAATAGTGTCGTGATGAATAACCAAAATATGAGCCAGAATTCCAGCAGGAATCCCTCAAATTCATCCTTTATTAATAGTGCACAAATACGTAGGACTAGTAATGGGTCAAACACAGGATACATTGGTCACTTAAATACTCCATCGAACCAAACATTAAATTTTGATAGTACAAGTGTTGATAGTGGGTCAAAATATATGTCTTCTTTTGGTAACTTACGCCGTCATTCGAGTATCAACAAAAATCAAGAGGCTGTAGCAAATGAAAGAAAATTACTTAATTTAAATAAACCAAGCGCAACAGCTATGCAACCTAGTATATCCGTCCAATCTGAAATATTACCAGAAGCAACGGAGGATATCTTGAATTTTGTTAAGATACTGGACGAGAAGCCGGATATCAAAGGTAAACATCCCAGTCAGTCTAACAATAGTGTTAATACGATATCAAGTTCGCTATTAAAATTTCAAAACCTGCGACCAAGCAATGATTTATTAAGTGAGGACGTATCGATGAGTGTTTCTCTGGACCAACCCCCTGGGGAACAGCCACATCAACCTCTACCTCCACATATAGACCATTTTGCTGCATCATATTCTCCCCATTTACAAACTGTACCAGGAGGAGACGGAGGTCGTCGTCGTAGGTCAAGCTCAATATCCTATTCACATTCGCCACTACCATCGCCATTTTCCCCATCGACGCAGTATCCATCTATCCCATCAAAGCTTGTAGGTCAACAAGATGAACAGGAAGTCGATATTGTTCCAAGCACAACAAGAGATGTATTAGAAACCCAAATTAATGTTATTAAACCAGCCAGTTCTTCTTACCTTGACACTGGGGAGTACATACCGCCTCATACTATCCCTAATTTAAACTCGTCAAGTTTTAACTTAACTAGCCGTAAAAATAGCATAAATGAAGAAGACGAGGAACAGGATGATGAGCTACTTATTAATACTAAGCCAACCAATTATGATGAAATAAATGGAAGAAATTTAAGAGGCTCATCGTCCCCAAGGTCATTTGATAGTATATCAAGTTCATTCAATAGAAATAGGCTTGCATACAAACAACCATATCAGCAATTTTCACAACCAGCTATTGCGGAAGCCTCTGTCCAGGCTAAGTTACATAAACCAGGTATACATTCCACCGATATCTTAGAAGACCAAGATAGGTTAATAAGAAGGAGAAGAGATAGCGAGGAAGACAGTAGCAGGCAAAACGTAATCCAAAGAAATAACGGGAATAGTGACTCAAATAATAAATCCTTGGAAAATAATGCTAATGATGACGATGGAATGGTATTTTTTATGAGTGATATGAACCTATCACATGAATGAATGAATGAATGAATGAATGAATGAATGAATGAATGAATGAATGAATTATTGGAATACATATACTATTTTGCTTTATATATATGTTCCGTCATATATGATTACATACCATATTAATATTTAATTCCAAATATGACTTACATATATATAAAATCTGATAAATATTATTATTATATTATGAGATGAATATCCCTTTTAAATATTTATATATGCTCGTCTATAAAATGTATAATATGCAATGACTATCTGAATCATTCAGACCTAGGTTCTAATGTGCCGGAATTATTGACAGAATCTTTTGAAATCGTCTTTTCTTGTTCCAATTGTTTCAATTTTTCTTGATGTATCTTATGCTTTTCAACATGAATGCTGAATCTTTCCTTTGTCTTGAAAGTCCTATAACATTTATTATATGGACACTTAAGTTTTCTGCCAATAGTATTAAGTAAGAGTTCCATTGCAGAATGAGATTGGTTGTTCTTATTATTGGGAATAGATGATATTGAGATATTTGGCGGTTTTAAATATTTAGTGAGAATAACTTGATTCTTTAAGTCATTCAATGAATCATTCAATGAACCATTGATTTTTCTACGTTTCTTGGTATGATTATTTTCTAATGGGGTTTCATTTACATTAGACTGATCGATTGGAACAGTATTAGGAGGTAAAGTTTCTAAAGAAGACGGCAACAGTTCTTGTGGATGCGATTCGTTATAATGCTTAATAAGCGTTTGTTTATGTGGGAAAGATAATATGGAACCCTTACACAAATGACATTTCCAATTTCTTGTTACTAACGTATCATCATGTATCTTCATATGCATCTGTAGACCAGTTTCACCTATTACATGCTTCTGACAAATACTACATTGCAATTTTGGATGATCATTCTTTGTATGTAATGTCAATTGTGTCCAAGTCTTAAAACTTTGAAGACAACCTGAAAAGGAGCAATGATAAGGGGTTGCCACATCAGGGTTGTGATGTTTCTTAATATGATGTTCTAATCTATAAGGTCTTTGGAAAGTTTTATTGCAGTGTTTACAAGTCAACGTTTGTAAATGAGTAGCCATAATATGAGATCTTAATTGTGGGTGTTTATAGAAGGCTTCTGAACAATTTTTATAAGGGCATACGAATGATTTTGTATGAGTAATTTCATGCCGCTTCAATTGTTGCTGAGTAATAACCCCCTTCTTGCAAACAGAGCAATGAAATGGTCTTTCTTCGTTATTTAAATGTGATAATAAATGCCTCTCTAAGTGTGCTTTCCTTGTAAATGATTTGTCACATTGATTACAATCAAATGGTTTCAACCCTAGATGAACACTTTGTTGATGCTCGGTCAACAACGAAGGCCTTGTAAAAGCTTTATCGCAATCTATATGGTCACAAAAGAAAGTCTTTGCTCGACTACTACTAGTCGAAACACTAGCAGACTTACTAGCAGACTTACTTACAGTTCTTGAATTCGAACCCTTGGGTGGACTAGGTAACGGCCAATGGTTAAATTCATTCAAACGACTCTTAATATCGGTTTCCACTGGAGTTTCATCACCAGACAACATATCACTGTCATATTCATCCATTTGTTCTTCTAACGTAGGATATCCTCTTCTGTTGTTTCAGTTTTTTTTTATTGAACTATCGTTGTTGTTATTAACCTCATCGCTGAAACGTCTGAAATATTCTTCCTTTATTTCTTTCTTTTTTTTTCTTTCTTCAAGGCCTTGGCAGTTTCTTTTATGTAATAATACTGATAGAGTGATTAAGTGCCAATACAAGGTAGACAGATAAGTTAAACATATGAAGACAAAACAAACCATTTAAACTATTAAAACAAAACCACAGGTAACATATTAGCTACCACCTCTTGACACCCAATATTAGGCTACGTGAACTTGCCTTCCTATCATCATCATCACATTGGACCATAATTTTAAAATGTATATCGTTCACACCCTACATTGCTTAACTATAGTATATGGGTCATCACCTATACAAAGGAGAGTCAGGGCTATCCTGGATGCCAGCCTAAAAAAACGAAAATTTTTTTTCTTCGCTGAAAAATTTTCGCTGCGAAACGAAAAATTTGAAAAGTTTTGATAATTTTGCATTTAAAGAGAGGAATGACCACTAAACTTACCAGGTTTGGCAAGGGATAAATATTCAGTGAGAGGACCTGGATAACGGAAGACATATACATCTCTCTCTCTCTATATATATAATTTGCAGCACACGATGTCTGACTACGAGGAAGGTTTTAACGAAGGTAATGAGCAATATGAAGATTTTGATGTGGAACGTTACTCCGACGAGGATGAAATAATCACTACTGAAGGTAACGGTGAGAACAAGCAAGAGAATAGCAATGGCACTACTGTCACTGTTGGTGGTGAATTAAAGGACGAAAATGGGAACACTGTTATTGTAAGTGGTCTTGATGACCAACAAGCCATCAGGAGGAAAACTTTGAAAGAAAAAGCTATTCCAAAGGATGAAAGAACTACAACTCCATATATGACAAAATACGAAAGAGCTAGAATCTTAGGTACCAGAGCTCTACAGATATCTATGAATGCACCAGTCTTTGTGGATCTAGAAGGTGAAACAGATCCACTAAGAATTGCCATGAAAGAACTAGCCGAAAAGAAGATTCCTTTAGTTATTAGAAGATACTTGCCAGATGGATCCTTCGAGGACTGGAGTGTTGAAGAGCTAATCTTTGATTAGTTCGATAACTTCAAATCTACCACTACCATTATCCCCCTTTTTTTTTGCAAAAAGTCAGGGAAAAATTAACAACACAACAAAATTCATTGATATTAAACGGTGTTAAGATTTTTATCATTATTTTTTATCATTATAAAAGAGAAATAGATATTTGGGATATTATCATCTATTTCCATGTAAACCTATTCATTCCGCATTAGAATATATGTATATATTTATTTATATATTTAATAAACAAAAATAGTATATGTATTAGAGAATGTGCATATCAATACCTAAATGTAAACCTCCCCTCCAGTTGCCCATTAAAATATACATGGTTTAATCATCTGATATAGTTGCTAAGAAACTATCTCCTTTAAATATCTTTGTAGATGTAGTCTTTTGTGTAGAACTGAATGTCTTGAAAATCTTGCCGAATTGTTCTTCTGGATTCGAAAACCCTGCATCCTTTAAAGATTGTATCAGATCATCCAAAGGAACATTTAAACTGCTCTGTTCCTCTGCTAAATTCTTTAAACATTGTTTAAGTTCATCCTCCTCAGGGAATTCCCCACTTAGATCACTCATCACGGATAGAAATTCTGGGAAACTCATTCCATCTGCCGAATTACCTTTACGGCCTAACATCTGTTCAATGACTTCAGCTGAATTTAGCTTCCCCATAGATCCTAACATCTCTTGCAGATCAGTCTTTGAGATTATACCATCTCCATCCCCATCTATCATCTGAAACGCATCCTTCAATTTTGTTATGTGATCCTGGCTCAATTGATTGAAGTTTAATGATATACTGTGATCCATATCAACTAAGTAACTGACTGCCCTTCTTGTCCTCCTTCTCTAATAGTAAATAGTTCACTATACCTTATTATCTTCTCGTTTACATATTTGATTGATCCTCTCTATACTCTTAAGGTTTTCGAATTATTACTCTTAGTTTGTTTGTTTTTAATTTTTCTTTGCGTAAAGGCCAAAAGCTGAAAAATAATAATACAGAAAGAGAAAATGTTAGAGGCACTTCATTAATAATACAGAAAGAGCTAACCCATTAAAAATAGACTACTTATCAGTTAAGGGGGAGTCAATTACGTATAAATATACATTTCAACCCTAAGATTAATTCTACAACAACCATAGAATGTCGGAACTTAAGCAATTATTGAAGGAGGCAAAAAATGAATTGGCGAGAGGTGATTATGAAGAGGCAATTGAAATTTCTCAAGAAGTGTTAAAACTTGATAAACGTAATTATTTTGCTCTAGTCTTTCTAGGTAAAGCTTACTCAAGTAATTCCGAACAATTTGACTTAAAAAAAGCATGTGAGTTTTATATTAGAGCTGTTAAGATCGACAAAGATCTGACTTTGGCTTGGAAGGGTCTTTTCTTACTATTCAACAAACACATATCAGATATATTGCCTACTCTACTGCCATACAAAGAATATTTTGTATTATGTTATGATTATATGCTGATATTACAATCTCAAGAGCTTTCACAAGTGGAGCTTCTTGATTCTTTAAAATCGTTAAGAACTCTATTCAAGGAAAAAACTGCATTCCTCAGGGAATTTTATTCATACTTCAGACCAGGTACCCCTGAATACGAAACATTAGGGAAAAATCTGATAACGCCCATTGAAGCATTGACTGGATTGATTAAAATTGTCAAGAAAGAAGAAGGTGAAAAGATCTCAAAAATTGTTAGTCAACAAAGAATGAAAATGAGTGCCAACGACCCAAATTATCAATTCAAAATCAATGCATTAGCTTGGGAAATATATGAAAACTCTAATTTAGATGATGATTATAATCAATTGGTTAATGTTGTAGATGATGATACAGAAAGAAGATCTATTGAAAACGAGTGGTTAGAGTATAGAATTAAAGTTTTGAAATCAATGCCTACTGATGTTAAATCAGACTATTTCGAAAGAGTTAGAAATATGGTTTCCGATATGGTACTTGTAAACCATGATTCATTAGTTGCATGGAAATACTATTTTGACTGGCAAGATTTCGATGGTTTAGATAGCATTGACCCTAAAATTGTCCTACAATTTTTCGCCAAATATCCCAGCGAACCACTAGCGATTATCTTATATGCATGGATTAATTCCAGTTTTTCTATTTATGATGTTAAATCTCTTGAAAAAGATGTAAACCAATCCAAAACCAATCCAGATCATCATAAAAGTGAACGTGACGCATTAGAAAATGATGACAACGCAAGTGAAGAAGAAAATGAACTAAACTCGTTATTAGAAGTCGAAGAAGATTCCACAGGAATAATGAAGGAAGAGGACATCTTAATCAGTTTAGTCGATAATATAAGTAAAGTCAAAAATAGTATTATGGCATATCGTGTGATTTCTTATTACTATTTGTTGAACAAAGAATATTTAGCATCGTTACCTTACACCAAATCAGGTATCAATTTAATATCGTATAACCAGAGGGATTTAGGTGCTATTCTCAGGAATAGTAAGCATGAATTGACGATCGATATTGCAACCTGTTATACTTACGTAGATGCACCAAAAAATCATCAATCTGCATTATCATTATTCGACAAAATTTTATCAGAAGATCCACATAATGTCAGGTCAATGATTGGGAAAAGTATTATCAGTATCGAAAAGCAGGATTGGAAGAACGCTTATGGTCTATTGTCCGAGGTAGTAGAACATGTCCCATCGAACCTTGAAGTTCAATCTCAATTAGCCTGGTGTAAAGCCCATTTGGATGAGCTGGACGAATCAATAGAGATATTTACCACTGTAATTAACAAAATTGAGGGTGGAGATAACCGTACGATGGAATTTAAATCTGAAACTCTATGGAGACAAGCAAAGGTTTATCTCTTAAGACAAGAAGTGTTAGGATACAATGAAGAATTGCAAAATGTTCAGACAGCATTTAAGCTTTTAATCCAGATCATCAAAAATTGCTCTGATACATTTTCTAAGAGTTATTCAACATTAGGGGATATTTATACAATGTACTTTAAGGACGCTAACAGGGCATTTAAGTGTTATTATAAAGCATTCGAATTAGATTCTGGAGATGTAGTAGCAGCTAAATTCGTCACAGAAGTATACTGTGATAGCGCTGATTGGGTATCTGCCTCTGAAATCTGCGAGCGTTTAGTTAAAGAAGAAAATGCTACAACCGTCTTAAGAAAAGTGAGTTGGCCATATAGAGTTATGGGTGTCTCCTTTATCGAAAAGCAGATGGCAGCCGAGTCTATCGAATGGTTCCAGTCGGCTATTCGGGTTGAACCACGCGATACTGAATCATGGGTTGGTTTAGGTCAAGCTTACTTAGAATGTGGTCGTATCGATGCATCTATCAAAGTTTTTGAAAAGGTACTAGTATTAAATGACAAGCACATATTCGGGAGATATTTCTATTCTAAAGCGTTATCAGAGATAGGGGAATTTGAAAACTCCATTCCAATTTTAAAGAACTTATGTATTGAAACACCGGAAGAAGAGGCCGTAAGAATGCTACTAGCAGAACAATTAGTTGGTTATGCGTATGATTTATACAATGAAGGCTACTTAATGAAATCTAGCTCCGTTACTGTTGACGCAATTGAATCCATTAAGATTGCGATTTGCGAATTGGGGTGTTTTAATCAAAATGTTTGGGTTATCTTATCAAAAGCGATTTATTTGTTCAGTTCAGTAGAATCAAAGATAGATGACTTACCGATTGAAAACCTTGTAGAAATATTTCAAAAGACTGATTTACAAAATAATGAAGACATCAATTCTGTAGATAATGTAAGCCTCGAGGAATTATTATCTGAAGACATATCAGATAATGTATCGATTACCACAAAGTTTTTAATTCTGTCTGCTAAATACGCAGTTTCTTCAACATTATTTGAACAACAGACTGCTACGGTAAAATCAGCTTGCTGGCATAATATTGGTATTACTGAGCTTATTGCGTTTGTTACTTTAAAGGAAAATAAATATAGAGATGCTGCTATCATGGCTCTCAAGAAGGCCATTCATTATCAATCAAATAACATAGAGACGTGGATTGCGTTGGGGTTGGCAACTATGGACGTCAATTATAGGGTTTCACAGCACTGCTTTATTAAAGCGGTCGCACTCTCTCCAAAGGATATTAACATTTGGTTTAATTTGGCTATTCTTGGTTTGAAAAATAATGACATTACATTTGCATCAGAAGTTATAGCCCGGACTCAAAGTCTGGAACCTCAAAATCCATTCCCATGGCTAGGTCTTGCATTAATAAAAGAGACAGAAGGAGCCAGTGCAGAAAGTCATAACCTATTTGCCCACTCATTCGTGTTGTCTAATGGTCGTTCAAAGATCTCACAATTGTTGTATGCCAAGAGCGTCCTTGATATGAGAATTGGTAAAGGTGACGATGAAAGAGATATCGATGCACTTGAAGAATATACTGCGATGATTTTTGGTTTAGAACAGTATTTTAAAAAGAACCCCAACAATCCTTACGCTATTCAATGTGCACTAGTTGCTCTGGAAAGACTGCATAACTTTAAAAAGGCTCAACACCTCTGTACTAAACTTATGGAGATACTCGAGAAGCATTTTGAAGTATCACAGGATGACTCTGAGCTTTTTAATTTTGCTGTATTAAAATCACAAATTGCCCGTATCCAACTTGGTGCTGGAGAATATGAACAGGCAATCGAGAACGCGACATTGGCAGAAAATATTTTATACGAAAGTATGGAAAATGTTTCAGCTGATGTTGATGGGTTCAAATCCCTTCTATCAAACCACGTGTGCCTCGGATTGGCGTACTTCTTCTTAGACAATTTCAACGAAACTCTTAACCAGTTTCAAAAATTACTAGAGTTATCTAAAGAAAGTAGATCCCTGGTTGCTTTACTTTCAAAAGTATTATATGATGTTGGGACTGACGATTCAAAGTCCATTGCATTGCAAGAATTAGTAGAGTACACCAACTCTCATAATTTCGACATCACGACTACTCTTCTAATTAGCGCCATGACATTTATTGAAAATAAAGAAGTTGATGTTAAAACGGCACTAAGTCACTTGTTGGGCTTGTCTTTACATGAATTGATTCAGGATAGACACAAGGATATTCCATACTTGATACGGGAATTTATGGTAAAATTACATAATGATAAGAAAAGTGAGCAAAATAATAAACAGCAGGTTGATTATTATTCCCAGAGAACTGCTTTCTTGTTTCCACAAAATAATGAATCGTGGTCTACCCTCGATAAGAAAATACAACAACGTGTTGCAACAGAAGGCCAAAGTAAAATTACAGCAGAACAATTAAGTGATCTTTATTACCGGAATGGTAATTTAAGAAATATTCAAAAAAGTATTTACTTATGTCCTTGGAATAGCGAAGCTATCATGTCTATCAAAGAATGCTTTTAAATAATGAATTATATAATTGTAATGTAATAGAAACTCAATAAAAATGAGGAATGTTCATACACCATTTAATTTATAAATGAAAGAAATATGCTGTTTTGTCGTTGAATAGAGTGCGTAATCCCATACTTTTTAATATCAAACATAAAATCTGAAAACTTCCCACAGAGAGATAACTCTCGTTAACCTCGTAAATGTGGTTAGTTCCCGTTCGTTTACCATCTTTAGTTGATTAAGTTCGCTGGAAAGTAGTAATTCTGCCTCGTTGCCTTTCACATCTTCTCTGTTGGCTTTAGTTAGCAATGTCACATTCTCATCCTTCAACTTTTCTTTCTTGTATATTAGGTTGGCCAAATTCCATTCTAGATTCTGTTTCATAAAACTATAGGAATGGCTTTCTTTTGATCTGAATAAAAATACTGCTCTAGCTGCAGATCTGTCCATTGTTCTTGGGACTTCCTGGATTTCGGCTACATTGTATTTTATTAAGGCGGCTATAGTACTTCTTATATCTTTCTCCTTCATTAGGGCCATGGAATTAATTACTTTTTCAGAGACTAGTCTATTTGCTATGATGCAACGACGTATACGCATTGCTGATTGCCCTAGAGTAGATGCAATTATGTAATCGTATACTGAAGATCTTACAACAGGCATCAGTTGTGTATATGGAACATAGAAAACACCCGGTCTAGTCTCATGTAGAAACGGAATGCTAGATGAGGCAAGTAATTTTAAGTGCATGTTAATCAAATTGATAGAATTTGAAGTATCATTGAAATCATCATCCATTTCCATATCATCATCATAACCGTCTAAGCTTTGTTTATCTTCGATGTTATCAGAAACATGTTTAGGTAAACTTGGAATTACAAATCCGTCTTTGGTTTTCAATTTCTTCTTGGCAGCGAAACTAGCTTGTTCCTCATTTGTCCTTTTATTATTATTTGCTTCTTTCTTTTGAGTGGCAAGACTACCTTTCAATTGAACGTCAGGAGATAGATGTTTTGCTAGTTCGATGGCATTAAAGGTAGCACCATTTTCTTCCATTAATGTTACGTCGTCACGAATACCAATAGCTTCATCCAGATCCTGAAGCAGGCCAGTTTGAGTCAAAGGATGAATCAAATCAACGGATCTCTTTTCAGTTAGTTTCAAAGCTGCTTTATAAACTTGAGCTGAGATTGGACCTACTCTGAATCTGGATAATTGGACTAAATGCTTCGACCTTCTTGATTTTAAAAATCGATCAAGATTGAAAGTTAGAGGAACATTCTTATGTACAGTTCTCAAAGAAGTATGTGGGTCAGTAGTTATAACTCTGGCTGGTTCATTATTATTCTTGATGATATTTAAAAATTCTTCTTTGGCTCTGCCTTTAGCTTCCATTCTTTTCTTTAAATCCGACAAAGCAGATGTTCTTGGAATAGCATTATAATGTTTATCATATAAAACTGTCCAAAAATCTGATAAAGGTGTATAGTTTAATTTAGAGATTGGAGTTAAAAACTTATCATCGCATAACTTAACAAAGATTTCCGAGACGGTATACTTGGAAGTTTTAGAATCTTCAGACAAATTTTCTGAAAATTCCGCCAATGAGATGGAACCCACAGTCAGAACATTTTGAATAATTTGCGCAGCAGAGATATCAGTTTCCTCAGAATTGGGGGGGTATAACCTATTCATCTCCTCGACAATTAGACCAGAATATAACATCAAAAGTGGACCTTCTTTGTTGTAATAATAATAAGTTGTTTTTTTCCCTGAGAATGAAGTTTCTTCAAAATACTTCAGGCATCTTAATTGAATTAATGGGACAATAGTACTCTTGATATCTTTAATAGACCATTCCTTTTCAGTGGTTGAAGAATAAGAAGCTAAATTTCTATTCAACCAAGTGTGCATTTCACGGATGGATAATCTACCCAAAGAAATCAATAAATCAATAATGAAAGCTGCTCTTTCTCCGAGATTGGCCCTAATGAGTTCCGTATAAAGGAATTTTTCTGGATTTTCGATCCGTTGCTCTAAAGATGATACAGAAGGTTGGAATCCTGAATCCTCATCGCCATGATCCGAAGCTGATCCATTTACAGATTGTTGATCGGATGGTAAATTTGGAATTTCTAAACCCTCCATTGTATCTGCAATCACAAATTTAAATTTTTCGTGGTGTTGTGTTTGAAGCAAGTGTATTTTAAAAGTATTCACTATTCAAATCAAACATATTAGTGCTCGACAATTTGAAATATCATTAAAAACTTTGATTGTATACAAACCAGCTCATCACCATAAGAAAAAAAAAAATTGAAGAGTTCGCCTCAAGGCACTATACTCTTTTTCTCAGATTATACAGAGATAAAAAGAAAAATGATTCGTTTGAGATGATATGCATTTTCCTGCGTCTGTTTAAGTGAAGGAAATAAAGATCATAGAAGTACTAACGCAGTTGACGTGAATTACAAAGTTCAGAAGTTGTTACTAATGGTTATAGCAATGATGAACCTGTTTCTATACCGGGGATCATTTGAAATGCCAAGTGAATATTCTAGCAAACGTTTATGTTGAATCTGTGGATATTACCACGGTGCTCTCAAGTATGTTTTCCTGATTGTGTGAGCCTCAATGTAATTAATAGTATATTCTAATTGAATGGCCACATTCCTCCCATATAGTATAGACATAATAGGCTGGTTAGAATACGTTTAAATGAATCATATATCCATCTGTCTGTATATATTTCGAAAATATACAGGAACAGAGATGTTCTAGTTCATCTAGCTTTATTCTAAAGAGAGGTACTAATGAAAAACACACAATAAATTTAATGATAGAGAAACTTATATACGGAAAGTTCAACATCGTTCCTATTTACTTCATGAATTTTTCATAATATCTTGTGTCAGTTTAATAATCTTTATCTTTTCAAAATTGTGGACTAGAATATTAAAATTGCTTCGTATGCCTGTATATATATATTTTATTTTTGAAGCTGTTATAAAATGCATTTATATGATGATATTGTTTTCCTTATGTTTCGATACTTATTCCTCTTGATATATGTTACAAATGCCATTATTTCTGGAATGTTATGTAAGTTATCAAATTGATTGATTGTTAAAAGCTTGTAACGCCAAACTATACTTGATAATCTCAGAAGATAATAACCATCGAAATGAACTTGACACTTTGCCACATATTATCAATTCAACAGATTAATCTTTGCTGTTACTTTACAACCTTTATATAGAAAGTAGATTCCAAATTAGCCGCCACTCCACCCGGGGTCAAGGACACCTTTGTACAACCCTAGGGCGTACTTAACCCTAGAATAGGGTACGGGATTTCTACTGTGGTACATCACCTTGCACGAACCAATCATATCTCAGCACAGCTTCACTCTTGAAAATTCAGAAAAAGGAATCCTCGCGCGTGGCCATCTCCGTAATCTCCATACTAAAAATTGACAAGGATTTTGTTAGAGGTTAGCCTAATTTTCATCAGTAAAGTTCATTATTATAGGCCCTTTGGGGGTGATTCTTTATTAGTTACAATTCAATAGCACAAAGGTTGAATAATAATGATAAGTTTTGGTTAAATTGTAAAATTGTTTTATATATAGATGTATTTTCTTATTTAATAGGACAAAGCATTTACAGTATTCTTTTTAAACGAAAGCTCAATTTTATAGCAATAATTCTCAACTATCACATTTTGATCAAAACAAATTATCAACTAAAACTGTTGTTATTAAAATTTTGATATAAATAAGAATATACACTATAGAATATTAATTATATTTATTTTGAAGAACAATTACATATTTATCTGCCTTCTGTTAGAATAAATCACACTTTCCCCCCTTAAATAATAATAATAATAATAATAATAATATCAAAAGCATTCATTCAACAACTATGTTCTCTAAAACTATTAAATCACAATTAGTTAAACAAAGTATCAGACGTTATACGATTAATTCCCTTGATACTGCTGGGCAGACCTCTACTCTGGCTGTCAAAGTTCATGCAGGTTCTCGTTATGCAGACAAGGACGGTTTAGCACATTTATTATCAAGATTTAATTTCCAAACTACTAATGATAAATCTGCACTAAGACTTGTAAGAGAATCAGAATTATTAGGTGGTAGATTAGAATCTACAATCGATAGAGAATTTATCACTTTGAAAGCTACCTTCTTAAAGGAAAATTTACCATATTATTTGAATGCTATCGCCAACGTCTTATATAAGACTTCTTTCAGACCTCATGAATTAGTCGAATCTGTAGCTCCTGCTGCTGGTTATGATTTGGCTGTTGCACAACATAATCCAATCAAAATCGCTGAAGATGCTTTGTACAACGTAACTTACAGATCAGATTTGGGTAAACCTTTGTTATTCGATGGTGTTGAAGAAATTACGTTAGATGATATTAAGGCTTATGCAAACAAAGTTTACACTCAAGAAAATATTGAAATTGAAGGTTTCGGTATCAATGAAAATGATCTAAAGAGATTGGTTGCTGATTCCTTGATCAATACTCTACCAAAGGGTTCCTCCTTAAAGGTAGCAAAGGAACCAAAATCTTTTGTTGGTGAATCCAGAATTAGAAGTCAAGGTACATCTGTTGCTGCAATTTCTATTCCGGTAATCAAGGGTTCAATTCCAGAATATGAAGTACTAAAAGCATATTTGACCTCTCCATTGTACCCTCTATCAGATGCCATTGATACTGTATCATTCGATAAATTCAATGGTTCTCATGGTCTATTCTCTTTGTATGTCAAGGGTTCAGATGCTACTGTTGTAGCCAAGAACATCAAGGAAATCGTTGCCAGTTTGAAGAAAGGCCAAGATATTTCGGTTGCTAAGGAATTAGCCCAAGTTGAAACTTCTTTGGCTAACGAACAATCGGTCTTGCCAGAAGCTCAAGAAGTATTAAAGGTGGATACGGTGAAGAACTTTAAACTAGGTAAGTTTAGTTATGTCGCAATTGGTGATGCATCTAAGTTACCATTTTTAGATGAGTTTTAATCCTGCAAATTCAAACTAAAAAACAACAACTTATAATTAAAACCCAAGACTCATATATATTCATAAATTCGACCTGTGAAAATAAGATCCAAGTCAAAAAAAATATAACTTTTCAGTAGATTACATCTTGTATATCTTTTTATAATTACCTTATCTATTTTTCAATATAAATTTTATTTATTTACAGGAGCAACCGAATAAAAACATTTTAGATCTTGTAAACCGGTTGGAAGTGTTCGCATCTTACCAATATATATATACTATATATAAAAAGCGTTATTCCTAATAATAGTAACATGAATTATAGATACTAGTGAATCTGATCAAAATTTTACAGTTCACGACGAACTCTTAAAATTTGTTCAACGGTATCGTTAACTGTCTTTTTAAAGTCAATAAATTCAAATCCTAGAATTTCCTTAGTCTTTGAACAATCGACAATTGCTCCTGTATGGGTACCAAGGATACCGCTGTCCGGAGATCCAACTGGAACTTTGGTTCTAAGAGATGGGAAATCTGTGTTGAGTACATTAAGAATATCTTGATCATTAAAATCACCACATGATAATATCAATCTTTTTCCTATTGTGTTTTCTTTCTGAAAAGCTTGTAAATGAGCTTTAGCGATATCACGAACATCAATGAATTGATTCTTTGAGTTAGGGTTAACAGGAACTTCCGGGCCTGCCGTCAAGATTGAATTAATAACCTCACAAGAACAATTCATTGTTCGTTTAATATCGGAATCAAATACTTGAGGTCCAAAAACATTAACTGGGTTAACAGTAGCTAACTTAAAATTCACAAAGTCTTTGTTTTGTTCCCAAAACTTCCAAGCTGCTTGTTCTGCAAATTTCTTAGAAGCACAATAACCGGACACCGGATTAGATTGACAGGATTCCCATGTATCAGGATTCCATAAAGTTTCATTAAAAGTAAATGTTTTATCATTTAACTTAGTAAAATCAATAATAGCACCAAATGAGGAAGTTATCACAACACGTTCCACTTTATCAGGGGCATATTTCTTGATAGATTCCAGAATTCCTAAAGTACCATTACATGCAGGAATTAATAATTCCTTTTCTACATCGGTAACGTCAAAATGGAAAGGTGACGCAGTATGTAGAACGATTCTTATATCACCACCATATTTTTGGAATGTTTCATTGAATGCATCCAGCCTAGAAATATCTGATACAACAACCATAGAAAGATTTGGATTATTTTCAAAATTTTTAATTAAATTATCACATTTTGTTTGAGACCTGGCTGAACCGATGACCTTATAATTTTGTTCTAACAACTGTTGCACAATGTGTTGTGCAATATACCCTGTAGCACCAGAAACAAAAACACTCATATTTAGGGAAACTTATTATACACTTACTAGATACTTCGATAATTAAACGAAGATAAAGTTTATTTCGTTTTTCTTCTGTAGTATTTTATCCAAGGAAGAATTATTATAATAAGTGTATAAAATGCTTTGGAACAATTTATTACAAAACTAGGACATTGTTTCTTTCGGCATATACATTTTGAAACATTGTTCCAAAACTTATATACCTTCATTTCTCTAGATAATGATACATATTAATTAGAAATACCCCCTTGATAATCATATGTCGCAACATGTTATGTCCGAAGATCTTAGCTTTAATGGCAATGATTATATGTTAATATTAGACATTATAGAATTTTTACGAACCAGTCACGTGCATAATTGCTCGGAAATACGAATTTATTTGTCAAACCCGAATACTAAAACTGTTGTACAGAAATGTCTGAGTAACTTGATTGTAACCAGGCCAACTGATTCGGCCGAAACAAATCGAGAAATCTACAATTCTTGCGTAAGAACATTTTTAACAAAAATTATTCATCCCCACAGTTATACATATGTTAGAAAACTTTGCTTGAATATGAAATATCCAATAGTTTTTGGCTATTAAAAAGAACACTTTCTTATACAATTTACTTATCTCAAAGATCTAATACCCTTCTTCTTTAATTAGTAAACACTTTGAGTTACTTTCTATTCTTGTAGATCGCAAACACGGGCTGATATTATTAATGTGGTTAATCTTAATCCTGAAAAAAACTGCTACTGAAATACTATTAACAAAGAAATATCATTTCCAAAAAGTAAAAAATTGTTTAACTTGCTCTTATTCGTGAAAATAAACGATGGTCATATGCTGAATTTCAATTTAATTTAGAGTAAATTGATTTACCAACGACCTTGTAAAAATATGAAAAAAGTTCAACAAGAGAATAACAAGATCTCGTTTGTTTGAGATTTATTTTTAATAGGTGACACCCTATCTTGTGAGTTATTTTGATACTTTCATTTACTCCTCCTTTTAATTGTTGAGTTTATTACAGTTTACAAAACATGGTAACAGAGAATACAAATAATTACACACATTATACTATCAAGATAAATCACCTTGACATTAAGTAATACCCCTCTCTTTTTATTGTTCAATTTTCAAACGTTATCTTTAATAGGAAGTACATTTTCATAAGATGAAACTATTCTCCACTCCTTCATGTTTTTAACAAAAATTTACTTACTATGAAAAGTTTAGTGACTTCAATACTTAGAATATATAGCAAGTAAGAGGATCTGAAATAGGAGTTGTGAAATCATTTCCGGAGAATGAATTGATATGATTCTTCCAAAAAAAATGGACAAGACCTGAAAGAATCATAGCCATTCTTTCCTAATTTGCAGAACAGATATGTGAAACAAGTGGATCCAGACCGCACCAGTACCTTAGAATAGGACCAAACAATGGATAAAATAGATGACTCTTTACTATATTCGATTACACCTTGGCATATTCAGAAATATATATCTTTATTTTGCCAAGAAAGACCAGAGAAGTGAGTGTGATGTTTGAAGGAAAAGGTTTGTTCATCTTCTCATTGTTTCTAATGAATAATCGTTGACTGACATCAGCATGGACTTCAAAATAAAACATTTTCCACCAAGCAATATCTCTCCTCTAATATCTTCCTCTCTTGTAATTAAATCTTGATGTAAAGAAATGCGTATAAGAGAAGACCTGAGAAAAGTAGAGTCATACAATAAAAAGTTCCTTGCTTCCATTGTGCTAATTTTGCGTTTCCACTATTCTCCACGGAAAGAAATAACTACAGAAACATTCTCTTTCAATTCATCTCAAATTTATTTACTAACGAACCACTTATCCACAAACTGGGTTGACTAAGTATGTGGCTACACCCTATTACAGAAATACATAGATTGTTTCGAATAATTCTCCGTTTTATTTGAATTACCTTGAACTGTCAAGTTAATTATACTAATGCTACGTTCCTTATTTTCAAAGAAAAAGGCGTACAAATAATGAGATCTGATACTACAAGTGAAAAAGTGAAAAGCTTTTCGAGAAAACGAAAATGCCGCATGCACGTTCTTTGAAAAAATGCAATACAATCGTTCATAGTAACGAATATTTAGGAAAAGAGTCATGGCCAAGATACTCAACGTTGGCATTGTTTATAGACATGTTGGGAGAGCTTGTATTTTTCGTTCCTACTTTTCAGTCAGTACATTGTTGAACTCATCTCTACGAAGTTTCTTTGTAAGAGACAATGGTAAGAACTCATGTTTATTCTCGACAGGTACTGTCTATGGTGGAGTCTTAACCATTTGAACATTAATCGTTGAGGAATTGCCAGTGTAACTGAAATGTGGAATGGAAGGGAAAATCCCCTCTTGCTGTGACTATTTTTCTGAATCTCAAACATTCCCTAAAACACATTGATGCTTTTTGCACAATGAATGGTCTAAAAGGGGAATAATCATTTTAACTGCTATTCGACCCATAATATAATATCTGTAACGGGCCTATCTATGCATGTTGCTAAGGGAACCTATGATGTTATTTTGGGTACGCGACTCTAATGACAAAGTAGAGGAATCGTATGTTTCAGACCACATTTTAACATAATCAGTATAATAGTGTTTATTATGCTGTTTTTCCAATTATACCTCCACCTGTTATTTCCCACTTTTTCTATCTTAAGTTTTCAAGTAACTTTGACCATCTAAAAACAATTCTAAAAGAGAGACAATAGTGAAAAATACACAGTAAAAACCTAGTTCAAAAGATTAACTTCCATATTAGTTCTAACAGTTGATTAAGTACACTTATATTTACATCAACAAATGAATGTAACAATCAACAAAATACTGACAAAAAAAAAAAGATTTTACTAATTATAATTTTAGCATACCTCCCATTGGTCTTCTACACGATAACAACGTTCAACAAAATTTGTAACCTGGATGAATATTTTTAATCCATTGAAAAAATTAACAAACTCAGGTTTCAAAATATTTTATTATAAAAGGATGAGGTTAAATCTAACTATTTGGAAAAACTTACTCTCTCATAAATTATTTTATTCTAATTTTAAATTATAAAAATAATATATCAGTGTATAACAATAACATCAAGCTTATTACAACAACTACTACTAATTATAATTACAATGGCTAAATCTAACATCCCATTTTCCAAGGTTGCTTTATTGTCCCTTGCTGTCCTACTAAGTGCTTCTGTCGCTGTCCCATTGTCCAAGAGAGGTCTATTAACATCTGCTATCTCTGGTCTAAAAACTGATTTTTCCAACATCGAAAGTGATGTATCTAACAAAATCAGTACAACCTGTTCAGGTTCTTCAAACCCTCTATGTCTAGGTGAAAATGTTGTTGCCGCTGTCCTATCTTCCCTATTGGCCGTCGGTAAGAAAGCAGACAGTGTTTCCAACACTGTTGGTTATTCTAACTCCACTGATTCTAGTGTTGTCGATGCTGCCTCTAGCATTATTGGTTCTGATAACAACAACGACGTTGCTTCTGTTGTTGCTACTGCTACCACTACCACTGACGCTGCTGCTACCTCTGCTCATGTCAACATCTTGAGTAAGGTTCTTGCCGATGTCAAGGCAATCCCAAGTGAAGTTAAGACTGTTCTAGATGATGCTGGGTTACACTTACTTGGTGTCTACAACATGTCTAACGCTGCCACCGTTCTAAACAAGGTTGAGTCTGACACCAAGGCCGCTATTGCCAAGGTCCAATCTTTTAACGGTGATGTCAAGAGCAGAGTCGGTGGTGTTGAAAACAAGATCCACAGTGCTGTCGGTAATGTCGAAGATAGAATTCACAGTGCTGCTGAAGATGTTAAGAGCAAGGCTGAAAATGTCATTGACACAGCTAAGAGCTCTGTCGATACCATTCTACATTTTAACTCTTCTCTAGGTGAACATTTGGTTACCTCTCTAGGTGACACTGATTTAGGTGAACTGGCCAAATTGGTTTCTAGTGCTATCCCAGGTATTCCAAACTTTGCTAACTCCACCAATAGCATCGGTGAAGCTCTAAATGTTGCTGATAAGGTTAAGAGCGCTGCTGAAAATGTTATCACTGACTTCCACACCGCTATCGATACTGTTAAGAACTTGACTTCTGCTTCCCCACTTGAAGACATTGAAAAGGCTGTCACCCTACTGAAGTCTGTTGCTTCCGGTGCCGGTGACAACTTAGAAAATGCTGCTCAAGAAGCTGGTTCTAATGTCATTTCCTGGATTTCTTACAACGTTAAGAGTACTAACGGTGGTGACATTTCTGACGTCATTTCTAAATTATCTAACTTTAACATGTCTAGTATTGCCTCTGAAGTCAATGATTTCATTACCAACGATGGTGGTTACAAGTTCTGTCTAAACCCATCTACTCTATTGGGTAGTCAATCAGACTCTTCCTCCACTTCTCCTCTATCTGTTATTGGTGAAGTTTTCCTAAACACTTACGGTTCTGTTGACTCTATCTGTTTATAGATGCTTTGATAGTATTCTTTAACATTTTTTTGGGTTTTACAACGGTTACTCTATAATAAAATTTTCATAAATAGCTGCACTTAGTTATTCAGCTTTCCAATTTACGTTCTATAAAATAATTCATTTGTACAATATAATATTATAACAAACACTTTTTCAATTAATTGTAAGTCCTAATTTCCATATGTAGTGTAGCCATCCATAATTGAAATGTTCAGATAATTTTCTTTAACAATTTTCTGTATTCAAAAAATGTTTTTTTGAAACTGTCAGTTGGATAATATATGAATCGTTCACTGACTTTATTATCCAAATTTATCTTACAGACTACATATAGGGGTATAAGAGAAAACTCAGGTGGACTATACTATTGAATCTGCTATTTTTCAAGAACCATCCCTTACATTTACAAACAATTATATGAGATAGAAAACCCTTGGCTTAAAAATAAATAATTGGACAAATTGTTTTAACTGTGTATAGTGTACAGAATAGTGTTCATATACTAAATTATTTAATTGAAGATAGCAACAAGTTTTTCACCTGCATTAACACCGTTCTGAATATCCTTAGTCAACTTGACGGCCCCTTTTAAACCATTCTTGTAAACTACAATCGGTGGATGATGAAATTCACCGTTTAATAATCTTGGATTAATTTCTTTGGTGTATCTAATCATATTTTTTTTACAGAGCGGATCGGCCGGAAATTTCATACCTGCAATAAAAACATCATAACCAAGAGATAAGTATACTGCTGCATAAGTAACATCAACATTGGACCTTCTTAACTCTTGTTTAATACCGTCGATCTTTTGACTGGCAAAATTTAATACAATAGCATTTTCTGTGTCTGAAGCACATTGATAAACTTGTTGCAATGTTGTATCTGGAGAAGAAACACAATCTAAAAGATGTTGGATGTTGTTATATTTATTTTTGATTTGAGTAATAACATCCGCATCATGGTAATCGAAGACTTCATCAGCACCATACTCCAAAAGTTGTTTTTCATGTTTTCTGCTGGCAACAACAATAATTTTCGAGTAACCATGGTACTTCTTGACCAATTGAGTGACAGCTTGTCCTAAGGGTGAACCACCACCCCAGACCAATATCGGAAAATTATGCTGTGGAGTTGAAGCATCAACATCATATTCTAACTTCATTACATGAAATAATGCACAACCGGCAGTAAACCAAGTTAATGGAATTGAAGCAGCTTCTTCAAAAGTAGATACTTTCCCTTCTGAGATTGTGTCAGAATTGCTAAATTTGGTTTCCTTTGGTAACTTGAAAGTTATTTCAGAATCTAATGCAACGTAATCTGCAAATGCACCATTATCTGGTTTTCTTACACAGTTACCATGAGCAAAACTAAAAACATAATCCCCGATTTGAAATTTTGAAGTGTCGACGTCTTTACCCATGGAGACGATCTCACCAGAGACATCACAGCCAACAATTGATCTCTGTGGACCAATACCATATTCAATATGTTTCCAGTCAGTGGGATTACCACCAATAGCCATGGACTTCACCAGGATATAGTTACTTGGATATTCTGGTAAGGGGACATTCTGTTCTACAACAGCTTCTTTCCCCTCAATAACAACGGCATTCATAGCAGTAGGTAAGGACATATTTTCTTTTTATGGTTCCTTTGTTGTCTTTTTATTATTTTACGTAATCAAATAAGAAAAACATTCGAATAATTCATTGATATATATAAGGGTTTTATATAAGATTGAGTGTTATTTTATCACAGTTCGGCAAGAATTTTAACATTACCAGATGAAACCCTCCCCTGCCCAACTCCCTTATGTAATCCAATTAAGCTCAGTTCCGCGGTAAACTCAAAGCCGAAGAATTGGCGGGATCGGCCGAAACGCTTCCTGGAGAGATTGATTGGTTGCTGAATGACACGGTTATTGTCTTGCAGTTGTTATTGGAGTATATATGTAAGTATTTATAAGATCATCTCATTGTTTTTTTACGTTACCAATTATACTCTTTATAAGTCTGTTCTCTTACTACATCTCAAGTTCACCAATAAATGACTGTCAACAGTGTTTAACTTTTCCCGTTTTAGAATGTCTTCTATATGTCTCAACAGCTTTAACAACTGACAAAATAGAAAATGTTTCTACTGAAGAATATATATATATAATCCACTTGACAAAATATTTTAGAGAATACCGATAGTCTGTAGGACATTTCAACACCCATTCACAATAATCTCTGAATAGTTTAACTAATTGATCATCTAGTCTCTAGATTTGAGGTAACTTACATTATACAACAATCGTCTTTAGCTTGATTTGTGGAACGTATTGTTACGATCTACAGTTTTATGGCTATTACTGATTTCTCAAAGATGCAAGGTAATTCTGTTACTTTTGATGAAGATACATGCACTCTAATCACATGGGAAACTTGTCAAACAGACCCACTTACTGCTTATGAAGGTTCAAAGATTATTGCAGAACGAGAAGCTTGGAAATTTTATAACCAAAACAAAGTTATTATAAAACTCAAGTTCCCAACTGGTACCTCATCTTATATCTTTGGTCTACAGGTAGTTAATGAAAACTTACATGAACTTTTGAATGGTTTCAACAAGATCATAAATCAAGCTGCAAATTCCACCAAATCAGAAGATATCACTCCTACTAACACTCAATGCTGTCACGTTTATGATGCTGTAAAAACTCACGGCCTTGCCATTGAAGAAGAAAATTTAACTGACAAACGTTTATTTGTTACTTCCACAGCATTTGATGTCCAGGATATATTGAATTACTTGAACGCAGATTTCGGTCAACTAAAGGGTAAGATCCTAGTTGGTACTCCAGATAACAATAATGAACACCCTCGTCCTGGAGCTGTCGTTGGAAAAAAGAAAACCAGAGATTAACTAGGATCCCCCCTGAGGACTTTGAAGGATTTCGTTAACGATACTACAATTCAAGGATTGAAGCCTAAAGGGAGAGCATAAATGTTTGCATGATTATATAATCTTAGTAATGTATATATTATGTTACAATTTTTACATTCAAAGATAAATTATTTAAAGAAAAAGGGTATATATTAAGTATAAAATATTGTAGTAACTAAAATGTCGTGAAAAAATTATACCACTTAAAACGATAATACAATAACGAAAACAATACACATAAACCAGCTTGAGAGGTGACCTATCCCCAAGAAAGCAGCTACATTTTGCAAATCAGGTATTTGGGAAAGAACAGAAACATCGGAAGTCTCTTTTACCGGTACGGAGACTGAACTTTCAGATATGATTGTCACCATTGGTACACTTGGAATTACAGTAGAAGAGATATCAACATTTGTAGGTTTTACATCCCCTACGTTAATACCAGGTACGATTCTAGATCCAATTGAAATATGATCTGGGTGGGTAATTAAATCGGGAGCATTGGTCGCAATAATGTTGTTATTATCAGATAGGTATTCACGTGTAACTGTTTGTATACCATTAGAACATCTGGAACATTGAATAACAACAACAACATACGTTTGATCTAAAACTGTCTGAGTAGATACGTATGGATATTCTGGCTGGGGAATTATTTCAAACAAACTTGATTTACTACCGTCCTTTGACATATATAATGTGGATGTGTTTGCTATATTCTCAATACCCGATGATAACAATATTGAACTTGACAAAATGGTCCTGATGTCATCTGAATGCACAGAAGATTGATCTCTATTCTCAGAAGTATCCATTCCTATTTCAGAACTGAAAACTGTCAAAGACCCACTTAGAACTGTATCACCTAAAGAAGTGAGAGATTCAACTGAAGTGTTCGTAAATATTCTAGATACTGCTGTTCCTTGAATAGCAGCAGTTGTAGTAGATTGGTCTGATGCAACGGATTCCGACCACATATATTGCCCTTTAGTCACAGAAGACTGCAATGATGCTCCTGGCAATAGTGACGCAGATACACTTGGCGATAAAGACGTGTTACTGTTTGTATAGTTTTCTGATTTACTTTGGGAAGAAACGTTGGAAGGAACAATAGGCACACTACTTTCTCCATTACTTCCTTGAGATGAATTTGAAAATACAGTTTGAGAAATTGAGGTAGTAGTGTTTAGAGAAGAAGGGATATAACTTATAGGATTTAGACTACCTGATGAAGGAATAACTTCCACCGTTGTGGTCAATTGAGATGTCACAGAATCAGGTGTACTATTGATCATATTGGTTGAGTTATCAATAGTTCTACTGCTAGTTAATACACTTGAAATTTGGCTCGATACTGTGGGTGTACCGATGTAGTAAATACTTGTCACGGTTAGCTTACCTCCGATAGAACTGGTAGCCTCTGACGTAACCGAAATTAGAGTTGTACTAAGACCACTGTAACCGTCAGCTGAGGTAACGTTTACAAGTTCGTAGTCCAGTGTCGGTTGTACACCATTAGAATAGACGTTAAGTGTAGAAAGTAAGTATGAAATATCGGGATGGTATTGCCCTTCAGGGTCGATTACTGATACTTGAAAATTTGGCGTTCCAAAAGGGTGTATATAACTCAGTCCCATTTCATATGGTATACCAGCATATAATAGGATAGTACCAGTCGTTCTTTCTTGCTTCGGTTGAGTCACTGAACTAGAAATGTAAAAGAGATTGAAACCAGGAGCTGAGAAAGGATCTGAAGTACACAAAATAGCCGAATCATTAGCGATAAACATCGCAGCTGCATAATCTGCATCAATAATGAAAGTATAGTATCCAGTTTTATCTACTCTGATCCAGGCATTTGCTACCATTGAAAAATTCGTAATAGTAATCGAATTCCCGTAAAGGGTACCCTGCATAATAGTTTCATTATCGATATATTGATTTAATCGAAATGCCATGTTTAAAGTCGTACTTTGATATATTGGTTGGCCCAGAATATAGAATTTGTAAACCATTTGTAAAGGTGACAGATCATCAAAGTAATATGGAACACCATTGAGGGGGATTTCATATAGATAATATGTAAATCCAGGAGATGTAGGTGCAACATAACTCATTTTACAATCAGGAAGATTGGATGACACCCATTTAGTAAGTAATGTGATAAATAGTAATATTTTTTCAAGTAGTGATATCATGTTAGCTGTGTTTTCAATTTCTTTTCCATGAGTTGATAATAGATAAAAAGCATCTGAACAAATCTAGAAGCAATATATAAAACCAAAGTATGTAGGATAATAACTGAATAAAAAAGAATATTCAAGTTTTGATGGTCTTTATATAGAATATATTATCTATAACCGTGTTATGGTAACTATTCCATTTATTTTCTATTTAAATAGAAAATAAATGGAATAGTTACCAATCATGACTCCCTAATGACCAAAATAACAAAATGATTGCTTTAAAAAAGGTAATTCATATAATAATGTGACTAAGAATGTTCAAGTTTTAGAAGCAGAGATAAAGGTTTTCCAAGGGAATAGCAAATAGAACACTAATTTATGATGACTACAGATTGAACAATTACAATTTAATACGTTATCTCTCCTTAGTATAATTATTGCGTTAGAAATTACCTTTTCTTAGTCAGTAAAACAATCCCATTGTTTAAAAGCTACGGTGGCCGGACAACCAATTATATACAATAAGCATCCCAAATGTTCCCAATGAGAGGTTTTTAAGGAATATTGCCCAAAGTGGAAGTCAATTATACAATCGTGGTAATTGGTTTTATTGTATTTGAGATAAATAACGACGAAGAATGCATAAATACTTATTAATACCTTAATAATCATAAGCATGCTGAATTCAATACAGTTTATATACTAAATAATATTTCTTATCTTGAAACAGCAACAACATTCTTTGTCATGAGGTTAATATGGTTCAAAAAGTTATTAAACAATAACCCCGGACATGAGAAATTGCCTCGTAGGGCTGTAATTGCGATCCTTGTATGCGTACCTCAGAACAATTGGATTTAAATATATCTTCGCTAATACGCATAACCTTTAATCTAAACAGATATCCATCAACTAGTTTATGCTGAACTTGGATATTCGAAATCAAAATTTTCTTATATGAAAAGTTTTTATTACAGATAACTAAAACTTATCCATATAAAGGAAGTAGATTACGATCGTTATTTCATTTTACCAAATCTGTGCGAACACACACACAAATAACTAAAGCGAATAGTCTATTTTTCTTTTTAATGTACATTATTGAAGAGGTTTAATTATGTCTACTTTTGAAATATATTAGTGTGTATCTGAAGCAACACATTCATATTTTATGAGACTTTTCGAAATCAGTTCATTCAGTTCCAAAACCCTTTTGAATTCAAAGAAATGAAAAGTTCAATAGAAATCTATTATTCAAAGAATATTTTCTTCCGCGGGAGAGGGAGAGATTCGGATAAACGTTTATTCTACTCGGCCGAAGGAACCAGTGACCCGTCGTTATGGCATTCAAATTATCTTACATAATCAAACGTTCCCATGTTTAAATAAGGGAAAAATCACAGAATAAAAAAATATATATAGAGATACCATATATTTTTCTTCCAAAATTGTATTTCTCATGAGTTGACATTATTACTTACAACAGGAAAATCCGAAACTATTGAATTAGATAAGAAATGTCAGTATTTGTAACAGGGGCTACTGGTTTTCTCGGCCAACACGTAGTGAAACAACTACTAGATAAAGACTATACAGTTATTGCAGCTGTGAGAACTGACCAGAAAGGTGATAACTTATTAAGAAAGTTTAGTGATTCACGTTTATCGTATGTTACTACTGGGGATGCTTCGAGGCTAGATGCATATGAAGATGTGTTCAAAAACCAAGGTAAAAATATCAAACATGTTATTCATTGCGCATTTCCACTAAACCCCGAAGCTACAAACTATGAAAAAGATATTTTAATACCTGCTAGGGATTCTATGAAATGTCTTTTAGATTCCATTAAGAAGTATGCTAGTGAATACGTGGAGCATATCGTGATGACTTCTGGGGTTTTGACAATGATTGATCTATCTAAGATGAATGAAAACTCTGTCACATTTAATGAAGATTCATGGAATCCAAATACATGGGAAAGTTGTCAATCAGATTTCTTAAATGCAATAGGAGGAGCTAAAATGTTTGCAGAAAAACAAGGCTGGAAGTTTTATGAAGATAACAAAAATACAACTAATATCAAATTTACCACCATAATCCCTTCTTATATATTTGGCCCTCAAACATTCGATGAAGATGTACAAAAAAATTTGAATATTTCTAATACTGTCATCAACCAAGCCATTCATGCAACTAGAATTGAAGATATAGCTCCACTCACTAGTCAATGTGTTCATGTATCTGATGTTGCAAAGGCTCATATTTTACCTTTAGAAAGTGAAGAGTTGACAGGTAAAAGACTCATTGTATCAACCGGTAATTTCAACGAACAAGACATCCTTAACTATTTAAATGAAGACTTTCCTATATTGAAGGGTAAGATACCAGTTGGTACGCCAAGTAAAGGGATCGAAAATCGTTCAATCGGTGCTGTTATAGATAATTCTAGAACTTTATCTCTATTAGGCTTCCCATTAAAGTCCTTGCGTGATTGTGTTGATGATACAACCGTGCAAGTATTGAAACATGAAGGTAGATTGTAAAAATCTCTTTAGAAACGTCCTATTATACACTTATTTAATAATGTTTTTATTTAGCACATATGCATTACATAAATTTAAAATAACATATAATTAGCTAAAGTTAAAATATTGAACTTTTTATTTTCTAAAATTATTTATTGCTAGATATCAATGAATCATATTAAGGTATTAACAAAGTAATACTCATTTATTCCTATTTAGAAATTAATATATAGATGGAAATAATATTTCAGTTGGGACATTATATGGTGTAGCTATTATACCGGGATTATAAGGGTGTATATAGAATGGCATACCATGGAAAGTACTCTACTTTGTGAGGTTGATAATTAGCTGGATATTTTCTTACTTTTGACCAACAAACATATTATTTTAATGACCTAACCGATATTATCCTAAGCCTAGTAAATGATTTATACTACTATTGATGAATAAGAAATGCGCAGAATATTTAAAATCATAATACATTTGACCAAAGGATAATCACCACGTTCTAACTTGAATCAACTGGGTAATATCATTCGAATTAAGAATGTCACCATATGGAATTGAGTGAACACACAGAATAGTACTGAAAAATAGCGTTCTAAAAATGCTATTGTTTTGTTAAACGGATTTCCATTATCCCAGTCAATTTCTCTTATTCTAAAAAAAATATAGGGCAGCCAACTTTGGTTTAAGTAAAGTACAAAACCGAATAAGAAGTGGAAAAAGAATTGTTACTGTGATATAGCCACATGAGGCCCAAATAATTTTTTGTTTGATTTTGTCTTTAGCTAATAATAATGTTTCAACAAAACACTAAAGGAGTATTAATAAAATGGTTAAGAAAAGACCCTTTTCATAATAATAATAAACTTAAACCATGTAGTATTGGTTATTTACAAAAATGTCGGTATAAGAGAGTCGTTTGTTCCAAAGGGGTATAATCACTCTATTGTTTCGTTTATATGCATGTTTTTTTTTTGTTGTCTCTTTGAAATATTGTCTGGCTATAAGGAAAATATTGTTGTATTCATCTAAGGATAATGCCAATCATAAGAAATAATTTCAACATTCCCATGGTAGTTATATATCACCATCAGCTTCTTTTAGGGACAAACGTTTACCGTTTTAGTTATAACATAACCTCATTTGATCTCCCATAGGAGGTTGGTAACAATGGCAAAGCAGACTCATTTTTTCGCGTTGGTTGTTGTTGGTTGTTCTCATTTTGCGGTGCACATACATTTTTTTCATCCAGACAAAACGGGTAGAACATGATGTGAACAAAATTATTCAGACAAGTCATCAATTAAGTAAATGGTTGCCTTTTTGAATTATATTTATTTACTTTAAAACTATTATCAATCCTATAGGACATAACTATGTGGCTGCCTTCAGTTTGATATACCCACCCTAGAATGTTATGTTATAATATTAAAAATTACTCTATTGCACAATCCAATTGTCTTGAGCCGTTTTAGGTCTTTGATTACAGTAATAATTATAATCAACTTGAAAATATGCCGGTATCCCAGCTCAACAATAGAAGGGACCATTAGGCTTTTGCCAAATGAAGACAATAGGGAAACATAATCTTCATTCAATCTAATTTTAAGTAGCAGAGGTTAATAAACCAAATTAGGTTAGATTCTTCCCGATAAGGAGAACACTGTCAAAAAAGACTTTTTCTTCAAAGTATCAATAATAGGTTATTATCCAAGTTCAACTATATACATCCATTAACTAACAAGAGGTAGAACTTCGCTCAATTTTTATCACAGTTTTTATATTGATAGTACTTGAACTTCAACTTAATTTTCAATGATTAAATATATACATGAAGAAAAAGTAAAAATAAGATATACAATATCATATATAATATTCCTCAGATTCCAATTTATTTCTCAGTGCTTTGGGAGAGCAGCCATACAGTCATCATACTCATCGACAGTAAATGACGATACAAAACAATAGTCGGATGTACAACTGTTAGATTTTGCGCAATTAGGTGTTGACGGGGACAACCTACCAGCATAATTATTATATGTTTGTCTTGCTACAACCGAGTAATTGATAGCTTGCGCGACGTGGTGCCAGTACGTCGCATTTAATGGAGACGTTAGAGGCCACGTGATGTTGTATGCTGATCTAGCACTATATTCATATAACCATTTTGGTTCTTCACCATTGTTGGAGTAAGTACTGTCCAATTTAGCATACATGTTATGAGCATCCATAATTGAGAACGTCTTTTTATCGACTACATAGTATTTCCACGAAGGATTATTACCTACAAAGGGCGTTACAGATTGCCCAATCCATGCATTATTGATTACATTCTCAATTGTTTTAGAATTACCTCCGGAACCAGCATACATGACCTCAAATTGATCCAGATGTGTATGACCAAAGAATATACCAGCAATTGTAGAAGGTGAAAATCGTTCTACGATCTGGGCGAATACATTAGCTTGTAAAGGCAATCCACCTGTTGCTGGTGGAACATGTGCGACGATCCATACCCTTTGATTAATCGCTTCACTTTGGATTAATTCATCAATTAGAAATTTGAATTGTCCAAAATTATCTGGCTCTGTTGAATTAATGAAAGCATAATAATTTTGTCTCAACCATGCATTAGAATTCAAAGAGATAACTTTCAAACCCAGTTCTGTCTCAACAGCATATCCAGTATAATGCTTTCTGGCATACTCAGCTTCAGAAAAATTCAACCAACCATAACCTTGCCATAAATCTGCCATCAAGTTTTCATTCCATGTAAATTTGTTTGCAAAACCATATTGTTCAGGAGCGATTTCACCGTACGGGTAAGTATCATGGTTACCTAACACAGGATACACTGGAATGTTACCCAAATTAGTCTTCATATCTCTAAAAATGAACTCTTCCGACTCCATAGCAGTTTCTAATGTCAAATACTTAGATTCATCGTGTGCAATGATATCACCAGTGAATATTGTAAATTGAACATCCAAATTATTCTGTTTAGCGTATTTGATAGCAGAATTCAATGATGAATTAACTAGAAGTTCAGGTGAATCACATTGATAATTACCAAAGGATGTAGCTGGGACCCATATATCAGTATTTGCAAAGACATCAACATAAGGACCCTTAGAAAAAGTTAAATTATCGTTATAGGTAGATTCATAAAACGAATCCCATTTTCCTTCTTTAGATGATTTACCAGTATGCTTTACTCTATTAGAAGAATGAATGCTACAACACATTGTCGTTGTGGTGCAGTTTGCTTCTGCACCAACTGTGTAATTCAATTCTATATGAAAATCAGAAAAATGTAAAACATTAAATGTATCGTTAAATGATGGAACTGGAGCTACAGTATGTTCTTCTGCCTTGGGAGGCCACATATCAGATATATCGACTACTGGTGTCTGTGGTTTTGGACATTTACCATTTTGGACATAGTGACAATATAATTGGCCATCATATCCAGTTGGGTTGATTAAAGTCAACATATCTGCAACGTCGCTACCTGTACTACTATCTGTAACCGTAGATTTACCATAAGTTAATGAACACGAACCATTGCTTCCCTGACCTGTTACCACACACCATTCAGTGAATGCATTTGGGACCAAATCAGGTCTCTGAAGAGCCAAATTTTTACCTATTTCCAAGCTATCAGTACAACCTGTACACTTATTTTTATTTTTCAACGTTTCATTAAGTTGTCCGACAACACTTTGGATGATCTCTTCATCTGATTGGTTTACATAAGAAGGATCTGCTCTTTTCCAAAATGGAAGGGCAAATACTATGTTGCAACCCAATAATAAATTAGTTAATAAATAAGTAACTTTGTTCATATTTAATTTTTCTGGGTTATTTTCAATCTGTATAATTAAAAAACCCCAATTATCTATGTTTTAGACAGAATTATCTTAGTTCTATTTATATACAAATCTATATTATATAAGTGACGTTACGTGATATGCGATGCATTTTGATCTATTCAGTTCCGATGCATTCTCGCTCGAGAGGAAATGCGAAGACGCTGCGGATTTTCTGTGACTGTTCGCAAAGCTTCCCATCAAACTGAATGCGAGATTTACGATGAGTCCATCTGTTCTCGAGGTGATTATCCATCACTAGAATATCGCGGAAGAATGAATACAGACAATCACCTGTTATGTCATGAAGCACACAAAGGATAATATAATAGAACATGTGAGTGGCTTATGCATCTTTTATTACTAAGTTATAAATAGAAGAAAATGTGGTAGTGTACAGTAGGCTGAAAACTGTGGTACTATAGGGGTATGAGGAAACCATGGCTAAATCCCAAATTATGTAATAAACCAAAATAACATTTTATCGGATAATTTGTATTGATACATACTTGAAAAGTTTCACAAATATGATTAAACAGTGAGGAGTTTATACTTACAGGCCAAACGTGGTGTGATGTTCACGTTATTTCTTTATAAACTTAAGGCAATAGCAACTACAATTGGAAACAAGTTAAAAAAATGTCCATTATTATTACAAAGGGCATTATTTATCTGTCCAACTGCCTTCTCATTAACAATATTTTAATTTTATTAGCAGAATAGTAGAATTTCCTTTTATAGAAGACTAAATATCTTTCAGTTTATCAGGATTGATTATATATTTTCGGTTGTACTCGGCATATCGTATTAATTACAAAATAATCAATGAATTATATCACTGTAATGTTATTGCTTGAATGCACAGATTTTATTTGTGGGATCATAGATTCACGATTCATTGTACTAGAATTATTAACAACTTTTAAAAGGAAATTAAAGCGCGAGTACTTATTAGCGTATCTTAAAACTAAAGGAAAAACATATCGTTATCAGTAATGTATTACACATAAACTACTCGAGCAGTACATTAAGCGAACAAGATTAAATGATTCTTAACTTTCAATAATTCTATTCTGATTACATGTACCAGTACTCAGTAAAAGGGAACATACCGTATAATATTTTAAAAAATTTCTTTTGTAAAAAAACATTCAGGTTGCCAAAGCATAAACTAAACCCAATGAAATAAAAGAGAAAAGCTAAATCCAAACACTAAGTTCAACGTATTTTCTTAGTGATAAATATGGAAAGAGAAATATACGCTCTCGATAACGAACGATAAATAAAGCACCTGCCATAATATAATATGATGTTTCGAACAGTTCTATGTCTATTTATGATATTTAATTTTTACAATTATTGAAATAGTATAACTAAAATATGTACAAATCTTATAACCTCTAATTTCATTAAACAAAGTTCAAGCAATTTTTCATAATTTGATTGCAAATAAAAATTCCTAAGCGTCCTTTGAAAAACAACAAAAGCTACACATTGTATAACATATATAATGTGTTGTTCTTTAATTATAATGGAGACAACAAAGAACGACAGCATTAATATTACTTACAACTTATTGAATTAGAATACCTCATCAACCTTATAGATTTGTTTAAAAACTTAGAAATGTCAATTAATGAATACATATTTAGATAGTCAACATAAACATTTTCTTTGCATATCAGAAGCAAATTAAAATTATTAAGACCCAAAGTTCTTGCAGTATTTGATTTGAAGGAAAAAAAGCATCAAAATGTGGAAGGCTGCACAATTTCTAAAAATGATATTATAATCAACCATTACTACCTTAAACCTATTGTAGGCCCGCCATAGATTATGAATATAGGAATATTTATAGTTGGTGATGATAATAAAAAGAAAACTAGCCTGTTGGTTTAAGCTGGTGCTTTTCCATATGCAAGAATGTCTGCAGCACTTAGTCTTTTTCTTTATTTATATGTCGAACAGTTAACAGATTGACATTAAAACCTGAAAATAGCGTGTTTAATATGTTAGAAATGTTTATATACATTAAACAATACAACATAATTAAGGGGAACTTGAAAGGGCCTTATGATGATCGATGATATGTGCGTTTTGTCGACTGTTTCTAAGTGTTCAGTTCTTCGAACTGAGAGGAATAACAAAAAATTCATCGTCCTAGCAACATGTTAATTAGCATGACATATCGTAATTGAACTAGATCACCTCTGAACGTTTATCGTCGCATGAATAATTGGTAGTAGTATACGACTCATAAAAAAGAAACTTTTCCAACATGATGTCTCTAAATAATGATGGCTATGCTACACATATGAAAGTAGTAGCTCAATTTCATTTTCAAATCTATACTCAGAGAATTGTCTCATATCCTGTATATATATATATATGTCATATATGATTCAAGTGTAGAAAGCGTTCCAATATTTCATTTTTACTACCTCAGATTACCGAATAGTATAATTGCTATAGGAAATGAGAGAGCTAATGCCATACTTGTAGTTCCTATATTATTTCTAACTGAGTTTTTAAATTTTGTTTCAAAAAACATACGCACGCATAAAACCAAAGTACAACGCCTGCAATAATTATTATTATCGCATTCAATATCAAATTTGACCTGTACGAAAGGATAGTAATTTCTCCTCAGGGCAAAACAAATTAAACTATCGCCCTAGCCAAAAACAACATACGCTGCTCCAACGAGCATTGATGGGAAGCTCACGCATCGCACGCATAAAATCCAAGAATAATATAAGTAGTAGTAGCAAAACTCATGATCTGCTTAAAAATAATAATAAACAATCGTGATTCAAACAAAATAATTCGATATAATCCATAGAAAGATAATCAACGTTTCCTCAGAGTACTTGCAATAGTTATTATTAACAGGAAATAAAGTACTTTAAAAATAGTGTGTAGAACGCCTCCTCTCACCTTCCAGGTTTCTAATCTAAGTAAAAATCATTCACTTTCGCCAAATATATTAACGGTCATTGGCGTTGTACGCTGCTTTTTTTGCTAAAACAATAAAAAATAACGAAAAAAACAACTTTTTTTCATTGCGGAAGGAGTTTCTGAAGTAAATTCAGGGCAAAAGAAGTTTATTGAGTCGACTTTTCAGAGAAGAATTTTTGTTACCTGTTCGACTTTTTTAAAAGTATAGAATAGAGTCGATGTATATAAGCCTCTGGTACTAGCTGATTAATACAGTTTGGTATCGTGAGGAGCTATATCTCCTTGCACATATTTGCTCTGTGAAAGATCGGGAATCGCAAAATGTTCAATTCAACTCTCAGCAAAATTCAATTTTTTTGTTATGTCCCTGTGAATCATATAATAATGTAATCACGAGCTACTTCTATTTCTAGGATAAGAAATATAACTTATGAAAGTAATTTTTTTCTTTTTGAAAGGATCTCATTCCCACTATAATAATAATAGTCGCATCTGCATGTAGAGTATACTTCACAGAACTGTATATCGTGGAAACCTACAGCACTGCCAGTCGTCAGTCCAAAATCAATATTTCATCTTATTTGTTTATTTTGCAACCATGAGCCAAAACATTTATATCTTATTCTCTTATAAAGCCTTCTTTTTCCCATTTCATTAAAGACACGCAGGGCTTTCTTAAAAAATAATATAAATCGCCAAAAATAGACCAAAATTCAAATTGCTTTTTGACTACTTCTCGGGCAGTTTCTCTGTGATTATGTGATATTGGTTTATTTGTTAGGACATACCCCAAATGGGACTGCGCGTGATTGTATATTTCGTTTGAATCATATGTGGGATTGTTATTATTTGCAGCGAAGGACGACGCCCGTTGTTTTCATCAAAGGAAAAAAAAATAACAATACAAAATTTTTCAACTAACTATAAATAGAGGCCAGGGAATCTGCATAACATTCCCTTCTATTATAAGGGACAAATTGTAACTTACTTAATCGAATATTCTTTGGCAAAAAACAATACCATAAGGAATAGAAGTGTTACAGATGTGGTCAATACGATCTCTTCTAATGAAATCAAAAGCAGAGAAGTTGATCTCTCTTAACTTCTGGCAAATACCCAGAAAGGTAATAATTTCGATGACTATTTGCATTGCAATAGTTTTTCTTATCATCCAATGCATCTGGATGAGTAGCTCGGATAGCATTTCACCCCTTTTATATTTTAATTCCAATAAAGCTTATGTCCTTAAAAAGGAAGATTTGGCAAAAGCTGAGATAATTAAAACAAATCTTGATGTTCTTTCCGGCAATGGCCCAATTACTCCGGAAATTGCAGCACAAGATTATTTATCAAGTAATATTACTGGATATGTTTCTAATATATCAATGAAGAAACTTAACGCAAGAAAAGAGAAAGGTAAACCAGGTAATAATAATAATAATACGCCAACAAATACCAATAATGTATACGATTCAGAAGTGTCCTGCCAAGATTTATCCTATAATTCCCATATGGAATACTCCAAGAACGCCATAGTAATGGATGATAATTTATTATCCACCAGAAGAGAACTAATAAGAAAACACAACTGGCTGAGTCCAGAGATTCAGGATGAAAAACATGACAAGCATATGACAGAAGAGGAAATTGTAGAGAAACAATGGTTTAGTTTTGGGGGTTCCGCGATTTGGTTAGAGAGTGAACAGTGCTATTTAGTGTACAGTAGAATTGTATACTCTAGAATGAATCGAAAGAATCATCCTCATCTTTCTTTAGTAAGAGGCCAAGCATTTGATAAAAATTGGAATGAGATATTTGGCAAAAATATATCGTACTTAGATGTAATCAAGCCAAAGAATATAGAATCTGAATTGAGAAAATTAAATTCCGAATTAAATCCTGAAAATTGTGAATTACTCAATTTTAACTCACTAGAATACGAGGCTTGCAAAACTCGTCAAGTAAGAAACAAATTAAAGGTTGACCTTAAAAAGGAAAAGATTCTGTCAAGGTATGTTATTTCATACCCAACCATTATTGAAATCCCATTCAGTCCTAACAATGATTATAGAGGGCCTGAAGATGCTCGTGTAATTTTAAGATCTGTAAATGGTATAGAGGAACCTGTACTTTTGTTTAATATGGATGAACCAGGTGGAGAAGGAAGAAGAATGTATAGTTTCTTACCCCATCGAAAAGTTGACCCACTTGTTAGGTTCAGTCTCTCGGAGCATAAATTAAAGGGTAGCGAAAAGAACTGGACCCCCTTTTTCCATCCAGATATAGGAACAGAGAGTTTATTATCTAGAGGCTTCATTTATTTTATCTATACATTCAGTCCGCTTGAAATTTTCAAATGCTCTTTGAACGATGGTTCCTGTGATATTGTGTTTGATGGACAGACACTAGATATCGACGACTCGGACAGTTTTGGTGGTATGAGAGGAGGAACCCAGTTCATTTCTCTTCCAAAAGCACTCCCTGCACTACAAAATAAAAACATATGGATCGGATTCCCTAAACTCCACATTACAGATTGTGGTTGTTCACACAGATTTTACAGACCAATGCTAGATTTGCTTGTAGAATCAGATGGGGTTTACCACCAAGAATTAGTGGTACCAGCCGTAGACTTTGGTATTGATGTGTTATCATGGGATTTAAAAGGTACAGATTGCGGTAGTGACACTAATATCCTGAGTCCAAATTCTATAGCTTATTGGGATATTGTTGATCAGGACCCAGTTACTAAACAATTTGAGGACTATCTAGTGCTTAGTGTCAGTGAAGCAGACACTGTGACAAAAATAATTACATTAAGAGGAGTGTTGAATTATGTTCTGGGAATATATGCACATCAGGATATCGAAGAAAACTTTTCAATCACAGACCAATCCAGAGATATCATTGGTAAAACATTTTCATGTTTAGTCCATGAGGCTAAGGATCATTGTAAGATTTATGGAGAATCGCATAATGGATTGTTGGAATCATAGAAGTAGTAGGATCCTTCAGGATAAAACTAGATTGCAAAGTGTTAACCCAAAATTGCCCAAAGAAAGAAGGCTTTGATGGTTGAAAAGTCATCTGTAACTCTATGTACTAAGTTATCTTTCTAAGTATAAGATTAACGATTAATATTCTAAAATATTTACTGATCACTATGCAACTTTATAAATTTTTGAGATGTCTCACTTTCCACACTTGAAAGAAGAATATACAAATTTATTTAGTTGTTTATATATACATATCTAGTAAACAATTTTTTAATGACAAAATTATTACAGACTACTACTATATATGGGACTCTTAAAAGTAAAGAGCGAATCAGCAGTATCTACATATTCTCATTTATCTTCCTATATATCGCCGTCGATAGGCCTAGCTTTATAGTTAATTATATTTCTGGCTATTGTTTTCTAATTTAAAAATAAATATTTTCAAAAAAAAGGTATCAAGTTAATTAATAAATAATAACTACAGAGTTATAAAGGGAATATACACACTTCTAATTTTTGAAATCGTCATCTGTAATCCCTGAACGTATACACATGTCTCTGAATATGCTCGATTCGTTAGAATACAATTTCCACGGAGAATTACTTTCCACAATTTCACCTTTATCCATAACAATAATTCTATCATAGTCCAATATTGTTTTAATTCTATGAGCGATACAAAGAATGGTACACTCACTAAATGCATCAACAATACGTTTTTGAATTTTGTCGTCAGTCTCATAATCCACAGATGAGGTAGCTTCGTCAAGTATCAGTATCTTCGATTGACGAACTAATGCTCTGCTTAAAGCCAACACTTGTCTTTCTCCCAGAGAGAAATTAGTTCCTTCTTCCTCGACTACTTGGTCTAGATGGAATCTATGCATATCTGTATGGGTATCCTTATCATTTGTGGTTTCTAACTTCACATTAGATAATTCCTCCTGTTCAATTGCACCACTCTTCTCCAAAGCACTCCATAGCATTTTGTCATCGTATTCACCAAATGGGTCTAAATTTTTTCTAATAGTACCTTTGAATAGTACTGGATCCTGAGGAATAATTGTCAGTTTTCTACGAAGATCATACAATCCCAATTTCGAAATATCTACACCATCAATTTTGATGGTACCTTTATTGAGTTCATTTAATCTATAGAGAGCACTCATAATAGTAGATTTACCTGCACCAGTCCTCCCACATATTCCAATTTTTTCACCATCTGTGATATTTAGATTAATGTTTTTCAATACTGGTGGAAGTCCTTCACGATATGAAAAGAAAACATTGGAAAATTCAATAACACCGTGTTGGGGCCAAGAATCGTTTGGAGTATAATCGGTTCTTTTATAGGCCGCCTCTAACGGCAACTTTGTGGCGTACTCCATTAACCGCTCAGCACTATTCAGATCATTTTCACATTGGGTAAAAGTTCTCAAGACGTTATTAAACATACTTGGTAATTGCAAGACATATGATAATAGGACACCTACTGATCCAGAACCAATTGGGAATGCTCTCGTGACACACAACAATGTAATAATCAACGCAAAAACTGTAGCGACAATTTCTAGAAAGATGGCAACCCAAATCTGGACAGAAATATAAAGGTAACTAGCTTCATTCATTTTATCTATTAGATAATCAGCTTTTGCTTTGAACCTATCCTCTGCCCTATAATTTCTGATGGTATCCATACCCCCAAGTACCTCATTAATATTACTGTACACATATGACCTTTGGATGGCCTCTAATCTTCTGATTTCTCTTGCTGAACTTTGATAGTGGTCAGTAATGACTACAAGAGCCATCAAAATAAATGGAATGGCAATAGCAAACCAAGGCAGGTATACGATACACAAAACACAAACACCAATAACCTCACCTGTTTGGTATAAGAATAAACGTAGATTATCAGTAACTTCATAATCTAGTGCGTCTGTATCCTTGGTAAATCGATTGAGGATACGACCCAGCGGAGTAGAATCAAGGAAACTCATCGGAGTGTGCAAAATTCTACTCACAGCCTTTAAATTTAATTTCTTAGACGCCATAACTCCTATGTGGCAGATTAAGGTAAAGAGAATAGCCATAAAGATGAAATTCCCAAATGCAAAAAATGAATACATTCCCATATAAAAACTCGTAGGTCTTGTACTAAATTTATCTTCTGTCCAATACGATAACCACACAGACGAAAATATACCGAAAAATGTAGTAGCTGCAATAAGTAAGATCAAAAGCATAATCATTACACCACCGGCTTTACCAATACCAGACTTAATGTACTCCTTATAAATTCCAAATTTGATACTGTTTACTGCTCTTTCTTCTTTGACCATTAAGTTACCATCCTGAATTTGACTATGAAGACTGTTTCCCTCAATATTATTGAGATTATCTAGTTCCTCAATCACCATATCATTCGATTCTATATTTCCTTTCTTAGTTTCCTTACTCTTGGATGAAAATTTTAAAAGATTGATTAATGTTTCGTTTTCTTTTTTCATTCTATCGACAGTACCAATTTCGAAGGACCCATCTGAGTCTAAAACAATTACTTTATCAGCATGGTCTAGTAAAGAAAGTTGATGTGTTGCCAATAGTCTAGTCTTCCCTGATAATAGTCCACATAAACATTCTTCCATAATAGTCTTCCCCACACGAGCATCCACAGCACTTAGTACATCGTCAAATAAAAATATGTCCTCGTTTCTATACACTGCTCTTGCAAGGTTAATACGTGCTTTCTGACCACCTGACAAGTTAATACCACGCTCACCAATTTCTGTTTTATCTCCTGCAGGTAATATCTTCATATCGTCTTCTAGGCAGCAAGCCTTGATAATTTTATCATATTTGGTTTGGTCGAAAGGACAACCAAACAAAATATTATCTTTAACTGTTGCATTTTGAATCCAAGGGTAACCACCCATTAGCAGACTACCGTTAACATAAATACTTCCTTTTGTTTTGTTCATAGTACCGTTAAGAGCGTTCAATAAAGACGTTTTACCGGAACCTATAGGACCTGTGATCATAATAAATTCACCTTTCTTAACTTCAAAATTTAAATCAGTAAATTTTGTTATAGATTTTTCTTTGTATTTTTGTTCTTCGTTGGATACTGATTTTGACTCTACTTTAATTACTTCCTTTTTATCTTTGCTTACATTTTTTTGGTCTTTCTCATTTGTTTCTTCTTTCTCTTTCTCTAAGGAGTCTAATAATTCAAAATCCTCCCATTCGAAGGAGGCGTTCACAACTTTTACAGCAAACCCCGCATCTATTTCATTACTCGCAATATGAGTGTTCTGGAAGATTTCGATGCCCTCTTCACTTTCGAGTAAAGTTTGAACACGACTCAAACTGAGGACAAAGTCAACAGATGTACTAATGATAAGTGGGAAGAAAAACATTTGAATACTCAACACCTGAAACAACGACAAGGACGAAAATACATTACTAGGAGTTCTTCCCATATTGTTAACTTTATACATACAAAGGAAAGTGACTAATGACGAAATATTAGGAATAGAAAATGCTAACGCCATGACAATATTGATAGCGTATTGCATTTTCTGAAGAGCCTTTATCTCTTTCGATCTGATGTTCCGAATAATTGATAAGTAAGCGTCCTCCCATGCGTAGTACTTGATCATCTTCATATTACTCAATACTTCTCTCATTTTAGTAACTCTTTCATCAGTAAATATATTGGTAGCAATTCTAAATTTAAACATCATTTTTAATAAAATAAATGAGCAAGATAAAGTAACAAAGTATAAACCTAGACCAAGCAATGCAATCGGACCTACATTGATAATTAATAGAACGATAGCGATTATAATAATTGCGGGGAGTCCAACAATAAATGGTTGAAACATCAACGCAAATTCAACTCTAGCCAAATCATTTGTAATGAACGCAACAACTTTACCACTAGGGTATTTGTGTTTTGAGTAATTGGACATCCTAAACATCTTACTAAAAACGGCTCTTGTCAGAACAGCTTTTGCTTGCGAACCAGTCAACATACTGTAATGATAGAAGTGGTTATTCGCAAAACCACTGAATAACATTATCAATGCAGAACCAATAGCATAACCGACACCTTTATTAACCTTTAGATGATGGTTCATCTCTTTTTTCTCAACAAATACAATTAACCGTTTTGTTAACATGGGAACAAAACCCAAACCACAGTTCGCTAATAAAGCTAAAACACATGCTTGCAAATATTGTCTTTCAAATGTGAAGAAAAGTACTCTAGCTAAAACCAATTTTGGTAGTTTTGCATTTTTTATAATTTCATTATCAGAAACGTTTGGATGGTTTTTCTTATAACTTGCTCGAGCTTTCTCTTGATAATAATTTAAATTTTTCAAAAATTTGCTGTAGATTGTAGATATGGCCATTCGTTCGTCCATCTTAAACATATCATTCGGCTGAAGAGTTCTCTTATAACCTACACGTAGTAACGGAGTGACCCACCATAAAAATATTTTAGAAAATATATTAGTATTAAAATGTGGGTATACTTTTCTCTCGTTCTCATTATCAGGGATATGATCGACTTTGTTACTAAAAAACAAAGATAATAAACGTTTTTGAGGGAACACATTCGAATCTGTGACTCTCTCTATATCATCGCTATTTAGGTAAGTTTCAGGAATATTTTTATCAACTTTATATTCTCCTGTAGGAAACACTGCATCAGAACATAACCATTCTTTGGATCGTAGTGATGATTCTAATTTATCAATAGATTCAAAAGAATGGGAATTAATGCTATTGAGTTCGTAATAATTGTTGTCCTGATTTTCTGGCTCTTTATCCATATGCAAACGACGTTATAGCAGTAGGCTTATTTTTTTTAATTTTTGAAAAGAGAAAAAATAAAATTGCTTAAATTGATAGTATTTCATTCCTGTATGGTGTTTCAAAAAATTTTCACCTTTATATATATCGAACTTTAGAAATTGGGAACGCAACAGTGTACATAGTGATTTTCGCGTAAAAGTTTTATTTTGGGTCTTCAATATTGATCTGAATTTATTTTTTATTTTTAGCAACCCACTTCTTCGTCAATATCTTACTATCAAAAAAATATCAAAAAAATGCACGTAGAGAGGCGCAACCGGAAAAACAACAACGTTATTTATAGCAAATACCTCTTTGCGAAGAAATCGTTGAAAAGAAGTAGAACAAAGCAGTTACCCATACAAAGAGATTGAGGAAAGGAAATAAGGAATATTTTGGTAAGAAGCGGAGTTAACAGAGAACCATTAGACTAAGAGGCATATATTCTTCTGTAGCCTCTTATAAAGGCGACTTCAATATAGAAGTATAGATGAACTTTCAAACGTAAAATTCTCTCTTTTTATAACTTATTTGTTTCAATATAACTTGACTACACTATGAACTATCTCATCTAAATAATTAAACAGGAGATATTGCTCCATCAATGTGATAGAACGTATAATACATTTTGGAATGCTTTATCTTTCTATTACCCATAGCTGTTTCCATCACAAATGAACTCGATTACTCAAAACGGAGAAGAAGGGGAATGTGGGGAGAGCGTGCCACTCAATCCGGAGTGTCTTCTATTCAATGCTTATTGAAAGTTATTTCTTTTATTGATATAAATAAATAAGAATTGAATAAAGAAACCCAGCCCTTTGCAACATCTGTTATCCATAAAGAACTTCTTTTTATATCAATGAGTGAATGTGCACAAAGAGTTTCTTCACCTATATTGAAAGTAAGAGTACATAGCTCCCTTAATTTCCGACAGTTACCTTATTACATAAAATACCATAAAAGCTAAACAGATAAATATATCGATAGATACCTAGATATATCTCGAGGTGATAATGACACTTTAATAAATCAAGTAATGAACAGTTGGTATCTCATTGTTAGAAAATTTTCTTGAAGCTCGTTGTGTGTTATCATAAATTTATCTTTAATGTTTTTTCCGATATGATAATATACTCACCAAATGATTGTTTCTGATGTCGTGTTCTTTTAAAACTGTTGTTATAGTGCCAGGAATGAAGGGTGATACATTTCACACTTAATTTAAATATAGGTAAAGAAATATTTTTATACATATTTGCCAATATGTAAAATATGTGCCATATAAATTGAACGAACTATTATCATATTGAAAATTTGTCCGAATTAACACACACAAAACTTGCAGAAACTAACAGAGAGAAAATATCTATTTCATATTCTCTACAATAATAATAAACAGTGTAGTCATATTCACAACACAAGAATAGAGATGCAATATTGTAGATAATCTGAGATAGAGGGTTTGCCTCTAGTTGTCTCTGCAAGCTTTGATTGTTTTAATTCGGACATTTTATAATATGATAATTGATCGGTCTCTTTATATTATATATAAGTTAGATATTAAAGAACATTTAATATTATATATATATTATTAGAGTTTACTTTTTATATCATTTTCTTTAAAGGTTTTTATTTCGTCAATCACACCTTTCATCTCTGCTTAGTTTGACTCTTCTCAATGGTTGATTCTTATCATTGGTTGATTCTTATCAATAACTGTGCTTAAAGGTAATTATTTACCTATTCAATTTAAGTGAGGCGTATATTACTCTTAATTTCTGACAAATATATAGTATTTATGTATTTATAACATGATCCCTACTGTTTTCTGTACTATTCAACTCTACTCTTCTTTATTAGGTCTCAACTCGTTGATACCTCACCCTCAAAGATACCTAACTCTTCCAACATTGAGATGATCTTACTCTATGTACCACAACCGACCGGCACTAACAAGGAGTGAGAAGACGTTTTTCATTCAATTTCGTCTTTCTCTCTTCCACATCAAATTTAGAATTTCTACACGACTTACTAAAGAAAGATTTGTTATTTTATTTTTACAAGACGTAATAAGTAATATGGGACCAACAGTCTCCTCTAGAAAACAATGCACCAAATAACAATTGCAGGGTCGAAGATATTTTATTTCACAAACATAAAGTACATCATCATACTAAGTAGATGCTCAACTGTTTCTTTCTAACTAATCATTTTTACCTTTTTCCAAGAGGTAAGGCACCTATCCTTGGACTATAATCTACCATTAAAAAAGTCTTTGTCGACAAATGCTACTATCGTTGTTTATTATATTACCAAAAAACAGGACTTTCCGTAGTAAAATAAATCGAGACAGTAAATTTAAAGAATTTTCCAATCCCGATCGGTCCATCGGAATACATATCTATAAGTATTCTAATGGTATATATCTGATAAAAGAGATCTTGAAAGAATACTGGTACGTATTATGTACTATTCCTCTTCTGTATCAGACTTAGCAGGTAGAATAAACCTACCATTGCCAATATTCATCTTCCCAATAAAAAATAAAACTATGCAAAAAGATCGACCCAATGTAGATCTCTCCACCAAAAGGGAAGTAAGAGGAGAGGGGTGATTTACTATCCTCTGCTTTCCAAAGGATCGGCATTCGAATTGTTCAGCTAATTTTTTTTAGAGAAGAGGCCGCTCCCTGCACTACAGTCTGTGCTTTATTTTTATTTTAGGTTCGGCTCATCATTACTCTCCGCGGAACTCAACAAAAACAGAAGACTAACAAAACTAAGCTAAGCTAAACACAGATACTTTTGGGACCAGCATTCGAAAAATTAAATACGTAGTTGCGGGGCAGCGACTTTTTCTTTTTTGAGGTGGAGTGTGTGAATACTTTGCTTAGATAATTACAATAAAGTAACCCCCATAATCCACTTGTTCGATAAAATAAGAAAACTAAAACTCATCCAATTCTTCTCCATTTTTCTCTGTGCATCCAATTCCTTCTTGTGATCCCAATAATTTATCGGGTGAAAACCACATTGAGTCGAAGGTGAACCATTAAGCATTCTCCGTGAAAAACATATATATGTTAACTAATCCAAAAGAGAAAAAAAGGTTAACCATAGTAAGTCAAAAACACAACATTGCCGCAACTGATCGGTATATAGACATCTCTTGATTGTCTATAAGATTCTCTCTCCTATGAGTGTGGCTGTTGTTTTTGTTCATTATTATTTCACATTACTTTCCACGGGAACACCCCTCATGAATAAAAAAATCCTAACAATAATGAATACACCTTACGGTTTGCTAATCATCACCTTTAATTGATACAGGATTTGCATACAAAATGGGTATACCCTTAAGAAAACAATTAACAAATCGCAATTGTCTAAAACTCTATATCCAGAACAGTTCTAATTTGATTAAGGAGGATTATTCAACTGTTATTCAAAATATTCTAATATGTCTGAGGTATATATATAGCCAGATGTTTCCCGAATTATTCAATTAAATGAACTGCAATTCCCAAGAACTTATTTTTAAAAACATCTATAATAAAAATTCCAATCTATGCAATATAAAATAAAATAAAATAAAATAA